CTAGAACTAGCAGGGAACCACAACGAAGATTAAATCCTAACATGATGGAAATTGTAAAAAAAGAAATTTTAAAGTGGCTGGCTGCTGATATTATTTACCCTATTTCAGATAGCAAATGGGTTAGTCCTACACAAGTAGTGCCAAAAAAATCAGGGATCACGGTTATAAAAAACGAAAATGGGGAGGAAATACAAACAAGACTAACTACCGGTTGGAGAGTTTGCATTGATTATAGAAAATTAAATTCAGTTACTAGAAAAGATCATTTTCCCCTACCATTTACTGATCAAATTTTAGAAAAATTAGCTGGAAAAAACTTTTTTTGTTTTCTGGATGGATACTCTGGTTATAATCAAATTTATATAAACCCTTTAGATCAAGAAAAAACAACTTTCACTTGTCCATTTGGTACTTTTGCTTTTAAACGCATGCCTTTTGGTCTGTGTAATGCTCCAGCCACATTTCAAAGATGTATGCTGTCTATTTTTTCTGATATGATTGGAAAATGCATGGAAATTTTTATGGACGATTTTTCTGTTTTTGGTGAATCATTTGATGAATGCTTAAATCATTTACAGCATGTACTTGAGAAATGCATAGAGAAAAAATTAGTTTTGAGTTGGGAGAAATCACATTTTATGGTTAAAGAGGGAGTTGTGTTGGGTCATATTGTGAGTGAAAAGGGTTTAGAGGTGGATAGAGCAAAAATCGATATTATATCTAAAATGAAACCTCCGAATTCAGTAAAACAGATTAGATCTTTCTTGGGTCATGCAGGTTATTACAGAAAATTTATTCAAGATTTTTCGAAAATTTCTAAACCTCTCACCATGCTATTATCTAAAGATGTGCCTTTTAATTTTGATGAGAAATGTTTTGAGTCTTTTTCCGAAATAAAAAGATTACTTACTGAGGCACCCATTTTACAAGCTCCTGATTGGTCCCTTCCCTTTGAAATAATGTGTGACGCATCGAATTATGCAGTGGGGGCCGTTCTAGGACAAACAAAAGAGTCAAAACCCATAGTAATTTCATATGCTAGTAAAACTATATCTGATGCTCAATTAAATTATACCACGACTGAAAAAGAATTGTTAGCTGTAGTATTTTCGTTAGAAAGGTTTAGATCATATATTTTGGGAGCTAAAATTATTATTTATACTGATCATGCAGCATTAAAATATCTGTTAAATAAGAAAGATGCAAAGCCACGTTTATTAAGATGGATTTTATTGTTGCAAGAATTTGACTTAGAAATAAAAGATAAAAAGGGTTTCGAGAATGTTGTTGCTGACCATCTTTCTAGATTAAGTGATACAGGAATAAATGCAGCACCTTTACAAGACGCATTTCCAGATGAACAATTGATGGCAGCTCAACATCAACCATCACCATGGTATGCACATATTGTTAATTTTCTGGTTTCTGGAAAAACTCCAGAACAGTGGGATAAGAACAGAAAAAATCATTTCTTTTCTAAGATTAGAAATTATTTTTGGCATGATCCTGATTTATATTACTTGGGCAATGATCAAATTTTAAGGAGATGTGTTCCTGAAGAAGAATATCATAGCATTATTAACATGTGTCATTCATCTAACTGTGGAGGACATTTCTCTGGACGAAAAACAGCTGCAAAAATTTTCCAGTGTGGTTTTTATTGGCCTACAATCATTAGAGATTCTATAGAATTTAGTAGAACATGTATTTCATGCCAATCTATAAGTAACATGAGTAAAAAAGATGAAATGCCCATGAGTAATATGTTAGTAGTCGAAATTTTTGATGTATGGGGAATAGATTTCATGGGTCCCTTCCCATCAGCTGAAAAATATGAATATATTTTGCTTGCTGTTGATTATGTGTCGAAGTGGGTGGAAGCTATTCCTACTAGAACTAATGATCATAAAATCGTGATGAAATTTGTGCAGGAAAATATTTTTTCGAGATTTGGATGTCCTAGAGTGATTATTAGTGATGGAGGAACACATTTTACAAATAAAAATTTCAGAGAACTGTTGAAAAAGAATGGAGTACACCATAGAGTAGCCACTCCATATCATCCCCAAACAAATGGGCAAGCTGAAGTAGCAAATAGGGAAATTCAGAGAATTTTGAGAAAAATAGTTAGACCAGATAGGAAAGATTGGCCCACGAAATTACAAGATGCATTATGGGCTTATAGAACAGCTTATAAAAATCCCATAGGTATGTCCCCATTTCGTCTCATTTTTGGAAAGCCATGTCATCTTCCTGTGGAAATAGAGCATAAAGCATTATGGGCTATAAAAAATTTATGTATGGATGAAAAATCAGCTGGTGGGCATAGAATTTTTCAGTTACATGAACTAGAGGAGTTGAGGAATGAAGCTTATGAAAATCATAGAATATATAAAGAAAAAACTAAAACTTTTCATGATAAATACATTAGCAGAAAAAAATTTGATGTTGGACAAAAAGTGTGGTTATATGATTCTAGGCTGAAATTATTCCAAGGAAAATTAAAATCAAAATGGAAAGGGCCTTATGTGGTGGAAGAGACATATGATCATGGGGCTGTAATGATTAAAGATCCTAAAAGTGATCATAACTTTAAGGTAAATGGACAGCGGCTTAAACATTACATAGAACATGAACGCCTTGCAGAAAAAGAAATTTTATTATTAAAAGAAATTCAAGAGTAAGATCAAGGAGTCCAGCTGGAGACATTAAATTCAGCGCTGCATGGGAGGCAACCCATGGTTTTTATTTCATTTTGTTTGATTTTTTTTAAGCTCTGTTTTTCTTAGAATTTCGCAGTACTTGTTTCTGTATTTGTTTTTCTGTCGAAAAAGTGCAGGAGGAGTGTAAGATGAAGTGGAAAATTAAAAACGAGGTTGAGGTGATGTCTTTCTGAGCTTCATCATTTATGAAAATATTTTTAATGCTTAACTTTGCAGATATGCATGCTTCACTTGAAAATTATATTTTCTGCATATTCTATTTCGAGTTTTCTGTGTCATTGAGGACAATGTCATTTTTAAGTTGGGGGGTGAAGTATTCATTATTAATTTATGCTGTAGGACGATTAAGAACATGTGTTTGCAGTTTATTCAACTTAGAACAGCAACTAAAAAAATAAAAATAAAATAAAATTCGGAAAAATTGCAACATCTATTTTCTGGTTTTCTGTCAGAAACAACAGACTGTCAAAAACAGCAGACAAAAAACAGCCCGAAATTTGAAATTCTAGAAGACCCTTTTCTCACATTTCAATCCCTTAGACATATATTACTGAAATTCGAAATTACAGCTATAAAGAAGATAGTTTTGATTTATTTTTGACAAATTTATTGCTGCTAAAACTGAAAACAGAAAACAGAACTGTCAGAACTATCTAATTTACAAATTCCTTACATCATATTGCATGCATGAAAAATTAAATCAATTAGATTGATTGATACCAAAAGATACTAGGAAGATTATTATTGAGTCAAAAGAATGATCTAGTAGCATGAAATGTTGGTTGGAATACTCCTCGGATACATGATAGATAACATGGATTTGATTTTACAGATTTTCACTTCATGATCTTGATGGATAATATTTACTTGATGTGAAAATTTGATTGATCATTTGAGTTTAATGGAGATTTTTGCACCCTGATCTATAGGACTTGTGAGGAGAAATCACTTATTTCAAAAAAAAAAAAAAGAAAAAAAAAAGAGAGAGCAATGTGAAAAATCTAGAAACGAAGAGTACACATGGAGGGTGTGAGACATCATTCTCATTGTCGAAAATCGTGCATAGAAAAACACTTGCTGAAAAATAAGTGGATAAAGTGAAAGCCCTGAAAATGAAGAGTACACATGGAGGGTGTGAGACATCATTCTTATTGTCGAAATTTGTCTACAGGAAAAGCTACTTATCCACTATATATATATAAAAAAAAAAAAGAAGGAAGAAATATAGTGCAAACTTCAAAAATCAAGTCATAGAAAAAGGGAAATGTAAGATCAATATTATTCTTGGATGAGTATTGATAATTGGAACATCTTGTAAATACATCTATGAGTGAAGAAGTGATAAAGATGTGAATAGAAGAAGTGAAGTCTAGATTGTTATTCCAAGGAGTGTTTAAACATTTAAGTGCTTGACATCATTCTTAAATACTTGATATAAGAATCCAAAGTGTTTAAAGGTGCATCATTTCTAATTGTATTTCTTTTCTGTATTGAAATATGATGTTTGAGATTTGTAAATTTTTATTTTTGTAATTCCATTGCTAAGGGACTAGCAATGATTTAAGTTGGGGGGTGTGATAAGTCTTCATTATCATGAGTTAATAATTAGTAAATAATATAGTTTTAGCCTTAACTCATGATAAATAGACTTATATTTGTGTTAAAGCATGAAAAGTGGTTTTCAGTTGATTAACGTGAATTTTTGGGTAATTATGTGATTTTATACGATTTTTACAGTCTTAGTTTTGAGATAAATGAAGAACAAGAAATAAAAATAAAAATATTGCAAAATGGGGGAGTCCGCCGGCCAGCCGGGCCCTCAAGCGGGTCGGAAGCGCAGTCGGGGAGTAGCCGCGAGCGGGGGCTCGAGCGACATGCTTGGATCGATAGGGGCACGTGTGCGCCACTCCCCTTCCACGTCACCGGTGGTCAGCCGGCTGTGGGGCAAGGAGTGGTCGTACACGCGAGAGGATTTTGCCTACAAAGCTAACTTTACTATATATTCGCCCAAATAATCCGCGCACAACCGATGTGGGACTAAACCCGCGTCACACCTTGTTCAGGGGCGGGCGACCGCCGCAGGTTCGAATCCTCCCAGAGTCAAAATTCATATATTTTTAACTGATTATCGCGACTTTCCTGCAGATCGCCGGTGAAGGATTAAGCAACCGGAATCGCTGGATCATCGGCGAAAATCTCGTCAACGCGATTCGCGGAGCATTGCTACTAAAATTTCTGAACGATTCGCGATAAAAGGATCGCAATCCATCGAGTAAATCATCTCCGATTGATCGACGAACAAGCCGTCGTCGGGAAGAGGACGATCCGCCGGGAGACGAGTCGCCACCTCCTGAGAGCGTACCAGATGCGATGAAGAGCCTCCTCTTGCTGCGCGGACCTGAGGATGAAGCTCCCTAACACGCGCCTCACCTCCATCCAGCCCCTCTCCGTCGGGTGACAGCCGCCGGAGAGCCGCAAAGTCGCCGTTTTTCCGCTCCGCCGGGTGACAGCCGCCGGAGACGATTCGACGACCCACTTCATTGGTCTCTAGACTTCGCGAGAAGATCTAGAGATTGCCCACGTCGTCTTTGTCCAAGGAGAGCCTTCGAGGCCGTGGACACTGCACGACGACCCTCCCGAACGCTCAGGATTCCGGTGCATCGCCGACGCGTCGCCGTCGCGACGCCGGAACTCTGTTTTCCTGCTTTATCTAGAGATTGCCCACGTCGTCTTTGTCCAAGGAGAGCCTTCGAGGCCGTGGACACTGCACGACGATCCTCCCGAACGCTCAGGATTCCGGTGCATCGCCGACGCATCGCCGTCGCGACGCCGGAACTCTGTTTTCCTGCTTTCAATTTAATTTACGCTTCATTTAGTGATACTTTGTTGATTTTTATTTACCAAACTATACTTCGTTCAACTACGATTCTTCCGGCTTTTACAGATCTTAATTTGATTAATTGAGTCGTCTGTAATCGCCTACGTAAGAATCGCCGGGCGGAACTCTGTTTCCGCCTGATTCGCGTTCGCCGGGCGCTGACGTCATCCTGACGTCCGCACCCTTATTTCCTTTTCTTTTTGTGAATTTTAAATATATTTCTTTTTATTTCCTAGTATAAAATTCGTAAGAAAATCGTACTCATTGAGAAAAATTCTGAATAATTACCAGATATTATATTACATCCCTGTGATCGACCTGGAAAATTACCACTATTTTTGGGATTTTTATTGAATTATAATTGATATATTTATTTTGAAATACTTCTAAATATCCGAAAATTCGTATTTTCTAGTTTTATAAATTTTAAATTTGCGTGATTTAACATACAACGACTGAGTCACGTCAGCCCCCCTGGTGGGCTCCTTCATAAACCTGATCATCAACTTCCGCAGAGTCCACGACTACTACACGGACCAAGCCCGCAGATTCAAATGTTTCAGGCTCTTCCATCCCAGCCGGAGCTACGTTTACGTGGCAGATCCTCGCGACGTGGAGTACATTCTCAGCATCAACTTCGCCAACTACGGCAAGGTGAGGTTGGGTGAGCGGCTGGATCATCGAAAGATGCCCACATATTCCTGGAGATGTCTCCCGACAGAATTGGCCCCCTCCTCTGGTCCTTCATGGCTGCTGTTTGGATAGGCCTAAGACCTGCTTCAACCTTTCAGGGCTCGTACAACCACAACCACCTCGAGGACCTCCTCGGCGACGGGATCTTCGCCGTCGACGGCGACCAGTGGCGCCACCAGAGGAAGCTCGCGAGCTTCGAGTTCTCTACTAGGAATCTGAGGGATTACAGCAGCAACACCTTCAAACGCCATGCCGCGAGGCTAGCGCAGCTCATCTCTGAGGCGGCGAGTTCGAACCAGCCGGTGGACATCCAAGTAAGTTTCGTAGTCACGCCGACGAATCCGAGATTTCTATGAAGGATGGTCATTCACGGCGCTCCGCAGGACTTGTTCATGAAATCTACGATGGACTCCATATTCAAAATCGGGTTCGGCGTGGACCTCGACACCCTCCTCGGAACAAACGAGGAAGGGGCCCGATTATCCAAAGCTTTAGACGATTCCAGCGAGCTGATGATCTGGCGATACGCGGATGTCTTGTGGAAGATCAAGAGGGCTCTGAACGTCGGAACAGAGGCCACGCTGAGGAGAAACATCAGAGTAATCGACGACTTCGTTTACAAGATCATCGACCAAAAAATTGAACAACTGTCCCGAGAGAGGGTCGACTCGGTGGGTCTCCCCATCCTCCCGCTCCTTCCATTTCGATGTTTCACTCACCCTGTAACCAGTTATCCTTCTGGAGCCAGATGAGGAAGGACGACTTATTGTCGAGATTCCTGGAGGAGAGGGAGAAGGAGCCGGAAAAAATAAGCAGAAAGTACCTGAGGGATATCATTCTCAACTTTATGATCGCCGGAAAGGAGACCACGGCAAGTACTCTGTCCTGGTTCTTCTATATGATGTGCAAGCACCCGAATGTGCAGGAGAAGGTGGCGGAAGAGGTGAACGAGGCGACGAAGGGGAGCTCCCCCGGGTTGTCCATGGGGGAGTTCGCAGAGAACCTTGCGTCCGTCGATGATCTTCCCTACCTCCACGCCGCACTGAACGAGACGATGCGTCTCTTCCCCGGTGTTCCAGAGGTGCCGTCCAACGCCAACCCCGGTCATTTCCTGTGGAAATAACCATCTGATCAAAACTCTTCGGGTACGTACTATTTACCGATGTGTTTTAATGCGGGAAGGACCCGAAGATGTGCTTCTCGGACGACACGCTGCCGAATGGATTTGACGTTAAAGCCGGTGACGTCGTGGTCTATCTGCCCTACACCATGGGGAGGCTGGAGGACCTGTGGGGCGACGACGCGGAGTATTTCCGACCGGAACGGTGGCTTGATGAGGGGGGTAATCTCCGCCACGAGAGCCCTTTCATGTTCACCGCCTTTCAGGTGAGCCCCTCTTCCTGTCTTCCTTTCCGCTGAGAGTTAGACTTGATCAGATCTTTGAAATCAACAGGCGGGTCCCCGAGTTTGTCTAGGGAGGGAGTTCGCTTATCGCCAGATGAAGATCTTCGCGGCCGTCCTCCTCCACTTCTTCGCGTTCGAGGTGGCCGACGACGGGAAGGACGTTGGCTACCGAACCATGCTCACGCTGCAGACGCTGGGGCTGCGCCTGCGACCTTTTCCAAGACAATTCTAGCGTTGACCTACCCCATCTGCTTATGTCGTACGGATCACTGGACGTCGACTTTCTGTGGCCCCACAGAATGAAACTGTTTAGCAGAAATTAGCTGAGAGGAACAATCCAAAAACCCGTGCTGCGAACAGTGAGATTAATAAAAATATCGTCACTACATGCAATAGGATCGTCTTGTAAAGGGTAAAAATCCATTACAAACCCAGAAAGATCTCCGGATGGATGCCACAGATCCTGCTCGAAGACACACGGAGAATCAGATGCGGATGAGGGCAAATTTAGTCCCCCCAGAAATCCTGGAAAATTCCAAGAACTATTGAGAATGCCCTTCGGAAACGAGAGGGAGATGGATGCCAAGTCTTGATTCCCATCCTTTCTGACTCCGATATGCCTCAATGGCCTGCAGACGACGCCTCTCAGTCGAAGCATCAAGGGCAGTCTTTAAACCCTGGAAAAATGGCAGAGAACTTTCAAATCCACGATCACATGGAGATTAAACTGCATGGGCAAGTAGTTGGCGATACCTTAGGAAATGATAGCTTCGGCGGAGCATCGACAACTTCACCAAATTTAACTTCCTGACGGCCAGGAAACTCTGAACTTTCACTGTTCCTCGCTCTCTTGCTTTTTATCTTTCTTGCTTTCAAGTACCTGATCAATATGATCCAGCATAACATAATTTAGATGGAAAAGAGAACCCAACCCGCAGTAACCCAAATGCACATAGTGTTATCAATATCATCGGCCATTTTGATTTGAAGAAGAGCACTGAGTTGTTGGTTAGGAACTTTGATGAGAAAGGCAACAACGAGGCAACACCCTAAGTTCACCATCTACCTCCCAACGAGTAATCCACCTCAAAGAACAGGAAAGTTTTGAAAGCAACACAGTTTTAGATTCAGCAAGTACTCAACCGAAGGCATCTAAAACAGGGCATAACGGCTTTCGATCTTATCAAAAAAAACATAGCTTTGTAAAATGAACACAAGAGGGGTCCGCACCGAGGTTAATGAACACACTACACGACCCAGAACATGAGAATACCCATCTAGCTGATCAGGAGGAGATCTTCCCCCTTTTAAATCACAGGATAAAATGTCTCAAGATCGCCTTGACACCATTAATAGGCCATAATCTTCTTGCTCCCTGCTACAGTGTCTCCTTGTACGTGCACCATAATCTTGCTCCCTATGTCTATTGGTTAATAGTCTCCTAGTACATGAACCATACTCTTGCTCCCTATGTCGCCCTATTATTGCTACATGCTCCCTACGTCCATTGGCATCAATTTTGACATCTTGTTCCCTTGCTTCAACACAACCTAGAACATCTACCGGTGGATCACCAGCCATTATCCAACACGAGAGTGTGCTAGTCTACTTGTTCCACACATGTGATGTTGTGTTACTATCGACACCACCACAAAAGCTAGTGAGAGAACTGTTGACTAACAAGAGAGAGAGAGAGAGAGAGGAATGAATAATAATAATAATAAATATGTTAAATAAGAAAAAAATACAACTATTTCTTCTAAGCTTTGCTAAGTGGATCAAAAAGGGAAAAAAATACAAGTCACAGGTATATATATAGAATTAACTACAAGTACAGATATAACTCTTTGACTTTCTCTCTCAAGTTAGCGAATGAATGTCATATAATCCCAACTTAGATGTGCATATATATCTTGCTCTCTTAGTGAGACTAGTTGGTGTCGTTTTGACATTATGTTCTACTGCTCTAACACAACCTATTATCAGATTAGATCAACTGACATTCTCCAGCGTAGGAGTGCAAGCCTACTCACTCCACGCATGAAATGTTGTGTTATCACCTGACAGGGCCCATGTTGCCTCACATGTCAGCGACACGTGCACATTATCTATATCATGTACATGGCTCTGTGGATGTCATACTCATTACGTACACCGTGTGTGTCGCATGCAGCGTGGAGGCCACATACACTGCAGCAGCATACCTTACCTATGCCGTTGCCATCATGCTGGGGTTATCACACCAAACCTTAGAGGGAGCAAACTCATGCGGCATCTTAGTGTATAAATGGGAAGATTTCATTAAAGCATCTTTTGTGTTTTCTTGATAATTTGAGGCCCCATAAACTATAGAATTATCATTTAGTCCCTGATTAGTTAATGTAATAGTCAACGGTGCTACATAAATGGAGGGAAAGCCCATTAAAGAGCATTTTGACTGTCTCTCTCTCTCTCTCTCCCCCTATCCAGTCCTCGTTGGGAGAGGAGGGGGACTGAGAAGACTGGTCAACGGTGGGAGAGCTGGAGGGAAGACCATAATTCGTAAATCGTAATTTTTTCGCGAACTCGTGGTAAAATGTGAATATTATAAATACGTATAAATTAATTAAATTAATTTCATAATAGAGAGGCGATGCAACACGTGGGAGAGGGCAGCGGAAGATGCTGCGCTTGGTCTCCCCTCTCTTCGTAGCGGCGTCGACCTTTCGTGCCCACGGCAGCACTGGCCTCCGTAACCTCCAGTTTTCCAGGAGGGGCAGCGGTGGTTTTGGAGTCGGCGGTAGGGGAAAGACGAGAGGAAAGGGCCACAGGTGCATTGCCGGTTGCAGTGTTCTGATGGCGTCAAGCGATTCCCCGGAAGCTCCGCATCCAAAACCAGCTTTGCATTCCGCCACTGTTTCCCTGTCTAGTGGAGAAACGGTCCTGATCTCTGGGGACGCGGGTCTCTCGCCATCTGAATTCAGGTTCCCAACGTCGTTTTCTTCCCATTTGGCGCCATGCTATTTTATCAAACCGCGATTCTTGAGCAGAGCTGGGGGTGTAGTTGTAGATAATTTAGCCAAGATGTGTCACTTTGTTTTGGGATATTTTGGGCCTTTTACATAGATAGTTACAGTATTTGGTAGTTATTTTGAGGATCAAATTACGGCGGACTGGCATCACTAGTTACAGTTGCGACAAAATGGCATGGTCATGGTCATGAATTGAGCATATTCTGTTAGATTTAATCCGTTTTACGGAAGAAAACTGGTTCAATCATTACCCCGCTTTTTCTTTGTTCGGAGTTTTTGGTTCTTCTTCGACTAATCCGTCGCTTGTTGAGTTGTGGCTCTCGATCAATAGGTTTAAAAGGTTTTGCACGCGTTTGCATTACTTTTTGTTGTATATTTATTAAAAAGTCGTACCACTTCTCACCTTGTATGCGTGTGTTGATTCATATATCTCTCAATGATTTCCCAAACGCTGGCGTGGGGGCTTCCATTTTTCTGTGATAAGTCTATGATGATTCGATCTTTCACAGTGATCATTTTTTATCTATAGTTTTTTTTCATACCACTGAATTATGCAGTCATCTCTCTCGCTATCTTGAAAGGCTAGTCCTTTTTCATTTCTTTCTATTCAACGATGTTGTTTCTGTTAAGTCTGTTTGTTAGTTGAGTCCTCGTCACATATCATGGAAAAGTGTGGAAACGGTGATAAATTTCAAAATTTGTACCCAATTTTTTATAATGCAGAGGAACCCGCAGCCCAGTAAAAGAAAATACTTTTGCATGCAAAATATTTAATGTAAGAGGTCATTTTGTTGTAGAAATTTTTAAAAAATTATTGAATATTACCTGAAATACCCAATCCAAAAGTTTTGTGCGATTGGCAAGTGATCCAATAAAAAGCATCAGGTATTGCCATATCACTAGAGGATCTGGAGTACCTTTAGTTAGTCATTACATTTATTTGATTGGAAAAGAATCTGGTGTTGTTGCCTTTGGTTCAGAATGGTTCACCTGCGAAGCCTATATATTCATCTGGTTGAATTGGGTTTTCTCTCACTTTCTTACTGGGGTCAGTATCATCCTACTTCGTTTTAAATAAAGGGAACTTCCTGATAGACTTAGAGATATATTACGATAAACCTAGATAAACTTAAATAGTATCTCATGTCACTTGTCTTCTGCGAAGAGCACACAGGCTTTTTAAATAAAACCTGGTAACATGTAATGTTAAATGTTTTCATGGGAAGGTACAAAATGCCTTGGAGAAACTTCCCATGAACTAGTCATCATGATATGGCTCGGTGAACTAGCAATAGACTGGCAAGAGGAAATTTATGGTGCATTTGAGTTTGTATATTAATAACATACACACATATAATTAATTTTCATTGGTGTTAAGAAAGGTCCCTCCCTAATGCAGTAACGCCACTGGCTCTACTTTGCTCAAGAATTGGCTGAAGAATATGCAAAGCAACTCAGGTGTTTTATCCCAAGGACAAATGTCGTTGAAACAAATTCACATTCAGGTAATTCCTTTCGTTATACCCTTGAAACCTGGTAACTGAGACCACGCACTAACATCATCCTAAAGTGTGAAATGTTAGCTAAAATGGAATGTAATACAATTTCCATCTTAAAGGAAGTATGTTTCTTTTGGATGCGGTTGAATGAATTGAAAAAAGAGGTCAGGAAAGTCAGTTCAACTAATTATCCTGCCCACTAAGTGATGAAATCGCTCTAACTTTTTAAAAGATTTCTCAAGGTTATTACCGACCATACAAAATCGCAGCTGTTTCTCATAACAGTCAATTTGCCTACTTTGATTTGTGTGACTCTGTGTTTACATTCTTGATCACCTTTGAGATTTTTCCCCCCCTTGGATTCTATCTTTCTAAAACGCTCGTGCACTGTTAATGCTTCTCCATTCATATTGGCCTTAGAATCATGGAAATCATGGTTAGATTTTGCTCTATAATTTTCGTGAAGAGCTATGTTTACTATGAAAGGACAAGCCCCAAAGAACCCTCAGTTGTTAATGCTAAAACCATGACAAAATTTTGCACAGAGGATGCCGTGAGAGATATCTGCGATGATATGACAATTAAAAAGTGTCTTACTTGTCACTAAAGTAAAAAAAAATAAAAAGCGAAAGAAAGAGATTAACAATAATAAATAAACAAACAAATATTACTTTTAAAAAGGGAGAAAAATATAAATTACAGAACAGTGATAGAAGAATGGAAATGGAATGCGTACAAACAACTCTGTTGGACAATGTCCGCATAGATATTTACGTGAGTTTGATATGACGAGAACATGCATATTTGTCTCTTCCACAGACTGTGCATCATCTAGATGTATTGATTAAGTGCTAAACATGACATTTTGTGCAGGGAATAGACATGTTTGGGAGTAATGTTGGCTTCCTAAAGTTCAAAGCCGATGTTCTTGACAATGAAACGGGAAAGAAGGTCCTGACTTAAATTTGTTGTTCCAATTTTGACTTGGCATGCAAAATATATTTTTCCATCACCTTCTGTAATAGACATATTACTTATTTTATAGAGGATGACATTTTCCGAACTTGATTGAAGATGTACTCCAGAAACACCTCTACATATCCTTTGCTTCTATTAATTTATCATCCTCTCATAAATGATTAGAATGCGCTCACTTCATTTATAGTATTTGAATAATGTGTTCACCTTCTAAGTAAAAGAAGCTATACGGACATTTTTTAATTTCAAGTATATCATTGAATTTTTCGTTATGGGCAATGGGACTTAAATGATATATCTATAAAAATGCATCCGGTGGGCTCCAAATATCAATCTTGACTTGTAATCGAGATACTCTATATTTTGTATTTCAGTTACTTAAAGTGCTTTAAATAAATCTTTTAGGTTCCTGGCATTGTATTTTCACGTGGACCAGCTGTTGCTGTGCTGATCCTTTTAAAGTCATCTGGAGAAGATTATGTTGTTCTCACAGAGCAGGTACTTCTATTTCCTCTTTGGATAATTTTATATCTGTGTTCCACCTGGATGGTTCAGTTTTAGGGCTTCCATGTCATATTTTCCCACATCAATTTTATAACCCTCTCCAGTTTCTTCTTTTAGTTCCAGTTTCCAAATATTTGAGCCCTGGGTATGATTTTGCAGCTGTATCCTGGCACATTATGAGAGTAGAATAATTATTATCGTAGATACCATACATTGAAGCTTGCAAAACCTTGTCCCTCCATAAAACCACTATTTTGTTTCCTCCAGGAGTTCTTCTACCTGTTTTCCTCAGAATAAGTCTAGAATTCCCGACACATTCATTATTGCCCTGAGTTGAAGCATATGGTAACATCTGGAATGGTACTTTCAAATCACTTTAGACCTTCTGTTGCTCGTTGCATTTCATTCAGCTAGTTTATATCTCATTTATTGTAATGTTTTTCAGAGTCTGTTTGATGTACTAAACTTAAGTGTTTTCTTTTCCAAGGAGAACCTACGAATAATTAACAGTGGCATCTTACTCAATTTCCTTATTTCTGATAATAAGTGATCGGTTAGGGCATTATATTTAATCCATACATCTTTCTGAAAATCGCGTAAATCTTGATAAGGATGGACGTAAATTACCAAGAAGGAGACATTGATTCATTCCCTTATGTTTGCATTCATAATGCAAAGGCCAGGGTCCCTGTTGGGAGGCTGATTTTGGAACTTCCCGCTGGAATGCTGGATGGCGACGGAACTGATATTGTGGGCACAGCCGTACGCGAGGTACTTCATATTTTCCTTCGTGGGCTTTATTTTTATCCAAAAATGTGAACTTTTTATAGCACTTCTCTTTATTCATCCGTCTGAGCATTACTTATTGCAACTGTGGACACGAAAGCCCTGAAAATAGCCAGTGTAGCCTTTCTGGGCAAAGAAAGGAAAGAAAAGGACGGGGAAGTCTGCCAAGGAGAGGCAGCGGTAGAAGAAGAAGAAGCAGAAACAGGAGACCTGACAAGGAATCTGAGGTGCCGTTGCGTGCTCACCCTGAGTATTGAAGCTCTGCCGGCAGCCTGCAGTCGGTGAAGGCGAGGCCCCACTGCCGCCACCGTCGGGCAAGGAAAAAAACAGCCCCCCGTCAAGGGAGAGGAGCGGCCACTCAGGGGAAAAGGAAGCACCGTCGCCTTGAGGCGGAGCAGTTGCCGCGGAGAACCAAGCGCCCGCGCCCCCGTTCGCCGTTTCTCATCGGAACTAAAAGAGAAGAGAACAAAGAGTGGAGGTGACTGTCATCTGCCGGTGGGGAGGACGAGGCGCGAAACCCGCTGCCGTCTAAAAAAGGCTAACGAACTGAAGGGCAAGCCATCGACCGTTTCCTCGTTTTCAGATGGGATACCAAATAATATGAATGACCTGGAATAAAATTAACTCCCAAGGGCGTTATCGTCTACAGGAGATGGCCGGAACCTTACGAAAGAGGCCCGTCCTGTATGCCAAAGAGAAGATGACGAGATAATTGACCGTAGGCTCTGCTACACAGCAGAGAGGAGTAGGGGAACCCAGATCTGATCTAGTCACAGCAGCTCATGCCTTACCCATCCGAAGAAGCACGGGGTATTCCAAGAAGCCTGTGCTCTTAAGAAATTGAACGTCTTTTCTGTGAGAGTCTGCGCTCTTAAGAGCATGTGCTCCGAGGAGCAGTTGCTCTTAAGAAGCCTGTGCTCTTAAGACCCAGTAAGTCCTCATGTGAGAATATTGTGTTATTAGGACCCAGTAAGCCCCAGTATGTGCACTGAGTGTCTGGTCAAATAAGGTCTTATGTCTCCATTGCGCCCAGTGGTCTTATACAGTGCATTTGAACCAAATTAAACTTTGTTTAGCCATTTTGCATTTGGATATAGGAGGATCCTATGCAATCCTTTGTGTGCAGAGATATACTGACGTGTCTTTGGCCTCAATATGACCTTATGTGCACCTCAGGGCCAGTTTTAGAAGTTACAATGTCTATGCATGTTATATATTTTATTATTTAATTTTTTGTTTAAATATACATACAAAAGTATCACCCTGCCGCCTAGGCTTAAAATGGTGAACCACCGCATTATTCCCCTGGTTTGTTTAGAAACCTTGGTTTGCAGTTAGCAGACAGGTTCCGTTTCTATTTGGCATCATATTAGTTGTTCATTTTAATTATTTCCGTATTTTTTTATATGCAAAGAACATTGAGGAACCAGAAAAAGTTAAAAGTTTATTTGCGGGGATATTTTTTAAAAAAATAATGGCTTGATATCGATGAGATAGATTTTACAAAAATGGCTGATATTTTTAGTGGCTAAGAGGACTCCAACCTGAGAATACGCTTGAAAATATAAGCTTAGCAATCATCGGGGTATATAAAAGACTATTAAGAGTTGCACTTTTCCTGCAATTCGGTGTTTTGATAAATGCATGGAATCGCTTAAATGGCACATATGTGAATGATCTCTTGATAGCTGTTATTCTCCTTTATATTTGCGCGTAATGACCTATCCAAGGCCACAACAGGTTGAAGAAGAGACTGGCATATCCTTAAATTCTGCTGATATGGTGAATCTGACGGCTTTCCTCGACCCATCAACCGGATGCAAAATCTTTCCCTCAGCGGTATGTTAATTTTGATCTTACTTTCAGCGGCATCATCATTTGGTGATTTACTCTAGAAATGGGTGTATAATTAGCCATTCATTCCTCGTCATAAACTCAAACCCACAACGCATAATAGAGCAGTGGAGGCAAATTTTCATGGTCATAAGATTTTTCTTGGTTTCTCTGAAGAATGATGGCAACTCTGAGGAGGGTGAAGATGATCTAGAACATCTCGCTTAGGTAATTCTACGATCCATCAGCTGTTGGGGCGAAATAGGCTTGCCAAATGGTTTTGGAGGCTGGGATTTTCGCCCAATCATTTCACAACAATGAACGATGATCTTACTCAACCGTCGTGCGGTAGCGCCGAAATCATTCATCTTCTTTGATTACTCACATGCCTTTTGAATCATGGTATTCAGGGCGGATGCGACGAAGAGATAAGCCTGTTTCTGTACAAGGGCCAGGTAGATCAGGGGGTTATAGACGCACTCCGTGGAAAGGAGATGGGCCTCAGAGACCACGGCGAGCTGATCAAGGTTCACGTCGTCCCCTACCGCAAGCTCTGGCGCATGACTGCCGATTCGAAGGTCCTCTCTGCTGTCGCTCTCTATGAGATGGCCATAAGGGACGGGCTCCTGCCCTCTTGATCCATTCAACAGAGCTGGCTCAGATGGGCCACTACCCCTTCTTCATGGGTTTCTTATCAGATTTGAAAAGCTGTCTAGAACGGCTGAAGTCGATTTGAGTTGACCCTTTTGTGGAATCACATCGATGATATGTTTACATGTCTGCTCCACGAATTAATAAAGTCAATTTGAGATATATTTGATACCAGGTCTCTCTTTTATCTTATCCGAAAAAAAATACTCGTGGGATTCGGTCAGTATATGGCGAAGTTCTGACCAAGGAAGGCTGGTCGCCCTCGTGGACCAAGGAGAGGAAGACGGGACGGCGGGAGGTCAGATGGGTCAAATGGCCCGGCCAGCCCATATGGAATGCGGGCCTGAAATGGGGGACGACCCTTCGCTGTAGGTCTCGTCCTCCTCTCAGCTCAGCAACTGCCACTCTCTGGGTTTAGGATGGTCAACTTTTTAGGGAATGATCATTAAGTGATCTGCAGATTGGTTGGTTGACCGGGTGGTGGGTTTAGATTTACCGACCCATTAAACGAACCGATGCAAACCTCTTGACTTTGCTCTCGTTCAGCTAGACTGGCGGCATATTCCGGCCGGGGATTGTTCACGACCCGAAGGCACAATCTTCCGCTGGCTCGTCGGTCAAGTGGTCCTCTTCATTTGGAGTACATTACATTATCCCGGAGACGATAAGTCATACGCCTTGTGTGTCATCTTAAAAAATTCCTTCTCCACGGCTTCGTCTGCGTGCTCCCCCAGTACCTCCACAGAGAAGAAAAGGAAGGTTCCTGAGAGGGCGAGAGGGCCCGTCGGCAGTCGGCAGTCGGCATCCTCCCTCTTCCTGTTCTACCTTCTTTACGAATATCTAAGAGCAGGAGAAGGGGAGATGAATAGGGCCGTACCGCAGCAGCAGCGGTGACAGACTGGGAGTCGGCTCATGGATTTGAGGTGGAAGAGATGGGCGCTCATTCTGTACGCCACAGATGGGCTGTTGAGGCAGAGAGAGAGAGGAGAGGCAGCTTTCTGCATGGTCTCCTGGTTTACTGATGGAACGGTTGGAACTTGACGGGATGAGACCCAGTTCATTTCAAGAGAAAGAAAGAGAGAGAGAGATGGCACAGGTACGGGCCCCAGATTTGGACTGTTGGGTGATCCCACCTGCTTTAAGGACCATCTTCGTCCGGCGGGAACGGTGAGCCCCGCCTGATAAGAGTAGTTCACCCGCACGAGTGGCGAGCGCGGACGCGTGCGAGTGAGACGCTGGAGAGAGAGAGAGAGAGAGAGAGAGAGAGAGGGTGGGCGAATCCACACTGGGCCGTTCCGTCTGCATCCCCACGGCGGCGGATGGGCAGTCGTCGGCAGGCGGCGCCACCCGGTCCCCCACTCGTCCCCTTTCGCTTACGTATGCCGTCCTCCCACATTCCGACGTCTGGATTGCAGAGGCTGACAAGCGGCCCCCACTTCTGTGCTTTTGTGGAAACCCCTTTGACCTGGATGCGCCGGGGAGGGCAGACAAGGACGGTCCCCGTGGTGGTTGGGGGAGGCGAGGCCTGGCCCGGTGGTCGGGGGTTATTAAATCGACGGCGGAGAGGGCCGGGCCCACACCTGCATCCCAACTGCGAGTTCCATCATTAGCCGTCAATTCGACGGCTGCGATCGAAGAAGGGGATGGACGGCAGGGGCCCACTTGCGTTTCCGGCACCCAAGCAGGCAACGCGTGACTTTTTATTTTTGAGCGGACGATTCCCAGTGTACGGAAAGCATTGCGGGGCCCACTAAACACCTGGATTTTCCCAACGTGCGGATTTTTTCGGTCCCTGCGGCCCAGATCATCATAGCGAAACGGACGGCTAGCACGAGCCGGGCAGGGAGAGGCGGCTGCCGCGCGGGGACCACAACTACGTACGAGGATGCCCATGGACCGAGAATTCGAAAGCGGTGGACCGGTCGTCGGTGTGGCGCACTGGATCGTCACCAGAGAGGTCCCTCCCGCATCTGCAGTAGGCCTTTGGTCATGCTCAGATGTGTCGGTGGCTTTCTACGTGAGGGGACGGCGGCGCCGCCGCCGTTGGCGCAGCTGCATCGGAGTCAGGTGTAAGGGGGGAAGGGGCCGGACCCGTTGCGGCTCTTTTTAACCGCCGGGTTGAAGGCCCCCGGAATGTCGGCAGCCTCAGATCGTCCAGTAGAACAGCATTTCTTCTCGCCGTAAATTTTGAAAATTGCAGAAGCTGAAGAGAGAGAGAGAGAGAGAGTCATAGCAGAAGTCTCCGGGAGTCTGCGGGCAGGTGGGTCTCTGCCGATAGCAGACGTCTATCGTCTCCTCCCTGTCCACTCGCCGGATATTGGCCGGAGAGAGAGAGAGAGAGAGAGAGAGAGAGAGAGTTCTCACCCGACTCCCCACCATCTATACTGTTCCTGTCTTCGTCCGCCATTCACAGCGATATTTCTGCCGGCTTCGCCTTGTCTGCCTCGCGCTCGAGAGAGGGATGGGGCAGTCGATCTGGCCATCAAAGAAAATGGGAGCCTTTTTGGCCTCGTCTTTCAGGCCATGGATGGGTTTCCATGTTCGCTCATCATCCAGGAGGACGACGGATCAACCCCCAAAGAACCCCGAAAGGTCAGTGGTGAGGTTTCCATGACAGCGTCTCTCTCTCTCTTCTCTCTCTCTCTCTTTCTCTCTCCCTCCGTCGTTGTTGTGGCCATTAAAAAAGATCTGGTCTGTGCTCAAACTGAAGGCTTGGGGAGGGGGGGACTTGTCGATCGTGGAAGACAAGCTACAGAAGGAATCTACCAGAGAAGTCCCCTCCGGAATCTTTTAAAAAATATATCGCCGACGACTGTACGGGACCTCACTCTGCCGGAGGACGATGCTGGAGGTCCTCCCCGCCGGCGGCTCGCATGACCATCACCGCCGACAGCTCTAGCTAGACTAGGCCACCGGGAGGATCTCGTGCCAATCATGAACGCGCCAACAGATGACGAAGAAGGACCGCCATTATTTCTTTCTTGGAGCAGAGACATCTCCCGTCTCCGACCGGCGACGTTCAGTGCTCGCAGACGCAGGGGGCTTTTAGAGATGGTTCAGAAGACGGCCCACATCGAGGTGATGGGAAAGGGCTTCCTCTGCTTTCCTTTCAGACCTTGATACGGACTGACCGCCGAGGTTGACGTTTTCTACTCCCCTGGTTGACTGAAACCCCTCCCCCTCAGCTCCTTCGGACGGTCAGAGCCCCTCTGAGCTAGCCATGGCCGCTCCGATGTAACCGCTGCCGTTGAGCCCGGTTCCTTTCGACCGTCTTCTACTGGTTCGTCTTCGAGATCCAGGGAGGAGAAAGATGACGGCGACAGCTCATTTCCAGTGATGAAGGAACTGGAGAGGGTTTCCCCACCACGACCGCCGTCTACTCCCAATATCTAGCCGGGGAGCCCGCTCACTCCGCCCCTCCCCCACGCCGGCGCCGCCACAGTGCCACTGCTGCGAGGTCAAACCGCGCCGACTCCGTGGAGGAACAGAAGAACACTGCAGAGAAGAAAATCGCAGGCCCTCCTCGGTTACCTCCCCGGACACGTGATGCCGCACGGTGCTGCTCGACTGCGCCGAGATATATAGAATGATGACATCCTCCCGGCCAGTATTCGGCAGGGAGGGAGAGACTCGCATCCCGATGAATTAATGGAGATTGAGTTCTCTCATCCGGAAGCGAAAAATCAGAGTCGGGAAGTAATTCATCTTCGATTTCTGCCACGATTTTATGGTTCTCGGAGCACTTGATCCCCTCCTTCCCCGCCGGAGCTCAAGAACACGGTTCTGAGCCGGGGATCATCGACTGTGAAGTGATGATTCAGACGTGTGATAGATACGCAGTGAGTTGTAAAAAGATGGTAATAATGTCAACGGCTGGGGGACGGGAGCTTACGGATTGACTATACATGATTGAAAAACAGATCCGACTGGTTGCAGAGAACATCAGGAGACGCCAGTCTGGTGAAGAGTGGGAGAGGAGAGAACAATGGAGAGAGGGCACGGGGCACAGAGAAGAATAGATGGAAAGAATATTGAGAATCCCTACAAATCGAATTCTAAAAATCTTGTTACATGGAGGGCATGTCGGCGAAGACCTCGTGGAGGACGTCGTCTTCGCCATTGGCGAAGAGATCGGCATCCTTCTCCTCCTCACTAGAGAAATCCCTCCTCTCAAGCTTCGCATGGGCGGCGATGAAGACCAGCTTCTGCGCCCTGTCCATGGCAGCCCTGGAGCGGCCATGGGTGGAAAGCCACTTCAGGAGGGACCAATTAGACCTGAACCCACAGGAGGTCGCGTGGAGGAAGATCAACCTCACGGCGACCTTCCCCAGCGACGTGAACTCGCTGAGACAGGTCTCCCAGACTAGCCTCCTGCTCTGGGGGTTCGCGATCCTCATCTTCCCCGTCACGGGATCTCTCTGCTTGACCTGCACCGCCTGGGCATACAGAGGGTCGAGCCCCTCGGTTCTCCACTTCATCAGCTCCATCAATACCGTGGGGGCTTCCTCCGGCGAGACAAGCCGGGTGATCAGCTTATCGACATCCTTCTCCTGCTCCGGCGTCAGGCACTTGAACTGAGGCAGGTACTTGCCGGTCGCGTCCCTCGTCAAATACAGAGGGTCCAGAATGAACGCCGCAGACCAGGCGGGGTGGTAGTTCCTCTTGAACCTCCTCTCCACCACATTCTCTACGGCGGCGCGGTCGACGCTGAACTTGCTGGACCACTCCTTGAGCTTCGCCCTCATCTCCTCCCACAGAGGGAGGCACTGCCCCACCAGCGGCCGCTCCGCCTCCATGTCCTGGGCCATACCCTTCACCACCTTGACCAGCGAGAGCACCGCGCCCAGGTTGTTCCAGAAGTCCTCCTCTTGGATCATCTCGCCTACCTGCCGGGCCTCGGGGTCGTCCACGCAGGCCAGCTTGTAGGAGTCGTCGAGGGCCGCCATCTGAAGCGCTCGGCCGGAGCCGGCGACGTCCTCTATCATGGCGATGAGGGAGGCCAGGTTGAGCGCACTGTCGCCGCTTCGGGTCTCCCAGAGGTCCACCAGCAGCGCGGGGGGAGGGGCGACGCGGAGGAGGGTGGCGTGGTCGTGCTCCTGCAGCTGGTGCTTGTGGAAGATGGAGCGGGCGCGGGAGTTGGTGTTGAAGAAGTGGGCAAGCTTGGCGCAGCCGGCGGCGACGGAGCGGAAGAGAGGGAGCTCGCGGGTGAAATCCTTGAGGAGACTGTGAAAGCCCTGGCGCTGGCAGGCGAGGTTGACCATCCACCGGTGCCGACTCTCGAGGTCGCGGAGGGCCGAAGCCTTGAAGCGGTCGGCCACGATGCCGACGCACCGCTGGCTAGCGGCGCCACTGGCGCCGTTGATGTTGCAGATTCCTGCGACGGTCTCCCAGAGGATCTCCTCGGCGTACTTGGGGGGCACCTTCCCCTGGGTGAAGACGGCCTTCTGGAAGACGCTGGTGCCGTTAGGGAGGTTCACTGTTAAGCTCACCAGCCCCTCCTCGCCGGAGCGGGGGTGGTTCCAGCCGCTGCCGGCGAGCTGGAAGAAGAGGGCGTCGCGTATCCTGGCCTCAGATTCCGAACGGGCCTCCTCGTAGCGTGCGTCCAGGCGAGCGCCGGCGAGCTCGCGGCGGGAGACGGCGGGGAGGCCGACCTGCTGGAGGAAGGCGCGGAACTTTGGATGCTCGACGGAGGAGAAAGAGACAGCGCCGCAGGACTGGTAGACCCAGTCGGAGAGGTGGGAGACAGCGGACTCCACTTGGGTCTTGCTGAGGGCGGGCCCTGGGGACGTCTTGGGGCTCTTCAGCCGCTTGACGCTATCCTCCAGCATGGCCAGGGCGCCGAGGTCTTCTTTCCCCCCGGAAGTCACCAAATGCGGCTGCTGCGGGAGGTGGTGGAAGTGCGCCAGCGCCAGAGGAGCGGAGGGGACGATGTCGGTGGACGTAGGGGAAGACAAACGGGAAGGCTCCGCGACTGACAGAGGAGAGATCTGGTAAGAGGGGGAGGAGGAAGGAGACGGCAGGGAGGAGCGCTTGCGGTGGTTGTGTTGCGGCTGGTGATGGCGAGGATGAATTGAGGAGATGGGCCTGGGTGGTGTGGCGGCGTGGACGGCGGCACCAGACCGGGCGGCAGCGGCGGCGACGGCGGCGGGTGAAGAAGGGGAACTGGAGAAATTGGGGCAGGTCCCACGCTTGAGGTGCTCGGATGCGGTGCGGGAGGGGTTGGAGGCGGAGAAGATAGCGTTGCAGAGGGAGCAGCGGAGCTTGACGGCCTTGGGGAGGCCGGTGTCCGGGTTAGGGAGGAGGATGGGCTCCAGGTGGGCCCAGTACCAGGCGCCCTTCCCCTTGATGGCCTTGTTCCTCACCGTCGCCAGCCTTTCGTACTCCTTCTGCACCGCCTTCGCCGCCACGTCATCCCCCGCGGCGGCCGTCGAGGAGGCGGCGCCGCCCGTTCCTCCCCCCGGCGAGGCCTCGACCGCGGCGGCCGCCTCCCCTCCCGACGTCGCGGATGCGTTGGGCGCGGCCATAAAGATCAAGAAAGGGGGAAGGGGAGGAAAGACAAAAAGCCGAGCAGGGTGTGGGCGGGGGACGAGTCTATACTGTGTGCTCTTTTCCCCCCTCCCTCCTCCCCTTTCCGCCGCCGCCCTCCTCTCCTCCCTCCCTCTCTGCGAATGAATCTACGTCTTCTCCGACAGCTTCTCCTCCAGCAGCCGCCGCTGCTGCTGTCGGCGCTGGCCCCTCAATCTTCCGCCATCGCCCGACGAACACGGAGGGAGTCGGCGTGCTGCCCGGCATTCAGCCATAAGGGCCCGCCGGTGGCGGCCGGAACTCCCCGTCTCTGCGGTCTCCCATGCGTGTCGGTGGTGGAATTACAGCCTGGTAAGCGCCTCCTGTTCTCCACCCGATTCCTTGATCTTGCTTCCCCAAGGACGACGGCCTTTCAGTATTCCTCCACACCAGAGTGTGAGTGTGTGTGTGTGAGAGAGAGAGAGGCAACCGAGTTGGTGAAACCGAGTCGAAGAGGGCCCGATTCCTCCTTCCCCGTAACCTCCCCCCTCGCTATTTATCACCGTCTCCGTATCTCTCCGTAAAGGACCCGGTACCTTCACACGTGGGAGCCCTCCCCCTAGCGAGGGACGGGCCTATCGGTAAAGCGCACACGTACAGCCGACACGTACGGTGGGCCCGGGTCGACTCGCTCCGCCTACCGAGTCCCCCTTCGTATCCGCCCACCGTGTCGGTTCGAGAACGTGGCGCGGCTGTGTTTTTATTATCAGCGTAGGTCGTCATTAGCCCCGTAGCCAACCCCCCTTCGCCTTTGTTTTATGACCGCCGGTGCGGTGCGCTGCGCTGCGGTGGGAGAAAAAGCGGCCCCCACCCGATCCCGGATGAGTCACCCGACCCGCCCGAGTTCCCCCGCAACCCGGAGCCCCCCCTTCCCTTCCCCTCTTCCCTCATTCCCCGGAGGGGGGAAAAGAGAGAGAAAGTTGAAAGTGAGCGTTTGTTTGTTTGGGCGTGTTGAAATCGGTCGCACCTCAGCCAGCGGAAGGAAACCCTCTCTCTCTCTCTTTCCCGAACAGAGCATTAACATGCATTTCAGGAAAAGGCCGGCCCTCTCTCTCTCTCTCTCTCTCTCTCTGGCTAGGTAGAGTCTCCCTCCGAAGGCCGAGCAGGGAAAAGCTGTTCGTTGGGAAAGTTATGTCGACTTTTTTTTATTTTTACTCGGCACCGACCAACAACTTCCTTTTTAACCAGGGAAAAGAAGACTCGTCAACTCGGGTTAAAGTCGTGACCCCTGACAACCACAACATGTGATACGGAAAGATGGGGGGAGGAGATCATTAAAGCAACCCCTCACCTCCCCCGCAAGGGCTCTAGAGAGAGAAACAAGAAGAGAGAGAGTAGAGAGAGAGAGGCGTTGTGGTGGAGCTGGTCCCAGAAACGGACGGTCGGTGATTGACAATCGGAAAGCAAGTTTGATTGTGGACCTCGTGGGCTCCCCCCTCCCAAATCCGGGCATTTTTGGGTCTTCTGCGATGGGACTGAGGCCCTAGAAGGAAGTCAAAAGTGGGCCACGGTGGAACAACAAGCCCATTGAGACTTTTTACTGTTAATGGGCCCTGATGGCCCTTAGATATGTAGGCCCAGTATCAGTCGCCGGTTAATGGCGCCGAAGCTTTTAATTTCTTGCGGGCGTGAGCCCGAATTAAACCCTCCCCCCCTCTAACGGGCTTATGCGCTTTCTTCAACCCTAGTCCAGTCCAAGTCAACCGGAAAGCGCGCCAACTGTGACCGTTAAACCGCCGCTCTCAGGTGCACCACCGACCGACCGTTCAAGCCAACACGTCCGCGGGACGGGTAGGTGGGACGCGCTCTGCCCGCCTAACCACACTACACGGCAGCAAAGCCGCCAAGAAAACTAAATAAAATTGAAGGAGAAAAACATGATGATTCACCAAAATGGGCAAAGATGGTTACGTTGCCTGCCCAAGAGGTGAGGAATCCCTCAGAATCAGATTGGGGAGCCCGAAGAAAGGAATCGGAAAGACCAGGCGCTCCAGGGAATTGAAGACGGAGAGGTTTTTTTGTGAAGTAATGCATGGATTTGATATTTAACATCTAAAAATATGGTATTTCTTCGTGATGGTTTCGTGGGGTATAAGAAAGTCAACGTGATTACGTAACCAAAAGACTTTGCCCTTTACCCCTATCGCACAGCTTCTACGATCCCATGTCCGACCAGAGACGCCTCTCTCGTCGTCGGGTTCACGCCGTAGCCGCCGGCGCCGCCCCAGTCGCGTCTCTCCGGCAGAGATCCAAGCCCATCCGCCGAGCAGAGGGGCCAGGGCCTATCCACCGTTCCTCCTCCGAGCCAGCACTCAGGACGGGGCGATGCGCCTCCGACGAGGATGTCGGCGCCGGCGGCCCCGGGGCCTTCCAAGTCCACCGCTACAACACCTCTGCAAACATCAATTACACGGGCGTTGATCTCTCCCCTTCGCAGACAAAATCTGTTGAGGTATTTGTTTTCCTATTCGTTTTTTTCTCCTTTTTCTGACGACGAGTTGATAGTTTGGTTGGCGGTTGTTCTCGGTGGCGCAGCAGGGTAGCAGTAAGGGGAAGGGAGAGAGGAAGGTGCTGGTGACCGTGACGGTAGAGGGGAGCCCGGGGCCGGTTAGGGTACTGGTAGGGCTTCAGGAGAGCGTTGGGGAGGCGATCCGGGCTGTGGTGGAAGGCTACTGCAGGGAAGGCCGGAGCCCCAAGCTGGACCCCGCCGCCGTCGCCTCGTTCCAGCTCCATCACACCCAATTCTGTCTCGAAAGTAAACCCGATCTACAAGTCTTGTGTTCCTTTGCCTCATTCAGTGAGGAGGAGCATATTACTCTCCGACTAATCGCCGAATGAACGGACTCGTTGTTGCAGGCCTCAACAAGGAGGACACTCTCGGCCAAGTAGGCAGCAGGAACTTCTACCTCCGCCGGAGTCGACCCGGTGTCTCCGCCAGTTCCATCTCCTCTGGCAAAAGTGTCAGGGGGCATGCGCTGCCGCTGCTGTCGGCCCACCGTCTTCTCTCTGCTGTCGCGGGGAGGCTGATCAAGATTTGGACGAGGATGACGGATGTCTGGAAGAACTTGGTTTGTTTCGCGTGCGGGTGATTCAAGATATTGATTCGTTTTAAGAATCAAGATAATCATGCTGTATGAGAAACACCATCTTGGGAATAAAAAAATGTATACGTGTAATCGAGAGGCCCATCTCGCGCATCATTTTGCCATTTATTCCCATAAAAATATCATCTTTAACAATCACAAGAGATCAGCCGGTGAACTCAAGAGAAGTGAACGGCGATGGGGCTGCGGACGGAGTGAACGCCGTCGCTCCACGTCAGGGAGCCGGAGACGATCAACGGTGGGCGGTGCCCCTGCGGGGTCGTCCTAACGACCAGTTTGAACGACTTACTCTGCCTGCGGACAATGAATTGGATCGTACTCGGCTTGACGGTGACGTTGACGCCGGGAGGTGCCTCGATGGTGGCCTTGTAGACGGCGGCCCCGTCGCCGACGTTGGTGACGCTCCGCCGGAAGACGGCGGTCTTCCCCTTCGATGAGTCTTCCACGTGAAAGTGGAAGCTCGGGTAGTTGAGGCTGTCGTAGGTGGGCCTGATCTTGGGTAGGTCGGTACAGACCAGCTTGTCCTGGGCGGAGAGGATCCTGATGGCCGTCTGGTTGGTCGTCTGTGCGCAGAGGAAGGACAACCAATCGAGGCTGCCGATGTTATAGATCAGCCCTGGGTCAACGGCCCTCACTGGGTTGATCATGCCAGAACCGTAGGCGTACTCGACATCGCTGATGTTTGCGCTCTCCCTCGTCATCACGACGGCTGCAGGCGGAGAGAGATGATCAAAACCTGCCGGCGACAAGAGCAGAAGAAAAGGAGACCGAGGGAGATCCGGACGACGTCACCTGTGGTCATCATGGCGGATTTGATCGCCGCGGGGGACCAGTCGGGGTGGAAGCTCTTGATATATGCCGCTACGGCCGCCGCATGGGGAGTGGACATCGATGTGCCGGAGAGGATGTTGAAACGTGAGCGCCGCGGGTCATTATTCCCGGTGATCGGCACGTACATGGGGTGCGCCGACAGTATGTCCACCCCTGGTGCGACGATATCCGGCTGCCCGCACACACCGGCGCCAAGTTAGAGCTTCGTTAGAAAGGACCCTGGTAGACCAGAAGGCGAGTTGATCACCTTGAGAATGCTGTGGTAAACAGGGTTCGGTCCCCTGCCGGAAAAGGAGGGCACTGTTGGGTTGCTCATGTTTATGGCGTAGGACTTGGCAATGGTTCCCACCGGAGACCTGAGAGCACGGAGCAATGGAGAAGAATGAAGAGCTGAATAATATAACGGAGAGCACGAGATCTCCTTCTTCACTCACTTGGTCGATTTCAGGTAGGAGGCGACCCTCTTGCCGTCATCCTTCGCTACCACTGTCGTCGGGACGAGAAAGACCTCAGGGGTGTCGGTCATGGTGTACACCTGGACGATCATGCCGGCCCCTCCCGCTTCTCGGACCGCCTCGTCCGACGTCCCAGCGCCGCCGGTGACCAGGCAATGCACGATCTTGCCGTTCACGGCCTCAGGTTTCAGCGAATCGGGCATGCACCTCCTGCACCAGGAGCCACAGACCCTCTCTGTTAGCCCTTCGCCTCCCCATGAAAGCGGTCACAAACGGTGGTCTTGATGGAGGAATCTCAGAAGTGAACTTACATGGCCGACAGCTCCAAACCCAACTCTGCGCTAGCGTCGAAGCCGCGGATGATCGGGATGGTATGGTTGGGCGTCTCGAAGGTGTTCACCGAGACTCCCTGAAGGTGCAAGAGAAACTTGTGGTCAGAAAAACCCGATGATGGTTGGTGGGTTCTGCCGTGGAGCCGTCGACGCTCACCGTGATCCTCTCCCCGTTGCCCAGGATGAGATCTGTTCTCAGCTGGCGGTCGACGGTGCTGGCGCCGACGGTGAGCATCCACGGGGAGAAGTTCATGATGGACCGGTGGAAGGGGCCTTGGTTGCCGGCGGCGGCGGCGGTGAGAATGTTGAACTTCATCGCGTGGTAGGACCCGACGGCGAGGGCATCCGTCAACGTCAACCCGTAGTCACCCCCCAGAGAGAGGTTTATGATGTCGACCCCATCGTTTGCGGCGGCATCGAACGCCGACAGCACGTCCTCGTCATTGCAGGTGTGGTCAGTGTAGCAGACCTTGTAGACGGCGATCCTCGCCGACGGGACGCCTCCCCTCGCGGTCCCTCCCGCAAGGCCGAAGAACTCCGCCCTCTGGACGAGCGACCCGGCGGCGATGGCCGCCGTGTGCGAGCCGTGGCCCGTCATGTCCAGAGGGGAGGCGCTCTCACCAATCGGGAGCTGCAGAGAGTGCCGGAAGAATTCCGCTCCGATGATTTTTCTGCACCAGAAAGATAACATTACCTGTGAAAAAAAATTTGGTCTTTATTTTTCTTGCTAACACAACGAGCGAGAGCCGTGATGACATTACCTGTTGCACTTGAAGTTCTCGTAAGGGCCGCAGGTCCCCTTCCATCTGGCCGGCGGAGGCCCGAAGCCTTCATCTCTGAAGCTCTCCAGGGTCGGGTCGATGCCTGTTAATGTTGGCCATGGAGGATGACTAAGTTGTCGGTAAGATCTGAAAGCCTCCCCGAGATCGTTCCAGGGAAAATTACCGGAGTCGATCATGCCGATGATTACATCACTCTCCGCGGCCTGTCTCCTCTTGACTTCAGGAGATAAGCCAATGTAGTCCCATGACCTCGTCGTCTGCATCCTCCGAGTTTTGCAGGGGAAGACGGAGATAACATCCTCCAGTTCTGAGATTAACAAAAGGCAGAGATGGATAGAGAAAGAGAGGTAGAGAGACAGAAAGATGACTTCCTCCCCCGTCAAACCTTGAACGGGGAAGAAGATCATGGACTTCACCGGTGCAACCTACCGGACACCTTGCTGGCCTCCTCCGGGGACAGCATCGCGGCGAAGGCGTTCATACTGCGAGTGTAGCTGTGGAAGATGGAGCCCTTGGCGTCATCATGGCTGCCACCGTTGAGGAACACATGAAAAAACACGCCCACGTTACAATCAAAGAAGAAGAACAAGAGCACCAAGAAAGAGCCAGCAGGAGGGGTCTCCGTCTCGCATACTTTCCGAGGACGTCCGCCAGAAGGCTATGGTGGGCGGCGACTGCGTCCACGCTTGGGTGAAGTTTATCTCCCATGTACACTATATATTTCTGCTGCAACAAGACCACGTTAATCTTCCAACTCCCTCAACCTTCCTGATTCACTCAGCCGACGACCAACGGAAGGCGTCAGTTACCTTCCTCTCGCCGCCGGCCGCCGAGGCGATCCCCGCCGCCGCGACGAGCAGCAGAGCGACGGCGACGGCGAGGCCCCGCATGCTGACTGCGCGAACGAACCCGTTCATACCCTTCGCTGAGGACGTGCTCGCAGGTCCTCGCGAAGGTATGAACGGTGGTGGGCTCCGAGGGAGGAGAGAAGAGGAGGCCGCAGTTTATATAGCCATGGCTCGACGGGTCCTCCGGAGAGGGGAGGGCGGTTGCTTCCCAGCACCCGCCGCTGTTACATGGCGGGGAGAAGAGACCCTTCTCCCCCTCTCGTGTCCGCACCGGGCCCTTGCTAATGTTAGGTTTCCGGTGGATCCCTCCGCTGCGTCCAACGGGCGGTTTGGAGGGCGCACGTGGGGAAAATCCAGATCGGTTCTTGTCTGAAAAAAAATATAATCTATGAGCTCCATTCGATCCTTCCGTACGCTCAGAGCTGTCAGGTTAAAATAAGGCTAACCCAACAAACCGATCATGTGCCCGAATGGGATCCTCTCCCCCCGCCAATTTAATGCTCTCCGACCGCCGAACAAAGTGGGGAAGCCCATCCGTTACCGCCCATTATTTACTTTTTCATGACATAATAAAATTTATTATATGCGCCATTAAATGAATTTCATATTTATATATAATATAATATATTCCCCAATCACATTCAGGGGTGATATCGTTTGCGAAAAATCAGGGGACAACAGCACCTGATTTTGTCGGTGCATCTGCTCTACGAAGACGCCACGCACAAACCCGCTTCTCTCTCTCTCTCTCTCTCTCTCTCTCTCTCTCTCTCTCTCTCGCTACGACCTGTTGAAGGAATTTTTTAAAATGGCACGGAAGTTATATGACATAACGCCTCCAAGGTGATGTAATGTGCTCCAAATAGAGAGAACCACTTGACCGATGAGCGTGCGGATAACCCCCCGGCCGGAATACGCCACCAGCCGGGCTGAACGAGAGCAAAGTCAGAGGTTGCACCTCCTTATCTTAGATTGGTCAGTAGAATCTAAACCCACCCGGTCAACGAATCCACATATCCCTTCATAAAAGTTGATAAAGGAAAACTAGCTAAAGTTGACCACAGTAAGCATAGATAAAAATTTCAACATATGGGAAAATATCCGTTCATGATTATAAAATAAAGCATAATTCGTACTTGAAATTTCCTGAAACCGAATGCTTGGAGTAAGTGGTGCCAGGAACATCTTCCTGGAGAATGATCAGACTCTAGTGAATGAGTGAGTAGTCTCTATAGATCAAAATCTCATTCATATGTAACTGGTTAGTGTCCCAGAAAATAAGAGCGAATTTCCCAGAGCAGAGAAGGCCGACTGTTCATCATCCGTCAGTCCATGATTCTTCAGCGGGCATCTGGAGGCGACCAAAGCTTCACTTTCTTGTCAGTTCCCGCTGTGGCTAACACGAAGGCAAGAGTACCCCCTGGAAGGAAGAGATTACCAGAGACAATCCATCAGAGAGAGGGAATACAGGGAATAGAGTACCTGCTACTGTAGAATAACATGCCAGAGTACATCAGAAAACTCATCCATAATAATTGGCTTCTAGTAACATTTACCCGGTCAGGAAATTGCATATTTGGATATTTAAGAATGAAAGAATCATACCTTGTTTAAAATATATTCGATTTTATGAAAATTTAAATAAGTGGAATGGGTTAGGAGAGGATTCTAAAAAAGTCATTACGCAGAAGACATCAGACATTGCTTGTCGTATGGCCAATTTCTTCTGGGTTTGTCTTGCCATCATGGCCCCACCAATGCACGGGTTATGAACCAAGAAAATACTAGCTCTAGGATGTTACCGCTCCATGCTTAATCATGAAGACTTGGAGAAGATCTAAAAGCAATTACCTAATGGAATCATCTGAGGCGACCAAGCAAGGCCAGTGATTTCGCCTGCAATATGGAAATATCCCACGAAAGTTAAAGAATGAATCAAAAGCAGGAATTCTGAAAAAGGAAATCTAATAATACATCATGGGGGAAAGATATTAAGTGAATGATGTGCATCATCCCAAGTTAACTGATTTCAGCAGGTGGAGCATAATAAGAAGAGAGAAGAGAAAGTGAAAAATAGGGAATGATCAACGCTGGTTAAAAAGATAATTCCATCTATCAAGGATGGTGTTCATTTACAGTTATATGGTCTAAAATAGCCGCCCCGATTTGATATCATTAAATACGGGTATCAGACCTTCGAAAGAAGCATAAGGGTCTCTTTCTGCTTCTGTGATTTGATATTTGATAACATCTACAGCTACACATTTGATCCATTTTATACAATGGGTATCTTTAACCCTTACGTTTCATGCACACAGATAAGACCCTATTTTTACATTAATGGACCAAAATGGAGATCATGCAAAGTCTTTTTGACCGTCTCTAATTTTAACCATTTAATATATAGATTTCGAAGCAGCGGCGCAGTAGTGAAGGAAAAAACAGAAAGGGAAAAAGAAGGATGTGCACCCTCCAGTGAACATTCTATGCCTCACGGTGCTGCTGTCTTCGGCTGCCAGGACACCAGCGGCCACTAGCCACTACTCGTGTGGCTGCCACATGGGCATTTATACTCGTCATTGCCTCTTAACAGAAGCCAACACATGCATAATCATTGTTTTCCTTCTAATCATTCTCCATCTCCAGCCACTAGAAATGGGCGTCTTCAGAAAACTGGAGCACGTACACTTTCAAAGCTGATCTCAGAAAAAAGTTCTGATTAGTTGCTTTTGCATAAAGTTCCTTTTTATTTCATGTTTTCGCCCCCCCATTTGGATTGATTTCCCAGGAATCACCTAATTCCTGTCCAGGTTGAAATCTGGATCAGTCTCACTCGAGGATGACCGCAACCTGCACCTGATTCTAAGTATTACTTTATAGCTCATTTTACAAAGTGCCAAGGAGCCAATTGCTTTTGGACAAGTAATTGAGAATACAATTCTGGAGATGGAATGTAATGAATGATAGAATTTTCATAGACAGAATCCCCAATTTTATCACATACCTAACTTACTAAAAGAGAACATTTTTAAATATGTGCTGTTGTAAGGTTTCTGTTGAACTGTGTCAAAGCTTGCTTTTACAACCAAAAAACATTTAAAGCGTCAATGCACCAGTTAGTATCAGAGTAACAGCTGTAAGTTGCGAGAACAGCATAAACCACATAAAATAAGTCGTCTTCAGAGGATATTTCAACAATATGTGCAAACAAGAATGCAGGGAAAATATGCACAGAATAAACATTATGATGATAGATAAAAACATGCTTAAACAAGAATTTCAATGAAATCATATGCAAGAAGAATCATTTTTTCGGCATTACAAACATGCGGAAGATCACAGCATGACAATTAGTTAAGAGCCGTTTATAGATAACAATGACCAACTGTAGGAAAAAAATATATTATTATAAAAAAGATAGAAATAAAGAAGAAAAGTTGCACCTTCATGTGAACTAGCAGCCGTATCCAAAACCTTTCCAGTCTCAGCACACAGCCATTGCAAGGTAGATCCATGAGTAGCAACTAATATCCGTCCATCAGGCGAAAGACTGATACGATCATAATGCAAAACAGAACCTTTGGCGTCACAAAGAGTTATTGGGAACACTTTCAGGGTCTTCGGGTCCTCATCGAGATGGTAACGAACTTCAAAGTTGCAATACCATCAGAAAAACAAAAAGACCAAACGAAAACGTTATTCTGATGCTCTAGCACAAAGAAAGCAGATAAAATTATCTAGATGCATTAAAATAATGACCCGGGCGGCAAACAAAAACCCATTGCATTTGATAGCATTTTGCAAGACCATGATGCGAGACAGCTCCAAAAATAACAAGAAAAGAGGAGTTGTACAGTGCGTGACAACTGGGGGGATGTTCCAGCATCAGTCACCAAAGTTGGCTCGGAAGATCTTAGACTCCTAGTCTACTAAGTCACCAGTGAAAGGTGGGAGGTATTGAGTTCCCACTTGGTGATTCATTGGGAGAAAAGGACAGGAATCCTCATCATATGCCTGCATGACTCTACCATCATCCACATATGAATCATCCAATTTACATTATGCACAACCATCCAGTGTCAGCTAAAAAATACTTCCAGATCCAATTTAGGTTTTTAACTTAACAGGATCCCCAGCCCCAACCAGGGGAAATGTTTCACGTATTTGTTTCCAGGCTTCCTCTATTCTTTACCAACTTAGTACCTTCTATCGCTATCCATAAAAATCCTCTTTTTCTTTAACTCCACCTCAGCGCCACCCTTCTGGAGATGCAGAACAAGGCCAGCCAGTTTGACACAGACGGCTAAACTAACAATCTATTGCACCTCATTTCTGCGGGACTGGAAGTACTAGCAGGCCAGGAAGGAAAGAGCCACGTTACATTCAAAAGTGTCACATAACAGCTCCTGGGAAAGGAGTGGCTAACTGCTGGAGATTACAACAACTACAACCAGTCAGTGGGCCTCAAGTTCCGAGACCAATTTGAGTCATATGTAAGGAATCAAATTAACTCTCCAAAACATTCATGTTTAGGAATGATAGTCTTACAGGAAACATGCTTGGAAATGTCATTTTGAAATATGACCATAAATCAGTATCGCTAATAGAACTTACTTCAGTTCAAGACTCCAAATACAATAAAAGCAGAAGGGTGTCAAGTATGGATTTCCAACGTACAAGATATTGCATTTAAAATCAGATTTTAGTCAAAAAACCTTCTGATGGTGGATCATGTTCTGCAAACTATCAGAAATCTCAAGTCAGAAGAAACACGAAGCTTTCAGGTTAGATCTACTGGCCTGTATCAAGTGAGTTTGACCAGAGCTCTGCTGTATCGAAGCCAGAAGTTAAAGGACACAGAAAAGGTACCAGAGATGGATTAACTGTCTATTAATTGCACAAGCATAAGGTGTGACGCCTTAGAATCTTTTATTTTTTTCCCAGCTCCTGTTCATAAGTGACCTCTCTTTTCTCCTTAATTTCCCCCATTCATCATATTTACACAACAGGCACCAACCCAAAAGGGAAAGAAAACAATAAAAAAAGCCTCCTCGCTGCCTCATACACAAACTTTCCCTAGCCATTCTCTGTATTCTTTTTATGGCTGCCATAGCATAGTGTTATTTCAATAGTATAGGTACGAAACCATTGCCAAGGGAACTTATAAAAGATTTTTACCATTGATATTCCACACTCTAATGGATCTATCTTTTGATGCTGTAATGATCCTTTCGGAATCTGGAGTGAAACACAACCAAGTTACTGCACTCTGAAAACCAGAGAAGATGAATTTAGAATAATAAAAATCTATCCTACAGAGGAGACAACATAATAGCCCGGTCAACTACAAAATAAAATGCCATCAAAGGATTTACCATCTTAAAAAAAATTAATATCTGATTACTTTCCCTTTATTGAAGTCTAAAATACAAGGAAAAATTCAATGAAATAAGGGAACATATCAGAAGCAATGCAGTGAAATGGCATAAAAATTTAAAAGGAAATGCAAAAAAAAAAAAAACATTAACAAGACCTAAAAAAAAAATTTGGGCATGGGGGCATCAATGGTTCAATCTAAATCATCCTTTTTAAGTGAGAATCCATCTGTTGAAATGCCACACTGCAGAAACGCATAAGCATAGGAATTGATGTGGTAGAATTGAGAATCCTAAGTAGGAGTTGTAGAGGCCGTAATCATGATGGAATCAAGGCAGCGCACTACACAAGAAAAACTAACCTTCTGAAAAGGTAAATGTGTACAGAAGAGAAGTTGCTAATGGCAGATAATACAGAACATCGGGTAAACTTGATGGTACAATACTCATTCTCTCTCGATAATAGACCTTTATTGACATGGTGTTGCTAAGACATGTTGATGCATTAGGTTTACATCAATAAATTCTTGGACATCCTTACCTCGAACCATGTACATTATTAAGAAGCATCAATGAAATGGTTATGATCTGACTATTATTGACAGACAAGAGATCTAAGGAATCAATATCAACTTCCCTGAAGTGCTTAGGTCAATGAAGAGAAAATTAATGCTTCTGCATGCCCTACTTAGGTACTGTCGGCCAGAACGCCTCATTCACATAATTTTGAGGTGATATCCAAACAAGCCAGGACTGAAATGGCTAGGGGGTCACTGGTGCCTGATTTTTCAGAAGGTCATCTGGAAGCAGCAGTCTTTGAAATAGACAGCCATCATAACATTTCCGTGGGAACAAGTAGCACGGTGGTGTAGATCGCAGTTGAAGCCTTCTCCGAGCAGAAATGCATCACGGACCATAATGGAACTAAGCTTCAGAAAGAGATTAGAAATTGGAACCTAAATCTCTCCTCAAGAGATAATCAGTTACCCAGGAAGAAGCCATCCACATGGCTTTTAAATACAAACTTGATAATTCACATGAAAGGTTTCCATCCATGATTTTTTTGATAAACTGGTTTATATCAGTATCGATAACTACCTATTTACTCAAGTAATCTTGAACTAGGTCATAAATGAAAAATGACACAGCATTGAAAACTAATATTTTTCTCATCAAAAGAAGGGAACACTATATTTTCGTGCTTTGTAAAGCACACAGCTCTTTTTTTTTTCCCTACTTATCATCACGAAGAATTTTGAGATTGTCACATATCACAAATGCACGTGAATACTAGAAACTGACTAAATTGACCATTGACCTCAGATAAATAGGAAGTTGGACTTTGGAGAACAAGATGATGTGATACCATGCCTCCAAAGAGGAGATATTAGCACAAAAGAGGGTTGATGTTTTCTCCTTGGAAAGAGGGGGGACGGTCTCCTGATTCCCATATTGACCCAGATCTTGTTAGCAAGGTTAAAACAACGAGAGTATTATCGGCATAGAAAGAAATGAGAAAATGTATCTTCAAGTATCGTCGAAATGTTCCCCAAGCCTGCCAGAAAGAAATGACTAATTTATTTCTTATAAGTAAAAGAGACAATTTGTCTCAATTCTTTAGTTTCAGGTTGCTAGTGTTCCTAAAAAGACTAAAATGGTTCTCTATCATCTAATGCTTCAGATATCCCTTGTATCAGTATAGTATCTATGTCTGAAATATTTAATGAATAAAAAATGTATAAGTATACATACTATAAACATCATAGAAATACTTGTCTGAAACATTCGCACCAAATGTCCGACGTTTTGGTATGTTAAAGGAAAATAAAATCAGGCTATATTTATAAATATTTGACATCAATTATAGATATGATACATATTCATATTTAGAAGAGCACACTTCCTGTTTGGGTGAACTGCTTTTTAGGCCATTCAATTTCACGTGAACAAAGAGCTCTGAAGCTTTGTTCACCTGAACTAGAGCACAGAGCACTGCTCAAGGCTTGCCTACTGTGTGAAGGAACTGACTTAAATACTACGATTCAGACTAAAGAAAATATAATAACTGTTGTCATTATCGTCATCTATTGTTCAATCAAAGAGTTAGATGGACAGTTGTTGTCATAAAACGATCGGAAAACGGAACTGCCTCAGGTAAGAACGTCAAGCAGAGATGATGAAGAGGACTAGACATGTAGAAAATACAAAGAGCATCGGAAAGTTGCATAACCTCATGTCCCTTCAGCTGCATTGCTCTCAAAATCTCTTTCACTGACCCATCCTTAGAGTAAATAACCTCCCATACCTAGAAAAGCAAAAAGGTCACACTTTTTGTGTTTTTCTCTGCTTTGTGGTGCAACTTGGCAACCTCACATACTTTAAAAGAAACGATAAAAACTCATTAAATAACAAATAAGTGGCCAAGAAAGGACAAAAAGAACAATAGAACTAGAATTTTGATATAAAAGACAAGACACCAAAGTGAAAACTAGCCACAGTCTAGTTTTGCTTTGACTGATAAACATTCTTCTATTAAGTTGGACATCAAATAAAACAGCTTGTAAGTGATCAACGAAGATGCGAAACAATGAGCCAAACTGAATTTAGTTTCACGAAACCATTATCCTTAGACCAGGGAAAAACACAAACACCCAAAACATAAATGCAGATAGAAAAAATAGTCCCCTTCCCTGTTGACAAAAAAGTAATATCAAAGAAATTCATGCACACTTTTAATTGCACTCATCTCATATTTCATGTATGATTTCATTAATTTAAATGTCCTTGGGTTTCAGAAATTCAGAGGTTCCGACCAACTAGTAGACTAGACCACTTTGTCGTTCAGATATGATGCATGCATCTCATTGTTGCTACAATTAGACGATTCCATATGGTACAAGGCCCGGAAATAGGTTGCGTGGGAATTAGATAATTGCACCCCTCAAAAGAAAAGCCCAATAAAGCTGACCAACTTCAGCATCATATACAATTGTTCACTTTTTGACTTGTTGACCCACACGACTATCTCAAGGTGATGACAGAAAAACGCGCAGGTCGTAATGCACCACTTGTATACAAATAGAAGGTAATAAAGTCAGCAACATATCACATAAAAAACTCTGATTGAAGTCAGTGGAACACTGGCATGTTCAGTCGAAGCAGAATCCAGCAGCTATCGTAGAAGAAAAGCAAGTTATAATCGTAATACCAATACACAAAACATCAACATTACTGTCAGATGATGCAAATACAGATCACGTTGAACCTGTCAAATTCACATCATGATATGAATGACAAATACTGGAGGTCTATATCCCACGCTTGTAATGAATTTGTCCCATGTTTGGGAACTAGAGCTTATTGCACAACGTGGGTTGTGAGTGTCCATGCACTTCCTCCCGTAGAGGATGAAGAATGTTCAGAAATATGCTGCATCCCAACTGTCAAACATTCTAGAAATCCATTTGTAGGGCAGAACTTCATTTTTCCCCAGTTTTGCCAAACTAGAAAGAGAAGTTCTACCTGGGAAGATTTTTTATTTTATTTTTCCATTTCTGCAATGTTCTGTATTTTTATTCTTGTTTAACAGTTATGGACGTTTATCCACCCTCCCAAAACTGACAGCACACTTTTTGCATGTAATATCCTGAGTCTATCACTGTTCACCATATCGTCAGCACCTAAAATTAATATGACATTCTCTCTCTAACCATCTCCAACTTCCAGCAATACCATAATATTGGAAATAACATCATGAGAATACATATGATTAGATCTACTCTATGGAACAATATGATATCGATGAAAAGATCACACCGATTTTAACTAAAGAAAATTCCCTATGATCAATACGTAGATTTATTACAACCACATGCACCCATACATATCTCTCCAGTGATAGCATGCTGTTTGAAAAGATAGCCAAAAAAATACCAACCTTCACATCTGCAGTAAATGCAGCAGCAGCCAGAAAACGGCCATTCGGAGATATTGTAGCCATGGAGTTTTTAAGCTGGTTTGAATTAACAGCCCCCAAGTTCTTCCCAGTTTTTCCATGCCAAAGCTTAATGTCAGTGCCTGCAAAGTGAAAGCTGCTTTTATCTGTTTCACTTTAAAAAGTCTAAAAACATTTCGAGAAGGATGCCTTTTCAACAAACTGAAAAAGTTAAGGCACAATTCATTATTTTTTTTAAGCGGGTAGTACCATGTGACGATTAGATAGTAAAAAGATAGTGTGTGCAAGTGTTCAGCATGCAAGCTCTCAAAAAAATCCCAATACATCAAACTGTACCCTGCATCAGTAACAGATTCAGCCCTCCGTACATAAAGATATCTCGTACCCCCTTTGATCTTATCACACACCCAACTAAAAACTGTAACTGTTGAAGCACTTGACCATTAAAAATATGCATCTCCCCCACCCCTCCCCTCCCAGACAGTCCAGATTTTTCCATGAAGAACGACCCACTAAATCTTGAGATCCTTTTTCCGCGTCAAGAAGGCAAAATATAATTAAAGAAACCATCACCATCTACATGCATAAACTAAAAAGAAAAGAATTTACGCGTGAAAACGCTCAGGCTTTTCTTGACAATAATTTAACGCCAGTAACCATTAACTAAAAAATAAAGGATCATTCCAGGACCTGAAAAAATGAAAATTTTGAGTGATGATTGTTTTAAGTTGACAGTTAAAGAGAGATTATTTCAAAATAAAGGCACGGTCCAATTACAGAGAGTACCTTTAACTACAAGCATTAAACAAAAAGGAACAGTCTATGAGTGATGACTCTCAGTTTTTCCTTGCCCATAATCTTATGCCATAAACCTTTGAATAATAAGTTATGAATACATTTTTCAAGAAATAATGTAGCTCTCTGGCTCCAATCATCCTTCTGGTGTTTTGGTTGAATACAACATGATACAATCCAAATACAGAATCTTAAAAGTGTATCGACAGTTCTTTATAGGCTAACATTGTGCTCGACATCGATCTCAATTTCCTAATGTTTTTTGTTGGATTTGGTCATTTCATGTGATGCTTATCATACAGAATTCAATGCCTTGACGAGAGAGGTTTATAGCAATGCCCATTGACTCCAAACATAATGACATTCAGATAATAATCAACAAGAGTAGATACTGCAATAGAATATTGGATGCCATGGTCGAAATGTTCAGCAAAATAGAAAGTAAGACATGTGAACTTTGCAACCAGGGAATAGAAAGCCAGCCAGTTCATACTGAAACCATTGAACCGGATCAAAATGGTAGGAACCAGTCATGGCAAAGGATACGAGAATTTCCAGGAAACAAAACAAGGATCAGTGTGGTTCTGGTTTTTGGTTTTCTGATCCTTATTCACGAGGAACAGGCCTGTGCTCTCCATGGACTAGGCTGTGCGACCTGAGGACTAACCCACGAGATGCAAAGAGAAGAAACAGGCTCCCTCATCAAACTTTTAGTGATGTAATTCATGTATTATACACATTCTCTTGTTATTAGTGATTTATCGTATCGATCAATTTATTTTATTTTTAAAAGATGTTATTGCAGCTTCTCTCACTCTTTGAAATTCTGTCTTACAGTGCATGTAGAAAAATATGAACACCAACATCAAGCATCTCGAAGTAAAATAATTACCTTAAGAAATCATCATCAATAAGAAAGAAAAAACAAGCTGCGCGAGAAGCAAGAACATTTCACAAGCAGGCAGTACCTTCAGAACACGAGACGATGACGGTACTCCGGTCAGCAGTACCATAACTTGCCTTTGTCCCAAACAAAGTAATCACTGACCTCTGGTCGTGGACCTTGTGGTGCTCCCATTTTGCCTCTGGAAGGGACGGTCTCACTTGATAATGGCCCTCACCCGCGGGCTTCAGACTCACATCCCCATACGCATACAGAGAAGAACCTGAAAGAACCTGAGCAGCCACCACCACTGTTGACGCCCCGTCCGAGAAAGTGATGGCTGCGGGATGGGCCCCGGCAGGCAAGTTGATTCTTAGAAGCCTGTGGAGCACAAGATGATCACGTTTTTAGAAATGAGTTCTTGATTATTTGAATTACAGATATGCGAATAAGTATTGACACCCTTCACCCCCCCTTCCCTTACTTGAAACTTTTGTTTGAGACGTCGTCCAGCTTGAACACCCTCACCACCCCATCGGCACAAGCTGCAAACGAACCCATCCGTCAGTAGTAGATATGCAAGTGTGGACAGAATTTATCACTGATATCAACAAAAGTGCTTAGAAGTTAACCAGTCGCCAAACTGTGGCCATCGGATGAGAAACACAGAGCAGTGACGGAATCGCTGTGCCCCTTCAAGGTATTGGCCTCCAGAGGATGATGCCGCTTATTCTGGTCCTGTAAATTCTCTCGTTTCAACGAAATCAGATTCGAAAATGCCTTCCAGCTTTCCTTCAAAAAATCGACGAAATAAACGGAAATCCAACGAAGCTATTCCCCGCACCTTGTCCGGGACGTGCAAGTGAGATCTCGCGTGAGATTTCTTGTGCCCATGCCAGTTGACAGAGTGCTTGGAAGACTTTTGATTCGTTGGCTTCGGTTCTGGTGCAACGGCGATGGATGCGACCTCCGCCTTCCTCAGGCGAAAATACTTTGAGAAGAAGAAGAGCACGAGCACAGCTCCGGCAACGGCCGAGAACACAGGAATTGAGAGGTAAGAGAGACCAAGAATAGACGGAGACGGCGCCGGCATTTCGCTCCGACGCAGGGTACATGCAGCGGTCGGATCGGGAAGGGTAGACGTGATGCCTCACCACGGCGATCTGCTCTGATCCCTCCTTTTATGTTGGTTGGTTTACAAGCTAAATACAGTTCGTCCTGTTGTGGGGCCCACCCGTCATTCGTCCCATATCTCCCCCTTATAACCGAGACTCTAGAACCCCTGAAGGTCCCTGCGCGCAGCCGAGGAGGAGCTCCCCGAAGCGCAGGCGTCGACAGCCGCGGCGGCGCAGGAGAGCAGCGTAGAACCAGGCAAGCAGAAGTCTCCTCAGCTGGAAGCGGAAGCGGACCGGGCTGAGTACGCTGACCTCGGCCTAGTGAAAAAGTGCTCGGAGGAACGTCCTAGGAACGAGAAGTTCGCAGCGGCTAAGGTTTCCACCAGGGCCGATCCCGAAGATTCAGAGATCAACGCAGAAACCGTCACCTCCGAGGTTGACGATGACAGAGGTAACTCGAATCAGATCAACGTCAGGGAAGATGATCTCCTCCAACCCCCACCTTCTCCTGCGCTGTGGCCTCTCAGTCGCAAGAAGAAATTGCGTTAGTATCAGATACACATCAACTCTCAGCCTTACGGTAGCCCTTCACTGAAATGAGTTCCAGGAAACACTTTCTACACAATGAGTGAAGGCCGGAAGATAGCCGTTGACCCATCAAATAGACGATATTTTTGAAAGCTAATATATGTGATCGCTAAAAGAGAGAAAATATATGTTAAATAAAGTTGAAAACCCGAATAATGGGCCAAATGTAAGGCCTAATTACAGCTCCGTAATACAGACAATGGGGATTTAGTGGTGGAGAAAGCCCATGGGCCATAATTATAGCCCGATTAGAGCCGCCAGTATTGGGGTAGGCCCGCGCGTTGACCATCCGGTTGAATAGGGGCGGGCACCGCCTTGCTCTTTTCAAGGTAGTTTAGTACCTGCGATCGAAGACGAGGCGGAGCAGCTCTCCGTGTCTTCATTTCGAACGATAGGAAGAAGATGGGGAGCGTATACTGCCTTTTCTGCGCCTGCATCGACCAGGCGAGCGTCGGGATTGTGGAGAAGTGGGGCCGCTTCCAGTTCCTCGCCTCGCCGGGGCTCCACTTCTTCAACCCCTTCCTCGGTGAGTGCCTCTCTGGCGTCCTGTCCACGCGAATCTCCTCCCTCGATGTCCGCGTGGAGACCAAGACGAAGGTAAGAACAATCGCGAGGTTTCACCCTTCTAATTGTTCTTCCTTTCGTGTTAATTCTGGTCTTTCTCCAGATTTCTGAGGGATGGATCGCCGTGACATTTTCCAAGACCTTGCACTTTTTTGGTCTCCTCCTGATCTCACGTCGCGATGTGCTTTATGAGATCGCAGTGGCCTTTCCTAGGCTGATTTAGTGTTCTTTGGTGATCCTTCTGACAATGAACCTGCCTTCTTCTGTGGCTTGTTACGCTAAATTTCCGCTTATTTAATTTTATGTATTATTCAATCCTGATTCTCGTGAAGGAAACATAAGTAGTGACGATGTTTCAGGAGATCCTCTTCCACTTGGATTAGTATCCTTGCTCTTTCTTCGGATTATAATTATATGGTGTCCCTAACAATATTTGGGGTATCGCCGTGGATTATATTTCTATGCTGATATATCCAGAAGCATTCATTTGATAGAATTGTATAAAGTGACAATCATATTGTGCCTACTAAACCCGTTGAAGCTGCTCCTCGATAATTTCCTTTTATTTTTCTTTTGAAGGATGATGTTTTTGTGCAACTACTCTGTTCAATTCAATACCGGATTGTTAAAGAAAATGCTGACGATGCATTTTATGAGCTACAAAATCCTAAAGAGCAGATTCAGGCCTACGTTTTTGATGGTAGTATATCTGATGCCTACTGTTTCTTTCGGTTCCATGATCTCACGAAGGCTTCCTATGACCCCATTATGTTGTCTTATTGTCCAGTTGTCCGTGCTCATGTGCCCGGGATGACTCTTGACAAATTGTTTGAACAGAAGAGTGATGTCGCGAAAGTTGTTTTGGAGGAACTTGAAAAGGTAATGAAATAATGAAGTTGGATTAGCATATACTGTATTATTTTTGTCTTTTCTTCTCGGTCATCGTTTTCGCGAGCTCTAATTTCCAGGTCTTTGTAATGAATAGATACTTCCCTCGAGCTTATTTTCAAGTCAGACCACTCTTCCACAGGACATCAGTGTCCCCAAACGCTGCATAATCTGTGTCTTCCCATATTTATCTAATTATAGGTTTTTTTATTTGCATCGAATTTTCAAGACGAATTTTAAGCGTTATATGAATCTGGAATGGTGCATAATAAAGATGTTTCAAAAAAGAGATATTCATTCATTTATGTTTAGCTTAGTTATGCTTATTGAACATACTTGAACAAGAGGATAGCCCACTAGATTTTGGCAGATGAATATTGTCACCCAATTGAAATCTTCATCTTTGCTTTCGAAGCTAAAAATCTGGCTGCTGATACATTGCAAATTATTTTCTATAGACGTATGCTGCGACTTTTAGGGCCATTATTGCCATGTAATTTTGGTGTAGATCTGAGTTATCGTTGTATTCCTTTCTCAAGAAAACCTCTTCTTGCTTCTTAGGTGACAAAAAATTAGCTTGGACTCTATCATAATCCTGTTTCTTATAGTAAATTGTATCAATGTTTTACTTAAACTCAATTAGAAGTTACCTCCTCTCCTGCCACTCGAAATATTGCTCATACATGCTTTGCTATATCGTTGGTGCAACTGATCTCCCTGGTTTCTTGCTTCTGACACGTTTTCACCAAAATATTATCTCATTCTTTGTTTTTTCTCTCAATGTTTAGACTTTTTTTTGGCACAATAACACAAAACAAGCATCACCTTACTTCAAAATGCTCGACAAAAGATCTATCTTTTTTTAAGGCACGGAGAATTTGTGTTACTCATTGATCTAGTTGGAACATCACTGACACCGTCGTCTCTTTCATCCTTGCAAAACTGCGGACCAGGTGATGGGAGCATATGGATATAGCATTGAACAGATCTTAATGGTCGATATTGTACCAGATCCATCAGTGCGGAGAGCTATGAACGAGATTAATGCAGGTGCCCGCCTCCATTTCATCATCGATCTTCGTGGAACATTTTTTTTTAGTTTGATTGCCATTTAGTATGTTAGCAAGTAGATGCCGTAGCATTTATGAGTTCTGCAGTGTTTGTGCGTTTCCCGATGGGTACAGATTTTACCTTGAAAGAAGTGTAATTGTTTTGCCATATATTTTCCCCCTGGAAGTTCATTAAAGAGATGTTTGGAAGTTCACACATTTAGTTTAATCGCAATCTAATTTCTCCACTTTACCGTATTAATCATTCAACGGGCAGCCTCCATCCGAGATTATAAAAGTAGTCCATACGTGAATCCCCTGTGAACCAGTCGAAGGCCCCTATCTTCTCCAATCTTCCTGGCAATAGTAACACCAAACACTACGTATTCTCTGCTATACAGCCCAGAGACTTCGGCAGGCAAGCATCTTCAAAGGGGAAGCGGAGAAGATCCTCATGGTGAAGAGGGCCGAGGCCGAGGCCGAGGCCAAATACCTCGGCGGCATTGGCGTGGCGAGGCAGCGGCAGGCGATCACCGACGGCTTGAGGGACAACATCCTCAACTTCTCCCACACGGTCTCGGGCACCAGCGCCAAGGAGGTGATGGACCTGATAATGGTGACCCAGTACTTCGACACCATCAAGGACCTCGGGGACTCCTCCAAGAACACCACCATCTTCATCCCCCACGGGCCCGGCCATGTGAGGGACATCACGGACCAGATACGCAACGGCATGATGGAAGCTTCCTGCTCCAATGTCAACCCTGCCCCATCCGACTGATCAGAGTCTGATACCTTCCACACACTCACTTCTGTAATAAGTAAACGCCGCAGCATGGTATGTGTTGATAATGGAAACCTTGGTTAACGCCAGTTGAACTCGAAAGTTCACCAGTGGGAAGGAGAAGGAAAAGGATGGCTTATAACCCAAAAGCCGTTGACTAGATTAAGGGTTGGAACAAACTGTTCGCGGGGGTATATCTTCATTCATCTGCTTTCGGAGGAGGCCGGCGGCTCTTCGCCGCCGTGGGATCCTTCGAGACCGAGCTGGCTGCCTTCCTCTTCTTGGTCTCGCTCACCAGCCTCTTCACGTAGGAGATGTAGCCGTCGACGTCGAACTTCCGCTTGCAGCCAGCGAAGTTCATATAGCGAATCTTCCCAAAGACGGGCCGCTCCTTCCAGCCCTGCGGTCGTCCAGGGGGGTGAGCCGCCCGTGAAGAAAGGAAGGAGAGGGTGGCGTGGCGCAGAGAAAAGGGTACCTGGTCGTGAACGCCGCAGATGGACCACATGCATCCAACGTAGCCGCTGGGATCCCGACCGTCTAGTTCATACTGGGAGGAGAGAGTCGCTTATTGTGAGAAATCAAGCAATGAACAGAGTTATGGAAAAGTAGATGTTAAGAACGTTAGGGACTCCTCTCTCTCTCTCTCTCTCTCTCTCTCTCTCTCTCTCTCTCTCTCTCTCTCTCTCTCTCTCTCTCTCTCTCTCTCTCTCTATCTATCTATCTATCTCGTATACCTTATCATTCAAGTAAATTGCTGTTGCAAGGGCTTCCTGCGGTCCACTTGTCCATTCGAGGATCTTCTTGGCCCAGTACATGCTGTGAGGTAATCGTCATATTAGAATGCCGCGAGAGCAGATCTCACGTGGACGAACAAGAAACAAAATCATCGCGTCACCTTAAAAAGCCGCAAATCAAATGAATAGAATAGCTCATCCATCGGAGGAAAGACCATACAGAAGTCACCTAGCTTACCCGGGAAGGGCACTCGGGGGAATGGGGTTCTTAGGAATCTGTCCTACTCTCTGAGGCATGGAGATTCCAACTGGGAAACTTTACACCATCTTCTACCCTCTTTCTTGCCACTCTTTATTCTCTATCACTCCTTTCTCTCTCTATGAAATTCTAGAATGGAAAAAGGTCCAAACGATGAGCGAGAAACTAGAAGCATATCTTGCCCGAATGAAGGAAATTGGATGTGATACGGAAGAACATCAAAATAGAGAAGCATGTGAGAAGATGAGAGTACGGATCAAAAATATGAGGCAATTCTAACTGACCCATCCCACAATCATAAAACAATATGCCCCTCCGTTGTTCAGATAAACCCCCGAGAGCAGAGTGCAAAAACTAAAAGTATGTGTCAATCCAAAGTCAAGCACCCGACCCCAGGCTGACTTTTGCTGGAATTAAGGCTGATTCCCTCCAGAAAAAAACAAAATTGGATGGGAAATAATGGGTAGGCGGCGGACTTGGGCAAATTTGGAAAGCAATCTAAAAATTCATTCAAAAGGATCAACATTTAAAGTTGACGAACAATGTAGAAGTAATCCATCAGTCCCCCCACAGAAAAAACTATGGTTTTCATGCAAAAAAAAACTGACTAAAACCTCATTACATCGTGGAATTTCGTAGTAAAGATGTAATAATACACTATCCATGGATATAATCACGATAGGTCTAAGAAGATAACAAAAAATACATTTCTTTCATTATAGAATGCATTACTAGAAAGAGGAAGCCGAGAATAAGAAAGTGGTAAGTTACTTGCCGCATGAAGCCGTGCATTTTACCATGATGGACCATCTCCAATTGAGATGCATTCCAGAGCTGACAAAGTACAAGTAACATGGTTAAAACAGTACATAGAGTTCACCAGCTTCCGAACATACATAATTACTCCATAACACAAAGCAAATGAACAAAAGATGAGATATTCCAGCTTACAGGATCTGCTGTTTTTGCACCTTCAAGCTGTTCCTTCCTGCAACCAATGCAGAATTAGACTTGGGGAGTATAAATTCTAGCACATATTTAACTTGTGTCAATCTATCAAAATCTGGCGTGGCAGCAATGCACTAGAGTTACTCACGTATAAACATGTTCTCGATTGTCCCCAGCATGATCCATCAATGTTTTCAGAGCCCATTCCCAAGCACCCTGTAATGAATCATAGTGCGGTTGATAGAAGCAGAAGTTGTCCGCCAATTCCCTTCTGACAATCATTTCCTCCAAGAACGCATCCACTGACTACAGAAGCTCGGCCCATTACAAAGGGAGGTTTCTGCCATTAGAAATGTCATATATCATAAAAAATGGAAAATGAACATCTTTTAACGAGAGGGCAGAGATTATTCCTTCTCATTGAAGGAGGGTCTATGTGGAGATGTCTTCATTAGTATCCAAATGTTGGTTATCTCTAGCTTCGGTAGAACTGAATATATGCTTCCTATCTAAAAAGAAAAGCTCCCTATGTTGATCCGTAAAGAAAAACCTCGTAAGAAGTCAGAAAATAATACACTGAAAAACACCAGCCAATAGCAACTTGAGGGCGAAGTACGTGCACCCAGTCTAATCTAAGTGCGCCGAAATTGAAATATGGTGGGGAGCAATTTCTAAGTTGGGACGGCGATCTCAAAGCGATGGGGACCAAATGACATTAAAACGAGAAGAATAGCATGAGACCGGGCACACACTTACTTTGGTTTGGGACTTCTTGAAAGCTTGAGCCTCCAGAGCGCAGCGTTGGGCTGAGATTTGCCCGAAGTGCAGGTATGGCGACAAACCAGAGAGTGCCTTGGGCTTTAGCGGGTTGTTCCTGTCAGAATCGTAACTCCTTAGACGCCTCGTCAGGAAACCTTCGCTGCTACCCATCAGCACCTCCATCGCAGCCCTCTCACCGGGTTCGCACCATGCCACTTCCGGCACTTCGCCCCCATCTCTGCCAAAATTGTTTAAATATGACAGAAGAGCTGGCTCAATGTCGAGTAATTGGGAAAATTTAGCACAATAATGCAAGATTACAGACCGTGGATTCACCTGAGTATGTCGGACATGATCCCCTCCCAATCAATCGCCGGAGGAACTATCCCTGACCATCCCATAGTGGGAGTCTGGAGCTCGGGAAAGTCGACGAGGTATTCTGGGAGCAGCTTGTGTATCTTGGATCGGATAGTCCTTGCACTGTACTCGAGCTTCCCGGAAGCCATCCATAGAGGAACCACGTTGTGGGCATCGACCTCATGGACGGCCACGGAAGCGCTGACGCGCCTGCAAATATCGTCCTTCGTTCTGCGCACTTCCCGCAGCGGGGAGAAATCTGTCACCAGCACGGACGCCTCGCAGTCCCGGAGAAATCGCGGTATGGTGTCTGCCGCCTCGCCCTGGAGGAAAACAGGGCAAATCCTGGTGTCGGCCATAACTAGACTGATATCCCCCGACAAGTTTTACCCCAGTGCGTACCCGAAAGAGGAAGAAGGGAATGCCGAGCGCGGCGAGTCGATCCTGAAGCTCGCGAAGCCCACGGATCATGAAACCGAGCTGCCGTGCGTGGGCGCCGAGGAAGCGGTGGAACAGATTGAAGGCGACGGCTACGGGCGCACCGGAGCGGTTGGCAAGGTCGACGGCGTGTATGAGCGCCCAGTTGTCCCGGGACCTCTGATCCCGGAACATCCAGTACACCACCGATCCCTTCTCCTTCCCGCCGGCGGCAGGCGTCTCCTTGAGCACCCTGATGCGGCCGGCAGGCACGAGGCCCTCCAACCTGGCCATCCTCGCCCTCCGCCACGGAAGAAGAAAGGTTCAGAGATCCCCCGCTGGCGAGGGGGAGGGGGGGGGGGAGACTTCAAACCTTCCCCCTCCTCCCCTCAAAGGGCGCAACGTAGAGCAGGAGGCGCTTGAGTTGCTACGATACGCCGAAGGTCACGTCGAGAAAGAGAGTGGTTTCGAGCGGGGTCGCGTGGCTGATTTTTCACCGTCCGATGGCCCGAAGACTATTTCAGTAGATTTTCCCGCCATAAATTACTGTCCAAACCGAAAGGGTCCGATACAAGAAAATATATAAAAATCTCAAATATAGACAGAGCTAATTCGGGCCCCCAAATCCCGAAATCATGCATTAATCAGCTCATTAATCAGCTAATTGCTAGCCGTTGTGACGTCTTCGACATCCTTGACGGTGCTGCTGGCGTGGCCATTGCCGCCGATGTTGTTGTTGACGCTGCGGTGGCGCCCGCAGAGCACCCTGCACTTGACCACGCTGTCGCCCACGAAGAACCCCGGCGCCACCATCATCCTCACGGCGGAGGACGCCGCCGGGCGGCGAGCTCGGTCTGCTACGGCGTCCTCCATGTACGCGGCGTCGAAGGGCGCCCCAGCGCCGACCCTGAAGATTGCCGCCGGCGGGTGGCCGCACCATGCCAGAAGGTGAACCAGCCACACGCCCTTGGCGGCGCCGAAGAAGGCCTGCAGGAGCGGCTCCGGCCAGCCGCGCCGCCCCCACACCCCGCTGCCGCTGCCGCCGCCGAACACCGTGCCAGCTACTTCGCTCATCTTTCGGTCGCAGAATTGGCTGAAGCTCTCACTGAAGTACCTGGTCCCCCGGCTGAGGACGTCATCCCAAGATAATCCCTTCAGGGCGGCGTACGACGCCAGATTGGCGTCCGCCATTTTGCGAGGGTCCAGTACGCCGTTGGGGCCCCCGCGCTGGAAGCCGGCTGACTCGAAGTCCTCGAAGAAGACGCGGCTAAGCAGCGCCTCCATGTAGAGGAGGAGCCCGCCGCCGCCGCCGCCTCCGCCGCCGCCACCGTTGAGGTTGCTCTTTACGGTGGCCGGCAACCAGACGTCATGGGCCTTGAGTGCCGTCCCGGCCTGCTGGATATGGGTGAGAAGGGAACAGCTCAGGTGCCGGACGGCGGCGCGTGATTCGCAGATGCAGCGGAGGAAGGGCTCGAGAGGGAACTCCATCTTCTCCAAGGGGGACGCGGGGAGGACGAAGGAATTGGTGTGTTTGGACAAGTCGAGGGCGGACTTCAGGTCGTGACAGTACTTCTCCAGCTTGGTGAGCTTCTTTTCCAGCTCAGACATGGAGTGCTTGAGGCGTGAGACCTCCGACACCGCCTCGTCCCGCTTCCGGGTGGCGAGGATGAGCTTGTGGGAGAGCTCGGTGGCGATGAGCCTCCAGTCCTCGCCCTTGGTTGGCGGCGCGGCGGCGGCGGAGGTGCAAGTGGAGAGCCGAGGGCTTCTCCATGTGAGGGAAGAGATGAAGGACCCTAGGATGCCGTTGTTCCTGGGACTGGAGAAGAAGGCGGAGGAGGACCGGGATCGGCTGTGACCACTGGTATTGTCCAGGGGCACGACGGAGATCTTCTCCCTTGCGGAGGGTCGGCACTTCGTGAAGGAGACAACGTGGCCGCCGTCGTCTCTACTGCTGATGGCCTTCTTCCCCGGCGTCGCTCTGCTGGAGCCCGTAGAGGATGAGGGAGTGGCGCGGTGGTGAAGGGGCGTGGGCCGTCGCCGATACCGTCCGTCGCGGGCCGCCGCCGGTGTGTGTGACTCCCATCCCCCTACCTCATCCCGCAGTTGCCTCTGCCGCGCCATCTCTTCGTCGTCGTCGTCGTCGTCGTCGTCGTCGTCTGTTCCGTGTTCTGGAATCTGCAACACACACACCGGCCGTGGATTTGCAGCATCAGAGGCAAGATTACACAGGCTTCCAACAACATAACTAAGGAAATTAGATCGACGCTAGGGGCGGCGCTCACGGCAGCGAAGGGAGGAAGGAGAGGACTGCGTGGCGGAGGCAGCGGGGAGAGGGAGGCCATGGAAGGTCTGGTACTGGGGAGACTGGAGGAAGAATCCGAAGAAGGGTTCGACCTGCCAACTGCCGACGAGCCTTCTGTACCCTGCCCTTGTCTGATGGTCAGAATTAAATGCGGCGGAATAAAATATCATTTTATTATTTGGCTTTTTCTAAATAATAAATTTCCCGTTGATTAAAAGTTTTCTCGTTCAAACATTTTTCTCGTTGATTAAAATTTTCCCGCAACGTGGATTAATCGATGGGACACGCGGATGATGCCTACCGCTGTACTCTTTTGTCGGCTTCATTCTCGCGCTGCGAAAATTGAACTTTCTCGTTTACTTTTTGCATTTATTATCGATATTACTGGGCTCTGTGTTTATACTATTTCTCTGGTTTCCTGTCTCAAAATATGTTTTACCATATCCATTGCCTATTTCTCTCAAAATATAGAATTAAACTTATCTCGTATAAATATATTTTAAATCAAATAATTAAATAAATAAAGCAGCAGCAGCATGGATGGTTTTTTTGCTGCCACAGAACATATAAAAGGAAAAATAAAAAGTCGGAGAGGGGGGATCTTGTTGACCGGCATTTAATGCGAGCGGTGAGCTTCTCTGCAGTTCAACTATAAGAATTTAATCGTGGGAGAGCCCACCCCACGCCCATCCCCGCCTGGCCCGTCCGTAGGCGGCACATGTGAAGGCATTGATTGCAACGAAGGCGCAGGCCGCCGGTCTGATGCTGGACGGTCCCCCGGCCGAGATCCGCGCCTGCAGGGGAAACTACGTCGCCTTCTGCGGTCACCCCGCCACCCGCTGGCTTCCGCCGCCGCCTGCGAAGTCTACGCCCCCGCACCTGCTCCTTCCCGCCACTGTTCTGCGCAGAGCAGTCTGTTCTGCGCCAAGTGGGCTGCTGGCGCTGCCACCGCACCACCTCCCAGCACGGGGGCAGGTGGGAACTTCCGATTTAAAGGACGGTTAATTCGCGAATCGAAGCGGGCTTAAAGAGAGTTTCTGGCGGAGCTATAACCTAGAAAGTTTATGTTTGTATATACCCCCCGAGAGGGATTATATTGACGAGTACCTCCCTAAAGGATACGTCAATAATTCTATACCAAAAGGGGTCTATCGTTTGAAAAAAATAAGTAAAATGAATCATAGGTATATTAAATTAATTTTAAGGTTAAATAGTTAATGTTGGGGATCTCTGGAAGGGGCCATACGTTCTGTTGGGGATCTCTGGAAGTCTCTCAACGCACGATCGTCGCTAGAATCTTCTACCTTTTTTGCTGAAATTGTAAAAGACGCTGATCTGGCCGCTCTTGATCTCTCTACTTAGCCTTCCTGTCGTTCCCCATCCTCCTGGAAATTGATTTGTCCTTCACTGCACCCGCCGTTCGGAGAGGGGCGACGAAGGTGCTAGTACCGTGGTGTGGAATCTTTTCGTCTGTTTCTCCTTCCTGCTTCATTGATATTTGGAAGTTTGTTTCTCAATTCGATCTTTACGGTTGAAATCGACGCTCTCTTTCCGCTGGGTTACGATTACTACTGGTCTGGTGACGAGGATTGCATTTATCCTCACCGTTAGTTTCATCTGTTTCTCCACCTTGTATTACTCCTTGTTATTCGGTGAAGAGTCCATTATTCCTGCTTGGAATCGATGTTTCTCTGTGTGGATCGTCTTCTACCTTGTCATGTTCTATGTGTGAATCGATGTTACTCTGTTTTCCGATGCTCTGGCAATTAGGTTTTCTCTTGTTCATAGTGACTTAAGTCGTTGGCCGTTTCTCTACATGCGGGAATTTAATCGTTGGCAATATTCTTCGTTTGGGCGTTCTATGATGTGGTCGGAGTCTTAGTGGGTTCATGCATTGCCTAAAATGTGGGGTTGTTGGTTGTGACATGACCTCTTCGATCCTTTCTTTTACTCTCTCGTCTTATGACCAATAGGGACAATTGTGGACGCGCCTTCTAACCCTTTCTTTTACTCTCTCTCTCTCTCTCTCTCTCTCTCTCTCTCTCTCGTTCGTCTACCTGTCTTTGATTTCATTAATTTACGCATCGAGCCTCTTATTTCCTATTTAAAATTCCTCAGAAATTTGTAGCTGCAGAAGATGCAGGGCGGAAGACCTGGGAGAGACAGTTTCTCTGGCTTTGGTGATCCATTTGCAGGATTTGGGGGGCTAAGGATGCATGGTAGCCTGATTTCTAGCATTTTTGGCGGGAGAGATCCCTTTGACGACCCCTTCTTCACTCAGCCTTTTGGTGCCATGATGGGCCCAAACCTTTTGGGTCAAAGCATGTTTGGTGCAAGAGGGAATCCTTTTGGAGATCTCACTTATGGAGGGTTCTTAGAAGACCCGGCACCTCGGCCTAAAAGGTCCAGAGGGCCAATTATTGAGGAGCTTCCCTCTGATGATGAAGAACAGAATGGGACAGATGGTTTTGAGAAGGAAGAGAATGCAAGAAAACGTTACAGTCTTGGAAAAGAACCATATATTGAGGAGCCAGAAGAAGAAATGAAAGGTGACGTGGCTTGTGCTGTGTGGAGAACACTGATTTGTAAATGTCTATTTTTTAGCTCCTGTGGCAGTAATATTTACATTTTCCTTCAGGTAAGAAAATCAGTCATGTGTGGCAGGGAATGGAGTACAAGAGGACCAGTTCATCTAAGCCTCAGACTAGCACTTACAGTTTCCACAGCTCCACTGTTACTTACAGTGGTCCTGGCGGTGCTTACTATACCGCATCTACCACAAGGAGGACTGGGGGCGATGGAGTATGTGTATTTGTGGGATAAATCGTGTCTAATTTCCATCCACATATTTATTCTCTTTTTTGTGCTTGTATTATTGTTAAATAGGTAACAGTGGAAGAGAACAAGGAAGCAGATAAAACCAAAGGCAAAGCCACTCACAGAATTTTTAGAGGGCTTGGAGACAAGGTCCGTGCTAGTTATCTGATACTTAAGGAGGACCCTCCTGATTGTTCTATTTTTGTTCTTTCGTTGTCCACCACGTGCTCTAATGACCGATCAAACTCTACTGGCCTGTAGTATGCTAGCTTTGGCATTAAGCTGTTGCCCACTTCTTTTTTAATGCAGGGACATTCAGTCACAAGAAAGCTTAATTCAGATGAGAGAGTTAATACGGTTCAAACATTGCATAACCTGAATGAAGGTATGCCTCATATTTTGTAATGATTTTTCCATCTATGCTTCCCGGAACTTCTTTGCATGATCTGGTGACATTTCCAGATGAGCTGGCTGGTTTTGCGGAAGCATGGAAAGGGAGCGCAAAGAGACATTTACCCGGATGGGACCAAAGTTTAGACATGTTACATGATGGAACTAGAGGTAAACGCTTGGAAAAGAATTCATTCTATTGGCTATTGCTTTGTTGTTTTGCGATGCTTCCCATCAGAATTATATTTGCATCTCTCTGGCACCTGTATCAAAGACAAAAACTTATAGGGTATTCTACTTACAGAAACTGTTGGGCTGACACTCGTAAAATGTGACTTTAGTTTGCCACTTTGGCAAAATTTCCATAGAGATGTGAAGAACGTTTTTTTCCGTTCTCCACCATAAAGACCATGACCCAACACTAGAATTTCGAAGGGAATTTATTTGAAATATCCTGGACGAATTAAAGGCAAGATTGATGAATTTATATTAACTAAATACTTGATTTATTTTATATGATTGAAATCGCCACTTCCACCACAAGTTTAATGTTTCCAATTATTTGTGCTGTTAAACTATCGCTCTTTGATCTACCAAGCTCTCAAAATGCATTAGACCCTCGGTTTTTATGTGGGCCTATTGTGATCCCAAATGTGCTCTTGTGAGAAGTTGGGTACTAATATTTCCTGTGCACCATCAAGGTTGACATGTAGTGTTTGAACGAAATGGGCTGAAGTTTGTTTAGGATAGTCTTCATTTTCATTTGGTATCCAAAGAGTCCACGCAGGAGTGGACGAAAACTCCCGAACTTTATACTCAGTGGATGCACATTTTATCCCACGTGATGCTGTTAACTAGATTTCATTACTAGTTTGCATTCTAGGTGCGGTAAATTTACTTGTTATCTATTTTTTTCGAGAGATATTATGGAAGTAATAGTGGAAGTAGAGTTTTTTTTCTGCAGAAGTAAAAGAAGATATCTTGCCAGCAATTTATGGTGATCTTCCACGATAATCCTTTACCCCAAGTCCCTTGTTTTCTTCACAAACGAAGGAATTACCTGTCACCGTCCCCCTGTAGACATGCCATCATTGTAAAAATGCTGCTTTCATTGTTGAATAGTTCCTTAGATCTGATCTCAGTTTTCTTAAGGTCACATCAAAAGGCCAAATCTAAGTTCATGACCTTATCGATTGGACTTTTAAATGGAACACTCTGTTTCCTTTTAGCCTACATCAGTCTTCCCAAACCCTCGTGTTTATCTGCCTCATGAGAACTATTGAAGCAGGCAGCAATATTTCCCCGACAGTTCATATCAGTGGTTCTGCCCCTGCAGTACATAGATATATGTGAGGCCATTCAGTGTATGCCCATCAAGAGACTACTTAGATGAGGCTTCATGTTACAGGTCCTTTTTGAATTTCCCGTCAGGTGGTGTCGTGACCCATTAGAAACCCAAACTTGCAACATCATCTTGACAAGGAGGCCAACCACCTCCAGCCACTGGAATTTCAGGTCGTTGAAGTCGGCCTCTATTAAAGCGAGTAGTGGTAAAACATTGTAATCATCATGGCGGGGATGCTCTCTGCGATGGAAACGACCATGATCATAAAAGGATGCTGGACCTGGAGTGATTACGAGGCATTGCTTCTTAGTCTCTGTGAAGGGGGCCTAATTTTTTAGCACGTTGCTTCTAACATCGGGATTGCTAAAAGCAAAATTCGATTAGGTGTTGCCCATCGTAACTGGTCGCTGACAACCCGCCGCCCATTGTTCTCAACCTCTGGTCTGGATGTGCACTCAGAAAAACGAGGCTCCTGATTGTACCATCTTTGTCGTTTCTATTACCTGAGAATTATTTACCATGTCTCCCCCAAAAGATTGGAAACATCCCTGAGAATTTGGGACTCTGCAGATAACTACGCCGATAACGACCCTGTAAAGTCATCCCCTTGAGTCAACAACCATGGAAATCAGACCCAGCATTACGGATGTCTTGCGCTTTGAAAAAAGCTCTCCCCTCTCCATTACTTTTAGTTTAGTCCAACCTCCTGCGGGATTCGTTGGGTGCCATATATTTGGCACCTGCCGCCTGTTCATCCTGCGCATTTAGCGTGGGACTAAGATTCTTCCGCCGTTCTGCGAGGAAGAAAGATTATGGAGAACTCAGGGGTCTCCTCTGGTGGGGGGTCCTCTCTGACTGGCTCACATTTTCCCGAAAGAAAACTCGAAGGAAGGTGACGACCCTCTGTGCCGGTTTCCTAGTCCGTGTACGCGCGGTTGTCGGAAATGGATCAATCCAGTTCACGGGTTGCTCTGGCGTCACCCCCCCTCTCTTTCTCTCTTCTTTGACGTTATCCGTGGTTGACTTTCTTTCCATTTCTGTTTCTGGATTGTTCTTACCTCCGCTGTTCCCATGCTGACTTTTCCTCGTGGTAAGCAGGTGGGCAATCCGGTCAATCGGCGTCGAGGGGCTGGGCTCTTCCTGCTGTCGCGCAGCTGCCGTACTCCAGGCCGAAGGAACCGCAGGGTCGCCCTCGTCCGGGATCATCTGGTGCCAGGTCGTGAATGATACACATAGGGGCAGCTGGAGAGGGAGGATAAGCCAGGATCTGCGTGCCGTGTAGCCTTATCACGCTAGAACGGTCTTGCACCTTCTCGCAACTCTTAGTCCGGGAGTTATTTAGTCGGGGTGGGTGTTTCAGGAACAAGGAGAGGCTCATTCTCTCCTCGGTTTTACGAGCTGTTGGCTTGAAAGAACCTTTTAATTGCTGTACTCTTAACGTCCCCAACCAGGAAGACGAATACCCATCTCTCTCTTGTCTCTCTCTATCTATCTATCTATCTCTATCTCTCTCTGTGTACCTCTCTCCTTCGTACTCTTAATATTTGAGAGATAATTAATCTAATGGCGGATTGACGAACATGAAGAACTTGCAATCATCTTCATCTCCCTTCGGGGACGGCCTCTTGGAAGTTTCTAGGTCGGCTAAAGACCATTGGCGGAGAAATAAAGCGCTTTCTGCGTCGGACGATCAGGAGGCTCCCATGCCGGAGGGATAAACCCGTGTTTCTGTGAGATCGGTGGGGGGTTCGTCGGTAACAGGAAATGGAATAGACGACTGAAGAGAGCAGTGGAGGAAGAACAGCCTACGAAATGATCAGCCCATCCCTCGAGCTTGGCGGATCAGAGGCAATGATTTATCGTACAATCACTGTACAATTAGTATCGTACCACAAAAAGAGATCTTATATTCTTACCATTTTGTTTTTTTACAGATTAGCAAGGAACCGGGGGGTGGGGAGGCGAGGACGAAGAAAGGAGGTGCGGCGCCGCCGTTCTGAAGCAGCGGCGTGGGAATCAGCGGCGGAACACGTGCTCCTCCCCGGTGTCGCGATCGACGTGCTTGATCCACCGGCTGCAGTTCCCTCCCAGGCTGGGGCCCCGCCCGACCCCGACGTGAACGACCTCCACGCCGCCGCCGATTGGTAGGAGCGCAGATCTCACCACGCGCGACCCAGCCATGAGCATGCCGCGCCACCGCGCGGTGCCGCCGCCACCTCCGCCGCAGTCTGAGGGCCTATGGCTGCCGCCGAGGCATACCAGCACGGCCCCCCGGGCGCCCAGCCGCGCCGAGCGGAGGATCTTCGCCGAGTCCCTCCGCCGCCAATCCACTACCACGAAGTCCACTCCGGGGATCCTCCCCATCACCTCCTCCGCCTCCCCGACGGCGACCTCCGTCTCGGGTACCCAATCCCCCTCCTCCTCCTGCTGCTCCCTCGCCGCCGCCCTCATGGCCTCGGCGTACGCCGATCTAGCGCGCTCGTCGGGCACCACGCAGACGTGCCGCCCGCGCGTGTGCCGCGCGGCCGCCGCCAGGCCGAGGCTCGTCGCAACGGCTTCGGGCCCCGGAGACCAGGCCTCAACGATGGTCTGAGCTCTCCACCCGCCGACCATGGCGGAGACGAGCTCCGCCACGTTGGACTCGTCTGGGAGATCCCGTTCCCCCTCGCCCCCGCCGGCCAGCAACCGGACGGTCTCGATGTAGGCCTTGGAGGCCGTGTCCGGGCACCACACCAGCTTCATCCCCCTCCCTCAATTGCTTTCACCTCCCTGCTCTCTCTCTCTCTCTCTCTCTGGCTTTCTTGGACCACCTTCTCCTTTGCGTGGGGGGATGGGCAACGACCCAGCAGAAGAAACGGCTTAAGGGTTTCTGTGGCTCCTCTCCCACCTTCTCCCGCTTTAATGAGGACGGAGGGTGCCTTGGAGGCAGGAAGCAAATCTGGTCGCTTCCGGAAGACGTTGACTTTGGTGCTACACTTTCTCCTCTCTTATCTCTCACCTGAACTTTACGTGAAATTACAATTTCTGCCACATGAGATTCTACGATGGGCTTTACTCTTTACAGCAACATAAGTATGTGAATTAGTTGCTTTCTATTTATGCGAATACACTCCGGGTCTGCGTATCAGTCGACCGAGACGCGACCGCTCCCTCCGACCGGCCCAAAAGACGAGTGTTATTAAAACCGGTCACGGACCGGCCGTACCTCTCGATCCCGCGTGAATTGCTAGGTCAACGGGGCAACTTGCCACCAACTGTTGTCTGCCAGTTGTGGTCGGGGAGTCCCGCGCCTCCTCGGAAGGAATGGATTCGTCACAGCCACGTCGGTTCCAGCCAAGCGCCGTTTCTTGGGGGGAGATTCCTCTGTCTGTCTCTCTGATAATTCTGGTCTTATCACCTCCCAGTTATATGCTGATTAACGATGAGTGTAACCGAGAGCGTCAAACTTATCCGATAGAGAGCGAGCGGCAGAGAGAGAGAGAGAGAGAGAGAGAGGGAGAGGGGCAGAAAATGAGAGATCTCGATAATTAAAGCTATTAAAAAAAAGTGGAGAGTCGTCCACAAAATCGCCAGAATGACGTCTACGGCCACGATGGTCGCCTCCATCAACTAGGGTAGACGATGACATGGGTGTCCCCATCCCAAGAGGCTGCTGCCGGAGGTGATCAACTTGGCCCGTAGATTGAGACCTCGCCGGTCCATGTGATGCTCCGGCGACGGTCCCTATCTGCGTCTGCAGCCCACGGCTTCCCTCATCTCTTTATCATCTTTCGACGGTGCCGGCGGGCCGCCAATTTCAACCCGTACCAGCGACCATGGGGGGGAAGTACACCGCCGTAGAGCTTGACCTGGGTATCCCCATCGAGGACAGGGATGGGTCTCTGCGACTAAGGCTCTCCCCCTCGTCATGGGATAGGCCCATCGGCGGTTCTTTTCTCTGAGCCGTACGGTAGAAAGATCTTTTGTTATCGGTTGATTTGATGGGGGGCTACAGTACGCCGCCGGCCAGTGAAGATGCCGAGTAGCCATCGCACCGAGTCGCAGCTGTGAGTCGGGGTGGTCCAGCAGGAGGCCTGTCATTGTCTCTTTCTCTCTCTCTGCGCGAAGAGTGAGAGGAAAGTCAACTCATGAGCCCATCGAATGCAGCGATCGGATCTTAGTCTTATCTCCTCCACCTGAAGGAGTGAACCTAAGGTTCCCCACCTGAAGGCAGATCATTACCCGGAACAGCGAGCGAGTCCGATCGGATCCAGACTCGCCGCTGCGGAGAAAACTAAAGAAATGGGTCTTTCATGTCGGCTGCTCCGGCGAGAATCTCTTTTCATGACGTTGGTCTTGGGCTGCTCGGTATAGAATAAGCAGGGGGCATCCTCCTCGAGGGGGCACATCCTCGGTTATTTTACTCTGCTGGAGGTGGTCCGCTGGCAGAGAAGAGATGCGCGATAAGATCACGAGAGGGACGCCACCGCGCCGCCATCAAGCCGCCGAGTCCGACACGTCGGCGATAACCACGGTGGGGCCTCTCGCCGAGCCACCGCCGTTCTTTACCGGGGTTGACGCGGACGCACACCCCCGTTGAGGTTGAAAGAGAGGGAGGCTACCTTTAGCCGAAGATGGGTAAAGTCAACATCTTAGTTGATCGGGCCTCGTGAACGATTGTCAAACCTGTGAAGATGGCCCCACCACGACTACTCCCCGCTTTCAACGCCGCGCTAAGCTCCATCGAAAGTCGTTCCCGTAGCCGACTCGTGGAAGGACGGGTCGTTTTAGAGGGAGCTCACGGCAAGCGACGTCATATGTGGTTGGAAGGTGACTCGATATTAACTCGCCAACTAACCACTACCCGTGAAAGTAGGTTTTAGTCGGGAAAAAAATTGAAAAATTCTAATTAATTTTCGATCTTACTTTAATGGGTAAACTTTATTTTTCTAATTAAAAGGCACACTTAATTTTCTTTCAGTGCTCTATTTTCTCTGCAGCAACTACCCGTGCCATTAAAATAGAAGTCAACGATCGCACATCACCGTGTTGCTTCAGTGCTCTGAAGCAACACGGTGATGTGCGATCACAAGTGGCTACAATCGTAGTACCTAGAGGAGGTCACCATCCAGAACGATGGCAACTGTGGAGTTTGGCTGGTTGGAGGGGAGTGATGTGGATCCGCGATCGCATTATAAAGAATGGTCAAAGAGCAAGATGCCGTCACTTTGGATGAACCCACGTCAAGTTACACAGCTAGTGCTTGAAACAATCGGTCATATTAACACACCAACTGTCAATTTGAACAACGATTGCATATTTTTTGAGAGACACCATTCAAATACTAGTTGTGAATCCCATCCAAGGATTTTTTCTCTCTTTTTTTAAGGAAAACGTTAATTTCAGCAGAAACTTTACGTTGTCCTTGATTTGTCTATCTTTGACATGCTTGCAGCTAAGAGATATTTAACAACTTACTTATCTATATTATGCTACAGACATACATGACCGCTAATTTCTTTTCCTCCGTTGAAGATTGCCCATGTCCCGTTGTAGCCTTTTTCCGTGTTCTTTAGCTCCTACACTCTTTTCTTAAACATAATTAAATCCCTGTTCGACAGCTTCCTCTGAATAGCTGTTCTTAGATGATCTTCATGCGTGGGAAACGGTATCCAAGGATATTTATCGCCTTTGATATCCCAATGAGGATTAAAGACTCGGTTGAGCCTCCTTGAGAGACCACAAATCAGATTCTTAGGAAATGTGGGTTGGAATTGACCCAAATGAACTTGGTCCGTTGAAAATAAGAATATGAACTTGTTTCGATGGTACCCGATTGTTTTATGCACTTTGTTTGCATGCACAAATAGACATTAAATTGTAATTGTACGTTGTAAACTTTGTCTGCAGCTTTCTCACCTTTCTTCTTGTTTGGGTCTAGATTCATCAGTTGAGAATAATTTATATTAGACGGAAGTAGACTGATAATTTTAGTAGATATTTTATGACAATAAAAATGAGGAAATAGACGTTTAGGTGGGTGGTGAACGTCACATTCTATCATATGAGAAACGAGTTCAATGTCCTTTATCTTTCGGTAGACCAAGAGCAACCTCCATTGTTTCATTAATTCCGTAAAAATACTGACTCGACTCCAAGTCCTTTTTTTTTAGATTTGATCATAAAGGTTGCGGACTTTCTTGGGTGATTGACTTGTCGAGCTAGCGTTGACACTTATCGCCTAGCTTAACATTCTCAGGCCGCAGGAACTGTTTTTATCCAAGTTTTTATTTTTTCTTTTTTCTTTCCGTCAACCACATACATCTTTGGTTAAGATAGCGTCATCAAGGAAGAGTCAACACAGAAATCGGAGTTCCCCTTCATCAGTATCCGTCTTGATTTGCCAGGTGTTCCCCGCTTTGGGCAATTCCGTCGTGACGCCGTCAATATTCTTCGGGCCGTCGCAGCCACCGGTGACGTCAAGCTCCGGCGACCCTTTCCTGTGGAACGCCTTCATCAAGACGTCTTCCCACGGTCCCGACCCCGGCGGGGCCGTTCTCACTTTCTCGCGAATGGTGGCCCATGGGATCCTCCCCGACAGGTTCTCATTCTCGCTTGTGCTCAAGGCGTGCCCCCGTGCGGCCTTCCTGGGCGAGGGCCTGCAGATTCACGGCGTGTTGATGAAATCCCGCCTCTATTCGGACCTCTTCTTGCAGAATTCCCTAATCGGTATCTACTGCCGGTGCGGTTTCTCGGGGCCGCCCGCCAGCGGGCCGATAGAATGCGCAAGCGATATTTTATCTCCTGCAACCTGATCATCAACGGATACTCCATGACGGGCATGATGCCTTCTGCTCAGGAGATCTTTGATCAGATGGCGGAAGACAAACGCGGCTCAGTTTCCTGGAACTCTATGATCTGCGGGTACGCACGGCTGGGCCGCAAGGGCACATCGACGCTGCTGCCAGGCACCTGTTCGCTCAAATGCCCGCTCGAGATTCCTTCTCTTGGAACTCCATGATCGACGGCCTCGTGAAGTGCGGGAGGCTGGCCGACGCAGCGGCTCTGTTTGAGCAGATGCCGGAGAAGAATGTGCTCGCCTGGGCCAGCATGATCTACGGTCACATGGAAGCTGGGAACGTCGAACTTGCCCGAGCCTTGTTCAACGAAATGCCTGATAAGGATCTAATCACATGGAACATCATGATCTCCGGGTACGCCAAGAATGGCTGTTTCATTGAAGCCCTCTCCCTCTTCCAGGAGATGCCCTCGAGGGGTAAACTCCACCCCGACAGCACAACTCTGGCAGCCGCCCTCTCTGCGATCGCCGAATTAGGTCAGATCAACGACGGGCTGTCTATTCACGAGTATATTCAGAGAAACTAGATGCCTCTGGGCGGCAAACTCGGGGTGGCCCTCATAGACATGTACTCCAAGTGCGGCCGGCTGGAGAAGGCTCTGAAGATATTCGAGATTTCAGGGCGGCGGAGTGTCGACCACTGGAACGCCATGATCGGGGGCCTGGCAGTCCATGGCTATGGGCGGCTAGCTCTCCATCTGTTTCAGGAGATGGGGAGGCGATCGCTGCGGCCGGACGACATCACCTTCATCAAGGTCCTCACCTTCGACAAAAGGAAAACATATGAAGAATGACCTCAGTCTTTAGATCCATATGAGAAGTTGGAAGAGCCAAGGGGTGTAGACCCATTAAAACAAAATATACAAAACTTAGGTGTACACTTTGTTCGTTCCAAACAAAACCACCATAGCTACTTGGTCATTCAAGGTGATGACGTTGACTGGAACGTTCTCTGCACTATGGTTGCCAAATGATGGATTTCTCAATAAGTTTGTAAAAGTAGTAGGGCCACGTATTTCCCATCCTCTTCAATTTTTTCAAAAGTAACATTCTCTATGGGTGTGATCATCTAGTTCGCTTTGGCCCATGCCACTTGCCATGGGATTAGAAGAACCCTTGGAAGGTGTTTAAGCGTTGACATTCTTATCGGATCTCTTGTGTGGTCTCCGCTCTTCCACCGACCTTCCCACTTATAAAAGATCAGATCGACTCTTAAGAATCTTCTTTATGTAATAAAGAGTGTCAACAACATCAAAAAACTCAAACACATGCAACTTAAGTTACATAAACATTCTTAAGTAAGTTCTATACCAAGTACCTTCTAATTTAACTACCATAATAGTAAGTCCAGCATGTGTTAAAATTGTGAAGAAATAAACACTCATGTGTTTGTTCTTTTGATTTTACCTTTATCCTATATAAAAACTATATTTTCTTAAATAATTATAAGAGTTGTTTGCCACAAAGTACAAATAATTTGCCACTTAAAATTTCCAAATTATACAACTCTTTACATATTTAGGAATAAATATCAACTTAAACATGATTGATAAATAAAAATTAAAACCATGAAATAAAAATAGTGAATTACATAAAAAACCATGCCTAGGATTAACATTGGTTGCTATTGAACTATGCCATTTTTTCCAAATGCACTAAGACTACCATTGTTATAAGATAAGTTTCTTTAAATACTTTTTTCACTTTTCTCATCTCCAATATCTTAACTTTATATATAGGTGTTTTTAGGATTTGTATTTTTATATTTTTTTCAGTCATATTTTACCCACATCTTGAATTTATATTGTTTATACATTTTAGTACATGCATGGTTATGTTTGAGTAGTTGTTGTTAGACATCTTTGCTAGCCCCAAGAAAAATTCACCGTAAAAAAAATGAACTCATCTCATTTATTCTGTGTTGCATCCAATTGTTTTGACTTTTGTCAATAGAATTTAGTATTTGTTGTTTTCATACTTAACTTCCATATAATTCTCATGAAAAAGTACACTTTATGATATAGTTGAAACCAAAAAAGATACACCTCATGGAGAATTTTGACTCTTATTTATTCTCTAATAATTTTGTCCAAGCTAATGTTTATTTCAATCTTCCCATCTTGTAGATATCAAGTTTCATAATTACTAATGTGAGAAATATGTGACCATGGAATTGGTATTAAAAATATGATGTCTACTAGCTTGAACAATAAAGATGATAATCTAAAAAGTCTAGTAGAAAGGAAGGAAATAAAGTAACTAATTATTAATAAATCGGGTCTAATTTATGGAAGCTCATTACCTTCTCTATTCTTTTAAATCACAAATTAATGAGTTCACAAATATTTTTGGGAAATATTTTGAAAAACCTTTCCATATTCTAGCTATTGATTTTTTTAATAAATAGAGACAATAAAAAGTCATTCCAACTTATATAGTGCATTTTCATTTGAGAGGAAGAACATGCAAGAGATCTAAATATTCCCCCTATATTACAATTATCAACTATCTAGACCATTGGTGAACATCATTTTCTTTTCTCTTTATGATTACATATTTTTGTTCATATCTCATCAGCTTTAATTAACATGTATTTAAATGATATCACAATCAACCGAAGCTCAATGAGTTTAGGATTGATTAAAAAATTATTTTTTGCTAAAAAAATTATATATTTCAAATTTTCAGTTACATATAACCTTTTAGTAATTTATTTTTTTAAAAAAAATCTTCACTTTCAAGGAACTAGTAAAGATATTGAGTTTGTCATGGGCCCGTAATAGTTTAACCTTTTCAATTGTGTCATATGATGTAATTCTCTTCATTTTCTTTATCTATTCTATTCATGATTAACTTCAATATTATTATCATCTAAAAAACTTTTAATACTGATGTAGATGGCATTAGAGGTATTATATGAAAAATTTCATATATACCTTCTTGTCTACTAATTTTTTTTATCATAATTGTTGTTTCTTTATGTCTTTTCATCTTGTAGATATAAAGCTTTTTACTCAATTATGGTTATGCAATGTGTATCATAAAGACATACACAAATTTAAGTATCTTTCATTGGACTTCAAGGTGTGATGATCATATTTTCAAAGGTTTAGAAAAAATAAGAGAAAAGTTTCACCACAAACCAACAAGTAGATCAAGGCATTCATCCATTTTATCATTATGCATAGTCATCCTTGAAAAAATAGCAATAATTTTTTTAAAGTAACATGAATAGAATTGCTTCAATTACCATAATACTAAAATATATATCATATGTTTCAAGACTATGCTTATCTTCTATAATAAATGATAATATATATATATTGAAATTTAGAGAATATTTGAACCAAGATTGTTGTAGGTATACAAAAATTACTATAGATTGTTAAAATAATACTTTACCAATGTTACCCTCCATTTAGGTAAAATAGGCAAAAAAAATTTATTCACATCTACAAATAGTTCAACATGATGATATTTTTCATTATTAAACTATACTTCTTTTAAAATTATGTAAAAAATATTTACGTTATCACTTTTTACCTTGTTCTTTAAAATAAAGTAAATCATAATATCACGATATGTTCTTCAAGCTTCATGATGTTATTTAATGAGAATATATAATTGGTGAAAAACTATCTTCTTTAGGACAACATTGTTAATAGATAACAAGTTTTTTAAGAGTAGAATGTGTGGATCTATCCATAGAGAGGGAAAATATTTCTAGCTTCTCATTCTTGAATGATATGTTATGTAAATTCGTTATAGAATGAACAACAAACTTTTTTTTCTTAAGTTTTACACTAACTTTTTGTAACTCAGCACAATATATGTTATGTCAATACCTTGAGTTTTTGAATCATGAATGGTGTGCACATATTTGTAATAGGAGACTGAAAGATTTAAAAGATAAGATAATATAGTAACATTTCTTTATAAGCTTGCCAATTTTAGAATCTAATTTACTAGTTATTTTAAAGATGGGTAAGGGATCAATTGGTTTAATTCTTTCATTTTCTTTAGTGCCTAAAAGCAAATGATTCAAAAGTGAGAAAGAAATCTAATTTGCTATCAATACCAACTATTTTAATACAAGATAGATGGCACAATTCATTGATGATAACTCACATACCATATGTTTTCTTCTTCCAAAGTAATATGGCAACATAAACTATATAAAAAAGCAATGGCTAATTATCATGAGCTTTATAAAAAAAATTTATTCTTGAGAAAATTTTCTAAAACATTAAACATATCAATATATTAATTATTTAATTAATCTCTCTTTTACACTTTTAATACTTGCTAGATTGGTATTATCATGATAGTATAATCTTATAGAGATTACATTAGGGTTGAAACTTCTAAGTTCTCTTTCTTAATGTCAAGTTGTATCCTTGTAGATGCTAGGGTTTAGTATTCTAATGACCTCATATGATAATACTAAGAGTTTTGCTTAATCAACCTTAGGAGTTCAAAAACTTCTATTATATATGAAAAATATGTCAAAACTCTTATTTAGCTTTTATATCCTAAGAATAAGAGAGTTGCATATGTCATGAAAATTACAAATCAATGTCAATGAATTCACCTATAAGTTTGAACTTTTGTAGATATCAAAAAAATTTAACATTAAATTAATTATAGTTTTGACCTCAAATTAATTATTTTGAATTAGGTGAACAAATCCTCAAAATAGATGACTATGAATGAGTTGACAAAAATATAGTAAAAACTTCAAAAAATTAAAAATAAAGATAGACATGATGTTCCATCTTTAGGATTCAACGTCATATCAAGTACTAATTGAAACAAATGGTCAAGATGCAAAACATTATGACATTTAAAGAATGATCAAGATAGATGCAATTGCTACCAAATAAACTAGAACAATGCCATTTTTTAAACTGTAATTGCATGTGCTTGTGATATTGTATGAAGAACTTCAATGATAATGATAAAATGAAATGTCTTATTTAGCTAAGGGTTCACAACCCCCTAAGTTAGTTACATTTGCTAAGTAGATTATATCAATAACTTAGGGATAATAAATAAATAAAAATAGAACATGCGTAAATGTGAAATGACAAACACACATCTCATCTTCTAACACTCCCCCTCAAGTTGGTGAATGAACATCTGTCATTTACAACTTAGTTATCAATTTTTACATAGTATGATTTTTAAGTTTTTTTGTGAGTAAGTATACATATTGGTTCTCTGATTTGACATGAGGGATGTTGAGAACTCTAGACTCAATATTCTCTTCAATGAAATTAACTCTAAGTACTTTGTTTGATCATGATGCATTAAATTGTATGCAATATATGTAAAATATTTTGTTATCACAAAGGAGTTTGATGGGCATCCCATAAAATATTTTTAGATCATCTATGATTCTCTTAATCCATAAGGCATTGGATACCACTTGTGCTATGGCTTTAAACTCTAACTCAACACTTGACCTTGTGACAACAAATTGTTTCTTATTTCTCCATGTAATCATTTTTTTATAAAATAACTAATATATTGATGTGAATTTTTGCATAATATACATCAATAACAAATTATAAATTAGTATTTCTATTAGATTGGAATAAAATTTCATACATAAGTATTTCCTTCAAGTATAAGAAAACACAATGAGCTACTTTGTCAAGGATTTATCTTAGATCATGTATAAATTGCCTAGGTAATTCCACAATATATGTGATATCATGCATGGTATGAGAAATACAAATCCATTTGCCTACTACTCTTTGATATCTTCTTTTGATAAATTTGTGGACTATCTTCTCATTAGCCAAATTTTATATCAAGATTAATAAAAATAGTTGTTGATCTACAACCACAAATACATGTTTTTCTTAATAAATCTAAAATATATTTTAATCAGGATAGAAAAATCTCATGTCTTGAATAAGTTACTTCTGTTCCTAAGAAGTATTTTAGATTTCATAATCCTTTATCTCAAAATAAGTTGATACTTTTTCATTCCATAATTCAATTTCTATTAAGTCATCTCCTATGAGGATCATGTCATCGACATAAATAAGAAAGATAGAGACTCCATTATCTTAATATTTTAAAAAGAGAGTATGATATGTCAGTAATCTATGTGTTACATAATTTTCGAGAACTTACCAATCACCCTTTAATTGCTACCATTGAAATCAATATTCACATAGTATTCATTTTTACTATTAATGTGAACATTTCACCATAATCAATTGTAATTTTTTTGTGTACTCTTTGGTGACTTATCTTGCTTTCTACCTCTCCACAAATCCATTCATATTATAATTAACGATAAACACTCACTTACATTCCACATTTTTTATCTCTAGAAAGTTTACTATCTCTTATATCTCATTTTTAACAAAGTCATCACCTCTACATCCATAACATTTTTTCATTTTATGTTATTTGAAACATAATACAATGTATTTGGGGTAGGAATCAGTCATATTCTCATAAGAAAGGAGGAATATGTTGGAAATAATTGATCATTTTACAAGGGGTACATTATTTATTTGTTATTGTCATAATAAATGGGTATTTACAGAATTTGACTCATTTAATGTAAATACATCTCATGTTGGAATTAAAGTGTAAAATTTGTCATTTTTTCTTCTTCAAATATATATTTGCTTATACCTATCCTCTAGGGTTAGAATATGTGATATAATTTTCTCTTGAGAATAAGTAAGTCCCTTGTCATGTTTCTAATCCACTCCTGAGAGTAAGAACAAGTGCATCTGGTGTTCTAATATCATGTAATTTTTCAAGCCCTAATCTCATGTGCCTGTGGCGTTGTTTGATTAAGAACTTTAAAGGTAACTATAAAATGAAAAGTTTTATTCAACGTAGGGTTCACTACCCCTTGAGTACAAATAGTCAGATTATTAGGTCAATTATAGTTAAGAAGTGGACTTGACCTAATAACTATAGGGACAAGAAAGAAAAAAAAGTAGAACATATGTAAATGTGAAATGACAAATACATCTCATCTTCCAACAGAAAATGTATCCACTTTGTAAGAGGGCAAGTGTACTAAGAGGGGAATTTTTTTTAAGAAAGGTATGTTGCAAGACTTGGCCTTATTGTTGTTGCAGAAACAAAGGAATTATTTTCTAATTTTAATTATAACTATGGCTTGGGAGGACAATATTTTCAAATAACTAGCTAGAAAGGAGGAGAGATTATTAATGTGGAGGGGAAAAGATGGGAATTAGTCAGAATTTTGAATTTTGAAGTGCCCAAGGCTCTGTATTTATTTATACCCTCTATTTAGAGGACTTGATAGGTTAATAAAATAATTAAGACCGATAAAATATGAAAAGAAAAAATAATGCCCATAAACCACTAGGAGACGACAAATATTTGATATTGAAAGTGACGATGGTTAATATTCTACTAGCGAAGGAAGAATGCGTGGCGCCGGGTCAAGACCATAGGCTTAACTTCCCTTTGCTTAGAGAAGGCCCACCATCATCTTTCTCTGATGAGTTGCGGAGAAGGTTCATCATTTGGGCGAATCAGAAACAGTGCGCCCGGTGAAGTCGTCGGCAGAAGCAGTGGATCCGGTGGCTTCCGCAGAGCCGTACTCGATTTCGGCTTGCCAGGTGTTGCCGGGCAGTTCGGTCGTGACGGCGTCAATATCCATACGGTAAAGATGACGCCGACGACTCCGGCGCTCACCAGCCATCCCCTTTCGGAGTCGCCCGCCACCGCCATTGCCCTCATCCCCAGGTGCAGGACTACCCGGGACGCCGACCAGGTCCACGCCCGCCTCGTCACTACCGGAGTCCTCCGAGAACCATTCACCGCCGCCCATGTCGTCCTCTCTCTCTGCTCCTCCCCACAGGCTCCGCTTCGCCACCTGGCCCGCCGTATCTTCTTCGGGCCGTCGCAGCCACCGGCGACGTCAAGCTCTGGCGACCCTTTCCTGTGGAACGCCTTCATCAAGACGTCTTCCCACGGTCCCGACCCCGGCGGGGCCGTTCTCACTTTCTCGCGAATGGTGGCCCATGGGATCCTCCCCGACAGGTTCTCATTCTCGCTTGTGCTCAAGGCGTGCTCCCGTGCGGCCTTTCTGGGCGAGGGCCTGCAGATTCATGGCCTGTTGATGAAATCCGGCCTCTATTCGGATCTCTTCTTGCAGAATTCCCTCATCAGTTTCTACTGCCGGTGCGGTTCTGTCATGACCGCTCGCCAGATGTTCGATAGAATGCGCAAAAGAGATTCCATCTCCTCCAACCTGATCATCAACGGGTACTCCATGATGGGCATGATGCCTTCTGCTCAGGAGATCTTTGATCAGATGGCTAAAGATGAACGCAGCTCAGTTTCCTGGAACTCTATGATCTGCGGGTACGCGCGGATGGGCCGCGAGGGCATCGACGCTGCGAGACACCTGTTCGCTCAAATGCCCGCTCGAGATTCCTTCTCTTGGAACTCCATGATCGACGGCCTCGTGAAGTGCGGGAGGCTGGCCGACGCAGCGGCTCTGTTTGAGCAGATGCCGGAGAAGAATGTGCTCGCCTGGGCCAGCATGATCTACGGTCACATGGAAGCTGGGAACGTCGAACTTGCCCGAGCCTTGTTCAACGAAATGCCTGATACGGATCTAATCACATGGAACATCATGATCTCCGGGTACGCCAAGAATGGCTGTTTCATTGAAGCCCTCTCCCTCTTCCAGGAGATGCCCTCGAGGGGCAAACTCCTCCCCGACAGCACAACTCTGGCAACCGCCCTCTCTGCGATCGCCGAATTAGGTCAGATCAACGACGGGCTGTCTATTCACGAGTATATTCAGAGAAACCAGCTGCCTCTGGGCGGCAAACTCGGGGTGGCCCTCATAGACATGTACTCCAAGTGCGGCCGGCTGGAGAAGGCTCTGAAGATATTCGAGATTTCAGGGCGGAGGAGTGTCGACCACTGGAACGCCATGATCGGGGGCCTGGCAGTCCATGGCTATGGGCGGCTAGCTCTCCATCTGTTTCAGGAGATGGGGAGGCACTCGCTGCGGCCGGACGACATCACCTTCATCGAGATCCTAAACGCCTGCAGCCATTCGGGCCTGGTGGAGGAGGGCCTGGCTTTCTTCTCGGCCATGGAGGCCGAGTACAATATGACCCCCAAGGTCCAGCACTACGGCTGCGTGGTGGACATCCTCGGCAGGGCCGGCCGGCTCGAGGAGGCCAGAAGGCTAATCGAGGGCATGCCCATGGGGCCCAACGAGGTGGTCTGGAGATCCCTGCTCAGCGCCTGCAAGAACCACGGCAGCGTTGGAATCGGGCAGAGCGCGGCCAAGAATCTTCTTCAGATCAGTTCCTGCGATTCCAGCTCATACATTCTGCTATGCAACATGTACGCGGGGGTCAGGATGTGGGCCGACGCTTGCAGGATCAGAGCGGCGATGAAGGAGAGGGAGATCCGGAAGGTCCCCGGCTGCAGCTGGATCGAGCTCGAAGACTCCGTTCATGAGTTTCTCGTGGGTGGATGATACTTACCTGGAGCTATTCGTCGTACATCATCTGTCGATGAAGAAGAAGACGAAGAAGGCCGCTCCGCTGTAAAATTGTGGAAATTGAACGATAAATTATTCATTTCTGGGTGTAACTTTTTTCCATCTCCGGGTAGTTTCTGGGAACGTTTGAGATTCGGTTAACGTTTTTGCCATGTTGATAGGCCGAGCCCAGTTGTCTAAATGGTCCATGTTGGGCGGGTTTTAAAACGGGCCGGAGATGAGACTTTCTGGGCCTGGGCTCGGTGGGGACAGGTGGCGACAGGTTTAGCACACGGCTGGCTCCTCCGCCTACCTCGTAAGGGAAATCTGGCGAAAGCGGAAGCCTTTGGGGCGTCGTCGGGACGCAGAGGCGGCGGAAAAGGAGAGAAAAGATGCCTCGTTTGCTCCCCGAGACGTTCCCTTCTACCTGGCGGCTCGCCGGGACGGCACTCTCCTCCTTCCGCTTCGCCGCCGGCGGGCGCAGCAGCCTCAGCCGCCTCGTGCACTCCTCCTTCGAGAAGCTCTCCGCCGAGGAGAAGGGGAGCCTGGAGGCGGCGGGTCCCCTCGCGTGCCCCCTCAGGTCCCGCTCCGTCATCCGCTTACAGGGCACCGACGTCTTCAAATTCCTCCAGGGCCTCCTCACCAATGACGTTCGCCCGCTCGCCGAGCCATGTTCGCCGGCCTCACCCGCTTCCTCCTCCGCTGCTTCCTCGTATCTGCCGACGACCAATCTGCCGCTCTACCAGCCATCGCCGGTTTACGCGGCGATGCTCACTCCTCAGGGGCGGTTCCTGTACGATCTCTTCCTCTACCGGCCTTCTCGACCCGGGGAGAAGCTCGACCGCGCTGGGACCGGTCCAGGGCCTGAGAACCACGACGGGGATCACACACTATTTGCAGACGTCGATGGAAGCCTTCTGGATGAGCTCTTGGGCTGCTTCAGGAAGTGAGTGTTAGTTCCTCGCCTCTTCCCACTTCTTTGGGTCGCAACAAGCTGAAAAATTGGGCTACCGGTAATCAGGCCACCTCACAGTTCTCATCTACTTCGAATTCCAAAGAACTGTTCCCTCCCTCTCCCAACCCCACCCTTACATTCTTCCGTCCTGTTCCGGTAAGCGTCATGGGACATGATTACTAAATCCTGGGAAAAACCGGCCTCATTGGACAACGAGATCGGTTCTTCTGGTAGAAATAGAACCTGAGTATTTGAGCTGAAAACACAGCAATTTTCACCTGCGTTCTACAGAATTCTCGTTGAGGAGATTGCTGGCGTTTTTGCTATTATCCCCGTTTTTTTTAGGTTTCCGTAGGCCGTTCTTCCTGGTACTCACTCTCTTTTGCGTGATTCTTTTTTTTTTTTTAAAGATTTATTTGCTTATCTTGACTCTCAGTTCCGGGTCAAGAATTTTCATCACTTTCTTCAAGGACAGGAATGCCCTACTCCTCTGGTTCTTAGTTTCAGGAGAGTGAAAACTGTGCTATCTTATTTATCTCATGCGAGTATTGATGACCCATGTGATTAATTCAACTTCCAAAGCAGCAAATGTCCCTTTTTTGTCCTATTTCGTTCATTCTGTGCTTCTTAAACTCTAAACATGTGTATATATTATGTTTTAGTTAGGCTTTTGACGAGAAGATTTGGATAGAACTCGCCGTAACCCGATGTGTGAGCCGAGCATTTCAAAGAATATCAGGCAAACCTGTCTTTTATTGTCAAATCGGGTCTTGGAGCTTGCAGTAGAACGCATGCATCGCGGTATATGTGTATAAAAATGCATAGATATCTATTTATATATATATCTATGTAAAAGTGAAGAAGTTATGATTTGCATTTGAAATATTGTGCAATGTGAATGGGACCTTGGTTTGATGCGTGCTCATGGCTTGTCTCATTTTATATGTAATTTTGTGCTGTAGATACAGGCTGAGATCCAAAGTTGAGATAGCTGACGTGACAGAAGAATTGACTTGCTGGCAACGTTTTGGTCGTGGCCTCGATCAGGGATCACCCGAGGAACCTGAAGCTGCTGGTCTTGGCTGGGGAGGGGGCGTTGACCTTGCTGGGATTTCATCCGCAGAAGGAAACACCTATGGGTGGCGCTGGTTCAGGGATCCTAGACTTCTTTCCCTCGGATTTAGGGGCATCTTCCCGGCTGACACAATCCGTAAGACTATTCAATCTGAACCCATACAATATATTATTTAAGATCTTACTAAACGTATGTAGCTTGGATATCATTTATGGAAATTCAAGGAGCCATTTTTAGAACTTGGGTTTTGGTTCCCTCTGCAGCTCCTCTGGTCGAGGCCGATAAGGAGACGAGTGAAGAGAACTATCTGAGATGGAGATTAGAGAGAGGAGTCGCAGAGGGTTCCACCGAGATCCCCAAAGGTAACCCCGCCTTCCCCCAAGGACATGGGGGAGGCCGCAGCAGGCCTCGGCACCTTCTTCATGACGACTTTCGCATTCGACTGGACTGAATGAACTGAACGAATTGAGTTGCTCCCCTACTCAGGCGAGGCGATCCCTCTGGAGTACAACCTGGCGGGGCTGAACGCCATCAGCTTTGACAAGGGCTGCTACGTGGGGCAGGAGTTCGTCGCTCGCACGCACCACCGTGGGGTCATCCGCAAGCGCCTCCTTCCCTTCAAGATCGTCGATAAGACTGGTGCAGGTACGACTCCGCCAGAAGCTCCTTCTGTTTGCGGAATCACGGTGGCTGATGTTGATGATGCTTGGGTTTCTTCTTTACATTAATCTTCCCCACGGGCTTAACAGAGGTGGAGAAGGAGATAGCTTCTGGGTCGGATATTATGGATGCGGCCTCCGACAAGAAGGCCGGAACCGTGGGCATTGTCTTCGGCTCACGTGGGATGGGACTGCTCAGGCTGGAAGAGGCCTTCAAGTCGCCGTCGTTGACCATCAAGGGGCAGGAGGGCGTCGAGGTCAAGGTCATCAGACCAGGCTGGTGGCCGCCCGAATGGAGGCAATAAGCAGACTGCGGCTACTTAGATTCTTCTTCGCCAATCTTCTGCAAAAAATTCCTGCGCAACCAATAATATTTTTTAGTTTATACTAAGTTACAGCTTCATGTGCATTTTATCGATGGCTGAACAAAGATCCAACGTCAACGGTTGCCCCTCCGCATCTTGAAGCGGGAGGCTGGCTTTGAAGAGTTGGTCAACGGGGCCTGTGGAATGAACCATGATAGTAAATAACTTATGCTGATTGATTTTATATGTATATAGATGAAGGTGGCTGACATAAGGTTTGAATATGGGTACTGCGTGGAATACCTGGTTGGCAGCGTCCTTGTCTGGGGCGGTGGGCGGCAGGCCATGACTGCGCTCGATAATAGACCCTGTGAAAGCCTGCATGAGATGGGCCTGTGAGGATCGAAGCCCAAGAAGCGAACGCACTAGGATTAAACTAAATCGATGAGATTGAGAAGGCGAACCTTGGGAAGATCAGATCCTGCTCTCAGAGATCGTTCTGGAAAGTCAGCAGCAGAATTCTGCCAAGCAAAATCATTCTCTCTCCATGGTCAGTCACCCAGCATACAGAGAACAAAGAACAGGCCAGTGGCATTTGACTGGTGAACAGGTGATATAGGAAATGGAGGGAGGGAGGGAGAGCTTGATACCTCAGCAACCCTTTGCAAGGTCTCTTCATCAACTAATCCCTTCATAGGAGATTCAATAGATTCATGGCGTTCGTATTCTCTCACAGATGGCAGCCCAGCGGCAGCTTGCTTCTGCCCGACTCCTTTTCCCTCTGGGCTCTGTCCCAAATCCTTGAGCTGCGCCTCCTATCCCATGGAGATCGCAATAAATGAGGGCGTGAGCTCAATTATCATTTATTGGCGGGTTTATTGAGAGAAAATGGGCGAGTAATCTGGTTTCTTTACGAGGGAAATTCTGTCTTGTTATGAGACCGGAAATCAGTTACCAGTGAAGCTCTGATGCCATGGCCATCAAAGGCATGTGGAAATGAGGAATCGGCTGAGCTAGCATGAGCCCTGTCCGTTTCTTCATCACTAGAAGCGCACTCTGCTGCTTTTTCTTCGTCCTCTAATTCGTCCAGTCTGGACATAATCCGAGCATACTCTTCCTCTGAAATCTGAGTACCACCTGCCAAAGAGGACCAAGCAGCAACTGAAGATGGGGCACTAGGAATTGAGTCAAGTCAAATTGAGAATTCCCTTTTTACTTTCTCGAATAAAAACGTAAAACATATGCATAAATTAAAAAAAAGAAAGCTCGTATAATTTAATGTCTGAATGATACATGTGATTTAACTATCCGAACACTGGAGCTGAAATGAACAGAAATGTGATGAAGCAGAAATTCATGTGGGCAGAATAAGGAGGCTCTCCAGAATGTTGGGAAAAGTAGATAATTAATACCATCATTATAAGAGGTTTCAACTGATAATTGGAGAACCCTTTGTGCTCCATTCAATAAATCTCCAGCAATTCTAAAGCACCATCTTGGAAACCTAAGCGCTTATCCAGGAGAAACTTTTAGTACTGGTGCAATCATAGAGAGTCCAGAGGTACAAGTTGTTTAGTTATGTGGAGCCTAATCATTATCTTGATACGAAGTCAGGATAACTTAGAGAGAGAGGGAGATAGAGAAAAACTGACGTGCAGTGCAAGACTTCTAGAGCACCAGTCAGACATAAGATGCGAAAGTATAGATCATTGTTCTCGAGCAGTTATTTATTCGTCATACTAGCCGATATGCTTTAAGTGATTTCTGGCATGAGAATACTAAAAATAGGAAGAAGTTTCAAGAAAAGCATATGAGGATTACCTGATTCAGCTTTATTTTCAGCTGGGAAGTCCTCCACATAGTCTTCCCTTATTTCTACCAGGCCTTCCTGCGTTAAAAGTATGATAGATGAGATTACACAGATACAAATGCATAGATAAGTATCAGTTCGGCGCTATTGTTCGAGCAGTGAAATTATTCAGCTGAAAGCACCATTCGAACTTTATGGCCAGGATAATAAAACTGCATAAGCAATAAAATATATCAAATCTTTTGCATTCGAAATCTAATTTTATTCCAAAATAGTCAACTCCGACAGGATGGATATTGACTTATATCTGTTACTTAGAGCCCACATCGCATAGTGGCAATTCTTCCCGGCGGAGATTTTGTTCAAGGATGAACACAATTTTTCTGATAATTTATGCGATTTTTTCCCAACGGAATATAGATGTTGAATATCTACGTATATTGTTCATCTTCTTTGCTCGGAAGGCATGAAATTCTCCTCACTACAAAATGCGCTCACAAAGCGTTGCAATTTGCTGCTTGCCACGATTTTCATATTAAATAAACAACTGAATTTCTATATTCACAGAGAAAGTGTGATCGATTCCAATTGATGCTAAATCAAACTACATTTGAGAGAGCAAGCCCGTATAGCTGATTTAGAGATAACGTTATTCAGCGCAGAAAGGTTTTCATTATAATTTTGTATAGTACTTACGGATGTCGAAAGGTATAAATCTCTAAATACAAATAAGCATCACTAATTTCATGATATGGCAATATAAATTCCAAAATGGGCATCAAATAGCTACCTCGGCCTCAACAGCTGTAGCACTGAAAAACTTGGCCTCTGTATCAAGGTCTGTTATCATTGCCTTTAGGGACTCAACTTGAGAATCTAAATCCTTCCCTCGCCTCTGTAGAATGTCGACCGTTTGCTTCGCTGCTCGTTCTACATAATACCCTTCTCCCAACAGAACCTTGAACCGGACCATAATATTAAGTCAAACTCACATGGTGTTCTCTACGGTTCAAGAATAAATAAAAACATCGGGAAGCAATCGTAGTTTTGGAGCTGATAGTTACCAAGAACTCGTTCGTGTGTATCAGACGACCGGGAAAAAATGCCGCCTTCCCAAAGGGTACCTGTCCATGCCAAGACAAAGCATTTTAGGTAATAATGCAACGATATTTCCCCAGATCAAATCAAATATGTGCAGACAAGAGGAGCAGAGATCTGGGACTCAGACCATAATTTCGTGGGAGAGTTCATCTGGGAGCCGCTGGACAAGGTTGATGAGGTTGTTGTTTTCAGAGGAAAAAAGGGAGAGACGATCAAGTTCTTTCTGACGCTCAGAGATGGCCTCTCGCACTCGTTTCGCAGCGTTGTGGGCCTCCTCAGCAGGGATCATGGAAGCGAGAGGGGTGACTGAACCTTTTACTGGAAGATCCGCCATGGTGGAGGGGATGTCCACCGTGGGGTCTGTAGCACTTATCTGCTCCACGCAAGCTTCAATTATCCCAGTGATGAAATATAAAGTGAAATAATTGGAGAAACTTTCTAAGTAATTATCTGAACAAATAAAGGGTACAAGAATGCACCTTTATAGACTGAACATCAAACTAGTTCCATGGACTTCACTCGAGAACTAGTTGTGGGAAAATACTGGAGAAGCAGAGAAGAATAAGGCGCCCAGGAGCAGCCAGTTGAGAATGAGTTGATCAACAACCTTCCTAAACCTTCCTATTCGATCGATCCGAGGGCAGGTGAAATCCAGATAAGCTTCCGGATTCTAAGATTTCTCATCACGCCACAATCACAGAAATGGGCAGGTATGCGTGGAATCAATTCAGAAGCCAACAGAGGGGAGAGACGGAGGAAGGCAATGAAAGAGGGAAGGAGATACCTTCACCAGACTACGGCGGTTCAGCGACGGAGGCAGTACGGAGATGATGAGGCCACAGAAGCGAGCTGATGAAGTTTGCGGTCGAACGGGGGAGACGAATGATGCCGACGGATTGAAGACTCGGAGAAGAGAAGGCAGAGGCTACAACAACGAAAGTTTAAAAATGGAGAAAACTCGCTTTTCCGAGCCGAAAACCTAGCAGAGCCACCGGGAACTGGAGCAGGGGAAGGGAGAAGGTGAAGCTCGCAGGGGTTTTGTTGCCCGCCAGAAGGGGTTAGAGCCTGGGCTTGCTACAGGGAAGACGAGAGAAGTTGGAGAAGGGTTCCTACCGGTATGTTTCCTCACCGGGCATCAGATCCAAATTAATGGGCCAGCCTCCAGATTATCAGGCCCATTACTACCAGGTCATTGCCTATAAATACTCGAAACCTGGCAATAAGGGGATCCACAAGCAGTTTACTGGAATCTTACCATCCGAGTTCCACGTCGGATGCCTCCATTTTAGTAATATAAACTAACTACTAAATTAATTAAGCACTTTCGGTTGATTAAATAGCTGAGCAACGTAATTCGGATAAGACTAGTGAGCAAGACGACAGCTACACTGAAAAATTAACGGCACTTTTCGTCCCCTCCGGCTCCGGCGCCGGCGCCAGCGAGGTGCCGGAGTGAGTGGCCCCACAGCCATCAACTGTTGTTACAGCACAGCTCTTGAACTACCGACGACATGGTCGGCCGCTGGGTCGGCGTCTCGCTGGTGCAGACCAACGCCAAGGACGCCAATTTCGCCGCCTCCGGCTTGGGGTAGTTCCCTTCCAGGCGCCTGTCGATGAGGTCCTCGAGCTTGCCGGGCTCGGCACCGGGCCGCAGGGGATTGACCTTCGTCCTTCCGGTGAGGATCTGCAGCAGGATGACGCCGAAGGCGTAGACGTCGCTCTTCTCGGAGAACCGGCCCGTAGTGGCGTACTCGGGGGCCAGGTAGCCCATGGCGGCGCTGGCCTTGAGGCTGGAGAAGACGACGTCGTCCGCCAGCAGCTTGTGGAAGCCGGCGCCGGAGATCAGCGGCTTGAAGTGGTGGTCAATCAGGATTTTCTCCGATGATATGTTCTGGTGAACCAGAGCGGGCTTTTTCTCTCTGTCGGAGTGCAGATACTCGATTCCTGGTTGAAGATCGGAGGGGTGATTGGTTGTGAAGGAAACAGTGCGGGCAGATCAAGAAGAACGAGCCAGAAGCTTCAGTTAGTTACCTCTGGCAATGCCTTTGATGATGGCGACTCTCTGGGGCCAACCCAGAACCCTAGAACTCTCCTCCTTCCCCTTGGTCTCCAGGTACTGAGACAGGCTGCCATTAGCGACGAAGTCATAGAGGAGGAAACACTCACCCCTCCCGCTGGAGCAGCAGAACCCCCTCAACCCTACAAGGTTTTCGTGCGACAGGGAGGCCAGCAGCTTCAACCCCTTCAGGAACTCGCCCTCCTCCGCCTTGCAGCTGGTCTTGTTGATGCTCTTCACCGCCACCACCGACCCGTCTCTGAGGATCCCCTTGTACGTCGCCGCGAAGTTGCTCTTCCCCAGCAGATTAACCTCTGAGAAGTGCTGAGTGGCCGACTCGACCTCCTCCAGATTGAATCTCAAGCTCCGGGAGACATCCTGGGAGAACCCGCCGCCGGCCAAGGAGTCCCAGCCGCTGGTGTAGCCGACGCCGACGGGGGCCGACGGGCTCTTCCTGATCGCCTCCTTGACCTGATCAGTGCTGAGCCTGCTGTCTGTGATCTCGATGGAGCTGCCGATCTTCTGCTTTCGCCTGCGGTAACAGGCGAAGGCCAGTAGGCCAGAGACGACTCCCACGGCACCGACTGCAATGGCGGCGATTACAACAGGCAATGAAGAGGAAGAGGGCTTGGAAGAGTGGCTGCCATGGGTCTTCACGTAAGCCGACTGCGGAATTCCGGTGTGAGCGAGGCCACTGTAGGGCTCTGGCTTGTTGGGCTGGAGGAGATCCGCAGAGTTGCAGAGCCTGAGAGACGAGAACCCAGCTCCGCAAAGACCCCTGTTGTTCGCGTAATGGAATCTGCCCTCCATCCTCCTGAGGCCTTCACCGGAGAAAAAGGTATCAAAAAACGAGGCCAAGAACCAGGCGAACGGATTCCGAGGAAGAGTAATGAGGAGCTACCGTAAGGAACCTTGCCAGAGAGACTGTTGTTCCGAAGGTCTAGAGCCAGCAGACGAGGAACCAGGGCGAGTTTGGAGGGGATAGAGCCGAAGAATTGGTTGAAGCTCAGATCCAGCCGGGTAAGCTCGGGCAGGTCCCCCAGGCTCGCCGGAATGGCCCCAGTCAGACGATTAGACTGAAGAGCGAGGACATTGAGCTCCTTCAGAAGCCCCACCTGGTTGGGAATGCTCCCGCTGAGCCTATTGTAGCAGAGCTGGAGAACTACACAGGAAGAAGCCATCATAATCTCAGCAAGGGTACAACTCCCTCTTGTCTCCATTGTCCAGGAAGATCTCACCTTGAAGGCGAGCCATGTTTCCGATTGCCGGCGGGATGCTGCCGGAGAGGTTGTTGACATTGAGGTAGAGATCGGTGAGCTCGGTGAGGTTGGCGATCTCCGGGGGAATCACCCCCTTCAGCTCATTGTAGTGGAGGAAGAGACCAGAGAGGGACTGGAGCCTCCCCACCGCCGGCGAAATGGTCCCCGGCAGCCTCTTCCCCTGCAGCGAGATGTTGCTCACTCTGCCGAGTTTGTCGCAGGCAACTCCTTCAAAGTCCCCCCCGCAGGGATCTCCCTCCTCCGTCCACGAAGTTAGGAACTGGCCATCCGGATCCAGCGAAGCCTTGAGCTCCATGAGCACCGCCACTTCTTCATTTTCCCCGGTAGCGGCGCAGAGCAGAGAGAGGAGCAGCAGCAGCGGCAGCAGCTGGTCGGCGGTCAAGCTACCCATTTCTCTCCTGAACCTCCACTGATCCTCCCTTCCACCGTCTGCAGTCTTCTTCTTCCCCTTGCTTCGTTCTGAAGGTATTCATGGGGAGCAGAGGAGAGCGCATTTACTCATCTGCAGGAGCCGATTTCATTGTGCCACTGGCGAAGACCTTCGAAGGTCCCGAGGCCACTTCCCCCGCCGCCACCCGTTCCCCTCTCTCTTCGTCCTGTTTTCAAATTTTGAACTCCCCGCTTCCGTGCAAATGCATTGGTGGCTAGTCAAATCAGTGTCAAATGCCGCCGACGGGCCCGGTCCGCCGACAGCACCAGATCTCCGGTCATCACGGCGGGTCCGAAGTCAATACCTGGGCCATAGGAACGAGCCGACTCCGCAGCACATAAGTTTCTGTGGTATTTTCGCGTCCCAAGCACATGACCCATTGGGCCTTAATGGGCTACACCAAGCAAACTGATCATGGGCCGTTGTACATTAATGGGCCACAATGAGGGTTTTTGGCGGGCGAATTGTAGGCCCGTTAAACTATTGGGCCTAATCCAAGAGGCCGCCCATCTGATGGAAACAAAGTGCGCCACTATATATTATGCTAGGCTAACGCGCGGAGCAGATTTTCTAGGGTTTCTGAGCCGAGAGCTGTGTGCCATCTTAGCGCCGCCACTAGGTTCGTCCCTCGGCTTCGGGTTCGCGCACCGCCGTCAACATGGGTCGTATGCACAGCAGAGGGTGAGTGGGGATTCTCTCAACATCATCTACTGGTTCTTCCCGTCGCTCGATGCTACATGCTCGTGTTTTTTTTTTTCGTTCTCTTTTCGCATCGCAGTAAGGGCATCTCCGGATCCGCCCTGCCTTACAAGAGGACCCCTGCGAGCTGGGTGAAGACCTCTCCACAGGATGTGAGTGCAGCTCTCCTTCGGCATTCTCTTACATCTCCGGCTCTTCTTTTTTCTGCTATTTTTTCTCACAATCTTAGTCGAAGACAGGTCGAAGAGAGCATCTTTAAGTTCGCGAAGAAAGGGCTGACCCCATCTCAGATCGGTGTCATACTTCGTGATTCACACGGTATTGCTCAAGTAAAAAGCGTCACCGGCAATAAGATCCTGCGTATCTTGAAGGCTCATGGTAACTCCTATATACCATGTTATTTTTTTATTCGTCCATTTATTTTTCTTCGTTTGAAATCTTCACTTTGTCGCCTGAAACCACCTGTATTTTCATAGGTCTGGCTCCGGAGATTCCGGAGGATCTTTATCATCTGATTAAGAAGGCGGTGGCCATCAGGAAGCATCTAGAGAGGAACAGGAAGGACAAGGATTCCAAGTTCCGCTTGATCCTTGTGGAGAGCAGGATTCATCGCCTCGCCCGCTACTACAAGAGGACTAAGAAGCTCCCTCCCGTCTGGAAATAGTAAGATTTTACGTTGATCATTTTTTTTTGCAATTTTTTTGTTTTCTTTTTATTTGATTAATTAAGATTGCTTCCTGCCTTGGGACGGGGGCGTCTTTTCTTTTCTGGATGTTCGATTTGCACAGTTGTTTTAATTGAGTTATAATCCACGCGCGGTGCGGCAGGTCTACTAACAATTTTGTCCTAAGAAATGTTCCAAAATTGAAATGGGAAGAAATATTTTATCTTTTTAATATTACACGCGCGCTATTTTCTTCGTTATTGCTAACATTTGAACAGTTAATATATCTCAAATATTAAACATGTACTATGAAAAATAGTTGAAAATGATCCGTGATTGGGCTGGTAGATTTTCTGTTTTCCTTTTCTTAAAGGATTATACCATGCGAAACTTACCTTAGTTTTTACCTACGCTCTCCTTTATAGAAAACTGATTTGTTGAAATACCTAGTCTTAGTTTATCACCTCCAAATTAGAAGATCAGCTTTACAACAGCATTAATAATTACACTACTGCTTCATTGCGTCCTTTGCTCTTGGGGCAGTATGGATTTTGGGTTCATTTGTTCATGTGAAACTCTCTTGGAATATCGACCTGGATTCAACGAGGCCCTCACTAAACAGTTTATTGATTGCAACATTGTCCACTCAAGATAACGTCAAATTAGATGATCTCCGTTTGTATTTCTGCTTACATTCATATTCATGTTAACGAGGAGGTTGAGAAACAGTGAGTTGGTAAAGACTTAACTAAATAGTTGGCCTCAGGCCTGCTAGGACTGTCTGTTGCGGGCTTTAGGTTCCCCAGAAGAATGCCCGATTGTTTATTATTTATACTTGTGTAATCTTAATGGTTACTCCGTATGTGTGCGAAACTGATTTTTGTAAACAGTCTTAGAGACGCATAAATGCTGAATTTTTAGTCCCGTCAATTGCTTTATTGAATAGGATGGTTAATGAGTATAAGTAATTAAATGGGTTAACATTGTATTTCTGGGTTATTTTCTGATCACTGAACAGCGAGTCTACCACTGCAAGCACTCTGGTGGCGTAGAGACTGTGGCTGAAAGTAGTCCGATTCCATCGGATCTTCCTCCAAAGCAAAGCCTCGCCGTGCTTTTAGTGTGAATTTTCCTTATGCTTTATCTTAATCCGACTGGAACCAAATTCCTTTTCCATGTCATCGAACCAAGTGTTTGGTACATTTCGATTTTGATCTATTAAATGAAGTAGTTTCATATTCCATTCATTGCCCACAATTTCGTGACGATTCCGGATTAAGATCGTTGAGACTCCCGGAGGACTTCGGGAAATATCTACCCACACGATAGCGACTCTTTCTCTCTCCTTTCTCGAAGATAGTATTGTCAACAACAGATGATGAAAGATGGTCCTTTTCTCGTAGACTGTGAATTGCGGTCCATCCTCCAGACGGGGTGAGAACTGCGTTCGAAATTCATTATCTTAACGTTCGCAATCCCCCCAGCGTAGCGTATTCGATTAAGACGCCTTCCAGGCGGAAAGCGAGGGATCGCCTTCTCAGAGGCATTTCGTCGAGCAGGCATCTTACATGATCCGATAATCGTCAAGGGGAACAAAAACAGAGCCAATCTATTTCCTCGCCGGGGCTCGAAGGTTTTGAAAACGAACGGAAGGAGAGGACTGCCTGCGGCAGTAGATCCACCCGGTGCCATTGATGAAGGAGAAAAACGACTACACTGGCATTGATTTGACAGAAATTGAAGCTAGAGCAGAGCCAAGATCGGAGAGAGGGCTGTCGCCGGCAGCGACGAGGGCATCTTCTCCTTCTGAATCGTCGCCAGTGGAATTGCTTACTCGTCAGATTTCTTCGCCTGGTCACTCAAATCCCTGAACTTCTCCTTGAAGGCGTCCTGATTCCGCATCCACATCATGTGGCCTTGCAGGGCGGCGGCCCAGACGACCAGGAAGGACGCGAACCAGAATTTCCTGTCCTTGAGCAGCTTCGCCGCCTCCATCCGGCGTTCTCGCAGCCGCCGGCGAACGGAACCGCTGATCCCCCCGGCGGCGCCTTGCCCTAAGCGAACACTCCGCTTCTGTCTGAGGCAGAAGCCAGCGAGTCACCGACTCCGACCGACTCGGCTGACTCGAAGGGAAGAAGAGCACGAGTCGCATTTAATGGGCCTGCTGTCAACAAAAGGATGACGATAATGTGCTCGATTAACAAAGAAGCACCATACGGCCCGTATCTCCGAACGAAGCCCTCCGGTTCATCGTTACCGGCGCGAGAGAGCGAGAGGGAGCAAGAGAGAGCGAGAGAGAGAGAGCGCTATGAGTGGTGCCATCAAGATCACGCGTGGGCTGCCGTAAGCGGGGCTGGCGCTCGTCCCGGCGGAGAACATGCTGGCAAGCCTGCCCACGGAGGTTTCCCCACTTTCGGATTCCCTCTCTCTCTCTCTCTCTCTCTCTCTCTCTCTCTCTCTCTCTCTCTAAAGCGGAAAGGGGGAAGGAGCAGACTCGCCACTGCTTGGGAAATTTATTCATGGCACGGCAACCTGGGGCGTTCCCGGTCTGAGAAACTGCGCAATGGAGGGTCGAGGGCCTGAAGAACAGTCTCATTGATTGCCCCATCGTTGTGCTTCCTCTCAAGGAGGGGGCTCTGTGGTGTTGTCAGGTTGGCGGGGCACGGGCGATTAGAGGGGTCTCCGGTGGTGGGGTTCTCGGCATACGATGGGAATTAGGGAGAAGGTAGAGGGAAGACTCCCCGATTCTCTCCCCCCTTCTCCGCTGGTTCCCCCCAAGCAGAGAGGAGTGGGAACAAGTTTGGAATGGTGGAGTGTTTACGATTGGGCTGCCTTGTATCGAGTTAACTTCACGCATATTGCATATTGATGAGCCAACTCTTGCAGTTGTCCCTATGACAGGCCCAGAAGAGAGGGGGGAGAGAGAGAGAGAGAGAGAGAGAGAGAGATTGAGGCTGTCTTTCTCTAGAGATCCTGGTGAAAGCTAAAGATCCTGGAGTAATCCAAAAACTACCGGAATAAGAAGCCTATGAAGCAGATGCTACAATGATATTCACCGTCCAAAGTCACTTTTTTCGATATAAAGAAACAATCCCTCGGAAAGATTTCTTCGATAATAACGAATGGCTCCCAGGTTAAGCAATCCCATGCAGCAGAGCTCTCTCTCTCTTTCTCTCTCTCTGTCTCTCTCTCTGTCTCTCTCTCTCTCTCTCTCTCTCTCTGTCTCTAAAGCTTATCTACCAGTCTCGAGGGAGCCTTGTTGTTCCCAAGCACGATGGACTCTCGGCTAAGCTCGAAGGAATGTCTTCTGGTTCTTGTGCTATCGTGCGGATTCCTCTGGCTACCTGTGTGCTGCAAGAGGCATCGCCAAGTCTTCAATGTAAGTCATGCAACTCCCTGCTTCCTAATCGTCGGCAGGCCAGTGCATTCAGGCTTAAAAATAATTCGTCGTCGTCCCTTCACTCTCGAGATTCATATTCTCATGTACCTCGGATCATCTGTGAACTCATGTCACACGTTGGCTACGTATGAACAAGAACCCCTTCCTCAGATTAGTGCATGGCAAGTTTCCGAGGGGAGGGGCGTCTCCTATTCTCGACCTCTGGGCTATTATCAGGGCCTTAACATCGTTCTTCTGCTGCTGCTGCTGCTACTTCTTATTCCCCTTCTTCTTCTTGGTCTTCATCTTGGTGTTCTTCTCCTTCTGCTGCTCCTTATTATTCTTCTACTTCTTCTTATTATGATTTGCTTCTTCTTCTATCATGCTGTTGCTGCCGCTGCTGCTGCGGCTTGTTCGTCTTCCAGATCAAAGAAGCTCCTTACACTCGGCTTTGCCAAACGAAGAACATCTTGACCGCGAACGGGGAGTACCCGGGGCCAACACTCTATGCCCATGCAGGCGACACGGTGATCGTCGAAGTCGTCAACCGTGCCAAGAGCAACATTACTCTCCACTGGTGAGGATCTCTATCGCTTTGACTCGAGAGGGAAGTCGTCAGTCTTGTGGCTGGCCAGTGGATGACGAGAGAGTTCGGGCTGTTCGTACCCACCCTCTAGGGAAACCACAATATTCATTTTTTTAAAATAAAACAAATAATCAATCTTATGCCTAGGATATGCTGTTAAATGTAATCTGATTAACATTCTGTATGCTGGCGGAACGTTTTATCGTGGGCATTGACCAAGATTGGAGAATGAGCAGGCATGGTGTGAAGCAGCGAAGGAATCCATGGTCGGACGGGCCTGTTTATATCACTCAGTGCCCCATAAAGCCCGGGTCGAGTCAAACCTACACCATCGTCTTGTCGGACGAGGAAGGGACCGTCTGGTGGCACGCGCACAACGACTGGGCTCGTGCGACCGTCCACGGAGCGTTCATTGTGTACCCGAGGAGGCACGGCAAGGGCTACCCTTTCCTCAAGCCTCACAAGGAGATTCCCATCATTCTAGGTCGAGGGCTAAAACTCGAGTCCCTTGAGACAGCTGAAGTCTTCCACGTCGATCGATGCAGAAATAGATGCTTATATTGACGCTTCTTACTATAGGAGAATGGTGGAAGAGCGACGTGAGCAAGGTGCTCGAGGAAATGGTTCGAACAGGGGATTCACCCAACGTTTCCGACGCGTTCACCATCAACGGACAGCCGGGTCGTTTCTATCCATGCTCTGAAGAAGGTCCGTCTACTACACCAGACCTGAGCTCCCGCCAAACCGTTGACTTGCTTGGGAAGGAGGGGAAAAATCATCAGTATCTCTCCTCCTCAAACCAGTGATGTTTATTTCTCCTTGGATTTAGGAATGTTCGAGGTGATGGTGAAGAGAGGGATGAGGTATCTCCTTCGCTTGGTCAACGCGGCCATGAACGACGAACTGTTCTTCGCCATTGCACAGCACCGGCTGACGGTTGTTGGCTCCGACGGAAGCTACACGAAACCTTACACTTCGGATTACATAACGATAGCCCCAGGACAGACCATGGACCTCCTCTTGGAAGCTAACCGGCCATCCGACGGTCTCTACTACATGGCCACGAAGGCTTACTCTAGCAACTCAGTGGTCGGCTACGATAACACTACCGCCACAGCCGTCATCAAGTACTCGACAAAGAGAGCCCCTCTGAAGGCTTACTTCCCCTTCCTCCCTGCCTTCAACGACACCGATGCGGTGGTCAACTTCTCCAAGGGGCTGAGGAGCTTGGCCAGTGCCGATCACCCCGTCGACGTCCCCCTCCGCGTTGACCACCGCATGGTCATCACGCTCTCGATAAACGAGTTCCCTTGCGCCAACAATTCCTGCCAGGGCCCCAACGGTAGCAGGCTCGCCGCCAGTCTCAACAACATAAGCTTCGTCGACCCTTCCGTTGACGTGCTGGGCGCCTACTACAGCTCCATCAAGGGAGTTTTCAAGAAGGGTTTCCCGAACAAGCCTCCTCTGGTTTTCAATTTTACAGGTGATGACCTGCCACTCAGCCTGTTGCAGCCGAAGAAGGGCACGAAGGTGAAGGTGCTGAGGTACAACAGGACAGTTGAGATGGTGTTCCAGGGGACGAACTTGGTTGCACCGCTGAACCATCCCATGCATCTGCATGGGCACAGTTTCTACGTGGTTGGTTATGGTCGTGGCAACTACGACAAGAAGACGGCACATCGAGGGTTTAACTTGGTGGATCCTCCCTACATGAACACCGTAGGAGTTCCGAGGGGCGGTTGGGCAGCCATCAGATTCAGGACAGACAACCCGGGTGAATCTGAACTCACCCTCCATTCAAATCCTCCAAAAGCAGGCACCCTTTACTCCAAAATTCTACTAACTCCGTCTTTCTCTCGACCATCAGGCGTCTGGTTTATGCACTGCCACTTCGACCGTCACACCACCTGGGGCATGGACACGGTGCTCATCGTGAAGAACGGGAAGAGACGCGCCGATCAGATGCTGCCCCCGCCAGCAAATCGGCCGTCGTGTTGATCTCTCAACACTGATAGATGTTTGCTATTAGTACTTAAGGTACTCCCCTGCCCAGATATCGCCGGGTTCTTCTGGTGCATGGCAAGTAGCCAGCAGTGCTGTATTATCATATGATCATATGGGGATTAATCTATGGCCGTAGGCATATTAAATATCTGAAAGGCCCTAAGTTGAAAAGACTCCCTCACGATGATTCCCGCCTTCACGATAGAGGAGCCTATCCTCCTTGTATACTCGATTTCTTCGGATCAAAGGACTCGAATCTGTGGGTTTCCCCTGATCTTCAGTGGAGATCAGAAACTCCTCGAGACTGAAGAAATGTTGGTGAAAGCAAGAACTGAGGCCTGGGATTGTAAGAGCTCCTCTGCGAGCACCCTTCTTAGGTACCGTCCGAGGACGTTCTCAGCCACTGGTTGTCTCAGAAACCTGCCTGGTACATCTCCTCCTTCGAAGACGTAAGCTCCAGAGTGGAGAGATCAGATTCCTGTTTACCGCTTTATCGGCCTCCCATGAAGCAATGAAGGCAAGGAAAATGTGATTGAATAGCCGATGATATTTGATCGACCGGCAAGTATAGAATTATGCATCGGATACTCTGTTTTCTTTCCTTCAGTCTATAGTTAGCAGTTAATTAGTTGGGGATTATTGGATGACCTTCAGTCTATATTACCCTTATTCTTGTCCATTTTACCTGATTTTTATCTTTTAGGAAATGCTAGCCTCTGGGGTCCACTCACCGTAGCTTACTATCGTTGTGGGGATGAAATTAATCTGTTTCTTATCAGGCCAAACGAAAACTCCCATAGAAACGGTGGTTGACGATGTAGAGTTCATAATTTGCAGTGAAGTTAATGCAATTGAAAGATTAGCTATCCTTTTCCCAATAGTGGAAAGATCAGGTACCTATTAATGGCTGTAGTGACGAAATATTCGTCTGAGATAAAATTATGTATCCATGTTGCTAAGACAGAGGGAGAGAGGGAGGGAGAGAGAGTACACTGTCATCAGGTGAATCCGAGGTGTCTTATTGAACAAGACGTCTGGTAGGTGGTACCTTAGAACGTAGACCTTCGATGGTTTGACCGTTCACAGTTGGAAAAGTAGCATGCCCCCTTTGATTCATTCGTAACTTGGTTATCTACTTGATTGGACAGCATGCGCGAAGGGTTCGGAGAGAGAGAGAGTGAAAGATAGGAGATAGAGGGAGGGAGAGGGAGAGGGAGAGGGGGGGGAGAGAGAGAGAGGAGAGGGAGAAAGAGATAGAGGAGGAGAGAGAAAGAGAAAGAGGAGAAGAGAGAGAAAGAGGAGAGAGGGAGAAAGAGAAAGAGGAGAAGAGAGAGAGAGGAGAGAGGGAGAGCATGTATCCAAAAGAGGAAGCATATGTAATGGCTTTCTGTATTAGGTCTCACTCCTCTTGTTCTGCGGCCAAGTAATGTACACCGACATTCTTCATATACAAACCTAAACTTCCCGTTTTTCGCCTGCCCTAGGTGACCTGGCGTTCCTTTTCCGAACAAGCTCGTTCGTGAGAATTATCATCCGTAATTATGTCAGCCTCGCACAAGAATTCTCCCTGGACGTGTGAAGCGCCCCAAGGGGAACTCTCTTCCAGCTGGAGCTTCTATAAAACCCCACCTTTGGAGATTTTATAGCATCTCTCTCCACTCCACAGAAAAATGGGCTTGGAGAAGTTTGCTCTCGTGATGTTTCTTGGGTATATCTCTCTTCCTGTGCTGTGCGAAGTAAATCGATACGTTTACAGTGTGAGTAGTTTTCCTTGAATTACACCTCCTTATCTTCCCTACAATCCATTTGTTATCTTCACCCAGCTCGTTTTTGGCTTTATACGCCTTCACTTTCTATCTCTCCGTCTTCTTTCTTCTTCTTCTTCTTCTCATCCTCCTCTTCTTATCTTAGAGTTTATTCGCTACGATTTCCCATCAAGTTCTGGCTCGCCCAAGCATCTACAATATTCTCTCTCTTCTTCTTTTCGTCCTCCTCTCAGTTTGATAATCTTTGCGAGTAAAAATTGTATTTCCTGGCGTCCTCCATATCTTTCTTAGTGTGGAATTTCATTGGGAGGGAGGGTTGAATTCAGTAATCTCGAGAATCAGTAGGATTGAAGGTCGTATGCCGGCTCGTCGCAGATTGAAAAAGCTAACTACACCAGACTCTGTCGAACCAAGAGCATCTTGACCGTCAATGGCCAGTTCCCTGGGCCGACTCTTTACGCGCATCACGGCGACACGGTGGTCGTCAGAGTCCTCAACCGTGCTGACCAGAACATCACTCTCCACTGGTACGCGTGATCTCTCCTCAAATTTATAAGGCCTCATATCCATCGGTTCTCAAAACCCCAAGGAAAAAAATCACAAATCGAGCAGTTCAGATGGCTAATCACTCGCTAATCCTCGAAAAGATCTGAGAAGTGAATGCCCAAAAGATTTCCAAAGCACCGAGTCAATGGGCGTGCCTTATAAAATATCTGTAAGAAGATTGGACGGTACTTGGATAGTTTTCTGGGGTGGAATCTCTGAGATCCTTGCACTGCAGGCATGGAGTGAAGCAGCCGAGGAACCCATGGTCGGACGGGCCCGCTTACATCACCCAGTGCCCTATCAAGCCAGGAGCGGAATTCACGTACAAGCTCGTCTTCTCCAACGAAGAGGGGACCGTCTGGTGGCACGCCCACAGCGACTGGGCACGCGCGACCGTTCACGGGGCCATCGTCATCTACCCGAAGCCCGGCTCCTCCTTCCCCTTCTTCAGACCAGACGAGCACCTCCCCGTCATACTAGGTTGGTCGTCTCTTCGTACCCGCCGACATCGCCTGCACTAACTCTGAGTCTCATTAGGTTTTTTGCCCTGAGCGGAGAGTTCATGGTTTCATCATCATTCTTCAACAAGTTATCGTCAACTGAAAGCATTCTTCTGTGAAGGGGAACAATAGGTTACATTATGGTGAACTTTCTCAGTGACAAGAGGGCAAACGTTTTTGGTAGAGACGTGAGGAGAAGTGCTGAGAGAAGGGTATTGGCGATCTTTTCCTTCACCATCGAACCAAGCATACAGCCGGACCTGCCGGAGAATGGAGGCGATACGACTTAATACCTAAGTTTATTATGATATCTTACCCATATTTGCTTGCTTATAAAGGGGAATGGTGGAAGCGGGACGTCAACGACGTGCTGACAGAAATGCTTCAAACGGGAGGCGCACCCAATGTCTCCGACGCCTTCACCATCAATGGGCAGCCGGGGGATCTCTACCCGTGCTCCAAGGGAGGCAAGATCATGAGCTTGATCGTCTTTTTCTTTTTAGTAATCTTTCATTAAAGTATCTTCGCTCTCATTTGCTGTATGGTCCTCGCAGGTACGCAGGTTATTGCGGTGGAGAACGGCAAGAGATATCTCCTCCACGTGGTCAACGCTGCTCTCAACGAGGAGCTCTTCTTCTCCATCGCCGGGCATCCAGTCACCGTCGTCGGAGTGGACGGCACGTACACGAAACCCTTCCCCACCGACTACATCATGATAACCCCGGGGCAGACCATGGACCTGCTATTGGAGGCGAACCAGTGTTCCTCCACGGCCTACTACATGGCCGCAAGAGCCTACTCCAGCAGCGCCGCCGTCCCCTTCGACAACACTACCGCCACCGCCGTCTTGGAATACGCCGGCAGCGACAGCGGCTCCTCTCGCGCTAGCCCTCTGTTCCCAGGCACCTTGCCGGCGTACAACAACACTGGGGCGGTGGCCAACTTCACCGCCGGCCTCCGGAGCCTCGCAAACGCCGACCACCCGTCCGACTTCCCGCTGACTATCGACAGCCACGTCGTCATCACAGTTTCCATCAACGAGCTCCCCTGTCCCAGAGACACCTGCGAAGGACCCAACGGCACCCGGATTGCCGCCAGTCTAAATAACATCTCCTTCGTTACCCCTCAGGTGGACATACTGACGGCATACTATAGGAGGATCGGCGGCGTCTTCGCCACCGGCTTCCCGAGCAGGCCGCCGCTGCTCTTCAACTTCACAGCGGATGACTTGCCGTCTGAGCTGCTACTGCCGAGGAAGGGAACCGAGGTGAGACTGATCGAGTACAACACAAGCGTGGAGGTGGTCTTCCAGGGGACGAACTTGGTGGCGGGGCTGAACCACCCAATGCATCTCCACGGGTACAGCTTCTACGTCGTGGGGTGGGGGTTCGGGAACTACGACAGGGAGAAGGACACCCCGCTCTACAACCTCGTAGATCCCCCCATGATGAACACTTTCGGAGTTCCGAGGAACGGCTGGGCCGCCGTCAGATTCAGGGCTCTCAATCCCGGTAAACTCCCCGTCTCTTCCTCCTCCTCCCTTCCCCCGTCCACTAGAGGAAAACATTCTACAGGAGATGCCTCTGAGATCACTATGCTGACTCCACCTTACGTTCACCAGGTGTCTGGTTCATGCACTGCCACCTGGAGCGGCACATGACGTGGGGTATGGACGCAGTCTTCATCGTGAAGAATGGAGAGAGTCCAGAAGCCCAGATGCTCCCTCCACCTCCCGACATGCCTCCGTGTTAGAGCAAGCCAGATAGCCGACCCATATCTTTCATGGTAGACGCTGCTCTACATGCCCAAACTTTTTCAGAAGACTTACCACTACCCCCCAACCACTGTTGGAGAAATACTACATACGTCTATATATAGACATGAAGATATATTTACTTATTTCTACATAGTTTTCCTCCCTTGACATAGGGAATGACGGGTTGAAATATTTATACGTCTGGCATTACAAGTGAGTACTAAAACTAGGGTGATACATCTCGGCGAGAATACGTGCGAAAAATACAAAAAAATGAGTTCTACCAATTTATTCGAGGTGGGCAGAGTAAAATGGTGAGATACAGATTAAAATAAAATAATCGAGTTAAAATAAGTGGGGATTTGATAATCCCTCTAAGCGTATTTTTCCCTTGGCTATGTTTCATGAATCCACACTTTACATCTGCAAGAAAAATTACACAAAGAAATATATACCTTAAATCAATCATTTTCTGGCCTAAAAATTGAGGGAATCGTGCAATTAATTAGTAACTTTCGGAAGTCTCCGTAAATCTCTTTTCAGATTGTTGCCGAAGAGTTGATATTTAGCCCATGAACCCAACTGAATCAAGATGAAAAATGATGTAATCCCTTGAATTTGCCAAAGGGTTGACTTTTATGGTCATTAGATGTAGACTTTTATTCAAAACGCTGGTGGGTGAAGTCAACTAGACTTAATATAATGTCTCAATTTTTCACCAAATGTGTAAATGGAACGAAGATTCAACGGTGGCGGTGGATATTTGAAGCAAAATCAGAAGAAGAGATGGATGGCTTAGCTATAGTGGCAAATGGCGTTAAGGATAGTTAGGAGCAGTCCTCACACAAAATTGATGGTATATTTATATATAACATATATCTGAAAAAACCATATTAACATATTAAGTATTACTGGGTTTTTTTAAATAAAACTATATTTATAGATCAGATATTAGCATATTATGTATTTTTTTTTTAAAAAAAAACTTTATTTTAACTTGTCTTGCAAAACTATATTTATACCGGATTGCCTTTCCTTCGTTCTGTTTAGACTTCCAAAAATCGCGGCTTTTCGGACTGCTGGGGGGAAGGGTATCGTTGGAATTTAGCCGGCCGAGCATCTTTAAGGCTTCAAAACCCTAATGGGGGCGGTCGCCATAGAGAATTTCGGCAGCGGCGGGTCTAACCAGGTGAACCCGCTTCCTGTCATCCTGTCGCCAGCCGAGGTCAGTGAAGGATGGCGTACGCGGGTATGAAGCCCATGAAGCAGGGTTTGGAGGAGCAGGCGCTGGAGCAGTCCCACCGCATCCGGATCACGCTCTCCTCCAAGAGCGTGAAAAACCTCGAGAAAGGTTCGAAATCTGTCTTCTCTGGTGGAGTTTTTCTGAATGACGGTTTTCTAGTTCATATTTATATCTTGCATCGTCTTCAGTTTGCGCCGATCTGGTGAGGGGAGCGAAGGACAAGCAACTAAGGGTCAAGGGACCGGTTAGGATGCCCACGAAGGTTCTCCACATCACCACCCGGAAGTCTCCCTGCGGAGAAGGTTAGGATTCCTCTCTCATTCTTCTTCCATGTCTGATGTCCGTGTTCTTTATATTTCAATCATTTGGTTCGTTTTTATTAGGTTTAATGACCGCGTTCCTCCGTATTTCATGTCCGCGTTGTTCATTTGATGGCCGTGGGTCTCATTTTTGTTCTCGAGTATCTTGCCGAGAATTGATCTTTCACCGCATTCGATCATTACTTGTGAATCCCAAATGTGAACGACGATAGCTTTTAATTTCCTAGAAAATTTAATTACTTGTGAAAATTTTAGAATATAACCCGATGGTTGAATCTTAATCTTTTGCGTAACTATCTAACGCCAAATCTGACCAAATTGCTGTATTTTCTCTATAGAAAACTCAAATGATGGATACGTTTTTTTCGCATTTCTACTATTATATTACCATCACATCCTGCATATCTTAGGGATCTACAAGGAGCTCATATTGGTCACCCTGAAAATTGCCTATCCGAATCAGGAAAAGATTATCCTTGTAAAGACTTATCGTCTGTCGTATGCCAGGCAGATGGGTTTCTTACTGGTCACCTTGACTCCCTATGATCATACACATTCACTATGTTGAATCTCTGACGTATGAACTGTATTTAAGACATCATACACATTCATCAGAAAAGGAAATCACCGTATTTTAAGGAATCATCATCAGTTGCATGTCATTGAGATGGTTTTCCTGTTGGTCAGCTTGACTTCCACCTCATGTGGATTCATCAGGTTGACTTTCTGCATCTAGGAATGGAGTTGTTTCCCCATGATCTGAAAAGGAAATCACTTTGTTTTAAGGAACCGTCATTGTTTTCTTGAAGCGAGATGAGATGGATTTCTTTCCGGTCGCCTTGCCTCAGTCCGATTACACATTCATGAGTTACATTTTCTGACTCATCTACTGCGTCAAGAAATGGATGAGAATATGAAAAAAAAAACGCCATATTATAATGAAATGATCATCAATCTCGTGCCAATGGGATGAGTTTACCGGTTGATCAGCTTGAGTCTCACTACTCATCTGTTCATTGAGTTGGCATTCTGACTGATTAATTGTTTCTAGAAATGGATTTCCCTGTGATCAGAAAGAAAATACCAGTTGAAGGAAATCATCATCGGTTGTCTGCCATATGGGTTTTCTGTGGGTGGCCTAGGCTACTACTGATCATGCCCATTCATGACGTTGAGCTTCTGACTTATTAACTATATCTACGAAATGGGTTTCCTGTAATCAGGTAAAAAAACCATTCTAAGGAATCATGATTTGTTGCATGCCAGTGGGATGCGTTTCCTGTTGGCTGCCTTAACTACCTCAGATCTTTGAGTTTACAGAAGAATCCTTGGGCTGACTCAAAAACCTGTGAATTCTGATGAGTCGTGCTGAGCTTCTGACCTGTTCCACCGTACCCTTTCAGGAACCAACACTTGGGATCGATTTGAGCTACGCGTACACAAGCGAGTGATCGATCTTGTGAGCACCCCCGACGTGGTGAAGCAGATCACCTCCATCACCATCGAACCGGGCGTTGAGGTCGAGGTCACCATTGCAGACGTCTGATGATGGTGCGCTCCGCCATGGCTACATATGTGGGAGCTGGAAGCTGGGATCTTGGAAATTTATTGATTAGGCTACATTTGCAATATTTTTGATTCCTGTGATATCTATCGAGCCGGGTTCTGGGGACGATGCTACTCGGCGATCTCTCCAATGAAACCTTGGCTCAGTGCGCTTTTGCTACCTAGCTCGGAAATTTAATCATATAGTTAGCATGCACACTGCAGTAATCCTCTTTGTTCTCCATGATTGAACTCGTAGTTCATTCGGGTTCTCTCTTAGAGAGAGAGAGAGAGAGAGAGAGCGAAAGAGTAGAATGAGCCTTTTGACTCGCTATCTTTACTACATTCGAGCATTTCTTCGGCCGACGAATAAAAGTCAACGCCCGTGCAAACTAGCGAAAATCTTATTGATGATCTCTCAGGGGAATCGTTGATAATGTAAACGTAGTACAAACAAGAAGGGCGAGTTGCAGGCCACTCAATCAGCAAAAGACGCGCAGGGATGGTCGTGTCAGTTCTCCGTGAATCTCTGGAGGACCTCGAAGTAATCCGGGAAGGTCTTCCGCGTGCAGCTGGGATCTTTGATAGTGACGGGGACGTCTGCGCAGGCGGCGAGAGAGAAGGCCATCGCCATCCGGTGATCGTCGTACGTGTCGATCGCCGCCACGTTTAGTCTCTCCGGCGGGGTGATGACGCAGTAGTCCGGCCCTTCCTCCACCGTCGCTCCCAGCTGGAGAAGGCCCCCAAAAGATAGAATACATAAATCATTGCCGAAGAGGAAATCGAAATCTAGTTCTTCCGAGCAAGAAGTGATCTGTAGACTGTCCTCGCATGTACCTTTCTGAGTTCTGTGCAGATGGCAATCATCCGCTCCGTCTCCTTCACCCTCCAAGAAGCCACTGAGCACCAAGAATTACGGAGGGGAAAGAGACGATGAGAGAAAGAGTAATGTTGAGAGAGAAAGTGGGCTTCATCCCGGGAGGTGTTACCGTCTCGGATGGCCGTCGGGCCGTCGGCGAAGAGGGCGACGACGGCGAGCGTCATGGCAACGTCGGGCATCTTGTTCATGTTAACGTCGACTGCCTTCAGGTGCTTCCCGGCGGAAGCGCTCCGCGGGGGGCCGGTGACGGTGACGCTATTCTCCGTCCAGGTCACCTTTGCGCCCATCATCTCAAGAACTTCGGCGAATTTCACGTCTCCCTACGGCGAGATCAAGAGCGGGTTTTGATGTACATAAGTACGATTACCCTGATAAAATTTAGCTGAAGAACTTTTCCAAGTATGGGATCACTGCTAAGTCGTACCTGCAAGCTGCTCGTGCCGCAGCCTTCGACGGTGACGGTGCCACCAGTGACGGCTGCGCCAGCCAGGAAATAACTGGCGCTCGAGGCGTCGCCCTCGACGAAGGCGTTTCCCGGAGACCTGCGGGGGTTTTGGCGTGGGAAATTAGACGGATGAAGATCCCAGAAGAAGAAATCCGTGGCGGCACGTACTTGTACTTCTGGCCACCCTTGACCAGGAAGCGGTCCCAGCTGTCACTGTGGTCAACGGTGACTCCAAAGCGCTCCATGAGTTTCAGTGTCATCTCAACGTAAGGAATGGAGATTAGCTTGTCGATGATTTCGATCTCCACGTCCCCCAGAGCCAGTGGAGCGGCCATGAGGAGTGCGGTCAAATATTGGCTGCTGATTGATCCGGAAAGCTTGACCTGGAAGAGTGAGAAAAGTAAAGAAAATTGAAAAAGCTGCGAGCGAAAGAAATATGGGGTCTAAAAACCTTCTAGTCAAGGAAAAGCGTAAGAATGCGATGAACATAGATATGTTTCACCATTTGACAGTGTAATTCTGTAGAGAGTAATCTTATAGAAATCGATGGGATTATTTTGTATGACTCCCGGAACGGAACACACAGAATACATCTACTCTATGACTGTAAGTAGATTTAATATATTCCTACTCTAATCAGCTATTTCCTTTTTTTAATAATTCCCCATATCTTTCAAGGAATACTAGGAAACAATGCTTGATAGACGAAGGCGTAGTCATGAGCTTCAGGAATGGTGGATTCAAGTCAAACTCTTTGAACCCCACACAAGTTTAGCTCAAACCCCAATTTTTAGAACAAAGTGGAAGAAAAGATGAGTGGAGAAAATATTAAAAACCGAAAAAGAAGGAAAATGCAAGAGTGCGTTTTTCATTGTCATATAAAATATTCAAGCTAAGCATGCTACTATTCCCACAAGAACATGATGTCTCTATCAAGCAATCACACTGATGGCAACAGTGCGGTTTATTGAAGTCGCCTTTCATCAGATATGGAAAGTAGAAAGCAAAGAGTGCCAATAATGCATCATACAAAGGTACGTTTCAGTGATTGACGACAACGCAGAAAGTAGTAAGAGAGCACTGTGTTACTTGAACGATGGTGAAGGAGTTTTTTTTTTCCCAAGATCCGGTTAGAACAAGCTAAACACAACCAGATTAAAATACGGGCATCAAGTGTTTCGACAAATCTGAGAATAATTTTCCTTTTCAACAAGATGGCAATCTAGGATTGGATGAACCAGGGATGGGAATAACAGACAGTATTATCGAAAGTTCACAATCATTACTTCGCATTCGTGTTCATCACACATGACTCTGACACCCGGAAAGAAAAGAGGATTGAGACAAAGCTGACCTTTCCACCTGGAAGCCCTCCATTCGCATTTATAACAACAGGAGGGCAGTTAGTACCCAAGATGCAATCAACATCCGCACCAAGTTGCTTCAAGCCATCAACCAAATCTCCAATTGGCCTCTCCCTCATCCTCGGAACCCCATCAAGTATATATCTGGATAAAATAAATGCAAATTATGTTGGGGAAAAAAGAGCCAAATGCGTCACAACGAGAAATATCCATTGAAGAAGCTTCGAAACCTTGAGTTTCCACCAGCGGCAGTAACTGCAGCGGTCAGTGGACGCATTGCAGTCCCAGCATTCCCCCCAGAAAAAGCTTGACCTCATTGGCATTATTTCCAACCGGAAACTGGCCTCCACAGCCGCCAACCACTGCTCTTTTTAAAGCACTATCATCCTCCACATCCAGGCCAAGTGTTTTCAATGCAGCAAGCATATATTGAACATCATCACTGTATAGTAAGTTTTCCACGACAGTAGTTCCCTGAAAATATACAACTACTATTCAGATCAAGCATGAGAAGAGAAAAAATAAACTCATAACAGCACGTTACGAGAAAGATAGAGCGCACTGATTGCTGCATTAAACTCCTCGGAACAAAGCCAGAGAAATATTTCAACATCCATGTGGTTTGAAGGAAAGGATACAAAAAATTACCAATGATCTAGCAGAATTGTAACATTCAGATCGCCAACAACACACATATATAACTGCAGAAGATATATGTCTGACAAATTCTGATGGAAGATGATGGAACAAACTATTTCGCAAAGATGCTCACGACTACTCAAAACGAGATTATTACAATCAAACTTTCTTCACAATACAACGTTAAGCACTATTTCAACCTCCACACGGTTACAATACAAGAAAGAAAAAAAAAAATTATGATACAGAAAAATATTAACATTCAGATCAAATCAAAATTAGATATAAAATAATATTTACTGATTCACCAAAAGAAAGAATATGTAAAAGATAGTAGCAAAAGCTCATGGTAGGTATTAAGAATGGTTTCTGCATATAACCTGATCTGAGTGTGAATACTCTATCAAACATCAACGTGAAATGAAAATTGATATTAAAAATTCTGTGTAACCACCATTATGTGCATTGATCAACCAATGTACTTCATAGGCAAAATATCTCTGCAGTCATGTTCATAAGTTAGAAGGCGTATTGGTGAACATTGCATTTTTTTTTTTTAAAACAAATATGATACAGACTGAATGATCCCTGATTGGATTGAGCACATCTAAGTATTTTATAAATACACGGAAAAAAAGCTAACCATGATGGCAGAGGCTGCAGGCATGGATACGTGAAATATAAACATTTTTTTCCGTATGTAGCCAACAGTCTCTACTGACTGGTGACCATCCCACATGTTGATGAAAAACTCGACAGACTGGCGTTAATTCATGTCCAGAGAGAGATACCATTCTTCCCAAAGTATTCAAAAAGCTAAAATAAGTACACTTCTGATCACTAGTAGACTTGTCCCAAATCTAACAAGAAGAAAGAGAGAGTGTAAAGAGAATCGGAAGAAGCACATTTACTGGCAGCACGTCTTTTTCAAGTGAATTAACACGCAAATCAAGGAATCCAACTTTAAAAAGTTATCTACGACTTATATCACACTAATAGATAAATCTAGAAAGTGAATAATCCGAACACGAGAAACTTAAACTAATCACCTCGGAAAGTGCCGCCAGGAGCAGTATCCGATTCGACAGCGATTTGGAACCGGGGAGCTTGACGACTCCGGAGATCTCCTTAATCGGCTGCAGCACGATCTCGGGCACCGTCGCTGGCTTCTCGGATGCGACGGCCGAGGAAGCCGAAACCCTGAGACGGGACGCGGAAGCCAGAGTAGAGACTACTCTTGCGCGTAATCCAGCAACGGGAGCGACAAGGCCAGTCCCCTTCTTTGTGGTGGACACGAATGACAGGGAGGTCGAAGAGGAACCCGACACAGACCCCGACCTCGTGGCCGCCGGGAGATCAGAGGAGAGGGCGAAAAGGTCTCCGACCACGCCCTTGGCAACGCCAGCGTGCGCCATCCCTGCTCCTCCGTCTCTCGGTGGAAAGGGAACCAGAGTAAGAGGAGGATGACGAAGATGGCGAGGAACAGGTAGAACAAGAGCCTGCGTTCGATTTGACCCGTTGGGGGTGTACCCGGCGTCGCACCTACCAACGCACTCCCTCCCACCTACCGCGTGCGCGGCGAGACCGATGGGGTACGTGTCGCTCCAGAAGGGAGAATGGTCTTGTCTCCCATGCCCAGCCAACCTCACAGGTCGGTGCGTCCGAGATCGGTGACCACCACATGGTTGTGTATTAACCGTTAGATCAGATGGAGTCGTTGCACGCGGTCCGGATGGGCCGCGTTTCTCTCTCTCTCTCCTTGGGCACTGGGTTGGTGGGGAGAGAGAGTTGGGTGGCTCTCTCAACGTGGCTAGTTCTGGGCCGTCAGATGAAGTGGATTTGGTTTCCAGGCCCCACGAGGGGGTAGTTGAGCCGGGTCGGCTCACCCCTGGAGTTTCCTTCATTGTTGCACGTGGGCCGACGGGCGCCCCCGGACAAAATTTTCCTTTGGGCCCACTTTTTCCGGCCATTGCCGGTTAGGTCCTGAAATGATGCGAATACTAATTATGCTTCATCCGATCCCCTGCGAAAGGATGCCGCTGAGCTTCTTCTTCGCCCTCAGCCAGACAGAAGGCTCGAGAAGAGATAGAGAGAGAAAAAGAGGAAGACGACAATACGCAGGAAGCCACCTGCAGATCTCCTCCACACGAACAAGAAGAAGAAGAAGATGAAGATAGGGGGGGAAAGAAGAGCCGCTGGAGGCTGAAGATGAGGCCCCGACTCGACCACCTACGCGCTCCCCTCTGAACGGATGGAAGAAGAACTATCTTCCATGGCGCCGCAACAACCCAATCTCTCTCTCTAACCCTCGCTTCAAGAAGTAGCCCGAGATCGGCATCACCAACGATGAATTCAAGAGGAGGCGGGCCTTCTCAAAAATAATCCCATTTCAAGCTGACTGCATTAAAGGGGTAGTACAGGGGCGATTAACCCCTCTCCATTAAAGTGGAGGAAGAAGACTAGGGTTCAATTCCACGGCAAATAAGAAAGATGAGTGGAGAGAAGCTGGAGGACGCTCAAGAGCCTTTACTGCAGTAAAATCCCAGACTGTGAATCACCGAAGTCTGCCGCCCGTCCCGTTTCTCCGAGAGAGAGAGAGAGAGAGAGAGAGAGAGAGAGAGAGAGAGAAGTCTGAAGCGAACCCGAAATCTCAAGCCAGGGGCACGAGGCCACGGTGGAGCGAGAGCTCACAGAGACTTGACGGCGGCGATGATGTTCTCGGCGCTGATGCCGTACTCCTTGTATATCGTCCCCGCGGGGGCGCTGGCGCCGAACCGGTCGATGCCGATGGCCTTGCCGCCGCTGCCGATGAACTTCTGCCACCCGAGCGTGGATCCGGCTTCGATGCTAACCCGCGCGGTGACGGCGGCGGGGAGCACGCTCTCCTTGTACTCGTCGGACTGCTCGTCGAACAGCTCCCAGCAGACCAGAGAGACGACCCGCACGGCCTTCCCCTCCTTCCTCAGCTCGCCGGCGGCCTTCTCTGCGATCTCCAGCTCGGAGCCGGTCCCCAGGAGGATCAGGTCCGGTTTGTTGCCGGTCGAATTGTCGGAGACGATGTAGCCTCCCTTCTCCACGCCCTCGATCGAGGTCCCCGGCAGCTGGGCCAGCTTCTGGCGGGAGAGGGCCAGCACCGATGGCCTCTTCCGGTTGAGCACCGCCACCTTGTAGGCGCCGGCCGTCTCGTTGCCGTCGGCGGGGCGGAACATGAGGATGTTTGGCATGGCGCGGAAACTCACCAGGTGCTCGATCGGCTGGTGGGTCGGCCCGTCCTCACCGAGACCGATGGAGTCGTGGGTCATCACGTAGATGACCCCCGCCTCGGACAGCGCGGAGATCCTCATGGCGCCTCGCATGTAGTCGGTGAAGACGAAGAAGGTGGCGCAGTAGGGGACGAACCCGGGGCTGTGGAGGGCGATGCCGTTGCAGATGGCCCCCATGCCGTGCTCGCGGACGCCGAACCTCACGTTCCGCTCCTCCGGCGTGTCCTTTTGGAAGTCGCCGTACGCCTTGAGCAGCGTCATGTTGGAGGAGGCGAGGTCGGCGCTGCCACCGATAAGACCCGGCACCACCGGCGCGAGCGCGTTCAGGCACTGCTGGGACAGATTCCTCGTGGCGTCGCCGGGGCTCTCCGGCGTGTAAGTCTGCGGCAGAGGAGGGATGATAATCCACCGGCGGGGGAGGAGGAGATTGAACGGAAAAAGTCTATTGATTTTGCTCACCGGAAGAGCCTTCTCCCAGCCGGGGATCAATTCTCCGGTGATGATCGACTTCAGAACGGCGGCGTCCTCCTGGTACTTCCTCTCGTATTCTACGAACTTCGCGTTCCACTCGGCTTCGAGGGCGGCGCCGTTGGGGACATGGCGGCTCCAGTGACTGCAATCGGAAACAGGCAGGCGGAGATCATCGGGCCGCCATGAAAAGACGCAGCTAGCAAGCAAACTACAGTTGAACCGCTCGAGCAGAAAGTACCTCTTCACATCATCGGGAACATGGAAAGGTTCGTAAGGCCATCCGAGGTTGTTCCGCGTTGCTTCAACCTCCTTGGCGCCCAGTGCGCTTCCATGAACAGCGTATGAGTTCGCCTTGTTCGGTGATCCAAATCCGATCGTCGTCGTTACCTATATACGAATACCCAAATAGTATCATCAATATCGGACACGAACAGCGGGAAATCGAAGCTTTCTGGGAAGGAAATTGAACCTTGATCAATGTGGGTTTGTCCTTGACGGCTTTGGCCTCCTCGATGGCGGCGCGGATCTCGTCGTAGCCATTGTTGCCGTTCTTGACCCAGATCGTGTGCCAGCCGAGGGCGTCAAAACGGGCGCTGACGTCCTCTGTGAAAGCGATCTCTGTGTCCCCGTCGATGGAGATGTGGTTGTCATCATAGAAGGCGATCAGCTTCCCGAGGCCCCAGTGCCCGGCTAAGGAGCAAACTTCGTTCGAGATGCCCTCCATCTGGCAACCATCTCCGAGAATGACATAGCTTCAAGCATGGAGGCACAGACAAATTAGAGGTGCTGTTGACAAAGCCATACGAGACAGAGAAAGAGTATAGAGAGTATGGATAGCATAGAGAGGGAGAGAGAGGGAGAGAGAGAGAGAGGAGGTTGCAGGGTTTACGTGTAGTGGTCGACGATCTCGCTGTCGGGCTTGTTGAAACGGGCAGCCAAGTGCTTCTCGGCGAGAGCCAGTCCGACAGCGTTGGCAATACCCTGTCCCAGAGGGCCTGTGGTGAATTGCAGAGACGGAGATCATTAGACGGATCAATGATCCAAATGAAGAAATCTTTTGCAGAAAGAGACTGCCCCCAGGTAGGTTCCAGGGGCAAACCAGTGGTGACTTCAACGCCAGGGGTCTCGAAGTTCTCGGGGTGGCCGGGAGTTCTGCTTCCCCACTGGCGGAAAGATTTCAAGTCTTCTTCCTAAAAGATCAGATTTCATTTCAAGAGAGAATCTGAAGATCAGTTGGGGGAAAATCGCGAACGCTCAAAGTAGCAACTAAAGATGCCGATGCAGATGCATACATAAAACACGATTGTTTGATTCTAAAATTCCTGATTATGTGTACAACATGAGAAGAACCATTTCTACTTCGGATAGATCCGGCCAAAGAGCTAAAAGGAGACATCGGCATGGCACAAAAAACGAATCTCCAAAATTCTGGATCGGCCGTGCAGTCCAGCTCGTTCCCAGGTACGAAATCAACGAGGATAGATAAAACTCGAGGGGAGGATGAATGGAGAGAATTCTTCTTCACCTTGACGCTGTCATATCCGGCTAGGTGGAGAAGGGCGTACTGGAGCATGCATCCGTGTCCGGCGGAGAGCACGAACCTGTCGCGGTTGAACCAGTAGGGATTCTTGGGGTTGTAACGCATCACCTCGTCATAAAGGATATGCCCCATCGGAGCGCACCCCATGGGGAGCCCTGGATGTCCCGAGTTCGCCTTCTCGACCGCATCGATGGCGAGGAACCGGATGGTGTTAACGGACTTATCCACCAGCGCCGTAGCCGTCTTCTCCACGGTCTCGACCGCCGTCGCCCTCACCGGCGCCAGCACAGGCCGCCTCAACCCCGGCCGCTTCCCCCTCGGGGACGAAGCGGCGAATGGAGCGGCGGCGGGTGAGGACTTGACGCCCTTGCCGGCAAGCGAGCACAGTGAGAAGCCGGTGGGGATGGCAAGGTGCTCTGCGGGGGAGGGGGACGGCGAGCCATGGCCGCCGGCGACGGCGACGGTGCGGGAGACCACCGTCTGCAGGGTGAAAGACGAGGAGGCAGCCATGGCCAGGAAGCTCGTGGGTTCTCTCGCTCTCGCTCTCCCCAACTGCCTCAGGAGCTCGTGGTAGTTGAGACGGACGGAGTGTTTTGGGGGAGATGCCGATGAAGAGAGAGAGAGAGGGTCACCATTTCAAAGGCAAGGACGATGGGGAAGACGGACCCGAGACCGTTGGATTGCGCCCGGGCTTTGAATCGCAGCCGTCAAAGGAGGATATTGAATGACCGCCTCCCGTTTTCTTGACCACATCATCAGGTCCCCATTTCGCGTTCCCTGATAGCTTACAAGTCCGGATAAGGTCCCTGACGGACCGAATCCATCTGGTTCCGATTCGGAGATGCGCCGGCGGCCACCTCTCGTTAGTTGGGAGCTCACCGCTGCGCATAGAGCAATCCGCAGCGCCGCGTACTCCATCCGAACTCTCTCGATCTCTTCGTCCGCCCCTCTCCCTCTCGCTCACTTTTTGTTGCGCCACGTGGCTCATTCCCAGCTGTAATGCCGCCACTTTTTCACTTCATTGACGTGTTATATGCAGACAGAAAATTGTTCCCTCCTCATTGCGCTAAACTATTATTTCTCTCTCCTGCGTGCCCTGGTGGGTAGGTGAAGAGGAAACACTACCATGAAAACATCTCAGGTCACCTAACTAGCTCGGTAAGAAGAAGAATAAGCATCTCTCTCTCTCTCTCTCTCTCTCTCTCTCTCTCTCTCTCTCTCTCTCTCTCTCTCGCGCTATTCGTAGCGAGACCTGAGTCACGCCATTCTGGGTCTCTTATAGTGGGGAAGGGCGTCTCGGATACCTTCGCTGGCCACGCAGAAGGCAGCCGACGCGGGGGGAAGAGAGGGAGATTTGTCGACATGCGCGCGCCGTTCGTTCCCGTTCCAGTACAGAACGACTCGGTTCGTGCACGCATGCGACCAGCTGTCTCCTGTCCACCAGAATAAACAATCACTCGCACACACACACAGAGAGATGTATACATATATAGATGGATAAATCGAGAGAGAGAAAGTCGACTGTTATAATAGAAGGTCAACGGATTGATATGTTACCCAGGGCGAGGGTCAACTGGAAGGATCCGTCGATGAATTTGGTAGTCACTTGATTTAGCAGCACGACCTGTTCAAGTCAAACAATAGCGTGGATCAAAGCGGACTGTGGTAAGAACAGGGTGCACGCATCGACTCTAATGAGTGAAAACAGCCAAGATAAATAAATAGTTCTTCGTAGATCATCTTTACAGTTTGAAGGAGAGAAAAACATGATTTTAAGCAAGAGAGAAATGCTGAATATGTTGCAGAAATATCACAAACGGACCCCAGTTAAAAGCTTTAAATGGGATAAATCAAAGCCCAGTTAAACCAGGACAATTCGATCGATATTCCAGTTTTAGAACTGGGCAAAATGAGCAATCGAAGCCTTCTTAAACCAGAATTTTACCAGCGTTTACACCGATTTAATAACAGTCAGGGCTTATAAAAATAATATTTTCTCGTTAATATTCCTCACATGAAGCAAAGAAGTGAACTTACTGCCAGACCGAACCTTTTGGCAAGTCTCATCAGCTTCAGAGATATTCCACTGAGCAACCTTGTTCGGTGGGCAAAATCCTCAAAATCTTGCCGAAAATGAAACGTTATACTGTCCACGACGACGATCTTCACCTACAGAAGAATACAGACAGAAGTAATAACAAGAATATTAAGTAACAGCCCACGTCAGCCCTAAGTCAGATTGGATACATTCCACAAAACTTCTCTCCAAAAAAACTCATGACTCAGGCCGGCCAATCTGATTAGATATCTTCCATACTGATTGAAATTCAAATAAAGGAAGATCCGTATGGGCTGTCTTGGTGAGAAATAAAGCTATCTAAACACAGCGAAACAAGATGCAAAATCAAGATCAGGCTGAAGAAATAAGTGGGCCTCCAGTTGGCATAGATTTGCACGAGAAAAGAAGAATGCAGAAGAGTGTGAAGGCAAAGGCGAGCAGAAATAGGTTCTTGCCAAAGAAAAGAGAACAGAAATGGAATTCTTTTGGCATGTTTTACTTCTTCAGTACGAATTTGTTTCATGGGTTTGAATATTTTTACCCTACGTCTTGAGGTAGGGTTCTTGGGGAGCTCCAAAGCTGCTGAGGTAGAAATCTCAGTAATGGACAGAAATAAGTGTAAAACGAGATGGCTGGGGACTCGGTGCACAAGGGTCCTAGAATAACATCTAGATTCAATAGCCTTTATAATAACAAGTCATTAGAGTCAGCACCAAGAAGCGGACAGAATCACTCAACCTCTGTTGATTCGATTATCAGTAGATATCTGAGCTGTGTGCGTGCGCCTGTGTACCAAGGAGACAAGAAATGGGTCATGGCATTTCAGGCAAAACCACTATTTGGGCCCACGTTTCCCTTAGCTTACTATCATGAGATTAGGGGGCATCGATAGTATGACTGAAAAAAAAATCTCGTAGGACCAGTTAAAAGCGAGATATGTGAAAGTTTCGCTGAAAAATAAATAATCGCTTTACATTTTCGTGCTCTTCCAGGAATTTGTCCAAGTAGTTTATCACAGCGATTTGCTCAGTGCAGCTGCAAACACGGAAATATAAGATGTTCGACAGGAAATTGTTAGGCTGCATCTTTGCTTCAATGCCATGCAAATCCTTCCTATGAAGAATACTTCTGTCAAGGGTATTCCTAATGCAAGCTTCAGCAATTTGATGAGCACGTTCTACCATAAAACTGCCTTCTGTGTCTGTCACAAGGAACGATGAAACAATGAACACTGGAGAAGGAGATAAGTAGTGTAATTCACGGGAAATGAGAAAAAAAAAGGCTGTACCTATATAAATAGCTTTACCACCGACACCGCCATATTCTACAGGAATTTGGACATTAACAGCAAGCTGGATCCTGCATGTTTCCAAGGTATATGCTGGTGACATGAAGATGGTACTCACTGAATAGATGGCTGGGGTGACGGTGCATACCCCAACTGTGTTTTACCAATGCCCGGTGCTCCACCTGGAAAATATTAATCAAACAATAATAACATGTCTAGTGAGAATCCTCATAGATTTTTTAATTTTTGGTTTAATTCAGGGGAGTCACCATGGCTCATCATGGACGTAAAATAACATTATGTCAGGACATTTACAGTGCCTTCACCCATATTCAAAAAGCAGAATGTCATCGTTCTATAACCATATAACCTTTTTTGTGGAATGACTCGTATGTAGATATTATATCCATGGGATACCAATTCGACCATACAGAAAGCAATTGAAAATAAAATTTAAGCGGTAAGAAATATTAAATTCATTATAAACCTCAATTATTCAAAGCATCCGTAGAAATAAAGAAGCGTACAGAGATATAAGACTGAACGATCTGTCGTGTGGTTGCTACAAGGAATAGCATTTTTATTATGTTGTCTAGATAACCTAACCACTTTCAGGCCATGAAGTGGATCGAACATATACTTAGAGCTAAACATCACGAACAGAACAAAGCTGTAAAATATTTAAAAATGCTACAGTAATAAAATTATAAAATTAGGCATTTAACCAAGTTATAGTCTCTCTAGTGACATGTTTGTCATTGGAATCATTGTTATTAATTATTTACTAGATAGAATGGCTAAGATGAGAGAGTTAAAAAGAAACCGCTCACCAACTTCAGTAATCTCGTTACAGTGTATCCCCCCTCCGAGGATTGCGTCGAGTTCCCCACTGAAAGTAGTAATATGTCTCGTCGTCTGTTCATCTGTTAGCATATCCCAAGCAGTTCTAGCTGCAGTGTGAGATAAGAGACTTGCTCCAGTAGAAGGACCTGCAGGAGAGAGCGTGTAACATGTATCTTACTTTCAATCTATCATTACCACAATGTTATACCAATGGTGTTCCTTTCCTGATTGATTGACCTTTTAGTATTGATGTTATTGATATTTCATTTTTACGTGAGATAAAGAGAAATATTGAACCAATCTAGAGGAAAAAAAGCACCAGGTCTGTTGAAAAAACATACCCTCATCCCATCTTTCGAATCTACTCAATTCTGATGTCGCCTTCAGGATGTCATTAGCCTCTTGAAGTGGAATATTCAACTCTAAGGAAAAAGATGAGACACAAGACACATGCCGCAGATGCTTCAGTATCACAGCTGAGATCCAAACGTACTACTACCTTCTATTAGTATTGCCGCAGGCATGAAGAAAATACAAGAGCACAGAAGCAGTTATCTCAGGTACTTTATATACTTCTCACTACAATGATGTGATCATTGATCCATATTCCCATGTAACAAGATGTAAAACGTGTATACGATAAATGATGTGATCTTGTTGCTGAAAAAAACTTTAATCCAAATTATGCTTCCTTGCCCCACCGTTTTTCTGCAGCTGAAAGAAGGAAAAGAAAGGAGCATTTTTGCTCCGAAAACACTACCTTATGAGAGTCTCAAAGATTGGACAACAGTCCCTTGATGTTTGAAAACATGAGAAACCTTTTTTTGTTTTTGAGCGAAGAAAAAATCTAAGCAACTTGATTGGACCTACTACCTTAAGAAGTTAATGAAAGTCATGATTGGATAAAGGTTCACCTCTTCTCATCGATTCATCCTTGGTCTCAAAGGACTACCGAAGTAACATCCACCTTGTATGAAGAAAAAACAGAGACTGAATGTGGACTCCAGCAAACTACCACTCAGTAACTGAGACTATCTTTTTCACTCAGTAATATTACTTATCCCTTTATGAAATGAACAGCAAAGAATGACGGAGGCCAAAGAAATTCATGGAGTCACACAGTTGTAAATGAACGACTGACAGGAACAAAGAGATGAATAATCAAAGTTTATAACGTTGAAAACGATCCTGGAGGGGGGAAAGATACACTTTTGGAAAGATGCCTGTCCGACGAATACGAAGTTGGCAGAAGTTTCGCCAGAACTTCAGCTGAGTGTAGGTTATAACAAAAGAGATATCATGAACGAAATTTTGAAACCTCTTAATCCGGAGAAGAGGGGGATCAACGTGCCGATAATATCCATCTTCGTACCTCGCGTCTTTCACGATCAGAAGTGAAAGTAAAACTGAATATACAAACATGACCTCATACACTGACATCCCGAGTCCAATCGAACAGCAAGCAACGCCAGATTCATACTAAAAACTTGCGAGTAAGAAGTCGAGGTACCTTCGGCGAGTTGCTTCGGGGAGATGGAGGAGAGGGACGCGAGGGTACTGTAGCCAGCCGAGAGCAACTTCCCCCTGTGTGAAGGGGAGATGGGAAGATTCGATATCTCCATGAGAACCTGGATCCCACCTGTAAGCGGGATGATGGTTTCCTTTTCTTTCTCTGAACGTCTCATGGGCCCAAAAACGTGACAATCACTTAAAGCCCATTATAGGCTTATTACCCAAACCTTAAAGTCAGCAAAAAAGTCAGGGTGTGGCCCATGACGGTAATTATGGCCCATCATTCTACGTCCCCCTTTTCCTACCGTGGTCGTGGGTACACATCCGATCCCTCCGCTGGCCGTCCCTCGTTACACGCTGTTAAATCAAGCCGAATAACAATTATAAATATGTGCATAATAGTTGGAGTATAGGTTACAATAAATCAATCAACGTGAATATAAATCAGTTTCGAGTCCAGCTGGCCGTTTGGACACGTCACTCCCCCCTACTGATTAGACCGTTGCATCTTCTTTTCGATCGCTTTCTGTTGGGCCTGTTTGAAGGAGACTCCATCCTCGGTTTGCAGCGGCGCCGCAGCCGCCGCCTCGTGGCAGAGGAGGCGGCTCTGGCGGCGCGAGGGGAGAGCTCTTCTTACTCTGCAGGGAGTCTCTGTTCACGTACGGCTTGGCTTTCCGAGCGCTTTCTGGTGGGTCGTATTTGAAGGGAGATTACGAGGGTGACTCCGTCCTCGGTTAACGCCGGCGACCTGCCCCGCCACCGCCGCTGCTCTGGCTCCGTCCTCTGCACGGTGGCACGGCGGAGGTGGCGGCTCTGGCGGCGCGAGGGGAGCTCTTCGTCGCCGCCGCCGCTGCTCTGTTGTTTTGCTCCTCCCTTGACAGTCTCTTGGCACCATCTGCTTCGGGCATACGAGAGAAAGGGAGAGGTTAGGGCGGGAAACTAAGGGCTTGTCGTCTCTCGCTCTCTCTTTATATCTCGGTGGCTGCCACCTGACAGCTGGGCCGGGTCCCGACTGTCATCCATTTACCCGTTGTCCCTCCGCCGCCCGCCTCCCTTCCCCCCCCCAACCCTCCATGGTCAGCTCTGTCTGGAAGATAAAGGGCGAGCGAATCCAGACTGGTTTATAGAGAAAGAGAGAGAGGGTGAGAGACCCTATCTCTGTGGCCCGCCAATACCAGCGATCTGGGTCTCTCCCCTCCCCCCATGGCCTCCCCATCCCGTGTAACCCTTCTAGTTGCCGCAGCCGCCGTCGCCGCCGTCCTCAACCTCGTTGCCGCTGCCGAAACCGGGCCCTCCGCCGCCGTCGACCTCGGGGGGTCGAAGAAGTACGAGGGCTCCTCTGAGTTCGTGCGGCTGAGCTACCACATGGGCCCTGTGCTCACCGCGAACACCACCGTTCACGTCATCTGGTATGGGACCTGGTCTCGCCAGCAGAAGCACATCCTGCGGGGCTTCATCCGCTCCATCTCCGACGACTCCGCTCCCCACCCCTCCGTCGCTGGGTGGTGGCGCACCGTGCGCCTCTACACCGACCAGACTGGCGCCAACGTCACCGCCCACATCTCCCTCGGCTCGGAAAAGAATGACCGCCACTACTCCCACGGCCGCTCCCTCACTCGCCTCACCGTCCAGCACGTGATCCGCGCCGCCGTCGCCGCCCCACGCCGCCCGCTTCCGGTGAACCCCCGTGGCGGGCTCTATCTCCTCCTCACCTCCGCCGACGTCGCTGTGCAGGACTTCTGCGCGGGGGCCTGTGGCTTCCACTACTTCACCTTCCCCTCCATCGTCGGCTACACCCTCCCATACGCGTGGGTGGGCAACTCCGCCGCGCGCTGCCCGGGCATCTGCGCGTACCCCTTCGCCGTGCCGGAGTACTTCCTGCCGCCGAGGGAGAGGAAGAGGAAGGCGGCGCCCCCCCCCAACGGGGACGCCGGCGTGGACGGGATGGTGAGCGTGATAGGGCACGAGCTGGCGGAGCTGGCGACGAACCCTCTGGTGAACGCCTGGTACGCGGGGGCCGACCCCTCCTTCCCGACGGAGATAGCAGACCTGTGCCAGGGCATCTACGGCACGGGCGGCGGCGGCGCCTACACGGGGCAGGTGACGGTGGACGGCAGGGACGGAGCCTGGTACAACGTGAACGGCGGCAGCGGGAGGCGGTTCCTGGTGCAGTGGGTGTGGCATCCCCATCTCGGCTACTGCTACGGTCCCAATGCTCTCGACCAAGGACACCAGTGAAGCAGGAGAGAGTCCGGGGAAGAAGGAGCTTCTTTCCACTGTATAATCAATCATTCCGATCTCGCCGGCGCCGGCGGCTGGCTTCCGTGGGAACAAGGAGCACAGCACAGCTGGAGAGATGGAGATCGAGGATGAAACCCCACTTGCGCTTTTCCTTCCCCCCCTGTTCGCCTTCTTGTCGAGCACCTTTCATTAACTTCGATCTCCGTTCATTACCTTCGCCTTGTCTGCGCCGTGCTCGATGGGGCTCCCCCGCCTCTCCATGATTCTCACACAAGTAAAAACCGAAGCATAAATTTTAACCCATTTTAGCTAGAAGCCCGAATCGCATCGTTCATGCACAGATTCAAGAAAACCAAGTGGACAGTTTAGCGATAAAAATCTCAGAAAAATATCTCTTTTTTACTGTTCTTCCTGGTAATTTCTTAGTTTGTAAACTCTAAGGAGCTTCACGGGTATAATAAATAATACATGTACCATATATTAAAAATGTTATTTTTAGTCCGATCTGTCATCTCGTCAGACCTTTACCCGAGAGAGAGGGAGAATTGGCGGGGGCGGTCTGGAGGGGGGGGAGTACGACAGGCGAGACGCCGCTGTGGCATGCTGCCACAGGCCGTCCCACCTAAGGCGTCAGGCTCATTTGATCATGCCACTGCTGCAAAACGAGATATTCGCAGTTGGCCTCGGGCCTGCCGAAGGTACGACACGCGGCGGAGGTATGTGTGAGGGGGCCTTTCTCTCTCTCTCTCTCTCTATCTCCATCTTTTTCTACCTCGTGGGGAGGAACGCTCCCCGTCCACCCGCGCCTTTTGACCTTCGAGGGCCGGCGTCATCTGCTTCCGCGCACCCTGTGCGGCATTTTGGTCCGAACAATGGAAGCTTTACTGGGGAAGAGAGCAGAAAAAAATTGAGGCCTTCTGTGGCCACTCTTCCGGCCTAGAAGAAAAGATCACCGAAGCCTGATGCAGGTGAAACTCCCCTTTCTCGGGGTAGCCTCCTGTGCTGTACGCCCACATGGTCACATCCTCGAGAACAGGAACGAAGGATACAAAGAGAGAGAGAGAGAGAGAAGCGTGGTGTACAGTGGGAAGCTGACGAAGAGGGAACCGAGATAACGTCGACGTGTGAGTGTAGGATTTCTCTGCATTGGATGAAATGACCGAAAGTTAGCTGAGAAAATATCAGAAAGAAACGTCGAGGAATGAATGGAGGAACCCTCCCTCGAGAATAACGTGCTCAAATGCATGCACGGATTACTCGAGAGTTTCTTAAATTGGAAGCGAAGGCTCAGTACCCAGAGTCAAGAGATTTGCAGGGTGAGGGGAACAAAATTGGACAGGAGGCAAACGCAAGTGGGACGGCGGCAGCCAGCCAGTTGATTGGCAGCAAGCAGGGTCAGTCCTGTTCAGCCTTCTAGGGTTGTGAGTACTGAGATGAGGCCCGTGACCAACTCGGCGGCCTCCGTAAAATAATGAAATCTGGACACGGGTTCGGCCTTCAATGGAGCTGAGCTCTTGAGCTACTACTGTGGGTCATTCTCTGATTCCGGAGGACTGTCACATGTTGAACAGTTGGGGAGACCCACACACACCCACAGTAGATGCGGTGGCGAACAACATGGACGAGGATGCGAGGACATGGTGCATGTCCTCTAACATTAATTAAAAATAAATAAATCTCTCATCATCTTCTTTTCAGCTTACTCAACAGGACGTTTCCCTTGGTTTGCTAAGTATAATTTCATAAATGGCAGACACCAAAGTTACTACGACGGATCAAACATGGCAGCCCTTAGAGATGGGGGGGAGTGGCAGAGTGTTACCTCTGCAGCTGGGTATTTTCTAGGAAAAGTATCCCCAGAAATGGAACCTAGCTCGGATGCTCGAGTTCGGCAGTTAGCTAATCTGCAGCGAGCTGTAGAGTATAAGATGGTGATCCCTTCAGCTTATGGAGATATAGAAAAGAATTGACAGTTACTTCTTCGATAAGGTCGCGAATAAGGGACGGCACTCACTTCTTGTCTAAGGTTGATGACGAGCCGAGCCTTGAATGATAGAGGTAAGCGATGGATGCATACGGGCTGTTTTGAGGGAACGAGCTTCGCTTCTTCCTTGGGAATATTCCTCACCCAAAGGCCACCTTGGTCGCAAGTCAAACTGGAGCGTGACAAATAATATCCTCACATAATTCGTTAAAAAAGACACATTTATCATAAATAATTAATGGGTCCGTATATTGTGCGGGTGGATCATTGAAAAAAAATGCATAAATCCGGCCGAACATCGTCCAGCTCATTGGGACATCAGCAACAGCCGGCAATTAAAGTTAAGGAAGCCTTGTATTTGAGGGCCGCTACTGGTTGTTTCTCTATTAGGTATAGTACCAAGAAAACACGTCAAAATAATGTGAAGAGAGTCTGATGCAGCGAATAATTTGGAGGAGAGGCACAGAGGATGGATGGAAAATGAATCATAGGATATCTTGTTGTGTGGTCTCTGGCAGTATGTCTTGAGAGGACATTATGGTCGTGCATACATAGGAATTGGACCACTTTGTGGTTTGCATTTATACACGCACGGAAGGGAATAACCAAACATGGGATAAACAGGTAAATCCAGCTCTAAAATTTCTGTTAAACATAATAGCTTGATACATGTGATATGCTGTATCGTTTATTATTGATAAATTATTCATATAATCTCGAAGCACAACAGAAAATGTAAAGCACATTGCACGAAATCAGGCAATTAGATATAAGGGAATGAAACTTAAAATCTAAAATGAGACGTGCATGAATACCCTTTCGATATCATTTATAAATGTTGCATGGTACGAACCACAAAATCTTCTGATTCATGGACAGGTGGTGGAGGGTCAAATCTACCCAAACAGAAGTGCTCAATCCCCGTCCAAGCAACCATTACACCTATCATAATCACAGTAAATGTGTTAAGTCTATGTTAAAAATGCGTAAAAGGCAGAAAAGGAAATCTATGTTTGCCCTAGATGAAGTATCAAACAGCGTAAAAGCAAGGAATAATTAAATATAGAAAAATTCCAAGTCACCAACAATACTAGTTGAATGACTGTTTCAGTCATGCTGTTGAATCTAAATCATTCATGATTCTTTTCAGGGAAAAAAATCACTTTCAGTAAATATTGTCGCATAGGAATAATGTTTCTTTCTCATTTCAGAGGGTTTTTGGGGAACAGGAACTTATAGGTCCGCCGCTAGTTGATACCAGAGAGCAACTCCAAAACGAACCTGTCATTTCACCCACCTCGGTATTAATCAGGACTCCTAAAGCTCAGTTGATCAGGGGAAATTCGTGGCCCAGATGGACTGACTGTTCGTTTACTGCCCAACACTCGAACCCATCTCTCCAAATAGTTACAACTATTTTCACACTTTCAGGTTTTAAGGTCACTGCCATCTTCTAAAAGATCATGTATCAAAGGGAACACCTTTTAGGACTAGGTATAAGACTCGCATGCCACCTTCTAATTGTCTTAACAGATTAATGAGAAGAAGTTTTTTCCAGTAAATATAAAACCTCAATGGGCAAGGATTTTGCTTGAATCAATGACAAGAACGCAGCATGTATAAACTTTCAAGTGATATCATATCTTCTTAAAATGACTAGTAGAAACAATATTAATTACCATTGTCAGTGCAAAGGTTTGGAGGAGGGCATACAAGTCTTAGACCATTCTTGTCAACAATATGGTCCAGACGACTCCTGACATAGCGATTGGATGCAACACCTCCCGAAACCACCTGGAAATTTGCAGTGAGAGTTAGATATAATGCAACCTAAATTGGGGAAAAAGTGCAAAAAAATATAGTATTTCATATGACCAAATGTTTTATTGAAGGCTCAATCTTCAATGCCCACTCAATCGCTCGCTCGCACCTCTCCTCCAAATGTAAAACGGCAACTCGCTGAATGGCACACCCAGGTCAGAATTATTAACAGACACCCACAGAGAACGTGAGTATTCTGTGCAGTAATGGCCAATAATTAGCAATGAAAGCCGAGAGTTGGTCTGAAACCTGGAATGACGCTGCAATATCTGCACGCTTTCTTCTGTCCTCCGAGGAAGCAGAAGAAATGGGATTATTTTCCATGTCTCTGGAAAAAGAATGTTAGTAAAGCTGTCCTAAGAACCTAATAGATAAATAATACGATTATAAATATTAAATAGGACACCAAAAAAAATCAGATAAGAAATATGCTCAAGGTGAAAATATAATACTAAAAGTATTTTTTATTTCCGTGTTCTGCACCCCAGGATCATAAAGAGGCTAGCTAAATCAAGTGCAGTCGAAACCACAAAATCTGGGTTGGATCAGGCTGATTCAATCTGATGCGAGGGGGGGGACTATCAAAGAGAAACCAAAACAACCAACCTCTCAGAACATACTAACAGGAATGAATCCCTCATGAAACAAGAGAATATACTGATGCAACTTTTCAACCCAAGCTTGAAACAAGGATAAGGACCCAGATGAGGGCACTTTATCCATTGCACACGACTATGGGCCCACCCGAATGAAGACAGAATCATCTTTTCCTAGAAAAAGTAACAGAAAAGTAACAGAAAAGGACCCAGAACTTAGAATGACAGAAGGTACTCCTAATTTTCAGTCCAGAGAGCTTGCCATGTCTGCTTTTCACGAGTAAAAATCATTAGATTAAAATTTTAGAACATTTATGAACTTTAAGAATATTCCAAATATGGGAATTAAGGCAAATGGTATTAATTTTATGACAAGGAACCTTAGACTAATTCATAAAATCACATATGAAATTAAAAGAATACTCGAACAGATCAAATGTCATTTCAATGAGAATGAAATAAAATTCATCAAATCTCAAGGCAATACTGCCACCACGAATTTACCACTACCAAGTGCCAAGCATTCATTCAATCATAAAACGATGAAAAGGCAGATGATTGCTGTGGGAGTCGTCCCCCATTGGTCTCCATTGCCTCAGAAGGAGTATATGTAGCCATAAGACCCAGACATTTTTTCCACTCGTTTTGCTATGGATTTTCTCCAAGCACCAATGGACCTTTTCGTTTTTTAGCTCTCTAGTTAGACATCATATTGATTTGTGCATTCTATTGAGAAAACGTGAATCATTCTCTACCACAATGCATATTCTGAAAGTGACTGGCCCATAGTGCAAAAGACAGTGGAATTTTTTGAAAAAGAAAGATACTCACGTTTTTGTGGACTCAATAGCTAGCCTAACTTGTGTTTTCAGGCCAGCATACGAGAAGTTGCAATCCTTATGCTGTCGCATTGGAGTCTAGAAGATAAAAGACACCACCAATATCCATTTTCAATCAGTAGAAGGAACACGATACCATGGAAAGATCCAAAACGCAAAAGAAACTTACTGAGAATTTCACAGAATTAGGATCTCCTTCCCTTGCAAGTTCTTCAAGAGCAGGACCACCCCCTTTTCTCAAATCAAGGCCAAGCCATCTTGCTGTTTTGTCATATGCCTCACCAATGGCATCATCGATTGATGTACCAAGTTGCACATAGTGACCTAGCTCGTTTGCAAGTATAAGGAGATTGTGACCTCCTGAAAAAAACATATCAACAATCAAGAGTGTGATCACATATGCACTTTCTTACCCATCCAACTATACACCAGAAAAAGGTCAAACAGTAAAACCAACAGAATCATGAAGCCTATAAAATCTAAGAATCTCTCTCCCATCATAATTCTCCAAATTAGGGAAGAAAGAACAGCCTCTATACAAAACGACAACAACACAACTCTGATATCCACTTGATACATAATATCTTCTGTCCAAAAATAGACAAATCCGGGTGTCAAATCAACATTGACAAAAATCCTCTGTTCTATGGGAGCTAAGTCCGCTCAAAATTGCTGAAGATCAAATCACGTTGATTTATTCTTAAATATCTCTCCAAAAGGACACTCTTTAATCATGATATCATCAATGTTTGGGATAAGGTGGTAACCTGGACTAACCACTGTTGAGTTTTTATGGAACTTTAAGATAAGAAGGGGCATATTATAATATGAATAAAAATTACCATATGATGTCTATAGCTATATGTAGAAAATGCTACTAAGACGGAATGTAGAGTTAAGAAAAGGGAACTTTATTCTTGGAAAAAAAAATGGTATACAATGCCCACAGTCATATCAAGAAAATGTGACCATCATTAATATGTACTGTCTGATATAAAGCAAAGAACAAGATGAAAATAGCTTACATGCGTGGTCACTGCAAAAAATAAAGAACTTCGGTTTAAAAAAAGTGACAATAGACGTTGAAGCAAAAGCTACCAAAGTGCTGAAACACTTCAAGGAGGTCGGCCAAAACCCAGGAGCCTTCGGCGCCTTAACCACCCTCATCAGTAAAATGTCCAGCCCATTGCATTTATTAACATGCAACTCATTCTTCGAGGTGCTCTCCTTCTAAGAACTTTCAACTCTCTCAAAAAGGGAACATCAATCTGCATTTTAGGGACCTGAAACTGTTTTATTTTCCTCTAAGACCTAGCATTATCCAGGAAATTGACAGCTGAATATACAATTTGGAATAGACGTGCCTCAAATAACAACATGGACACAAGATAAGATATGGGAATATACATGGGTGTAACTTCTGGCAGAATGCTTATTTAAGCAATATTAGGACAATATCATATCTTAAAACTAAATTTGAATCCAACAAATACATGAAAAGAATAGGATACGGCAAGAAATTCTCAAGAGAATACAAAAAAAATGCGATAAATAACCAACATACCTGAAATAAGAAGGGCTAAGAAAGGAAATTTCAGATCCTTCTCAGTCAGCCTACAAAATTAATGTACCAGGTTAAGATGGAAGCGAACAGCAACTGCGAGAGAAATAGATACTTAATCCAAAAAATCCTTCGATATTAATCCTGTGTTGTCCATTAATGTCACGTTTGAAAGGCACTTTTCTTCAAATAAGGAGTAACACCAGGATAAAACCTGAAAGCTCAGAAAACCTTAATTGAACATACAGTAAAACAAGAGCATGCTTAGTACAATGAAATGCCTAAATCCTTCTCCAGGTTAATACAAGCGAAAGAAAATGCTTTAATTATTCGAATATCAGCCCATAACCTAGCATATAAGACCTCTCAACCTAAAACTAGATCTTTTTACTAGTCTTGATCCTCGGAAGTAAACAGATACAATCAAAGTCAGAGTCGTAAGCTTCCATTCAGATTCTGACAGGAAAACGTACACATTCCATTGTCTCTCTAGAAATCTGATTTTTCTGTTTAGGATTATTGTTATGATTAAGAGATCATCGCGGCAGGAAGATTTTGTAAGCATTTGTCTGGGCTGCATTTTATTTTTCTTCAGGAAATATAGCATTCTATTTTATGGCATTGATAACAAATTAGAGAATGCATTCCAAAGTAAAAAAATTCGTTGATTGACAACCTAGCGACCAGAGCATGAGCCTCCATATGATGGACTCCAACAATTGGCAAATTAAACAATCCAGCAATCTTCCGAGCTTTCTGCACACCAACTGCATTGCAAATTCGGGAACAAAAGAACAATATGAATTGCCTATTCAAGATTCCTTCAAACTAGCATCAGAAGTTTTCGCAATTTTATTCATTTAGAGATGGGAAACTCATTAGATATTTGACAAAAAAGAGGAATATCCTGTATCACGTAGAAAAACCTTCCAGTTTTCTGCACCAATTAACAACAATTTAAAAACTGAGGCAATTCAACGGAATGGAAAATAATCAATGGTTTTTTATAATAGCCAAATGGCAATAAACGAAAATTTTGTGAAAACCGCTAGTAGACCAGGTAAGCCAAGTGGATAAAGGTGAGAGATGGAACATGGCAACCAGGGTTAACTTCAGCCTCAAAACACCATGTGAATGCCTTGGCATTGGACAAGATTTTTTCTCCAAAGCATCAAAAAATAGATATTAGATGTCTTGTATAAACTTTGATGCATTAAAATTAAAACACATGGAGGAACACATCAAATGAATGTGATGTTTAAAAATACAAAAAAAACATAATGTAGCATACTAAATCACGTGATAGAAATAATTTAATGAATACCAAGCACATTACAGACAGACACAATAAGTATTCAATAAAATTACTGACATTAAATAGTTACACACAAGATGACGAGAAATTATCAAATTGGGAATTCCAAAATATTATGTGTGTCTGTGATTAAAGATTAGTGGAGATGATTTTTTTGTCTACTGGCACGTTGCAAACTGAGATGTAAAATTATGTTTATAAATCAATATCAATGTCACATTAAGTATTCTATTTGAAAGAATAAATGAAGAAGTAATAATGAACATTGACCGAGCCCTATCATCAATATATTTACATGGCGAATAATTTCACTGCAGATCACTGCATCATCTCAGAGAACGACTTGATCACAGATGATAGTATACATGTGAGTTTCGTCATTGTTCATAATAGGAATCAAAAGATAAGTTTTCAGAAAACTGGGCATATTCTATTTAACTCCTCTCTTAAAATAAACAACAGAAATAAATGGGCGCAATTTCCTCACCCCGAAGACAAAGACTTAAACCAGGACCAATAGTAACAGCAACAGCAGAGAGATCCTTCTCTGTCAAATTTGCTTTTTCAATTGCTTGTTGAACCACCTACAGTTATGTGATACGTGTCACATTCATTTACTCGTAAATATGAATTCAGAAAGCATAATTAAAGGGGTCCAAAGACAAGAGAACTGCCATGTTTAAAATCAGACCTCATCAATCACTCGTGAATGTGCTTCTTCAGCCATCTTGGGAGCAACACCACCATACCGTGCTAGCAAATCTGCCTTTGAAGAAAGCCATTAACAAGTAAAAGCAGTCAATAGCCAAGAGAAAAAAAAATGCGAGTAGCTAAAAGGAAGCAATCACGTATTATGGAAAGAGAGGGGAAAAAATTATGCATGTTTCCGGCACACATTATTATCAGCTCAATGGAGTATGAAACACGCAGAGAATTCTTTCAATAAAAATACTCTCCAATGCAGTAGGCGCAATAGAAAAATTCTTGCGTTACTAGATCTCCCCTGATTAGGCGAAATTGTTTTCCATGTCATAACCTGTTTCTGTAGTGCGCACTTCAAATCTTGTCTGACTACAGTCAACATTGCCACAGAAGGGTGATTTGTGGTGCACGCTTTCCAAACGATGCTCACAACTCGCTTCCAGTAGACCACCGGATATATGTCTCCCAAAGACCTTTCCCACAAAGGTGTAAATGAGACATTTAAGACATACTCCCAAGAGCATTAATATAATATCCTATCAGATAGCGAAATCAGGTTGTGATATACTGTCATCAAGCATGAGACAATTTCAAAAGTCCCAAAAAATATTGCTCTCTGCCCTTGATCATAACCTTAAAAATAAGTTTCTCCATCTATCAATTGACCTCTATTGTTTTATCTCAGTTGCGTGAGTTCTTCTTTGGCAAGATACAGACATTGGACGCACCGAGTAATCCACCGATAGAAGCATTAAATTTACTCGGAGTTCCTGGCACAGAAAACTATAACAGCAAAAACAATGTTGAGTGCATATCGATAAAGTGACTGACCACATGACAGTTAGCATACTCACTTGAGAATAAACGACGTGACTGAGAATCTCTCCATCACTTCTAACCTAAAGAGTGAGAGATCACGAAGGCAAGTTATCAATTGCCAATGTACCCGTAAAATCTAGGAGTAACAACAACTTACAACGGCTGCAGCAGTGTCATCGCAGCTTGTCTCAATACCGAGCACAACCAAATCCTCCTCCCCGCTCTTGCCTCGGTGCAATGACAGAGAAACGACATCGGAGGTAGAAGAAGCGGCGGAAAGGGACTTAAAACGAGGATGAACCAGCAAAGGAAACGGAAAGAACGACGGCAGGTGGCCCGTTGCCTGCCCAAAGTGGGCTGCGGGAGATCTGCTCCTACAGTGAGGAAAGCAAGATTTGAAGAGATGATTGATTCGAGAAATTTTGGATGGCGCGAAGAGCGGAGACGACGCCATCGGCGACACTGGCGGGGAGCACACGAAGAACGCAGGCAGCGCTCGGAGGAGCCGCGTGGAGAAAGAGCGGGTTCCGATGAGGCGGCCCCGAGATGAGGCGTTACAGTCTATTGGGCCGTGGATCTCCCTACGGGCCCAATAATAAGCATTTGCTCCTATGGGCCCATAGCAGATTCCATCCTTCATCACGGCGCGGGAAGATATTCTCTCTTTTCTGTCACGTCACACGAGTGGCCCACATAACGTCTTTCACGTCAGCATGTGGTCCTGCCCACGACGTGGATGATATTTCTACTCCACGTGTGAGCACCTTAATACTAGAGATTTCTGTAATTAAATATAATTATTAAACCGAGTGGGAATGAGATCGTGTGGTGTGTAGCAATCTTACGTGGTCGGAAGGGAAAATTTCTTTAATACTTTAATTTTACTTCAAAAAATCAGACGATAAGGACCATCTAAGGTTTATTTCCGACGCACGTCGCATCTAAAGCGATCTAAAGTTTAATACAGTAATATATATTAAAAGCGATATTAAGTATATGAGCAGCAACTTTATTTTTATTTTTAAAAAAAACAGACGATAAGAAGTAATACGCGATCTGGAATGATACTATTTCTGGGCCCCACGTATGAGCACCTAAAGTAAATGCCCATAAATGTTAAAAAACTATGTAGCGTGACCCATCTTTTACCATTTGAGTGGACCAAATAAAATGAGTGTCTTGTGTGATAATGCCATACCATTTATATTTTTAACGTAATTAAATTAAATAGAAATGTCAAGACGAGTGGAAAGAAATAATTCATGATTTGGAACGATATCGTCCGGCGTTTAGCAATCTTACGAAGCCATAAGGGAAAAAACACTATTAGTATTTTTATTTTATTTAAGAAATTTTCAGACGATACTTATAAATCAGGAGATAACTTGAAATTCTTGAGTTATTCACAAGCTATTTCGTAGGAAGTTTTCACAAACGCAACTGGGAAATAGAAGAGAGAGATAGAGAGGGAGAGAGGGGGGAGGGGGAGAGGGGGAGAGAGAGAGAGAGAGAGAGGTACTTATAATTTGATTCACGATTCAGATGCACACAGACGAACCAACGCTGATTGACGTAGAGACATACAGATAGTTGCAAACGATGCAGGGAGTGAGGAAGATAGAGAGGAAGAGAGAGAGAGGAGAGGGTTTATACTCTAATCACGAGTAGAGGTCGAGGTTAGACAATCTAGGCGAAGGAATCGCGGTTAACGGCTTGGCCATCTTGAGGACTATGCCGATACTCTCCGTTAAGTCAATCTGATCCCCGGCTGGAAGTTTCCAGTCGTAGGAGTGCAGCAATGTCGCCAGCAGGAACATGCTCATCCTCTCCGCCATGAGAATCCCCACGCAGGATCTTCTTCCCGATCCGAAAGGAATGTAGCGGAAGCCGTTGCTGCTGCCGTTATAGTCCCACCTCGCGTCGCCTGTCAGGAACCTCTCCGGCTTGAACTCTGAGGGGTCTTCCCAGATTGACGGGTCCCGGTGGATGGCCCAGGCATTGATCAGAACCCTCGATCCGACGGGGATATGGAAGCCACCCAACTCAGATGGCTCACTGGGTGAGTGAGGGACCATGAGAGGGAGTGCTGGGTGCAGGCGGAGCGTCTCCTTCACGACGGCGTCCAGATAGGGAAGCCTCGGAAGATGAGATTCCTCTACGGCGGCGTCCTTTCCTACGACGGCGTCGAGCTCCTCTTGGACCTTCCTCATCACTTCTGGTTTCTCCATCATCTCCGCCATCGCCCACTCCATCGTCCCCGTCGTCGTGTCCGTCGCCGCCACGATGATGTCCTGTGCAGTTTCACGTTTGCCGGCACAGACAGAGAGAGAGATGGATAGAGAGAGAGAGAGAGAGAGAGAGAGAGTACCAGGAACACGCCCTTGACGTGCTCGATGGTCAAGGGAAGCTCGCTCTCCTTCTTGTCGACGACGTCCAACAGCACCTGGAGAAAATCCTTGGTTTTCCCAGCTCCTTCTCCTTTTCCGAGGTTCACACGTTTGTCGATGATCCTGTCCAGAATGCTATCGCACCAGATGGCCAGCTTCTTCATTCGCCGCGCCACCCTCTGCAGATCCAGCGGTGCCAACGCGGGTATGAAGTCCGACACATTGGGGACGCCCAGGTTCTCTGTTATCTTGTGGACCACCTCCCTGAACTCCCTCCCCACCCTGGTCCTCTCCTCGCCCTCCAACGTGCTCCCCCAGAGCATGCTCAACATCAGGTCCAGGAGCGTCTGGAACAACGCCTCCCCGACCGTCACCACCGTGCCGCACCGCTCGTAGAGCTCCCGCACCGCCCGCCGCACCTCTCGTTTGCGCAGCGCGTAGAACCCGTCGAAGCTGCTCGAGCTAAGCAGCTCCCTCACCGTCACTTTGCGGAGGAAGCGCCAGCTCTCGGGATCATTGTTCCAGCCGATCTCCTGGGCCCCGTTGGTGATCACCGCCGCCGACACGGGCACGTCCCGGAAGGCGAAAACGGCGTCGCGGTCCCTGAGCATCTCCTTTGCGCCGGCGGGGGAGCTCACAACCACGCAGAGCTTGGTGCCGAGGCGGAGGCTCATGACGGGACCGTACTGCGCCGCGAGCTCCACGAATTGGCAGTGCAGGTCAGGGCGCAAGAAAGGCAGGCTCCCCAGCAGCGGCAACCCCATGGGCCCCGGTGGGAGCCCTCTCCCCTTCTTCTTTCCCCACCATAAGACGCAGATCACGGCGGCGGCGGCGGCGACGACGACGAACAGTGTGAGAACAAGTTTACCCAACTCCTCCGGGGGGTTATGGAGATCCCCAGCAACTTCCAGCAACCCCTCCGCCATCCTCTTCCTAGAGTTCCAACTCCGGCAGAGAGCAGAGAAAAAATCTGACTATCGAAGCGCAAGAATCCACGCTCGCCCCTATCGAGTACTTCTTGCTGCTGGCAGGATGGGATTGCATGAATCGTGGATTCCCTTAAGGACCACTGGCGGCTACCACTAAGGTCAAATCTTCTCTCGTCCCACCGTCCGATCGAACCCAGCCATCCCATCCTATCGAAAGTTGTCCATGGTCGAAAAAAATCGAATAAAACCCCAATTAATCGAATAAAAATCGAATTTATATGGTCGTCGAGATTAATCGAATTATATGTTCTTTAGTGGGCCGAAACCAAAAACTGGACCGGTCCAGGGTCACAGTCAAAGTGGGCCGCGTCTTCTCTCTGCTCCGCTCCCAAAAAGTCACCTTTCCCGCCATGAGCCGACCACCACAGGAACAACATCCCGAAGGAAGGACGGTTGGGTTCGCAGGAGTAACTGCCGTGGCCGGGGGGGCGTTCGGTGGAATCCCTCCCATGGCTTTCCTCACTTGCCCTCACCGTCACCTTGCTGCCCCCCGGGTTCAGATATCGGATCGTGTGGTCTCCTCTTCCAGGCGGTACCGGCGCCTCTCGCTGAAGTGTGCGCGGCCGACCGATGAAGCGTCGGTGGAGAATGGAGGTCCGGCGTTGGTGTGGTTCAAGCGCGACCTCCGCGTAGACGACCACCCTGGCCTGGTCATGGCGGCGTCTCGGCATCGTGTGGTCGTTCCTATCTACGTGTTCGATCCCCGAATCTTGTGCTGTGAGTTTTTCCGACATCCTAAGGCTCGCGTGAGTTTTTTGTGATCGCTGATGAATAGACTCGAAGCGCGAGCATCGTACTCACCGGGCGGAAGCCTGTCGATGAGTTGATTGCGTATGTCTGAAGACAAATCCCTAAGTATGTAGTACTTGAAGACAATGTAGCGGTGGTAGATACGATTATCGAGAAATTTAAGGATGGGCCGAAAAAATACATGAGGCGCCAATTCGGTAGAAAATGAGCATTAAGTGGGAATGTTGTTCGGTTAAAAAAAAAGAAGATTCTCAACCAGCAGTAATTTTTACCTAAAGAACTTTATCCTATAAATCATAGACATGGTCTATCTATAATTTCTATGTCAATTATACATGCCTGTGGGCATGTCATCTAATTCGGCTGTTCTGGAAAATACCTCACTTATTTGTCAAACTACCTGACAAGCATTCCTTCAGAAAAAAGAAAAAAAAATACTAAATTTTGTACACAAAAATTTCTGTTTGGATAAATAGAAATACATTTATGTTATTTTTATAATATCATCCCATGCAGGCTTTGCTGATGATATACTGGAACTGCTTCTCTTTTCTTTAGAAGACTTACGGAAAGCATTGAGGGATCAAGGATCCGATTTACTTGTTGCTTTTGGAGATGTAGAGGATGAAATTATTAAAGTTGCAAATCAGGTTTTTAACTTTTAATCTATCGGTTCATGTCGATTCTATCATGGAAGTCCGTGATACAATTTGGATTTTTGGACTGTAACAGGTAAAAGCTACCCACATATTTGCAGAAGAGGAGGTGGAATATAACTTTCGAAGTGTGACCGGTCTTGTGAAATCATCTTTAGCCGCCACATTATTTTCGTGGGGAAGCCCTGAGTTTTACTCATGGGATACCCCGTTATATGACATTGAGGTAATTTAATGTTATTAAAATCAGATGTCATTATTTTTGTACAATCTAAAGGTTATTTGAATGTTTAGAGCCTCAAAGAACTTCCTACTTCCTACCGCGACTTTCAAAAACTGAAGATTCCTACAATTAAACCGGTTCCACCTCCAAAATTGCCTGCCCTGGGTATAGAGTTGGAGAGAGGTAAAATCTAAAATTAATAAAAAAATTAAATCATGTTCCCATTCGTTCTTATGTCCCTTGTTTAATCGGGAAACACTTTTTATTTCTTGCTTGGTCTAACCCTTCAGGTGATTTACCTACATTTGATAATCTCAAAGAGTACCTGCGTCGCAATGGTTCCTTGTTGGACGAAAGCTGGACTTCTCTCAAGAGAACGCCCGCCGCGTACATTTTAAATCGAGGGAAGGACAATCAAGCTCAGGAGCTTTCGCCTGTAATCGAAGACCTTGGAAAATCATACTCTGGAGAAAGCGAAGGCACATCTTCACCTAATAACGTTCTCCAAAAAAGGAAGACGGAAAATTCCGTTTTTATATCTAGGAAGAGTAACATAGTGAAAGGTGGCACAGATGTTGTCTTGAATGCTTTGGCAGCTTATTTAAGATATCTGGAAGGAACAGCAAGGGATGATTGGCAAGAGTACGTAGGCAACAGTTAATTTGGCGATTTATTATTACTCAATTCGTTCTACTTAGCCATATTTTCCTTTTGTTCGGATTTTTTCTGTTGACATAATCCTTACGTTGTCTTTGTTGAGCGCAAACGATTAATATGTGAAAAGAAAATGAAGGTCATTCTTTCCTTAAAACCAGCTTTATTAGTGAAGTATACTGGATGCAAACAGAGACCTAGTCAGACAAAGCAAACAAGGTGTCTATTATGTGTACTTAATGGTAGCTGGTGAATGATTGTTGGCATATTTATCACCTGTTTGATTTTTTATCCCACGTATTAGACAAAACTTAGCCAAGATATTTCATTTAAACTGGCCATGTTTGAGTACCTTATAAGAAAAACGAGGAAGTGTTATTTGAGTAGGAGAGAAAGGTAATATGGATTAAATAGTGTAAAAATAAGGAAACGACCTCTGAGTGGACATTCTATCCACTAAGCAACCCCATTTCTAGAATCTCACTCTTAATCAAGGAATTCATTGCTACATTTCAGTTGTTCACTGTTTCGTTGAATTCAGTATAACAGGACTGAAGTGTCTCCTTGCTGTAGGATGACAAATTCATCATTGTTGTTGAAGCTCTCTTTAAGCATTAGTTTAAGACGATTTTCATTTTTTCCTTTGAAGTTTTTTTTTGGGGAGCATTGTGCACATGCGGAAGAGGAGATGTACCGTTACCACTCTACAAGTTGGTTGGTATCTAGCTTAGATTTCAAAAGATTTAACATGAGCTGTGAAATCCTGTCGACCAGTTAACGATGATCGATAGTTTTTAAGATTTTTTTATGCTATCAACCATTTTAACACCTGCATGTTATCCAAATGAAGAGTTCTAATCATTTACATCGTTTTCGTATCAGCCATATCACTGGAGTTTTGTCTTTGAATGTAACTATAACTTAAGTAATTTTTGTTTTGTTTTGTCAAGGGTGCATGAGAAATTACGATATACTGAAAATAGAGTAGGAGCATCATTTGGCATGCTGTTTGGTGCTGTGCTTTATCTTGGTGTTGTGTCAAGAAGGAGAGTTCATTATGAAGCTATAAAATATGAAAAAGAGCGTAATGCAGGCTTCTTATCTCCATTTGGGTATTCCGTTTTTACAGTTGCAGCTGCAGTCAATGCAGCCATATCAATGGAGGTAATAGCGGGAAAATATTTATTTTCCCAGTTTACGTTTGGTTATTTACGTATAATTACCTTTGTTTCAATTCTGACGTTAGGCACTTGACAACTTACGTTTCTTTCTTGCTACCAAACTTATATCAGTTTTTTTTCTTTTTCTTTGGAGCAGTGGTATTGGCTTCTTGCTTTAAAAAGCCAAGTATATGAAGAAGGTAGTTATCCTGTTCGAATATGGAGTTGGAATGGTTACTTGATTCAGGTACTGCTCCACGCGACTAAGTAGCATAATTTCTTATTAACCAGTATATGTTTCTATCTCTATCTTTTATGTGGATTTAAATGTATGGATGCCCATGTTGCTGAATCCTCACGCATTTAATTCACGGTTCTAACTGGTGGCAAAGCTTATCTTTTACCATGTCCTGTTGTATCTCACACAAACACTCTGTCACTGGTCGTAAATACAAAGTTTCTACCATACTTTACTAAAAAGACGACTATTTATGGATGGTGAGTATCAGAGAGCTGGTTGATCTTTGGAGTTGATCATTTCTGAACAGAGTATTGATGTTGCCTAGTTGGTTGCGAAGTTCATGGACTGACAGCAATAGATGTCCATTTAACTAAAATAGCAAGTTCATCTTTTTCGAAATTTTTTAGTGAGGCAAATATCAGATCCATCTCCATTATCCCATGGCATATAGCATTTGACTTATCTCATGCCTTAGGGCTAGTATCTGATGGAGAATTTTTCATGGATTTGTTATATCATATATCATATACAGGCGTCTCTTGTCTTTGGACAATACAGAGGAAAGATGAAACGCACCGTGTGCACCTGAAATTCCATGTACGTTAAAAATAAGTATTAGATTTTTTTAAGTTCACTGTTTTCCCGCACACGTGAAACTTTCTTAAAACGTTTAATTGGTTTATGTCACACTTGAAGCTTCTTGTTGAAATTATGCATTGAAGAACGGGAAATGAAGTCCCAACTAGATAATAGCTGATAATATAAATATAGCTTTCCATGAGGCATCAACCTCAGACTCAAGATTGAATAGCAATAACCTGATGGCAGTGTACTCTATCTCTTGCGAGGACGTTGTTTCTGTCTTGAGAACACTAGTGTAACGCGGACACACAAATTTGTATCCAATCAAAATTTATCACATGAAACGTAAAATTTGGTTTGGATTTCTAGAAAAGCATTTCATTCTCAATACTTCGGTTCATAACAACCCAACATACACCATTCATTCCATAACTTTTCCTGCTTCAGTACACAGTTGTCGGGAAGGAGGGTCCTGCAGTTCTCCTAGTACATGGATTTGGTGCATTTTCAGAGCATTACCGTGACAACATTTCTGCGATAGCTGATGATGGGCATAGAGTTTGGGCAATTACACTTTTAGGATTTGGTAGATCGGAGAAGCCAAATGTTAGGTATACAGAACTCCTGTGGGCGGAGTTGCTGAGAGATTTCATTGTTGATGTTATTGGAGAGCCTGTCCATATTGTTGGTAACTCAATCGGCGGTATGTGGCACATTCGTCATTTGAATTAATGAATTTTATATCAAAATTTTACCGTCCATTTTTAATGCCTTGTGGTTTCCCCCAGGTTATTTCGTTGCTTTGGTTGCTGGCCTGTGGCCTGATCTCGCTAAGACGGTGGTTCTTATGAACACAGCAGGTTCTGTTATTCCAGGATATTCTTCGGTCTCGCTAACAGACGTGAGAGAAGTTAATTTCTGCCTTGAATACCAATTTCTTTATTTGAGTTACATATGCCAATATGAACTGTTTTTTCATTCTCACCCAGATATGCTCATTAACATGTTTCCAGCCATCTACTTATTTCTCAGTTTAGTCTTGAAAACTTTATGGAGGGGAGAAACTTGTACAAGTCGTAAATATGCGCTCAATTTAGACATTTTATTTCCCTATACTTTGCTTGGAACCTCAATATGGTGCATAAAGAAGAGGGAATCAATGAACAGAAGATGTGCCATACTCGCTTCAAACGTAATTCTAAATTCTTCATGAATTTACACACTGTTCGATGCCCAGTATTACCATTGCTGAGTTAAAGCAATTAGTCTTTCCATTAATTCACAGAACATAACTGAAATTGCCAATGATTATACATGAAAGTAATCCCATTTTCTTTATAACTTAAACAACATGAATGCATTTTTACCATGAAGTCGTTTAAGAAATAATTGCACGAAAATTTGGCATGAAACTTGGAAATGGAGATGCTGTCTCCTTTTTGGATCTGAAGTTGACGATCTCATCGCTGCATTCCGTTAGAAATCGTGGTTGAATGGACGTTGACAGGTCTGTTTTGATGGTGGTTTTGAGACGTACATGAAAACTGAAGCGAGACGTTTCGAAAAAATGCTACCATGCCAAGGAAACGATAGCTATCCGGATTATTATTTTTCTATAATTTCCTCCGGATTTTTCTGGTTGATAAATTTTCAGGACGCTTTTTCTTCTACCTTGACATCTATTTTGACAACTGACTGAGGCTGAGTCTCAAAGTCGTATGTACCACGAGGTCAATCGCTTTCCTCGCCACTGAATATTTGTTTTCATTTTTTTTGATGATTTGGAGCATGGCTTTGAAGTCCGTCAGCGATTGTCAAGGTTCCAGCTCGCCGATGGCTAAAGGGCTAAGGGGGACCCTCCAGCCAATGACCATACTCCCTTCTCTTTTCAGAATGCAGATGCTCAGACGCAACTGCCTAATTCACTCGCTTACCATCTAATGATCATACCCTTTCCATGTTTGCTCTTTCCAGCATGCTCGGGTAGCAGCTCGTAATATGTAAATTTATTCACTCCTCGTCCTTTTTTTATATATTATTGGAGCCATATGATATACATAAACACAAGATATTTCTCGGAATTTCCCCGTCTCTTTTGTTCATTATCTTCTAGGTAAGGGTATCCTCTTCCTCAATGTTGAAACCATATTTGTATGCCTTTTCAGACAGGACCATCTGGCTTTGCATGGATAGGTTCTCGGCTCCTGCTGGCGTACCTGAAGCTTAGAGCTGAAAATATACTGAAGAACTTCTATCCAACCGTATGAGAGGATTTGGATACTAGAAATTTGATCCTCCCCCTTGATATCCCGAATCTCCACCACCCCATTTTCCTCACTGATTTTTTTCTATTATTCGTCTTGTAGAGTCCAATGCGAGCAGACAAGTCACTCGTGGAAGAAATGCTGAGAGCAGTATCCTTTTTCGCAGATTTTATTATGGAAACCATGCAGCTTGTCTGAGATAACCAGCCCACTAAACTGGAAAACGGCTTGTTCGATTATACCTCGTTCCGTTACATGTCTGGTGCATTTATTCCCTTACATATGCGGTAGTCAGAGGACCCTGGCGTGCTCGTTGTCCTGGAGAGCATCTTTAGTTTCAATCTGGGGATTCCTCTCAACTATCTATTGGAATCATTCGATGGGAAGGTTTTAATTATCCAGGTACAGCTCACAAATTTCCACTTCTACCTCGTCACAGAGTACCGGCTCATTATTTCCCCTAAAAGCCTTTTTCTCTCTCTTACCAGGGAATTAAAGATCCTCTATCCAAGGCCAAGGTGAGATTGGCCATGCTCAGGGAGCACTGCGATGGAGTCATCATTCGTGAACTAGATGCAGGTAATTTTATTAATAATAATAATTATTATCGTCGTCATCATCACCATCACTTTGCATTTTTAGAAATACATCAAGAAATTCCGGTGTTTTCACAATGCCAGCCGTAATTTTCAAATTCACCGATTCATCCCATTTCACCTGCTTTTGGTTATCTATGTTTGATCTTGGCACTGATGAGAAACACTACCTAGATACGGTATTAATAAGCTGAGTTTGGCCCCACAATTATTCCGACTTAGAGCCCCATTCTTTGGCCATTTTCATGATGCTAATCACATCGCCCCCCACCTCCAGGCCACTGTCCTCATGACGAGCAGCCCAAGTTGGTGAATTCAATCTTAAGCGAGTGGACAGCTGCAGCGACAGTCATCTCATCTCCTGTGGGCAACCCCTAGCCGGCTCCCCGCATGCTCCATTCCTCATCCCAGGGAGAAAGTGAGCTTTCCAGCATTGGCATCATATTTTCCAGCAATGTGTCAGCAGGCTATACATGACAAATAAGGCGTCTGATGTGAAGCTCTCCCTCTTTTCCCTGAGATGACTGCTTAAACCATGGTCAAATGATGATTTATCTGTTCAAATGACGAGTAACAATATCCTTCAAGGACAAAACAATGGATGATTCTGGCCAGCGAAATCGGTGAGAACAGAAATCGCCACCCGCCGTCCACTGCCTGAGAATTGGAGACCAACAATGGAGGGTCTTCACCAGCCAAGAAGTAGAAGCTTCAGAAGAGCCATTCGGATATAAAGGCCATTCGTCGCCTGCCTGAAGTACGCAGCCCTCGGGTCGGCATCCACATCCGGGGTAATCTGAATCACCATCATCCATGCAAGAGGTAAGCCCATGTTTTTATTTCAGTAGCCTCAACAAGGAATTTGAAGCACACCCTCACCTCATCGAGCCTCGGAAGAGGATGCATAATGATAGAATGCTTCGGTAGCACATCCAGAACCTTCCTGTCCACTATATACTTCCCCCGGGCTTCTTCGTAGAGGTCTATCCTTTCCCCAAATCTTTCCTTCTGGATCCGAGTCTGGTAGACCACGTCGCACTTGGAAGCCACCTCCATCAGATCTGCGCTCTCTTCCCATTCGATCCCCTTGGAGGTGAGGTACTCCTTTATGTCATCCTGCAAATAGAAAAGCCTTTCAGGCTATTTCATGTGGATTCTCTGACAAATGTGAGATGTGGGGCTTGAGGAATTGGTGATCTTGGGGATTTGGGAGGTGAAAAAATTGGGATCACCTTCATCTTTACAACATCTGGGGAAACAAAGTAGATTTTGACATCCTGGTACTTGGCAATGAGGTAAGCCAGAGACCTGACAGTCCTCCCGTTGGCAAGATCTCCCACTAGACCTAGACTGATGCCATCCAGCCTACCGATTTCTCTCTCAATGGTGTACACGTCCAGGAGGGCCTGCAAATGAAGGATGAAGAACGTCAAATCTTCGGGGATCAGTCGGCAGAAACTCTCACAGAAATCTCATGTTGAAGTGCCCACAACAAGAACCTTGCCCAGTGAATGATCTACGCCAAGAACCAAAAACAGCATAGCCCCAGAAGGTGCCCACATCTATCTTTTTGGCTCCTAATCTCATCCATCTGCAAGAAGGCCCTCCCCTAGTCTTCAGGCTATATCCGGCTTCACAATCAGCTTCCTCACCATCTATTTCTCACCACCTCGATCTCCATTTCGATGCTCTTTGCCGCTTAAGTCTATGGCTTGGGGATCTGTAGAGGATAGCATCCGTCCAATCCCTTGCCTTGATCCACCAGCACCCTTTTGCACCAAGACTTCCCTGGAGTCGTCTATCTCAACTCAACCCTCTCGGAAGAGGATACGATCTCTGACTGCCATTTCCACAAGGGGAAGGAACAAGACCATGGATATCCAGTCCCCATTCAATAAGCTTTTAGAGGAAAAGGATGGTTGAGAGAGAAAACAGAGTCCTGTGCCGCCACCTTACCTGCGTGGGATGCTGCCCAGGGCCATCCCCTGCGTTGATAACGGGGACCCCGGCCGTCATTGCAGCTCTTCGGGCGGCTCCACTCTCGAAGTGTCTCATGACGATTATATCCGCGTAGCCTTCGACCGTCCTTATGGTGTCTGCCCTTCAAACCATATCACATATCAGCGAGGCAATGCCCACATAAAGAAAAGGAAAGCTCTCCTTCATCTTCAGAGGAGGAGGAGGATATGGGCGGACCTTCCAGGGTCTCCCCTTTCGCCGCAGAAGAGAACTCCCTGGCGTTCTCCGTCGTCAGCACCTCACCACCGAGCCGCTTCATGGCGGACTCGAAGGAGAGCCGGGTCCTCGTGGAGGGCTCGTAGAACAGAGTGGCCATCAGATGGCCCCTCAGGACCTCGCTTTCAGGGGTGCCCTTCTCGATCTTCTCCATCTCGCGAGCAACCTCGAAGATGGCAGTCAAGATATCCCTGTCGAACTGCTGGGCCTCGATGACGTCCTCGAGCTGGAACCTCCGCCCGGTCGCCGGATATGGCGAGCTCTTGACGCCCAGAGAGCATTGAGACCTTTGCGAGCAGCGGCCCGTTTGGTTGATTCTCGTAGGGAACTTAGGGTATGATGGGGGAGAAGAACTCGGTGAAGATCTTCGAGAGGGGCCGAGTGATCGGACCCCGCTGGGCAGAGCTTGCCTGGACAGAGCCGAGGAGATCATGGCGGTTGACTCTTGGAAGCCTGGCACAGAAGGAAAACAAGAAGACGCTGAGCCAGCCGAAGCACGCTCAGAACAGGTAACTGCCCGATATTTCATCTTCGAAAAGGGCTCTCTCTATTCCCCACATGAATGGAACGACGGGGATGGAGCCAGCAATGGGTGAGAATGGAGGAGGAAGACTCGCATGTTGGAAGTGAGGTCGCAGACGAAGAATGGCAGAAGGCGATGGGATAAATGCCGAACCCCCAGAGTCAGAGCAAAACCACGGAGAATCCCAAGACAAGATCCTCATCTCTCCTGAAGTAGGGGGGAGGAAGAGCCCAGGAAAACGGGAGAAACTTGACCCACCCAGAAGGGGCGGCGGCGGGGGTGATAGGCATGGACAGCATCGGGTGAGATTCTCACCGTAGGAAGGAGCCGGGAGATGACTACCGCCAGAGCGCCGCCGCGGCGGAGACGAAGGCGGCGTTACAGCGAGAGGGCGACTGCTTGTGCTAGTGGCGGCGCAGTGGGGGAAGGAGAGCGACGCCTGGTGGGACCCCTAATAATCTTCTCCAAGAGCGAGAGTGAGCTGCTTCGGCGGCCCAATAAGAAAGCAAAGGTCGATGAAAGAATCTCCCCGCGGTGGTCCCAACGGTCGAGATCCTCACATCCCGCCTACTCCACGCCAACCACACGAGGGATTTTATAATGTTCACAAAATTATGATATCTTCCTCGTTTTTACTAGTTCGCCACATCACTTGAACAGTATCACAGCTAGAAAGTCCTTTTTATTAAAAACCATAAAATAAAAACTAGATTTTTTTTTCAAATCAAAATAGGTTATTTTTTCCTTAAAACAAAATTATCCACCCTTTTAACAAAAATGAACTAAAAAGTTTACCCTCCCTTCTTATTTGCATCGAGATTTTTTGTCCTGTGACTATTAAATACTTGATCTTGCAAAAGACACAATATTTTCAATTGGAAACTATGTGCATACCAATTTTTTCAAATCATAATATTATTAAAAACCAGAAAAAAATAAAGTAGTATTATTTTCAAATCAAAATAGGTTATTTTTTCCTTAAAATGAAATTATTCACCCTTCTTACAAAAATGAACTAAATTTTTTATCTTCCCTTGTTTGCATTGGACTTCTTATCTCTTGACTATTGAATACGTGATCTTGAAAAAGGTTCAAATTTTTCAATTGGAAATTGTACACATCAATTTTTTCAATTGATATCTTCCTTAGAACTTGAAACAATCACTGAGCCTCTTGTCTTGAGGCATGGCCTTGGCCTCAAAGGGCTCAATTTAAGCCTAGAAAGAATCATTGGTCAATTGACCAAAGAATGAACTACATTTGGAAGCTCTCATTAGCACCTAAGACACCATAGTCAACAATATTTGTTTAAAGTCAACTGGAAAGAAAGATATCATGCTTTGTTAAGACTCTCTTTTTCAAAAGGTAGATATGGAAAAGCTTATTTTGCATTCACTTCTTGGATTCTTCAGTGCAAGAAGATGAAAGATACGGATGTTAAGACATCAATAGTGGTGGCTGCCTAGAGCTTTTATAGTTTTAATGTTGACAAAATACATAGGTGACTAAAGTAATAATTTATGCTGCCAAAATTATTTAATTTATTAAGTTATTATTATTATTAACTCTTAGATAAAGTTTGTCTTTAGCCTAGTGATAGACTCAACAGATAATGATACTCATAATGGCTAAGTTATAATTTTCTGAGCCAACTTGTTCAACTCATTTGACAAATACTTCACATTATGAATAACTCAGGAAGTGAGTCAACTCATTTGGCAAGAATATGCTTCAATACAACATACTGAAATACATAAAATGATATAAATTGATAGTTTTACATTACTAAAACATTTACTTACTTTCATGGTCCTCAAATACACAGAGACTATTCCATTTTAGCATTTAAAAAAGACATTGAATTTTTTTTAGACTTATCATTTGTAAGATTTATATTGTTTGAAACCAATTTATTGGGTTAAACTAGATTATGTGTTGAGAGGACAATTTATTGGTTCATAGAGTGTTTGTAGCTATTTTTTGACCATTAAACACTCAAGAATCTAGAAAAGAAAACTCCATATTTAAATATTACCATTTTTATGCCTCTAGTGATGATCAATCAACACTCCAAAATAATGTTTTCACATCTTCATGTTAAAGTATTAAAACATACATTTGTTCTCTCATCTTCTTTGATTACTTGAAATATTCAAGCTGACTTTATGCTACTAGTTTAGAAGGAAATAGTAGAATACAAACATTATTGACATAATAAACATTGTATTTGTCACCTTTGAATGTGGATGTCCTTTTTCATTTCATCTTTCTCTTGCTTTTTTATTTTTCTCTCATGAAGGCAAAAAAGCCTTCACGATGGTGGGGAGATTGAATCTAATAGCAAGGTGACTATGGTAGACTACAAGTTTTAACATGGTATCAAAGTAGACCAGGTGTGTTTGTTCCACTTTATATTGACTCTTGTAATGTTCTATTAGATAAAGTATCATGATCTACTAAAGTTACTTTCTTTATTAAAGCTCTATTTTTTGAGAAAAATAATCTTCTAGTTTTTTATTTACTATGTTGGTTTCCATCACCCTAGTGACACCTTTTCTCATATGTGGAGAAGAAGAACAGCTTTAGACCATATGGGGAGGAATCAGTTATGACTATTTGACCCTTTATACTTCTATTAAGGCTCAAACTTCCTTGTAGAAGGTGAGAGTGCAACATTCTACTATTAAGAGAGAAAGGTAGTTATCATGTAAGAAGTAGTTACTATGATTTCATCCTCATCTTCATGTGTGTTCATCAACAATTCCTCTAAACTATGTTTAAAGTTACAACATATTTAAAATTAATTTAAATTATATGGAAAAAATGTTTTACAATAGAGTAAATTTATAAAAGTTGTTTTGATCAGAATGAACAAATTAAATCATACTCATAAATCTATTTGTGAACAAATAGACCCATAATACAAGTTATGGAAAGAGTATGATACACCCATAAAAATACAACTATAAAGTATAATGTCATAAGAAATAAATACAATTTTTATTTTATTTGATACCAAAAGACTTTTAGGAAAAAATAAGCAAATTTTCATCAAAGAAGGAAGATGACGTTGAAATATTTAAAGTCATAATGAAGGTTATGTTTGTGACTCAAGAAAATAGATCAATAAGGAAATATGTTAATGAATTAGAGTCTTTGTGGATCAAAATTGATAGATACAAACCTATCATTGCATAAATTGTATATGATAATATTTTTGTTAAGAAATATAGAATCTTTAAGTTTCTATGTCATCTTAATGTTAAATATGATTAGGTTAGAACTCAACTCTTAGGGAGAGAAAGAACATTATGTCTTGAGAATTTTTAGTTATTACAATTATCATAACTGAAGAAAGTAGAAAAAACTTAATGATAAAACCACAAAATATTAACAATTTAGTATTCATAATGAAACAGAAAAATAAAAATGAATAGCCACTATCACTAAGTCAAGGATGTAAGAAAGGTGACTACAAAGACTTGTGTAACACATTGTAATTAGGCAAGACATAGTCATGAAGAGTGTTACAAATTCTATAGATGATTGTAAATAGGTGGTCAAGTATGTGGAAGGCCTCCAATAGATGGCCAAGGCCACTTGATCACTTGCCAACCATCGTAAGTGTTGGTGGCAGCCCCTTCCTTTATAGAAGTAACTCATATGATATGGAGATTCTGAAGGCTAAAATTAAAAAACCAAAGTTAATTGTGACATTATTTTTTTTCTCATCATTTAGGTAAAATATCTAAATCTATTATACTTCATGTTACTTGTAACTCTTTTTCAATGTCATGGATCCTAGACACGTGAGCCACATAACTCATCACATTATTTTTTATCATACATCCTTTATTGTTGGCTGACGTGACTTAATCATTATATAATATATCACATAAATTTAAAATTTATAAAACTAGAAAATATTAATTTTATTTTTTTAAGAAACATTTCAAAATAAATAAATAAATAATATTTTGATAAAAATTTTAAAAAATATTAAGAAATTTTTAGTCAATCATAGTGATGTAAGATAATATCAGGTAATATTTTAGATTTTTTTGAAAGAATATGATTTTTTATAATTTTTAGACTAAATGATGAATATAAAATATAGTTATAAATTTACAAAAAAATAAAATAAGGGTGAGGATGTCAAGATGATGTCAATGTCCCAACGAATGTGAATCGAGTGAAAATAAAGTTTCACTTAGCTATTCTTACATAAATAATTACAAACTATTTAATTGGGCATTAAGATCTATAAAAGTCTAAAGAATTATAATTGAATGAAAAAGGTTTTCAAAATTTTAAATCACATGAAATATCATTAAATTAAATACAAATTAAGTTTTAAATAAGAAAGATAAAGTTTCGGCCTTATGACAGTCATCGTCATAATTTTATTTATTTGAGATGATTATCGTGCGATGTTCACGACCTCAAGGGCTCTCATTAAAGATGGACGACTTAGACATTCGCTGGATCTATTTTCAAAGACTAAAAAATGATGGTGGAAGTTAAAAAAATTAAAAATGGTAAAATAAAGTTCTAACATTGAGGCAATGATGTGTCAAATTTTAAGCATTCAAGATTACTATCATACAATGTCTATGGCCTCAAAAATTCTCTCATTAGACAAGAACGATATAAGTAATCTCTATATTTTCTTACAAAATTTAGAAATCAATAAAGTGAGTCGTTGAATCATCTTCAGTAGCTATCACCCAATAGAACGAAAAAAAAGTAACTATGTGGATTTTCACTGATTATACCTGACAGAGGTGAGTTAGATGGAGGTGGGACGCATCTTAAGGTACTTTATTCTCAAGTTTGTACAATAAGAGGAGCTTCTTCATCACATCTAGTATGCTCTTAAGAAGTGACAACTCATCTCTTGGTAGATCATTTTTTTTTCGACAACAACTTGTTCGTTTATCAATTGAAGATCTTTTACTCGATAAATTCACGATCTTTTTATCTATAATCATTTAACAATTTTAGTAATGATATTATACAAATCATGGTAATGAAATTTATTGATAATTGAGCAATTCTAGTAGCTTAATTATTTACTAACAATTTATAAGAAAATCAGGATTTAATCAAATAAAAAATATGAGTTTTGACTTTAATAGAATTCAAACCTGTGTTAGTCACCCGCTTACATAAGAAAGAGTATGAAATAAGTACATGAATACTCTTATAAAGATATGTCATAAGGTATATCCTCCTTATAAATAAGGGATATTTTAGATATTAAAATTATTAAAAATCTTATCGGAAGTTATGATTACTAGTTTAGTCCCACATGAATTATTTGTTGAATTATGAGATGAATATATAGTAATATAAGATTTGATAATTAACGTGTCCATTTCTCATGTGTGTACGACCACTCTTTGCCTCACACTTGGTTGCCCACCAGTGACGTGAAAGGAGTGATGCACATGTGTCTCTTACCGGTCTTTAGCCGCTCGAGCCCTTTACTTGTGGCTTTACTTGACTATATTTCTAACCTATTTGCAAGCCCGGTTGACCAGTAGGTCCACCCTTTTATTTATTTATTATATATATATATTTTATTTATTTCTCTTAAAAATATGATTATAAAAATTCTCATAAAATTAAATAATTAGCCAAAAAATCACATTAATTAACTAAAAAACATTTTTTTTATAATTTAATATAATATAAGTCTATTTATAATGAATTAAAGCTTAAAATATATATTAGTTAATTATTAAGTCATAATAATGAAGACTTATAACTGATATAAAAATATAAAAATAAAACTAGTGGGCATATTTAAAAATATTTTCTATATTCATAAACTATCTATTAATATTTTTTTTAATTAAAAGATTAGTTCATGACATTACATGTAAAGTAATAATCAATAATGATTTTTGTAATGTGTATAATAAAGTCACAAAGAAGAAGATTAGATGTACTGATTTACACATGAGACACCTTAGAGCAGCCAAGAGGATGACCACCATGAAATTAAATAAACAATCATGACATATGACTTTTGTCTTAGTTATGATCAATAAATTTGAATTGTATTGTCATCAACTTAGACATACAAGTCACAGAATAATGAATATTATGTTCCCTCACTTTATTTTAAAATATGATTTGAACAAATTGAAATGTGAGACTTGTGAATTTTGGAATCATAAGTGAATCTCTTTTCCATCTATTAGTAAAAGTAATAATACTCTATTTTAGTGATGTGTGGAGGCCAGCCATTAATCTTAATATTTTGGGAGTAAAATAATTTGTAACTTTTGTTGATAATTCTTCTAGAATGACATGAATTTATTTGATCAAATGAAAAAAATTAATCATATTATATTGCGACAATAAATCAATCATCAATATCGCACATAGACTAATAGAACACAGTCACACCAAGCATGTGGAGATAGATTGTCTTTTCATCAATGATCGACTGAATAGTGATACCATATGTACACCTTATTTATCCACTCACAATCAATTAACAGATATATTGACCGAGGGATTAAGTGGATCTATTTTCCAATGTGTTTCTTTTAAGTTGAGATTGAAAAACATCAATTCATCAACTTTAGGAGGAATGTTGGATAATATATTAAAGTTCAAGTTAAATATAATCTAGATCTCACCCAAACAACATAGCCTTTAAATACCTTGTATTCATCACCTTTTTGAATGGGAATGACATTTTTCATTTCATCTTTCTCTCTCTTTTTTCTCTTTTTATCTCACTAAGACAAAAACCCTTGATTGGGAGCTTGAATCTAGTAGTAAGGTGACTACAACAGACTCCAAGTTCTAACATAAAATAAAGAATCTAAGAAAAATATTTTGAGTCAAATTGAAGCTTTCGTGCTCAATGATTGTATCAATAGGAACTAGTAGTACCTAAGGATCCAATCTTAGGAGATTGAACTAAGCTAAGTGGGCTGAAATATTGTAAATTTTAGTCCCAAAAATCTTAAAAACAAAATTCTATTAGATATCAGAAACTGTGTCAAGTATGCATGTAAAAACGTCATCGAGAGAATTCAGATGCATCAATCCCACATCATGGAACATTTGGTCCATCTTTCTCAACCATAGAAGAGATCAAGAGAGGACAAGCACGAAAGGCATTACAAACACTGCACGAAATGCAGGAATCACAGCCTCCACATCTTCGTCTTGCTTTACTTCCCACCACCAAATTTGCCCATCATCTTGGTGATGATGGGGGCCACCTTGGGGTTTGCTTGATGCTTCGCAAAGTTGGCAGGGTTTTTCATCACTACAAGGGAGGAGAAATAGATGAAGATGTAACATTAACAAGCAATAGAGTGATCTAGCACGAATCATAAATCAATTTTTTAAAAAGAGTCCACTTGTTGAGAGTTCCTTCAAAAAAGTAGAATCGTTAGATAATAATTAGTCCTCTCCCTGATCCATATACGGTATGACAGCCAATCAGGAACTATTCTTGCATCAGGAACATGAGAAATATGATGACAATCAGTTAATCACAAGTTATCTCCTTCACATAATCCATCAAACCATCAAACCATCAAACCATCAAACCATCAAACCATCAAACCATCAAACCATCAACCCTAGTATCTCAATTCCACCAGTCATTATGAGGCCCATTCTTTGATCTCGAAAGCAACTCCCAGTCATGTGTGGCAGATGCAATGCTAACAAGTTTCAGCAAGAAGTCTCCATGTTAATTCCCAGTGAGAGAAGGGGGTAAAAGGAGCTCATAATTCAACCACACAAGAGGGCAAATTCTACATATAAGATGACATTTGAATGACACTATTCCTTCCTCGGAAAAGACAACACAATCACCAGTGTTCAGTCCACATGGCATTACTTTACAAGGGCTTAATGAGAATTGACATTGCAAGATGGATGAGTTAAAATAATAGGTTGCTCTTCTGTTTCTTCTATATGAACTTTCAAATACAGCTTTACTTGAAAAAGACATTGATTTGGATCAAACTTTTGACGGAAGCCTTTCGATTCGTGAACCAAATACCAGTACGTGATAAGATAAAAGCTTCTAATATGTTCATCTAATAGAGCGATCGCATTGATTTAAAGACACCATATGATGAAGCATCCAAAAAAGTCGATATTTAGAAAAAAAACTCCATTAATTCATCTGTACAATCAGGGGAAGAATAAACCAATCTCATAATGGATGGTATAAATTATTTTTTTTCAAATGGTGTTTGATTTATACAAAAAAATCCTCCAGGTTATTGACTTTTATCCTCAAACGTCATTTTAGTCTCTAAAGAAGGAAGCAATTTAATGTACGTTACTTGTGCAAGTAAAGAACACAGTTGTCATGCTGGGAAACCCTACCTTGTCATCAACAAATGTAAGATTCGGGAAAAGGAAAATCAAGGGTACAAACTGTGAAACATAGTAGGAGAGATATGATCTCATCAGAATCATGTATTCATCTTCAGGAGAAAAGCCCTGGCATGATAACTATCTTCTTTCCTTGTATGAGTAAACATGCGTAAAATCGCTATATGTTGTTGAAGAGATGCTCTCATCTAAATCATGTTCTTCTATAGAAAAGATGGAATGATTATTTTTCAACGGGAGTGTACACTTCTTTTCTTGCATTGTCAACAAAAAAAAAAATATCCATAAAGTGGGGCAAATAGCCAATCCATATAATACAAGAACTTAAATGTAAATACCATCTTGAAGTGCAGCCATAACTTCAGGGTCTTTAAATGCAGCCATTAACTCTGGATCCTGAGAAAAGCAAGTGAAAATGAATTTCATGCCACAAAATTTAAACAAATAAATTCTAGGGCAAAGACAGTATATTAATTAAAAATACTTTTCGAGCTAGCTTGTTCCAGAAGATCAAAGGCACTAACTGGCATGTGGCTACAACTTTTAAGATTAGAAATGGAGAATGAGAACACCGGAATCTTGGTCTATTTAAGGAAAAAAGATTACAATACCAAGAGAGAGTTAATGAACCTAAAAAACTGACATGTGGAGGCCATCAAGACATTTTGCAGAACTACCAAAGCATAAAAACATTTTTAACTTAAAAGTATGAAAATATATCTTATATAAGGTGAAGAAAATGTGAAAGAAACAGTCTAATAGATACACTGAACCAGGAAAAAGTAAAAGCATAACATACATTTAAGATATTGCTCATATCAATATTTCCAGGCACACCCCCTGGCATACTACCCGGGAAAGCTCCCTGTGGCATGCCACCTGGCATACCACCTGGCATACCACCTGGCATACCACCTGGCATACCACCTGGGAAACCACCAGGGAAACCATGAGGCATTCCACCAGGCATACTGGCTGAGCACCCTCCGGTTGGTGGGCAACCGGATGGGCCACAAGAAGATGATTGCTCTTTCTTTTTGGCCTTTTCGTAAGCAGCCTGTAAGAATGTGAAAAAACACACGCCAGTTAAAGAACATACAGTGGGCTTGTAAAAAACACCTAAAAAAAAAACCGACCTGAGCTTCAGCTCGACGATGTAGTCTTTCACGTTCAACTTTTTTATCCTCTCTTTCCTTTCTTAGGCGGTCATACTTCCGACGATGTTCTTCAATCTTATGGGCATTGGGTTCAACCTACATCCAAAAGTTTCCTTATAACAAAAACACTTGAAAGAACTTAATCATGGGTCTGAACAGTGATTATCGAAAATAAAGCTCGCACCTTCTTAAGCACAGCACCAATCTCTTCATCATAATCCAATTTGGAAGCAATATGCAGATCCTTAGCAGCTTCTTCCCATTTTCCAAGCATTGCCAGGGCCATGCCACGAGATTTGTACCCTTTGGCAGAATCCGGGTTTATCTAGAAGAATAAAATATGAACATCTAGCCCACAGTCTCCATTAAAGAAAACAGCAATGTCAATTTACTTTGGATAATTGCCACAGCATACCCAAAGTAATGTTTGGAAATACTTCAATGGAAAAAACAGATACACGATAGATCATTCTATCAAATAAAGACGCAGTGCAGAAAATAGTACAATAAAAATATGAACTGCAGACAACTTGAGCTTCAAGGAAGAGACCTTGCATTGAGATTTAACCCAAAGTCTTTCTCCTATGAGTTCGCACACTCATGAAGACAATACTGATGAGGCAGTGCCGATCTAAAGATCCAAGTGCTACATCTGGCAAGCTCATTACCCATATCCAAAACAGAAACAGTATTATGTAAGGTATAAACATCATATTAATTCTCTATGCACATTATTCGATACGGATTTATCTGTGTGATTATAATCTTATGTGGTCTCACATATACATCATAGTATTTGCCACTTATTTAATGATTAATTGCATGGTGCGATATATTTAGCAAATTAGCCGTAACACCTGTTGCCTAGATAATAAGGTCGCATACCACTTTGGTTGCTTGAAAAACCTTAATCCTATAAAAGAAAAAAATAAATCACGAAATAGTCTCCATGGTCCATCCTATATGATAAGGAATGGATTACACGCTTAAGGTCATATTAATCTGCCTATCATCTTAAACCGGGAGAACAGAAGTCCAAGCCTGGACCCAAAAACAGCCAGACACTTGAGAAATATAATACGGCATTGTATAAAACGACAAAGACAAGAAAATAACCTCTAAGGCAGCATCTGCATCTCGAATAGCTGCATTGGGTTTCTTCATCTTGATAAATACGGACGCTGCATGGAAATCGTGAATTATGTCATTCAAATAGGTATTCAAAAATTGACAAAAAGGCCAATAGGTGTAATCAGAAACTACCTCGGGAGCCGTACATGATTGCTGAGGATGGGTTTAGCAATATAGCTTCTGTAAGATGCTCAATGGCCTCATCCAATTTACCTGGACATAACGATCTGTTTAAAAAACAGTGGAACAAAACTTGGGATCCAAGGACAGAAAGAGAAGAAGACACACTTTCTGAAATTGCCTCCATGGCTTTTCCTTTTGCCAGTTGGGAGGCATCACGGTTTTCATCAGTCACTTCAATAGATGCATCTCCCATCTGCAAAGAGAACAGATAAAAATCAATCATCTTCAAAACATGCGACTTTTAGAGACAGAGATAGCAATATAAATCTAAGACAAAAAAAAAACCCAATGGAGCCACCTTCTGTGGAGGTTCGTTGTCAGGTTCAACAGTTTCCCCTTCGAGTTCAATATCCGACTCCACTACATCATCATCCGATTCGGTGCGATTGGGAGCTTTGCTGCCAACATTTGCATCGAAGTAGTCATCATCCCCGTCATCCAAGTCCTCGTCACTCTCACTCGCCTTGTAAGTTTTCTGGATCAAGTATACATAACTACATAGTTAAATATTTCAAACAACCTATTCAAAAAGTTATCCAAAGATACCCACAATAACAACGGTTGAGACAATGGTCAAACTAACAGTGCATATTAATGAAATACATTGACCTCGATGAATATTAATGAAAGCTCGGAAACTACAGCATTTTTATTACGATTTCCTAGGTGAGGGAAACACTAGATGTAAGAGCGGATATTGAAAACATTGAAAATGTCCTCCCTGAACATTTCGTAGCGTCTTTTCTTCATTTAAACTCTTAATATATCCGATAAAATTCTATATATCATGCAGAAAAGTTCACGCACTCTTCACTGATGTAAACTAGATTTTACTGTACTCCAAAAAGAAAAGTTCAAATGTCTTCCAAGTTGTTGTGATAACCGTATCTTGTCCATAGGTGATTTAGGCGTATCCAAGTCGGTCAAAGGGCCAAAGCTACCTAAATATTAGCGTGAACTTGACCACGGCATTTCTGAGTGTTGTAGTATCCCGCCAGTTGGAAACTTGAAATTTGCAAAGTTTTCTTCTCTCAATTCACAGTAAGGAAGGAAACCCTATCAGAAACTATTATTCTTTAACGATATTTAGTACTGTAAACCGTTGCGCCCAAAATGCGCACACTAATCAAAATGATATATAACAAGTAATTTTTGCCTCTTCACGGACCAGATCATAAATCTAGCATGCCCTGGTTGGGCGATGGTCGATGCTGATCATTGTTAATCAATATCGTTCACATCAACATTATAACATGCACAATATCACGAATATTATGGAAAGGGGAGAGTACCGCATCACTAGCGTGTGGGGACTCGCCGGACCCGTACGCGGTCGCAGGAAGCTTGCAACCGAGGCTGGAACAACCCACCGCGGACAGAAGAACACCCCGACGATACAGAAAAACCGGGAAAAAAATAAGGAGTGAGAAGCCGAGAGGGAGCGCTTAGGGTTTTAGAACACGTTGATGCCTGAAAAGAGAGGAAGATAATGGGAATAGATGTGATAGAATATGTGACTGGCACGCCTACCTCTCCAGATACTCCCTGAAGAAGGAGATGGAGGGGTCGGCAAGGATGGAAGGGTTGCCCTTGCACTGCTGGACGAAGAACTTCAGCTCCTTCAACTTCGCTGCATCCATTTCGAATACTCGCCGTCACCGCGCCGGTAAAGCTCCCTTTGTTTATATCTCCCGGTGGCGGCTGACCTGGCGAGATCGCTCAGACGCTTCTAGTAGCTTCTACAATATCCAAACTCATCACTCCTTCCACGTGTACTGTTCGTTTGCTGCCAATACCCCCCCTCTGGCTGACGTGGTGTTCTCTTCCACGTGGTCCACTAAGGAATATTCTTATACATTAGTCCGTATCTTCTGCAACTAGAATTTAAGGACATTTTTCGGAGGAAGTAATTTCGGGAAGATATAATATTAGGCACATGGAATAAATATTTTTTATTATTTAAAAGCAAGAAAAAAGTAGGTTTAAAAAAGCATAAAAAATAATTATCTTCTTTAAAGCCATTTTTTTTGGACTGGATCCTGGTTTTTTTTAAATAATGATTTTCCCATGTCTTTTTAAAAATCATTATTTTTAGAAATAACGATTTGCTCCGCTACTTTTCTAATACGAATATTGGGTCCGAACTTAGGAATAGGCCCAGTGAAGCCCGTTACGGTGCTTAGCGGCCCGGCCCGGCCCGGCCTGAAATCAATTGATGTCGGTGGTCCCGGGGGCCACGGAAGCAGTCGCTATCGCAGGTTCATTGGTGGGGCAAATCGCTGTCCGCCCAGCCGAGGAAGCCGACGGTCATGATCAAATTTTATATACACGGTCACGATTTTTAGTATGTTATTACTGGGGCTGTTGGAATAAGTGGGCTCTAATATGTTCCGGCGGTACAAATTATGCTGGTGGTCTCCAAAGCGGGCCACGGAAGCCCCGCCAAGCGCGGTGGTGGCATCTGCTGTGCCGCGGGTGAGGATTATTCTCGTGCTGCACCTGTTTAGGGGTCAAAAGTAAACCAACCTCTCGTTCTAAAACCCGCCTCTCCCCTAAGTCGGTACCGGTTAGCCCCGTTACGTGGGCCGTTCCTGTTCCTCTCCTTTTTTAGAGAGATAAGGGGACCGATAGAAACCCTAGCCTGGTCCCTCTCTACTGCTCATCTCTCTCTCTCTCTCTCTCTCTCTCACTCTCTGTCTCTGTGTGTGCCTCTCTCTCTCTCTCTCTCTCGCTCGGATCTTTCTTCCTCTATGGCTGGGAGCGGCTGCCGTGCAACGACAAACACATGAGTTGCCGAAACTGAGAAATAATAGGCGGGAAGAAGCTCTCAACCACGGAGGAAGGGGGGAAGGGGGGAGAGAAGAAAGGGGGAGATCTGTCTTCGTCTCTCGTTTATTTTCAAGGTTTTGTGGGTACTGGTTATCTTCTGCGTGAGATTTGACGTTGTCGAGGCGCCCGCTTGCCGCGTCCAACTCTCCCTTCTGTCTCCGATCGTTCTCTCCGGTGGCGAGGGAGCACGTCGATGGCCCGTTACCTCGGTATTTCCGCGTGGATGATCCACCAATTCGATGAGAAAGCATGCGAAATCTGAGAACCGCAAGGTCTCACGGAAGCCTCGCGATCGGGAATCGGAGGAGATTGGGTCTTCCAGGGTTTTCCCCACTCGGGGGCCGGCAGTGTCGATGCCGTCCGTGGGGACGAGGAGCTCAACCCGGGTATTTGTGCCCAAGAACATCTCTAAGGTGCCTCCGGATGACACGGCGTCGAGGGTGCTGAGGTCTGGCAAGCGGTTGGCGTTGTCGAAGCCCGTCGGAAAAAAGGCAGCTAGCGATGGTGATGGGGATGCAGACGACTGGGCGATCATGGAGAGAGAGGACGCGAACTGGTGGAAGGGAGGGAAGGGATCTGCAGAGAATCACAGAGAGGAACAAGGCCGTGGGGTGAAGGTCAGATGGCGCGCCTCGGAGGAAAGAAAATTGAAAGCCGATTATCAGGGGAAGGAAATTCCGACGTACGTTCTGAACGAGAATGTTGGATCTTCTTCTTTGCAGGAGAAGTCTTATGGGATCTTTTACAGTAGGAAGCGGCGGAGACTGCAGTCATTTGGTCAGGATTCGGCATCCTCTGTGTCGCCGGCGAAGGATGCCAAAGATGGATTGACCTTATTATCTGATGGATCGATTCCGTTGTCAACTGAATTAGGTGACCGGGACTCAAGTGGCTCTCGATATGGTGTTTTCTTTGTTCGTAAACATCTCATGAAGAGGTCAAAGTTGCCGAAATCAGAGTTCCCAGAGAAAGGGATTGTAACGTCAAAAACTGCTCGTGGCTTTGCGCGTAACTTGGGGATTTCAGGCAGGGATCCATGGCTTGGATCTGTTGGCAACATGGTCCTGGTTATCCACAGACAGCTAACTATCAATGCCAATTCTTACCAATTCACTAGCCTTATTCTTTCCCTACTGACTGGAATGACGAAGAAAAATGTTAGTTTATTCGAATGCGCTGCGTTTTTGTCTTCCAGAGCGGTAGCCAGGGTTTTCTCTTCACATGGGATCGACTTCTTACCAGTCAGGGGCTGGAAAAATGTAAGTTTCCTCTTTATATGCCATATTTATTGATTGATTTTTCCAATGTAGCATAGCTGCTCCACCACAGATGAAATAAATTCGCGCTCTCTGTTATCAGGAATTTTCAGACAAAAGTGCGGTAGCTGATGCTGGAGTTTGCATCATCTTTGGTGTTCGTCAGTTGATTCCCTTGGTCAGCGTGAACTTTTCCGCTCTGCCTTTGTTTTTCACGAGCTTGCATCTGGGTTTGTTTGTCAGTTCCTTACGTATGTCAAGTGCCCTTGCTACGGCTGATGTGGAAGTGAGTGTAGAGGAGCGCCGTTTGCGCATCTCAAATATTCATGAAGAGGCACGTAGGTTTAGGGAGGCTATATGCTTTGAAAGGCATGCTCGCCAGGAGTCAGTCGCTGTCACCGGATCTCCCGAGACACCTTCCATAAGTGTACCTGTGGTCAGTGATGTAAGATTTCAAAAGCATCAAAGGAGGAGTTCCAAGAGGTCTGGCAGAGCTTCCAGTCGTTCTGGCAGAGTTTCTAGTCGTTCTTTACTCAGATACCGTAGAAAAAGTTCCGTTGATAGGCAGAATAGTATCATGAGAATGGATACAGATTCCAAAGTTCGTTCTATACATGATAATTATGTGGTTGTGCCTGTTCACCAGAAAAGGAGGAAAGGCACGAGTAGGAACTCTATTCAGGTGATAAAGGAACTGAAGTCTGCTTTGTCAGAGGCTGAGCAGAATGTTGGCATACTGAGTTGCACTGCAAATATTCTAGTCATCGAGTCTGATAGATGTTGGAGGGAGGAGGGGGCCAAGGTTATGTTGGAGCTATCAAGCTCTAACAAGTGGTGCCTAGCAGTTAAATTGGGGGACACCACCAGGTATGTTCACAAGGCTCAGGAAGTCAAACCAAGTGCTACCAATCGATACACCCATGCCATGATGTGGGCTGCAGAAACGGGTTGGAAGCTTGAATTTTGTGATAAGAAGGACTGGAATGTGTTCAAGGAGCTGCACAGGGAATGCTTTGAGCGTAATATGCAGGGGCTTCCTGTTAAAATAATACCAGTTCCTGGAGTGAGAGAGGTTCCTGGGTATGAGGAGAGCTTTACTTCTTCCTTCTCACGCCCAGATTCTTACATCCGGATGGTGGATGAAGTTGAGAGGTTGCTTAGGAGTGAAAATGCCTGTTATGATATGGACTCTGGGGATGAAGAATGGCTTGAACAAATGAATTCGAAGTCTTTAAGCAATAATCCTGAGACCTCTGTTCCCATTTCTCTGGAAGACTTTGAGAAGATTATATCTGCTTTCGAAAAGGCGGCTTATAGTCATCCAGAAGGTGCTTTGGGACCAGAGAAGGCTGCTGATCTTTGTCCCAATCTTGGGAGCCGGGATATGGTTGTATCTGCGTTTGATTATTGGACAAAGAAGAGGAAACAACGACGCTCTGCTCTGGTTAGGTTTTTTCAGGTAAATTTCCTTTTTTTTCTATTTACATATGGGCTTGTTTTTATTTTTTCTTCTCTACTTGAGTTTTACTTAAGAAGTCCATACGTTTCATCATTATTTGCGTTTTTGCAATAATCACTTTCCTCCTCATATCCTTGGAAGTTGGGACTTGGGAATTTGTTGAGCTTCTGTATAAATTATATGTGGGCATAGCTGACTGCCATAGCAATTTCTCTTACCAATTATCGACTTATCAACCTTGAAATTGACATCTCCACCGTGCTGTCTAATGGTCAATGCCCTTTGTCAACGGATTTTATTTTGAGATGTTATTAGACGGTATTTAGTTTTTGCTCTTCTTCTCAGCTTCCATCGATTATTAGTATCCACCGCGCTGGCAACGTTTGCATTTTTGTCAAATATAATTTGGAATCTGGATGGTAACATAAATTCATTTTGAAAAAAAAAGAGAGAGATATACACCCGTGTTGAAAGTGTTCTTTGAATACTCTTTTGTTGGTGCCTCGTTTATCTCACTTGTTCGGTGAAAAATTATTTGTGACAGGGACAACCGCCAAGGAAAACACAGCTGACTCAGAGTTCACTGTTACGGAAAAAACGATCCTTTAAAAGGCAGGGAAGTCATTCTGGAAGAGGGAAGCCTGATATATTCTCAGAAGGTGCGTTCTTCATGAATAAACAAACTTTTCTTCCTGGTAGAAATGAAATGGTATCTGATATTCCTTTGCAGCCGGATGCGTGTTTTTTACTTAGATTTTTCGTTCTCTAGTAGATAGTTGCTGTCCTGTACCTTGGATCATTTCTCTCACTGTTTATCTACTTATTCACTGTTTCGTTTGAAATCCTGTTCAGATTTTCTGTCATGGTGTTCCTTTTGATTTACATGACCTTGTAAAATCGAGCATATTAAGTTATTTTATACCCATACCCTGTGGCGATTCCGGGGAGATCCTTGTGCCGATGGGTTGCACGGATCTGATCTGAGGCGTTATAATTTTTCTCATGTCTCGCATACTTGATATTCCTTTGCTAACTATCAGTTTATTCAGCCCATGCTGCATTAAGTTTGGTCTCTCGGTTTTTTATTTTGTGCCAAAAGTTTCACCGAAACCAGCTTCGCTGGTTATTTCTGGTTGGTTCCTACGAGTCATCTAAAAAGATAAAAAGATATCACCATCCCCTTGACCAGGAGAAGGCCTCAAAAGCTCTTCAAATATAATAACACAATATATAGCAACAAAACACTAGTTAGAGAAAAACAAAAGCCATTCAAATCAGAGCCCAGAAAGATTAACACGTGCACCTGGACAGTTATTTGCCTCATTTGCATCGGTGTTTTTTCAAGAAATTGGCTGTTTCGATTCTATCTTATTCGAAATTATTGTCTGTAAAAGCCATCTGTCGAGTAAAAATAAAACAAAAATGAAGTATGTTTTCATCTAGCCTCATGTTTATTTCTTATTTTCTTGGGAAGCCAGCATTCTCTGCATATACATAGTCCTCTGTCCCCTGTTGGTTCCGTCTCTTTCTTGCTGTTGATGATCAGATCTCTTTTTTTCCCCTTACCAAAAGCGGCTGGTGTCTTTGGGCATCTTCTGTTCTTTGAGTTTCCTCTCTAACGTCTGGTCGTCTCCATGCGAAGCCACCCCCTTCTGATGTTCCTGTCATTACCTCGTCTCTCGTTCCCTTGGTCTCCGCTGCTTTTTATGTGAAGCTAATGGGATTCTTTCAGTAGGAGACGGACCATTATTATCTAAAACCCGTTATTATTATTATTATTATTATTATTATTATTTCCAAATATGGACGTGCTTAATCGAATAGATTTTATCCACTGGGCGTGATAATTTGTTTCTCATTTTCTGGCCTCGTGTTGCAGGTGCGGATCAGGACGAGATTCTCAAAGTCCAGGCAGCCGAAGAAAGAGCAAGCAGAGCAATCAGTTCTGCCGTTCGGCTGCGCGCTCGGGCCCAGTTGCTCATGACCAACGCCGACTGGGCGACGTTCAAGGCCGTGATGGCTTCAAGGCTGGCAGAAGCTGCCCGGGCATCGGAGTCCCCTGACCTCCCTTCCTCCATTCTTGGTTAATTAAATGCTGCAGAGATGTACATATAGCTGAAGAAAGCACAGCTTCCGATTGTGGGAGAAAAGTGGATGCAATTCGCCAACCCGGGGGGTGATGATGTCTGCAGTTAGCAGCTGGGGGGCATTTTCCTTGCCTTTTTTGGTGCAGGATCTGGGCATTTTGCCTGTCGTTGGCCGGGGGGGAGACTGTAATTTTGTAAAGATGGGTAGTTGGCTGTAGATTCTGTGCTAAAAAAAGAAAGAATTGTGAACGGTGATGACATATTGGTTCTAGTGGCGAATACAGAATTGTGAATGCGGGCACCGGGGTTTCCACAAGCCGCAGTGGCTTTCCCCTTGGTGACCTGAAATTTGGCGGAGAGTGCATGTATATATATGTACAATTTATATACACACGGAGCAGACCCATAGAGAGAGAGAGAGAGAGAGAGAGAGAGAAACTATGTTAATTCACGCTCTGAACAGTGGGGTTAATGGTTGAGGGAATACATCTGGTACGGCAGCCAAACGTGTGTTGTGAGGTTCTTGATGCAGCAAATAATTATTACAGAAGTATATCCAGGAAACAAAACCCTAAACATCCGTAAACTTGAAATTACTTTCAAGTTAATAATACCTCCGCTGCTCGAGGACACATGAACGCCAACACCATATACTCATGTGATTCAGATGCCGGAGAAAGGATCAATCGATCCTTCTCCAAGGAGCTCGTTCCAAAGAGAGTTTGAAACTGTAGCAACAGAAGACGCCGAGTTTCAGACAGATTGTATGTAGTAGCACCAAACGCTGAAGGCCGGAGACATGCTAGTTTGGATGGATCCAGTATAAACCCCGAGAATCTGGGATCTGTGCCAAGAGAAAAGGGAATTCACGCAGGACAAGAAGAGAATGGAAAGTTCGTCAGCTACAATACAGAAATAAAGGGGAACCATTCAAAATTAAGAACTACTAAAAGGAGAACAAGTCACAAACAGGAAGGCAATTGATTCTACTGATTAGTTCCATCAGAGGAAGGCCTGCTGTTTATGGCACTCTATGGAGATGCGTAATGCAGAGAAAGTGTAGTTGGACTCCATTGGGCTGGGGCTTATGACACAGCCTCTTGTCACAGTTTTATTTCTCTAAGCCAGGAAATCTCTGCGACAGTTCTCTTGTCAGTTCTTGACATTCCCAGCTAAAAAGAGCCTGGTATCGATTGGAAATATCCAAAAGTTGAGTAAAGGTACAAGGGAGGTAACTAAAACGGCTTCTGGGTCTAAATTCTCGTGGAAGGAGGAGAGGTTGCTTTGGACCACATGACGATGTTCATCAAATGATGGGTAAGTGGATGAATCCCAAGAGACATGACAGAAGAGCTTAAATGCATTTGTAGTAAGAACTTGGTCCGGTGATTACCTCGTGTTTTACTGTAAGAAAAAGGCAGACGGCCGATAACTCATAATGGTTGATCAAATTTTGTAAAAAGATAATGAATTCCTACTTGGAAGCACACAGAATCACGATCTTCGGAAGGTGAAAACGTATTGTTCATCACAACGGTTCAAGAGTGGAGATGGCAAGCTGGATCAACGAAGCTTGGTATCTCATGATATTCCCACAGTGTAGAGATAATTTAAAGCAATTTTTAACACAGAAATAAAAACATATGACAGAAATTCTGTCGGGATTCAAGACTCACCGACTAGGCCGTATGTTAGTCACTTTTAAAATCATCGATACTCACACCTTCGGACACAGTGTCAAGTATCGTATTTTCTCCTGTTTCAAGCAAGAGAACACCTTTTAATAAAATTGGAAAAGGTAATCGATAAAATAAAAATTCTTAACTTTACAAGCTACTCGAGCTTCACCTTCGCATTTCCTTCCAGATAAAGTTGACAAACCGTTAAAGTCAGAGCTAAGGAACAGTGACCCACCAAAACTCTCCAATAAATCTTCAAATAAAATAAAGAAGAAATTTTCAGGCTAAAATTTCAAGAAAAAAGCAGCCTAAGGCCAATCCTAGTAAATGTATGAGCAAACCTGTACTTTGATTGAAGTCCGCAGCTAAATCTGAAAAACCAAAATTCTGGGGAATTTGGCCTAAACCGCCAAAAGAAGAGGCATTAGTGTCGAGGAGTGGTCCGTTCAATGATTGTGCATCCAACACTGGGCTCATGAAGGAAGGAAGTGTTGGATCTCCTACAGTGGGGCGTTCTTGGCAGAAATCGTTATTAGTATGAAACATAAACTCTGCGGTGCCTGAATAGCCCGGTTCCAACTTAACTCCTGTTCCATTCATTCTATGAAGCATTGTCATTTGTGAACTAGTCGTAGAAAGCAAACTTGTTGGCAGGTTCATTCTTCCCTCGCTAAGAGAAGTAGTATCGTTGATTCTCATATTTTGAAGTAAAGGTGGCCCACCGTTAATAAGAGTTGTAGAAGCGCCAACAGGAGATGATATGTTGTCAGGTCTGGAAGGGGCTGAAGTGTAGCATGGAGTCTGTTGCACTGGGAAAGGATTAAGATTGAGCGTTAAGGGATTCATTAGGACATACTATCCAAAATTACATAATCCAAACATGAAAATTTTCTGCATTTAAGACCAGGCTTGATATTAACTTGAACAGGCGACCAACACTATGAGACAGAACCCAGGTATCCAAGCAGAACATTTCAGCCCCCAACATTGACATCTATAAAGAAGAGGGCACATGGTGTTGCTGGATAATAGATATATCTTCGATCATGGTGAAGTCAACTTTGTGAAAGCAATAAAGACCTGACGACTCACTATAGGTGATTCTACCCAGTGTCCATCTTCCATTGAATGGGTATTTCCGTCATTTAATACTGATAATGTATTCCTTAAAAAACCACTTATCTGATGTTTGACATTGCCTTATAATTTTCTAGCAATAAAATTTGTTTTCACATCAGAGATCTTTCTTGCAGAAGGCGATCTGATACAGACTGCATGATCTTCATTAACTCTTCCTCTCTTTTTCGCTCCCTTGAGAAGTATTACCTTTTCAATCTATAGTCCCATTGACGAAAAGATCTTGAATCCCCCCCCCCCCCCCCCCCCTCCTTTAGATGATAGGAAGCATTTTTCAGCCACTGCGTTAGCCAACTCCGCATCGGCCGGTTTTACTCAGATTTGGCATATTTAATTCTACATGATCTCGTAGGCACAGTCTCATAGTTTGGAGCCTAATCTCAACAAGTTCTCCCTCAATTAGACAAAAAAGAAAATCCGCTCCCACACAAGAATAAAAATAAATCAGTTTATTTTGAACAAATCTTACTGTCAACTTTTTAACAATGTACCAGTGAAGATCCTGAACGCCAGTCCTTGAGAACATTGATTAACATAACATAAAACAATACTTCTGAGCCTTGAGAAAGCACTATCATGATGTTAATAGAATAATTCGTGTGTATTTCATCACTATCTAAATATCTAATAAAATCGAGACATCAGATAAATTATGGATACAAATTTCATATTAAAAATTTAAAAATAAATAAAATAATAAAACGGCCATAAGGAGGATAGCCATACGTGAAGAATTAGATTCGCTGGACAGTGATACGGCAGCAGCACTGGAAGAGCACATGCCATGCATGAGATCAACCTGCTTCTGAAGCAGCTGATTGAACATGGTTATCTGGTTCTTCACCTTCAATCTAAAATTGTATGCTTTGAAAAATTCTGTGTTCTCCTCTTCAAGCTTCTGCCAAACTGGAAGGAAGAATCAGATGCAAGATGATTCAGTTCAGAAAATAAATCATGAAGAAATATTTACACCAAAAATTTGGATTAGTATTGTACAGACGTCACTGAATGTCTTTTATCTGGTTAGCTTTGCCAACAAATCAATACAAGTTCTTTCCTAGTTTTTACTTATGTGCAACTGTAACACAAAAGAGTGATCCCAGCACGATGAAATATGAAACTGATGATAAACTTACTGTCTTCGAAGGGTTGTACTAGACAATAAATGATGAACATGACATGGCCTATGTGTAACCAGCTTTTCTTTGGACCAAGTTACAAAAAAACAAATACAATTTTTACAACCAATTAAAGGAGAAAGATATATTTGAATGAAAATAACAATATCGACCTTTATAATCAAGACGCCTTGATATAAAAACGCTTACGTTCAGAAAGAAATATCAAAAAGTTTGGCACCTAGAATATAACTGTGCCTTCATTCAGCTTATTTTGTAATAAGGTGAAATGTGGCTGTCCGGGTTTGAAGGTTGGAAGATCAAATTCCATTATTATCTTAACGAATATTTTTAGTAAATATTGGACAAATAATTATTTTCTTTTCAGGATTATAGCACTTCAAGCTCATAATAACAAGATGTACTCAAATTATATTGATAACGCAAATGTTATATGAATTATGAGTAAGAACAAAGGAATAAAAGAACTTGTCATGTAAACATGCTACCCACAGGTTCAACTGACTGAGAAAGCAGAAACCTAAGTTATTTGTAAACTCAAATTTTGACCAAATATTAAACTTTCCAAGAGTACTAAGATTAAATTGGAAAGAAAATGAATGAAAAAAAATCTTAATTTATAAACCCTTCAATACTCGACTATGCAAAAGATAAGTCATCAGACACTTACAGCTGTCCAAATCTCTAATTGGGGCGAATGGGCCAAGAGCCGTTTTCAAATCAATTTCAATGTTATTTCAAGCCCAAAAACACAAAAAAGCAAATCTTATTCTGGCTCAGAAGAGAAGTTTATTTTACTTATAATTTTTGATACCGGGAGCCCACTAGGTAAATTCGACAACCATCAGCCAGAACACAGCCACCTCATTTAGCAACATACAAGCATGAAGTTTACCAAGTTCAGTAAAACCAGGTTCGATATGTGCATTTAGCTCCAGAGTCTGAATAACTTCTTTCTGATTCATGTACAACTGAAGGCAGTACTCAATGAGATCTTTTACCTGGATGTCACAAAAATAAGAGGGGATAAATTGAAGGACATAATAATAATTGATTCTACAAGCAGAACGAAAAGACATGTGAAGTGAGGCAAACCAATTACTCAAATAGCAAGAAACACATTATATAGTAACATAAAACATATAGCAAGAAAGAAAAAAAATCATATAGAACACTTTAGTAATGCAAAAAAACACCAAACTTTTGTAATCGTAAGAGCAAACCTTGATAAGTCATCCAACTGGGAAGAAAGTCAACTGACGAAAACAGGGTGATGACGCAGGTCATTAGGATTAAATGCAGAAATTTGACAAAAATATTCTAACATCTACGAGTTAACACCAATCTAATTTTGAAGAAGGTAAAATTGATTTTTATGATCTAAATGGTATTGCACATAAAGCCGTCACTAAGAGGGTCTTCCATTTTCAAATTCAACAAAATGTTTCCTCCATAGACAAGACATATCTTAACACAGCAATCATATCTTAACCTAAAAGGAAAAAAAAGAGTATTTTTTTGTTATGCATTTTCGATTACATTTGTGTGTTTATTAATTGTTTAATTAGACAAATTCTTAGTTTAAACTATAACTGGGACACTGAAACTCATATAATTGTTTTTAAGCTGACAAATAATCAAACCATCTCAACTCTTTTAGACAACACCAGGCAAGGAACACAACAAAGAGCATATCAATATCATATGAATCACTAATAGGCACGTGAGTCAATATCACTTGTTCTTTGATGATATTGGAGCTTATCACTCGTACCCTTTTTACAGACTGAAAATTTATCTTCCCACTAGTGTATGTCTTTCAGTAAAGGTTACCATCATGAATTACGTCCTGACCCATAATCTCCAGGTTCTACATTAGATAGGCATATCAACAAGGAGGAATCCGGCGAGGTCCTCTAGTGTCATATAAAAATAAGAGCACAGGACACCAGATATACATGACAGAGATACAACAGTCATTAATGAATAGTCCCAGAACCGTGAATTGGGTGAGATTTTTTTTAGAATTATTTAGAGATTAAATTTATAAAAATATAATAAAACTCTAAAGCTAAGAGAATAGATTGATAGGAAATTCTTACAGGAAGGCCCAGCACATAAGAAATGGAGATCTTTTTCTTTTTTTCTTAATTTTTAGTATTTTTTTTAAAAGATGCAAACGTGAAAGGTCCCCAAGAAAGCCAAGCACGTGTTCTACATGTATAAATCGGGAACCCATTTTCCAATAAAAAACTAAGAGGTATGTGCACGTGGGTATATTTATACTTGCACAGATGAACAGACAAATATGAAAACATACAGAAAAGAGGCTAAGACTGGGAGGAGAGACCCATCTACACACACCCCAGGATGGATGGATGATGCAGGGAGGAGAGAATGGAAAATAAAATCACATACCTCCTGATAATTTTTCTGTCAGAAAAATGAACTGACAGAGAAATTCTCACTCTTTCCTTTTTAACCTAATCTTTCTTAATTTTCTTGAGTATTGGACAATTGTCAATAAAAGTACATCTACAAATACATAAAAATAAACATAAACAGAAGTGGAAGCGGAACCAGAAACGGAAACATAATGAAAACAGTCTGCAGACAAAAAAATGCATGGAAAGGTAGGAAACTAGATGTATGATGTAAAGTTTACACAACGCAACTTTAACAAGTTAAGAGGTGCTCAGAACAGTGTAAGACAGGAATTTTTTTTCCTTACCAACTGTAAATCTTGGCTTGGCAACTTTCTTGCTTCTCCTTCAGACATTTTCTTCATTTCAAGGTTGAAATCGAAGATGTGGGACAGATTTAATTGTCAATGTTGTGGATGTAGGAATCCAAAGTATTTTATGCTGGCTTAAAAAGAAAACAGAAGATTGGAGGTGAATACTTTAGATTGACGGAAGACACCTCAACGGAAGGAAATAAATAAAAAAGCTGACATTAATGTTATATCTTGACAATATGACAGCACTATTATAACACAAAAACTTCTTAACACAAAGAAATGTACCCGGAAGAATGTCATAAGATAAAAAGTCACAAAATCATACCAAAGCGTTGCATGTCAAAGTCAATAAAAAAATTACGTTTTTGCCCATGACCAGCATAAAGGAAGCACACGTCCAGATATGATATAGAGTCTCTGTTTTCTCGTTCATCAGAAAATCATTAAAGTTTGTGATTACACTCATGAATCATGATTCATATAAATAACGGATCCAGACTATAACACACCAGTTTATGACATCTGAATGTCCCCTTCAAACTAAAGGTACCGCTCTGCACTTTTACCCACACCATATGGTTTGATAACAGGTCATTTCAGTATCTTGCATCAGGCATGACACATGGGAATAATGACCATATCACCATATAAACGCATAAGATACTAATAGTAATATTTCTTCAACGTCTCTTTCATTTAACCAAGGCATGATCGGCATCAAGAGCAATTATCTGTGAATCTAGCAGATATTCAGGGATACGTCAACGACAAATGAATCAATTAAAAAGTTATTCGTGAAAAAATAACGATTGACTTTAGCCATTCCCAGGACATACACGGCTTGCACTATCAAGATAAGTTCACCAACTTCGGATATTAAAATACATCTAAATGTCGCCCTCTATTATCATTTTATGCGCAACGAGACTGGCTATCCAACATAAGCTTATAGACATTTCACAGTTTGAAATAATAATAGATAAACATACCGGGAGACAGCGTACAACGTGCTAACCAGGAAATTAAAAAAATATGCAGAATCCTTGACATCCATGCAACATAATATAGTTATATTCAACACAAAAAGAACATCTTGGGGATCACCAAGATAATCCGGGGAGATAAAAAGTTGAGCTCACCCGCGATCTGCTAGCTTCCCAGAGCCCAATTACGTTCCAGCTTCGTGCACCTCAGTAAGCCTGGGGTTGGGGAATGGAAGAACAAAAGGCTCACAGTCGAGACTCGAATCGAGTTCCTTCCCGGGATATCTTTCGGCGTCTGTGGATTGGGAAAGAAGAAAACCGCTTCAGCGAGGATTGAACTACGGAGAAATCCCGTCAACGCGATACTCGGAAGATCGGATCTCACAAGGAGAGTGAAAGTGACGCGCGCGGTAGAAGGGAACGGGGGGGATGGAGGCCGTGGACGGCCCTGCGGGCGACCGTCGCGGGGAAAAAGTTTTCTTCGCGCTCCAGGGGCTGTGGATTTCTGAGCCTGGAAAAAATGAAATAAAACATTATATTTACATATTATTAAAAATAAACCTTTTACAATTGTTAATTATTTATATGGCCACTGTCACGTGAGCTACATAATCAGTAATAAACTATTTTATGAAACTAATTATTTTGTGCCTGGATGAGTAAAGTGCCGATTGCGGTGAAGTTACCCCAAATCTCAGAAGGAACGCTGCCACGTGGCCACTTCCGAGCCCGCCGCTATACATCAAACAGGAACACAAAACTTCCGTTTCAGACTTTACGCAGATCAGGCCAGCAATTGCTCCGACCCCCCCGATCCAGAAGCTCCCGTCTGGGCTCTCTCCCTCTCTCTCTCTCTCTCTCTCTCTCTCTCTCTCGCTAGGTCTCTTCTGGGGGAATAAGGAGTTCGTCTGGTTTCTATTTTGCACTCTTAATGATGATTTACTTGTTGGTGACCGAAGAAGGATTGTGGGGGAGAGAGTAGATTTCGCTGTTTCTCTGTCTCTCGGTGGAGAGATGTGGAGGCGATCAGCATTCAGCTGTCCATTGGTTTCTTCACCAGGCAAAGCTTTCGGTGCTGCTCTGTGCCAGGTGGCTAGCGGTTCCATCTTCTTAGACCATTTCATCCGCTTGTTCATGTTCCTGCGCTCATGTATCATTTTTGGTGATATCGTGTCGGCGAGATAGTTACGCGCGTTTTTCCGTCTCAGTCCGTTCTCTTGTTATGTCTGGTTTAGGTGATGCAAAAGTCTTGCGGGTTGCAGTCTGTGGAAGCTTTTACTTCTGGGGCTGGGAAGCCGGTATTCTTTAATATCCCACCGCATCTCTACATTATATTTCGCATTGCGTCCAGTGGGTTGGATTAAAAATGCAGTGTTTAAATTGGAAGTATATTTTTTTCTTTCGAATGCAGGCCGAAGCTTATGATTCTCCCAGTCGTAAGAAAGCGTTCATAACCTTTGTAATAGGTGAGCCTTGCTCTTTGCCGTTGGCGGAGAAAGGAAATTGTATCTCGGAATGCATATGACGTGCGTTCCATTTTATGGTTCCGTTTGCTAACGCTGTGTATTAGTTCTTACATACGAGTCAGACTTGAACATACTACTAGATATGCGCTGAAAATATAAAATATATGATTAATATGAATGGTTTGTAGATAAAAAGGTCTGACATATGAACGTCAAGGATTGATTTTAACCCCTTTAACTGTTTTCAAACATTATTGATTTTGTCATGATGATGGTTGGGGGTGATACTATGGTGTTATTTGGTGGTGAGGATCAGGTGACGGTGGTGATAGGTGCTGTGTAGTACTGGAGGGTGCTGACATTAACAATGGACGCTACTCGGTGCTAGTAGGTCATAGAGGGAAGTGGGAATAGCTGTGATTTTATTGATAACGATGTTCCACTATGTGACATTTGGTGGTGACCAGTAGTGGGCGTTGACAGTGAATAAGGGAAGATGAAAGTATAAGTCTCATATCTGAATACGATCCCGGCTTTTTTGGACGTCTATGATCTAATGTGTTTTGAATCATGTTTGACAGTAAATTATGGAATTTTTATCCAGGTGGCCCAGGTAGCGGGAAGGGGACACAATGTTCCAAGATTTCCGAAGCATTCGGGTTTGCACACCTTAGTGCTGGGGATCTGTTGAGGAAAGAGATACTTTCAAACAGTGACAATGGGTATGTATATTTTTTTTCTCCTGCTACGACAATTCTGCTTTGAATTAATTTGATTGATCCTCTATCCCATTTCCAGTTATTGAGGATAATTTTTACATTATATGTGGCAGAGTAATGATATGTAACACTATCAAGGAAGGGCAGATTGTTCCATCAGAGATAACAGTCGGATTGATACAGAGAGCAATTGAGTCAACTGACACGGATAAATTTCTAATTGATGGTTTTCCCCGGAGTTATGAAAATCGCATTGCATTTGAGAAAATCGTGAGTCTTTTACTTAATTATATTACTTTTTTTTCACCTCTTGGTATGTGATTGTTTGGTAATTTTCTGCATAGCCATTGACTTGTGTTGTTTCGGTTTTCTTGGAGTATGCGCTCTGTTTTTCATGAATTAGTACTGGAGGGAGCCTTAGGAATTGTTTTAAGGAGGGGTGGGGGGCAGCTGAAAATTGACACTCTTCTGCATATCATTTTGCAGGAGGAAGATAAAATGATGCCAATCAAGGGACGTTTATTTAGTATGTGAATGTAGTCCTTCCACCATAACACCTATGCCAGAACTTTTGCGACAATTTTAGTTATTATGGACCTGTTATTCTGAAACTATTGATAAGTACCATAATGTTGCAATGAGCAATGATAGCCACCATGTCCATTCCTGAGATTCATTTTCTGAATGATTTCTCTGTGTGGATTTCGTCTGGTTGATGAGGAAAAGAAGTTTCACACAGGATCTACTTGTACAATGAATACACTACAGTTCTATCCCCTAATGGAAAATAATGTCAACTTTTTAGTCTACTTTAGAAATAAGTTTTCTGCTTTCAGCTTTCAAATGCATTTCTTGAATATTTTTCCATTTAAAAGATGATTACTCTGCCTCGTGCCTTTTTGTTCATTGGATAACTTCTCCTTGTAAGCATGCTTTTTGATAAATCTTTCAGGTTGGTGTGGAGCCAGACCTTGTGCTTTACTTCGATTGTTCAGAGGAGGAGATGGTGAAAAGGGTCTTAAGCCGCAATCAAGTATGCTTTATATCTCGCGTTTCTCTCAGAAATATGTGGTTTTGATTCAGTGATTAAGGTTTTCTTTTCATCAGGGAAGAGTTGATGATAACATTGAGACCCTCAAGAAACGCCTTGAAGTCTTCAACGAATTCAATGTTCCTGTCATTAATTATTATCGTGGAAAGGGTAAAGTGTGTAAGGTACTTTCCAGTTTTAGCATAAAAATATTTTTCCATGCTTTAAGAAATGCATCAAATTTTTCTTTCCATAAATATGCGTGTCTTCACTTGTTGGATTTGTTTGGTTCATCTAGATGGGCGTTATTTCCTTCACTCTATTAGCTGTACTAGACTCCTGTTTTTTCTACTATTTCTGTTTCATTTCTAGTGATTTATGATTCATGGATCCCAGATTCTACTATGTTGCCTTTGAGTCAGTAATTTCCTAAACTAGCACATAGATTCACTCAGTAAGCTTCAAAAGAAATAGCGGTGACACATATCCTTCCACATTAAAAGGAATATATTGCCGAAAGTTGCACTGGTGATTGCCTGGCGTAGAGCTACCATTGATCTGATCAACAAAGGACATGTAAAAGTTGTTTGCTCTCTGCCACGAAAAAAGAAACTTACAGAAAAAGCTCATTCTTTCTGTATTGGTGACTCATAAAAAGTCAAACCGTTGACCTTTGCTTATATTATTATGGAGAAAGAAACATCTGTTTTTTTTCTAAGTGTTTTACTCTCTGGATGTCTGAATCTTATCTCTACATGTCTTCATGAATCCATTGAGCATAATCTCACAGGATTCTGTTCACGTTTGTCTGATTAATCCCTTATATCTTCTGCAAGATTAGAAAATATGTTAGAAAATTTCATACTCTTTGTTGGGCCCAAGGCTACTTTGTTATTAATAATCTCGTGATGACTTGTAAGCTGAAGTCTGCTGATCATGTCACGCAGATTGATGCCGTTGGAACTGAGGAACAGGTGTTTGAAAAGGTTCGCCCCGTCTTTGCTAATCTTAGGTATGTAACTGTCGTTGATCTTTCTATCAGGATGCCTGCATCAGAAGAGCTCTTCTTATCTCTGTAGCTGAGCCCCGGAAGAATACCGGGCCTAGCCCGAATGCCGATTTAGGCCCGGTTTGGGGTTTGACTTGTGACTGATGGACTCCCATTAAGCTCATATCTCTGATCTCATACTTGTTATATTTTCTGCAGATTCGACCGCAAATGACTGCCAGTAAGCTTCTTGTATCGTTGACCATTGTGGCGGGGACCTCATGTTTTGTCGACGAGGGAGTCTCCCGATTTTCGCCATGGTCAACGGGCAGATACGTGCTTCTTGTATACTTTTACTTTCTACTTATGGAAAGGTCTTCAAGATGATTCTCGTCTGTGCTCATCGTGAGGTCAATGGACTCCTGGCCCGGCATATTTAAAGCACCTGTTCAGAGCGCCACCCGGTGGCTTGGTGGAGATGTTGGTCCTTCCTTCCAGAATCTCCTTCCCCTTGGGTTACCGTCCCTCCTCCGCCTGGCCCCTGCCACCTCCTCTCCCTGGTTTCTCCTCCTTCGGCTGTTCCCCGTCCCGCCGGAAGAGCGGCGGCATGCTGAGCCGTAGAACGACCGTCGCCGCCGCTTCCTCTTCCCCGGGCTCCGCCGGAACGCAGTCGGCGCCCTCCTCCTCCGGCGAGTGCGAACCGGAGCGCCGGCGGAGGCGGCAGCAGGCGGAGACTTACCACGAGCAGACCAAGCACTCCCTCACCGACGGGTATGCGCGCGGACCGAGGGGTCTCGACTGGGCCAACCAGCCAAATCCCTTCCTCCGTTTCCTGTCCTCCCCTCTGGTTCCCCTTCAGCACTTCCCTCTCCCCGAGCACCGCTCCCACGGAAAGGATCTCCCTCTCTACCACTCCGTCTTCTCCGCCGTCTCTCCCGCCGCTCCGCAGCCGCTCTCCCACGCCTCCATCTCGCAGCTCTTCTACGATTCGCTGTCGCTCTCCGCTTGGAAGACGACCGGCGCCTCCACCTGGTCTCTGCGCGTAAACCCCAGCTCCGGCAACCTCCACCCCACCGAAGCTTATCTGCTTTCCCCTCCATTACCTTCCTCATCGTCGACTGCTGCTTCGTCGTCTCCATTCGTCGCGCACTATGCTCCCAAGGAGCACGCCCTTGATATCCGCGCCGTCCTCCCTCCCGACTTCCTCCCCCGCTTCTTTCCGAGCTCCTCTATACTCGTAGGTTTCTCCTCCATCTTCTGGCGGGAGGCGTGGAAGTACGGCGAGCGCGCTTTCCGCTACTGCAACCACGACGTCGGCCACGCCATCGCCGCGGTTGCTATTGCCGCTAGGGCGCTCGGTTGGGACGCTAGACTGCTCGACGGCCTCGGATGCACAGACCTCAGCAACCTCTTCGGGCTGGGAATGGGGACTTCTTCCCCTCATCCACCGGAGCAGCTCCCTTCCCGTCCGACTCGCGGCCGCTTCCCCTGGGTGGAGATGGAGCACCCCGACTGCGTCTTGCTCGTCTTCCCCGCGGGACTGGCTGCAGGCTCCGAATTCTCCGTCGACTACGCTTCACTAAGCGGCGAGATCTCCAAGCTCCGGTCCCTGGACTGGTTCGGGAGCCCTAACGCCCTCAGCAAGGACCACGTCTGTTGGGACATCATATACAAGACTGCGGAAGCCGTGGAGAAGCCGACGACGGCTGTCGATCGCTTCTCAGTGGATCCCTTCTGTGGTAGCGGGCTGCTTTCTGAAGGTTTATACAAGGATCTGACCGTCAGGGAGGTCGTGCGGAGGCGGAGGAGCGCTGTTGACATGGATGGGGATCACGCCCTGAAGAAAGAAACCTTTTACCAGATGATGTTGCACTGCCTTCCTTCGGGTGATCTAGCAAGAGGGGAGAAGCAGGGAAGGCCTCTCGCGTTGCCATTCAGGGTTCTTCCATGGGATTCGGAGGTACATGCTGCTCTCTTTGTTCACAGAGTCGTGGGATTGCCGAAAGGAGTGTACTTCCTGGTGAGGAATGAAGACCACCTTGATAGCCTCAGGAAGGCTATGAGGTCTGAATTTGAGTGGGAGAAGCCAGATGGTTGTCCTGATGGTCTTCCCCTCTATAGACTCGCTTGGGGCGATTGCCAGGATCTTGCCAAGCAACTTTCTTGCCATCAGGTATTCCTGCTTTTATGGCGTTCTTATTTTTGTCTCGTTTCTTTTGGTGCTATGGTTACTTGCAGCATAGTTGACATCACATATCGATTCTTTATTTTTCTCACCATCTTTTTTATGCAGCCATATCTTTTACAGTATCTCATATTGATTGGGAAAATTGGATTGTTTGTTATATTTTAATAAAAATAGATAATGTTATGTCGTCAATATAATAGTGTGCAAAGAAACGTATGAGAAGGAGTTCCTTTCAAGGTTTCTTCCAATAAGAAGAAGATTGTGGATATGAAAATAAATCTTATTATCAGTATCTCTCGTCCTGTAGATGCTGTTCTGTATCAGTTTCCATGAAGAATCGTGTTAAAATATTTTCTTAGTTTTTATGAATAGCAAGTGACGTTCAAATTTTTTTCCTCTGAGTGCCAATGCATCATGGTATTTGGTGCAATGGTGAAGAACTCTGCATTTTTTTGTAAAATGCAGGACATTGCTGCAGATGGATGCTTCAGCCTAGGCATGGTGGCTAGGTTTGAGCCAGTGTTGCGTGAAAGAGATGCATGGATGTATCCACGTTTGTTCTGGGAGACTGGCGTTCTTGGTCAAGTCCTGTACCTTGAAGCTCATGCTGTTGGGATATCTGCAACAGGCATTGGTTGCTACTTTGATGATGCGGGTATGCATTTTCTCCTCCGCATCTGTTTTGATGATAGTTATGAATTACTTGCTATTATCTTTTTTAGTTTATAAACTATCCTTTACTTCTTCTGGATCTTTTGGGTCAGAGATGAAAGTATTTGGACCAACATAGAGGATGAGATATTTATGGAAGCTGTTATGGGGAACTAAGAATCTCAATTCTGTGATTCCTAGCTCATGAATATATGGGGAACTTCATCCATAAAATGAGTTTTTACTCTCACACAAGAAGAACATTTATGGATCAGCAATATGTTTAATCAGAATTTAATTGGTTATAAGAGCAGTTAATGTGTGTGATAGGGTAATGTAAACTGGTATTATCTGCAACGGTTAGAGAAATCGGGTAGGAAAAACCTGGTTCCCAGGTTGTAATCTAGTAGAACAGCATTAAAATTTAATAAAGATAGCCCAGTATGAAATGATCTTATAAGATGAACATGCCCCATTTTTGCTTCCGTTTTAATCTTGGTTACGAACACCTATCTTCCGTTCTAATCTTGGATACCACTGTTATAGATCGGATCCCAGCTAAGACAAACTGATAACTTGAGAAATTACATAGATTGCTTTTCTATGATCCTGGTGCTGAAGCTTAAACTGCAGTTTTAGGGTTTGTGACGGCCATAAAATTATTGGCAGATTTTTTTGAGTCTGATAGTTTCTTAGATTTTTTGTTCTTTTTTTTTAAATTCCTGATGTTTTTATTTTTACCATGAATTAATTAATATGGTGCTTTAATCTAGCCGTATATAACCAGTTTACTGCTGTTTTATCTTCTTCAACTAATTTTTATTGCCTCAATTCTCTCAATCTTTTGTTGCTCCACTTAAGTATTTACCATAACTCTCATCACATTATAATTGTGGAGAAATACTACCTGTGAGAAAGTGGCCTGAGAACTCGGGTTTCAGGTTTTTTTCTCTCTCTCTGTCTCTGTCTGTTTCTTGCTCGCTAGAATGCCCTTGTTGATGCCTTGATTTCATGAGCTGTCGTGGTGTCCTAAAACTCTTCCTTGGATCGGCAGTGCACGATGTTCTCGGATTGAAGGGGGCAGAATTCCAGAGCCTTTATCATTTTACAGTGGGGCGTGCGGTGCAGGACAAGAGAATTATGAGCCTTCCTGCGTATCCAGGCCCAGATATAGATGCTTGATTTCATGAACAACAAACACACCCCAGAGCCCCATCAGATGAATGGATCAAAGACGTCATCTTCTCATATATAATGGCAGGTAACCCGCGTGGAAATACGGGGCAATTTCGTGTGCTCAAAGTTCTTCATGCCCATTTCCTCCTCCAGTGTCATTAATCCTATTATTTGTGTGGTAATTATCATCGAAGCAGGTCGCAGGAGAGTCTCTTCTTGGCTCCTCTTCTTGGTAGTCTTGTTGACACCGGGCATGGTGCTGCTTAAGAGGGGCCATTGAAGCCTACTTTCTAGGCTCTTGTATCTAAATCTCTACACATATCGAGTGAGAACTCGATTAGGGTTCATGAAATCAGAGTCTGTACTTTTAAAAATAAAAATAAAATGTATCCATTTCAAAATCAAATTAAAAATATTTATATTTTTTCTGTTAAAAAAAAAACCCAAATAACGAAAGGATATTTTATTGCCTGCAAGAGCATTTAGAAAGGAGCACGATTCGAAGCAGGTCGCATGGAGCTTCTACGGCCGTCGCCTGTCGGGCTCATCCGGCAGTCAATCTGCAGCAGCACCCCGAAGAGCCGGCGGAGGAAGATGAAGTGGGAGCAGCAGCGGCGGCCGCGCCCCCCACGCCGTGCCGAGCAGGAGAACCCCCCCGGCGGTAGCGGCGGCGTCGTTTACCCCAAATCAGCTCCGACCCCTCTGCTCGTTGGCCGGAGGAGCCCCCAAGCCCAGAGTCGAGAGGAGCTCCTCGAACAAGTCCTCGCTGACCTCGAGGCTTCCGTCGACCGCGGCGTCTGCATCGAAGCCGGGATGTTGGCCTCCGTCCTGGAGACCTGCTCCCAGCTGGGTTCCGTCGACCAGGGGATCCGCCTCCGCCGCCTCATCCCGCCGGCCCTCCGGAAGAACTTCTCCCTGTCGTCGAAGCTCGTGCGGTTATACGCCTCCTGCGGTCTACTAGATGAAGCCCACCGCTTGTTCGATGAAATCCCCCAGGGGCACCGGGCACGATCAGCGTTCCCTTGGAACTCGCTCATCTCCGGCTACGCCGACCTCGGCCTGTACGAAGACGCCGTGGCCCTCTACCACCAGATGGAGGAAGACGGGGTGGAGCCGGACCAGTTCACCTTCCCCCGCGTGCTCAAGGCCTGCGCCGGGCTACGGTCGAACGAGCTCGGGGAGGCCGCCCACCGGCACGCCGTGCGGGCAGGTTTTGGGAGCGACCCCTTCGTCCTCAACGCCCTCGTGGACATGTACGCCAAGTGCGGCGACATCGACAAGGCCTGCAGGATCTTCGCCAAGATCACCCACCGGGACGCCGTCACCTGGAATTCCATGCTCACGGGCTTCGCCAGGCACGGGCTCTTCTCCGAGGCGTTGGAGGTCTTCAAGGGGATGCTCTCCGCCGGGACCATGCCGGACCCGGTCGCCGTCTCCACCATCCTCGCCGGAGCGCCTTCTCTCAGACTCGGAGCCGAGATTCACGGTTGGGTTCTCCGGCGGGGCCTCGTCGACGACCTTTCCGTGGGGAACGCACTCATCGGCATGTACGGCGGGCAGAACCTGCCGGGCGGCGCTCGGAGTGTCTTCGCGTCCATGCCGGAGAAAGACGTCGTCTCGTGGAACGCCATGATCCGCGCCCACCGCCGGGACGAGAGAGCCCTGACGATTTTCCGGCAGATGGAGGACGCCGGCGTGGAACCGGACAGGGTCACCTTTGTGTCTCTGCTCGCGGCTTGTGCGAACACAGGGCTGGTGGAGGAGGGCCGAGAGCTGTTCGCCGCCATGGAGGAGAGACACAGGATGAAGCCCGGGATCGAACACTACGGGTGCATAGTGAACTTGCTGGGCCGAGCGGGGCTGGTGGAGGAGGCTTACGAGACGGTGAAGAAGATGGAGTTCGACGGCGGCCCGACGGTCTGGGGCGCCCTGCTCTACGCCTGCTCCCTACACCGCAACGTCGCCATCGCCGAGGCCGCCGCAGCGGCACTGTTCGAGCTGGAGCCCGACAACGCACACAATTTCGAGCTCCTGGTGAAGGTCTACGGCGACGCAGGCAGGTGGGAGGACGCGGAGAGGGTGAGGAGGATGATCAGGGAGAGAGGACTGGACTCCTAGCCATCCATTGTTCTTCATTAACCGATTGAATCATCCGAGATTCGCTGATAACACGTCACAGAAACATCTCCAGCTGCTCAACCTCCTCTCTCCCGTCCAGCTTCAATTCTACCATTTATTACAGCATTAAATTATCTGGAGCTGGTAAAAAAAACTAGTGCGAAGAGCGGGGGACCTTCCTACCCGGCCCTTCACAGAAGAGATAAAATCGTACGACATTTAGTGGTGGATAAGCATAGTTGTTACCTTCAATACGATCGGAACGCGCCATACGAAAGAAGCTGCAAGTCCGAAAAACTCCCGATACGTCTCCGTATAAACTCCGCTGATCATCGAAGTTACAGACAGCCCATGTGCACCAGTCGATGCTGATCGATCTCATCAGAGATCTGTCGACATCATCTGAACCTTAACAGTCTCATCCAGCGCCATCGTCTAGTTTCTTATACGAATGTGATCCTGCGCACAGCAGCCGGAAGGAGAATGGATGGTTTCTGTGCGGCTCCGAGTGGCATCTTGGTCACGGAAGCATGGAGGCTCTGGGTTGTTTAAGGGGGTCTAGACATGTGCTTATGTTCTTACATCAGCTCAGACCTCGTGCTTATCTCAAGAGAACTGTGCTCTCATCAGTTCTACGCTTAAAAAAAAAAAAAAAACCAGGTGAATGATCAGACGAGACTGACAGTGCTCATAGTCGATAAGTTTCAAGTTAGCCGACGCAGAAGTCTGAGCCTGATAAACTTTCCAAATTTTTCAATTTGAAGGGATATGCTGGAACAATCCGAAATCAAAGGGGAAAATAAAATACTCGGATTATAATGCTGCTTTGCTTGCACGGTACGTCCATGGAGGCGTTCGTTGATTTAGATGACCCCGGCAATGCAGCTTTGTTCTCCTTGATTTACGGCAGAGTTTCCATCGAAGAGAAATGGGATTATAAGGGCATTGAAGCATCCGGGTTGGGGAGCTACTCCATCTACAGTAATCACACGATCACGCGATGGACACGCCCATTAGAGGAGATGTAGGAACATGAGGAGAACATGAGTCTGTACAGAGGCAACCCCACAAGAAACCGCGAAGGGGGGAGCACAGCCTGGACGGAGAGGGGTCTGATGGGGGGAATCACTGGGGGGGGATCTGAGAGCTGTATGAGGAAGATGACGTCAGGGGGGGGAGGAGATGAGGGCGCTGATGAGGGCGAGGGCGTTGCTGGTCCGCTGAGCGACGTTGACTACGTGGATCCTCATGGCGTCTTTGATTCGGCCGTTCAAGGAGTTGTCGGCGAAGCTTTCCATGCAGGTCTTCTCGTCCGTCAGCGCCGCGCTCACCCAGGTCTGGATGTTGCTGATGTGGAAGGCCAGGTCCCGGTCCGGCCGCCTGAGATGAGCCATCTCCTTAATCGACCGCCGGAGCTCTTCCACCGAGTCGCCCATGGTCTCCACGCAGTCCTTCACAGCGGCCGATTCCCGCGGCTTCATCAGTCCCTGCGCCGCTATCTTCGTCATCGCGGCGGATGCGCCGCGGGCGCTTTCCAGACTCACCGACAGCGCCGCGATCGCCAGTATCACGGGGTCTCTCTGGATCGTCCTCGCGTGGGTGGAGAGGGTCTCAAAGCAGAGCCGCGGGTAGCTGGTCGTGCCGCAGGCGGCCCTGATGAACTCCATGTTATCCTTTCCGCCGGCGCCGGCCATTGCGGCGGTGCTCGTCCCGGCGTGGCACACGAGGAACATAGCCACCGTGACTATGGCCGACGGTCTAAAGCAACTGTGCGCAGCCTTCATTCCACGATTAGCAGCCATTATTCCCTTACCCACAAGAGAAGGAGGAAGAAGAAGAAGAAGAGGAAGAAGAAGAAGAAGAAGATGAAGAAGTACACCGGTAACGAAACAGAGGAGAAGTGGGACTTTATCTGGTTAGCGGAGGAGAACTTGGTTCACATTAATGCTAAGAAGAGGCGAAGCAGATACCAAGCGTATATATATACAACAGATGGGGAAGCAAAGCAACTAGCAAGGGCATCCCCGCTTCGCTTGTGCCGACATTGTCTGGGCTCGCGGAGGATAGAGGATAGGCCCTCGCCAGCCAACTGTTCCCGGCGTAAAGGCTCCGCGTTTAATCCCTCCCGGGGGGGTGGAGGGGGCCTATGGGGACCGCCATCTCTGTACCTCTATATTCGTGAGCTAACCGGAGCGGGGTCTTCGCCACACCGCACTTTAGTGGGTTCCGGATAAGATACGAGCGATACAACCGTACTACTGCCGTGCATTTCCCCAGCGGTTCGCCGTTGTTTCAAGCCATCCTCGCCGTTGTTCTCTTCCAGCCCTTTCCCCAGACCGCTGTGGCGGCGAACGCCACTTGTCTCCGTTTCACTGGTGGAACACTGTAACTCCTATCGACAGTACAGGACACAATTCCTGTTTATTGAGCAGGATATTCAGTAATTTAAGAAGCATAATAGGGCGGCAGAACTATGATCGGAGGGGAAGATGTCTCGTCATTTTCATGAGCCCCGGTGGCACACAATTGGTGAAGGAAATGCCAGGGGACCGATTGGCCTTTCAGACGTCGGGGACTCCACCCCACCGCCGGCCGCCCCGCTGATGGCGACGGAAGCCCGGCCAAGTGACGTGAAAGCATTCGCCTCGTTAGCGCAGAGGGAGCTGCTTGGCGTGGTGACACCGTCCCCATAACGTGGCGTGAAATCACGCACTATGGCCGACGACGCAACGAGGGTTCGTCCACGCTACTGTTCTACCAATTGGTCGAGTTCCTTCCACCCGTCGGCGAGAGGATAGCGAGAGGTAGGGATGCGTGAGAAACTCGACGGAGGAAGATAGAGGAGACTGAGGGCCACATGGAACTCTGAACTTGAGCTAGTGGATGAGTGACTGAAGGAATCAGATCCACGGGGTCCGTCTCTCTGCGAAACCGGAGGCTGAGATGAGACCAAGAACCGAATTTTAGCCGTGACCCATCAGATCCCTGTCTGATAAGTACGTGGGAACTATTTAGGGTCGGTCGGTTGCAGAGCGCTGCAGGATGAGGAAGAAAAGGACAAGGAAGGATTCCCTCCAGCCTGGCACTCCCGAAGTTATGGTACCTCTCCCGCGAGCAAACTCTCGACTCTTTGATGTACTGAAACTTCTGGCCCCGTATCCGAGGGTAGATTGCTGGATAGATAGATCCCCAGAGAGAGAAAGGGAGGTAAAGGGAGAAAGGGTGAAATGGAGAGAGAGAGAGAGAGAGAGAGAGCCATTATTCCAAAGATAGAAGAAGCCTCAAGCTCCAAATCCCGTTGTTTTTCAGAACTAGTCGCAGATTTCAATGGGTCAATGTTTTCATATCAAAACTTACCCATTTGCAGTATGTTGATAGCAAGTAGGGCCCCTCATAACGAGCATAATGAGACGAGTAATTAATATCCCCATGTGCTGCAGGGACCCTCAGGCTGACTCGACAGCAATTACGTTATAATGAATCTCCCCCATTGATGGTGAAAGAACAGTGCGTTTTCCGACATCAATGATAAACATGATTTCCGCTGGTCTGTCTTCTTCAGAAATAATGATATTCTGCCGGCGACCAGAGATTTTCAGCTCATGATCGAGCGCCCTATGGACCAGGTAAGTCCGAAAGAAAATTTAGCCCGAATGGATTTCAAAGTAAGGCTCGACGAAGTTTTGTGTCCCATCCGGATCATGAGTTAGATCATACACACAATCTCTCTCTTTCTTCTTCTCCTCTCATTCCTCCCCTTTCCTAGCCTCAGAAAATTCATCCAGTTGGGTTCTCCGCTTTCCTCTCTTCTATCTTCATCTCTCTCTCTCTCTCTCTCTCCCTCCCTTGCCTCCCATTCATCCCCTTTCCTAGCCTCAGACAATCCATCCAGTGCGGTTCTCCTCTTCCCTCTTTTATGTCTTCATCTCTCTCTCTCTCTCTCTCTCTCTCTCTCTCTCCTCCCTCCCTCCCTTTCCTCCTATTCATCCCGTTTCCTAGCCCCAGACAATTCATCCAGTGCGATTCTTCTCTTCCCTCCTTTCCTCATCTCTCTCACATTCCTTGGCTTGCCCTTGATATTTTTTCCTCCAACGGATATTTCATTGGATTCTGTGTCCTGCACATCCTCTTCCCACCGTTTACCGCGGTCCCACACTATCTCATCCCACTCCCCTCCCTCCGTCACACCCCGACACCTTCTCTTCCCCGACCTGATCTCTCCTCCCTGTTCGAACCTCCAGTGATGCACATGGGTGCGGGCCTGGGCTGCTGCAGTAGAAGGGCGCACGGGTGTGTAAACCCTAAGGCAATGCCATCACGTAGAATAATACCCATTTACCTATTTCCCCGTTGACACCATCGCATACGCACTCATGCATACTACGCATCCAAACATCAATGCAGACCCTTTCTCAGGCTTTCACCCAGACGTTGACCTGGATGTCTGAATCGAAGGCGCTGTGAGTAGGCCAGACGTTAAACTTGCCACCATTAAAATTAAAAAGCATTTTTTTCCTTCTTTTAATAAAATGGTTGCCTCATTTTCAGGAAAGTTGGAAATCAAACAAAAAAGTGATGTCATAGGGACCCAAATGATGGGTTTTTTAAGTTGATGATGAAACCCTTGTGCAATATTCTTTCCACACACCCCTTTTATAGTCCGAACCCATCAAGATCTCTGCAGATTCGGCCATCTCCTTCAATCAGATGAACAATTAATTCGACGGGATGAATACAGTAAAGTTGGTATCATTTCCCCCCCGGGTGATTCTTGATTCAATACATGGCAAGAGGAATGTGAGAACCGGTGGAGAATGCTATTTTTGTTCAAGGGTCAACGATTTGGGGCGACGGAGAGGAAGGCCAGCAGGCCGACCATGGGCGCGTTTATGTAAGTGGTGGGCTCCGATTGGGCAGGGTTCTGCCGAAAATCCTCGTACCAGTCCAGCATGTCCGGGCCTCCGACTATGGCGCCGACCAGCAGATTAGGGTTGGGAGAGGCGCTGAGGTAGTAGGGAGTCCCTTCCTTGCAGCCGATGTGGCCGGGATGCGTCAGGGCTGAGGGCAAAGAGGAGCCGCGATGGTGGATCCTCTGCGGATACTTGTCCCCGTAGCCCACCATGTAAGACATCCTGAGCGGGTTATCGCCGAGGATGTAGTCCACCTGCGACTTGGCGAGCTCGACGAGCCTGGACGGCGCTACCGCCTCGCCGCCGCAGCGCACCGCCCTGTTCAGCCGCATCAGCTGGCGCGCGTGAACGGCGAGGAGGAAGGAGAGGGACGTCGCGTGCTGCATGTTGCTTCCTCCTGCTTTGAAGAGAAGTCCCCCGGCAGAGTACCGTACCTGCACGGTGGGTGACTCCGGCAGCATCGTGCAGACGAACTCGTCGGCCCGTCCGAGTAGGTCGCCGTTGGAGGAGCCCCCAGCGACGATCTCCTGCGGCAGAAGAAGGACCACCAGTTATATATACACTAAGAGGTTGAAGACAGCGTGGAACTTCAGGCAGTGCAGTCTGAAGATAGATTACAGGGAAGATCAGGACGTGGATGCCGGCGTGCTTGCTGTCCCAGCCGAACTCTCCCACCATGAAAGGGAAGTCGATGAGGTGGATGTTTCCCATGAGGTAGTCCCAGTAGTACACCTTCCCGGTGGCCCTGTGTATCCACGCCGCCGCCCACAGCAGCTCGTCCTGCCCTTGTCAGACCCACGGAGATCAGTTCCTCCTCGTGGGATCGATGGTCAACGGGTATGATCAGAAAGAAGATCATCATCAGTACCTGGTAGCCGTTGAAGTCGCAGTAGAAGGGGCACACCCACCGGCCGAGGCTATCGTTGTAGGAGCCACGGTTCCTGTCGGCGAAGTCGAAAACCTAAAACCCAGAAGAAGTTGGATCAGAGAAGACTCGATGATTGAGGAGGGGACTTCCCGAGTGGAGCTCGCTCACCGCCATGGATCTCTGGATCAACTGGGACGCGTACGCCGGGTCGGCGCCGCTGAAGACCATCGAGCCGGCGGCGAGGGCGGCGGCCGTCTCGCCGGAGACCTCCGAGCCGGGTCCCTGGGAGTCCACCGTGTAGACCGTGCGGTCGGTGTCCATGTCCTCCGGCCTCTCCCAGCAGTCGTGATCAGCGTAAGGGTTGCCTACCTGAACGTGTACCTTCCCGGGGTCGGCGGTGGCCTTGAGGAGGAAGTCGGAGCCCCACCTCACGGCCTCTCTGGCCCTGTACAGGCTGCGGCCCATCTCACCGCCGAACTCGACCACTCCCCAGGCTAGCAACGTCGTCGAGAAGGCCATCGGGAAGGCATACTTCACGTTGTCGCCGGCGTCGTAGTACCCGCCCACGAGGTCGATCTGAGGATAGGAAATCGTCGGTGAAGGCGGAGATGCGGCAATGGTTTTGGGGAGATGTACACTTGAGGATGACAATACTATTACCCCGATCTGATCACCGTCGTGGAGCGCGGAGTCTCCCCGCCAGGTCACCCGCTGGGTATCCGGGAGCTTCCCCGACCTCTGCCCCTCGAAGAAGAGTAAGCTCTTCCGCAGCGCATCGGCGTAGTCGTGCCCCCCGGCGCTTACTGCTTCAGGTTGGAGTGCAACCGCCGCAACAATGGCCGCCGTGCACAAGCAGAACTCGACACGACGCATCTTTCTTGCCGAGTTTCTCCTCTCTCTCTCTCTCTCTCTCTCTCTCTCTCTCTCCCCGATCTGTCTGTGTCTATCCCGTCTATCCCTAGCGAAGGTGGCCGCAAGCAGGGGACGCCATTGATTCCTGCAGCGGTTTCGCTACACGTTGCAGGGCGTCTCCACTGGATCTTCACCAACGCCTATTCTCGACAGATCTCGCAGAGAATACCAGAGAAGGGATAGATGGCAGCCGATAAAGGTGAAGACGAGTACTAAAACGGGTAGCTTTATCTGGGTAATAATCTTCGGGGAACATGCATACCTGAGAAAGGAAAGAAAATCTTCAGCATTTATCGGTGGATTCTCCCCATTTTTTATTTCCACATTTTCAAGCGAGATATCCTGAATGGTTGCGCATATTGATGCATGGTTTCCAAAACAATCTCCGCAAAGTCTCCCATATTCCACCTTTGGAGGGCCCCCACCAGCCATAAGAAGAAATAATTAAATTATTTCATTATTTTCATTATTTTCAACAAGAACTAGAACACATATTTATAAGAATTAAAATTATTTTATGAGAATAAATAATACTGCCCACCTCACGAGCATTGTAGCGGCAGCCAACCAGCGGCTTTTTGTCAAGCTCAGCTCGAGTTTGGATATCTTGTTGGAGACGTAAACTAAATCTTAGAGAACCCCCAAAAACGTATACTTAATAATCGACACGGCCTTTCACTATCTTTGTGCGAGGAAATGCAAATTGGAGTGCTAACATTTGGTTCTGTTGTATCCATGAAATTATACTATAAAATAAAATTTCCCCCTTTTGTTTGGTAAAAATGATGGCTTTTTCATTAGATTCTGATTTCTTCAGGATTTTTCCTCCCGTAAATTTAGCTTAATTACCATAATTAAGGTGTATCAATATATTTTTTTAAGGCTGCAAATCTTCTCTTTAACAAGGAATCTTGATTGGTACGAGTTTATAATCTGAGATACTCGTTTGTAGCCCGTAATCGTACTATTTTAACAAAAAAATTATATAAAAAAATCCTCTAAGTTAAGTATTGATGGATTATAGGTCCGAATTAGAAGACCCGCACTGATCCAGCTATTTATATCATCTAAGTACTTCGTTTTCAATTATATGGCAATTTTTCTGAAAATTAACATTAATATTTTTCAGTGCATCGCCGTCGATCACCCAAACCCACCAATTACCGTAGACAAGAAGTTCTTGAAGAAGGTCAGACGGCGGTGTTCCCGCTAAGAGTTTCGTCTCGTCTTTCACGATCATTCTGTAGATCATCTCCGGCGACTGAGATAGGCGAGGAGGTCGACCAGGGGGGCTTTGATGTAGGTGGCGGGCTCCGAGCTCTGAAACATTGCCCGTGAGTCTGGGTATGCGTCGGAGATGTTTGGGCCGCCGACGATAGCGCCGATGAGAAGGTTCGGGTCGGGATCCTGGCTCAGGTAGTAGGGAGTCCCCTCCCCGCAGCCGATGCGGGTCGGGTGGCGCTCTAGCGACGGCAGCGACGCCGCTTGGTGGTGGATCCTCCGGGGGAACCTGCCGCCGTATCCCACCATGTTGGACATGTTCAGTGGGTTGTCGCCGAGTATATAGTCCACCTGCCCCAGTTCCCGCCGCCATGAGAGAGAGAGAGAGAGAGAGAGAAAATGTCGCCACCTGAGATTGGGCAAGTCGAACGAGAGCAGACGGAGGTGCCACGACGCCGCCGCCACAACGGACGGTCCGCCCAGTGCGCGAGAGGTGGCGGGCGTACACCGCGAGAAGGAAGGAGAGCGCGGCAGTGTGCTGCAAGTTGCTCCCCCCCGTCTTGAATAGAAGCCCACCTGCAGGCATGCAGGGCCTCGTTATCTGGATCCCCATGGCCAGCGCCGGATTCTGCAGAGAAATACTCCATTGATGATAAAGAGCACCTGGGGAGTGGTCGACAGGCCTGGTGGGCGACTCCGGCAGCACCGAGCACACGAACGAGTCGGCTTTCTCCTCTACCGCAGAGCGCACGTCCAGGATGGAGTTCTACATCCACAGAGCCGGTGAACGGAGGAAGCGAGGGGTAGAAGATGAGGGCGGCGGAGCGGCGAATTACTTCTGCGACGAGGACGTAGACACCAGCGTGCTTATCGTCCCAGCCGAACTCTCCGACGTTGCCCCCGTCTATGTACAGTTGGTCGATGTTCTTCGCGACGTACTCCCGATAGAATGTGATATTGCTCGCCTTGTATATCCACGCCGCCGCCAAGACGAGCTCATCCTGCCGAACACTGGCAGATCAGGGAATATGGGGAAGTCACAGTAGAATGGGCAGCTCAGCTCACCTCGTAGCCGCTGAAGTCACGGTAGAATGGGCACACCGTGCTGCCGAGGCTCTGGCTGTACGATCCCCGGTTGGCGTCGGCGAAGGCGAAGATCTGAACAGCCAGACATTCCATCGGCAGTCATCAAGCGTCAAGGACTGATTCATAGTAAAGGAGAAGGATCTGTTGCAGTACCATGATCGACCTCTCTACAAGCTTGGCGGCGTAGGCGGGATCTGCAGACCTGAAGACGACCGACGCCGCTGCCAGCGCCGCCGGCGTCTCGGCGGCCACCTCCGAGCCGGGCCTCGCCCCGTCCACGGTGTAACGGAGCGGCTGGTGTCCATGTCCTCGGGCCTCTCCCAGCAGCCGTGATCGCCATAAGGGTCGCCGACCTGGACGTGGACCCTGCCGGCGCCGGCGGTGGCCTTGAGCAGGTAGTCGGTAGCCCAGCGCAGCGCTTCCCTCGCGTGTCGCAGCTGAGACCCATGTACCTCCCGAAGTCGACGACGCCCCATGACAGCACCGTCGTGGAGAAGCCCATGGGGAATCCGAACTTCACGTTGTCGCCGGCGTCGTAGTAGCCGCCGACCAGATCAACCTGAGGAATCAATCAATCTTTTTGCCAAGAACTGCAGAGAAGAGTCAGGTTGTGGGACACTACCCCGATCTGGTCCCCGTCATGGAGGCCAGAGTCTCCCCTCCAGTCGAGCCTCTGGGAGGAGGGGAGCTTCCCGGACCTCTGTCCCTCGAAGAAGAGCAGGCACTTCTCCAGCGCAGCGGGGTAGTCGTGGCTCCGCCGGCGGCTGCGAAGGGGGTGGCGGTGCCGCCCGTCTCCCCTGCTCACGGTGGCGGTGAATTGAGGCAACAAGACGGCAGCGACGGCCGGAAGGAGAATGAACAGGCGAGCCCATCGCGCGGCTCCGTCCATCGGCCCTCGCAGAGCTCTCGCCTTCTTAAGCCGCGACCGCCCCGAACGGAGAGGTGGGAAGAGCGGACAAGCCACGGCGCGCTGTCGTGCACGCGCTTGGCGCGGCCGCGGCCCCGCCGGCACGACACATACCGCATTCGGCGCCGGCGCCGCCCATCAACACACTGCGTCTGTTGATTCGCCCCTCAGAAAATTCGACTCGCAATTAATTCGCTCCACATGAAAATTGGCAATCCGGGTACTGTTCCCAGGCGACTCACACTTGCATCCACAGCGTGTGGGGATGGCTCTGAGTTTTACAGGAGAAATCAACGAGGAACCCTGACGACGAGGACGAACAGAAGCATGACGCGAAGGTGCTTCCAGGCCTTAGCTTAGTCAACGGGTGATCTTTCACCTCATCTGGACGATTCCCGCGCTGACAAGCTTCTGGATCTTGTGCATCACCTGCTGATTCTTCAGATGCTCCTGAGCTGCCCGGGGGTTCTCCTGGAAGTCTGTCAGCACCTGCTCGGCACCAAAAGCAGAAGTTCAAGACTGATGGCAGAGAACAGAGATTGATAAAAATGGAGGAAGAACAACTTTTCTCACCTGCCGCATTATGGGATCAGACAGAATTTGCTGTATTTCTGGATCTTGCATTGCCTTCGCCTGGTGAAGGGAAGGATCCCGAGTTCAGCTCACGGGTAAATAAATCACACGCCCTGAGTCAACGAGTATGATGGTTTCGGGAAGAAATCTCATACCTGTCTCTCCTTCAACTCATCTGCACTGATCTCCCCGCGTTGAGCCTTGTTGATCTGTTCAACACACCTGGCGTCCGCGCGTGGGGGAGCCATCAGTATCTAGAGAGAAGACAGATAGATCATTCTTGAAGGGATTTCGATTTCTAGAGAATACCTCTTGATTCCGTCCATCAGCTCGGGGTTGTTCGGGTCGAGCTTCAAGCCTTCCTGATACGTCTCCAGGGCTTTGTCATATTCCTTCATGAAGAACTGGATCGCACCTTTTCTAGTGTATCCTTTTGAAAAGGACGGGTCGAGCTCAATGCACTTCTCCGCATCCTTCAGCCCTTCGGGCAAGGCACCCAGCTTTGTGTAGCAGGCAGCCCGGTTACTGTACACCTGCGCAGCATAGTAAGAACACGCCAGGAGAAAAACTTGTGAGCAAAATCCTGAACTCAGTTGGGGGAAAGCAATCGATGCAGGCTCCTTCACTCCTAACGTAGAGGAGGGTGAAAGAAAGGAATCAGCTCAGAAGCTCGGCACCCTTCTCAAAAGAATACCAGCAATAAACGATTTCCTCCAAAAGTACGCTGATGTTTTGATCGTGAAAGCAAGTGAGACGATTCTACCATTTTAATAGGGCGAAATTAATCACAAGGATCGGTGATTTCCGAGTTCAGAAAATGTTACTAGCCAAATGAATCACTGACGTGTATATTAACTTAAAAATCTCACCCTCGGATCACGAGGATTTCTCCTTAGAGCCTCCGTGTAATGCCTCACAGCTTCCGGGTATTGTTGCTGCTTGAAATACTCATTACCTGGACAAGCATACTCCAATTCAGAACCCGTTATCACAGAACACATGACAAAAGGCAAGGAAGATTACAGTTGAAAAAGGAGATGGACGGCCCACGTGTCAGAATAAGCTCTCCAGTCACACGGACCAAATCAACTAATGACAGGACTTTCAAATAAACGGTTAAATATGAAAAATCAAATGATGCATAGCAGGAAAAAATATTCTTATCAAATATAATACGGCACAGGATGTATTTATGATGAAGGTGAAGCCATTACTGACAATTCTAAATCCCAAGGTTTAAGGAAGCTTTACAATGGATGAATGATTTCTTAGTGATGCAGCAAATTTACACGACCAAGAATACAACATCACAGAGATGATGAAGAAGGGGGAGTGGTATGCATAAATTAGGTGCGAAATCAAGAATGGGATCACATAGTACGTAGTAAGAGAAGTAGACGAAGCACACAATTAAATCCAAGCAAAAATTGGAAAACACCAATCAATGGAAGAGTGTGCTGGAAACTAGGGGAACAGGGTACACAAATCAAAAAATGATTGAAAGAATGAGACATAGAAAAGTTATTTCATAAAGCTCACAGAAGCAAAGAAGGAGACCATGTATCACATACCTTTCTCACGTTCCTCATCAGCTATCTTTGGATCAAACTGTTCTTGTTGCTCTAGGTCTTTCTTTGCTCTCCCAGCATCGTTCAATTTTTTTAAAGTATCGGGATTGCGGTGCTCAGTTAATGCTTTCTGGAAAGTTTCAATAGCAGGATCATAATCCTTTGAACATTTTGCAAGTTTAACCAATGCAGTGCCTTTCCTCGTAAGTGCCCTTGCAATCATCTTGAAGTCAGAACGCAGCTCTCTACCCCTTTCAACAGCTTTATCGCAGTCCTTTATGCAGTCCTCGTACTACAGAACCAGAATTTCATTATTAAAAATCATCAAGTACTCTTTCATGAATAGAAGCTTAAAGATCCCAACTTAGAACGTAGCTAAGATTATCAGAGCTTGATCTAATCAAAGATTTAAACCATATCCTTTCTGACTGAAACATGATAGGGTAAAACATAAATGATGAGACAGAGAATGTCGCGTGAAGGGTTAGCGGTGACATCAGAGAAAGAAACAAATAATTTCAAAAATGTAAGATTGTCAGAAGAGGATACACAGCGACACAATGACCAGCGACGGAGTATTCGTGGCATCTGTAATCGGTCTGCATGGGATCTCTATACAACTACCTGGCGCAGGTATTGATGGTGAAAGCCACTAAACCGATGGGCGTAATGCAACAATACAAGATGCAAAGAATCAGGATTTATTTATAATAATAACTGGGAACAAAGGCCCAAGGATTATACGAAACGCGTAAAAACAGATTAAGGCCAAACCCCAGAAGATAAAATTCAACCAACTAGTGAACCAAAGCATGTTCAAACGAACGGATTAATCAAATGATACATAGTCACTACAGCGAAGAAATTGGGTCTCGAATTTTAAGGGAAGACGGAGAATCACATGCAAAGAAATTAATAAAAAGGAAACGTACTAAACTTACCTTTCCCATCTCCATGTAAACAGCAGCTCTGTTTGTGAGAAATGAGATGTCCTCGTCATCTAGCTCTAGAGCTTTACCATAATGCTGGATGGCTGTTTCGAATTCTTTCCTTTTGTATGCAGCATTTCCCGCCTCCTTTTCCTTTTGGGCCTCTGCCTTTCTTTTTTTCGTCTCATTTTCCCCATCCAGTACTTCCATAGGCTCAGGCTCAGGCTCCGGCTCCCGTGCCGATTTAAATGACTCCTGCTCTGGTGCCCTCGTCCGGGGCTCCGACTCTGTCGACTCCTTCTCCATATCCTCAGATGTCTTCATCTTCACGTTCAATAAAACCCCTAGCGTCTGCATCATTCTCTGATCCGAGAGGTACATGCTGATGTTATTCGGATTTCGCTGAATATCTTGGATCATTTTAACAAAGTCCGGCTGCTGTAGGTAGCTTCTTGTCGACGGATCCGCCGTCAGCTTCGCCCACATCTCCGGGCCCTGGAAGATGTTCCCAAATGGGGAGGACGGAGGAGCGCGATGGGCTCGTGCGGCCATGGACTGTACATCCGCAAGGCCGGACTTGAGAGCCTCGTTCCCGGGCTCCAGCTCGAGGCCCTTCCTGTAAGCAGAGATAGCATCCTCGAAGCTGCCGAGTCCGACGTAGGCAGCACCAAGGCGGCTGTAACCCTTGGCCCAATCGGGCTTCAGCTCCACCGTCTTCTGCGCGTCGGTAAGCGCTTCGGCATAGCGGTGGAGGGAAGCGTAGGCGGCGGAGCGGTTGGAGTAGAGGACGTGATTGGTGGGCGCAAGGTCGATGGCCTCAGAGAAGTGGGAGGCCGCCTCTTCAAAGCGCCCAGCTGAAAATGCGGCGTTGCCCTTGGCTTTCGCCTCGTCGGCCATGATCGTCCTGCAACCCTAACACGCCCAGGCGACAACCAGAGGAGGAAGGAGCGCGATCTTGCAGTTATCTGCGATCGATAGCTTCCAGAATAGTCGAGATCCAGGTTCTGGAAGGTTCTTGGAAGCATTTTCGATAACTACCAAACCTTCAAAAATCGGGTTATTAATTTATTTTCCTGATTTTCGGCTTATTGGTCGATCTATGGCTTCGGCCCATTATAATTTCTGGGCTTCAGTTGTCGGCTCAACCTACGAGGAGAGCCAGCCTTTCTGAGGATCTGGGCCGTTCTCAGAAGTGGGCTTTAGAAGCTTGGGCTTCAATTGTGGACCCATGACCACGGTCAATGGGTTCTTGCTGTGGGGAGGTGAGAGAACGAGCAGAGCGCTCTTTTTGGTTTCGTTTACGTTAAATGATCTGCGAGGAGAGAGAGAGAGGCGCTCTGATTGCTTTCGTCCTCGTGTGAACGATCTGCTGAATTTTGTGGCTGCTGGCCGATGGAGGACGTCGCAGCGTCCCTCGCGACGGATGCAACAGATGATGACGAACACGATTCCAAGGAGAGAGTCCTCTTCAAGTACTTCTTGAAAGAGTGGGAGCTTGTTAAATCCCTACTGGACTGCATCGCCGCCAATGGCGGCGTCGCCGATCCCTCTGACGTGCAGAAGATCCGCACCATTGTACGTTTTCCGCTCTGTGTTTTTCCTTTAATTTCGGTGAATGTCGCCACCTCGACCAACTATAAATCTGGTGCTCATGAAGAGATGAAATAAACAAGTTTTCCGCTCTGGTGTCTGCAGGATTCAGTTCTCCTAGTGTCTTAGATGTCCTGGCCCCCAGGCGTTGTGGAATTCATTCACATCGCTGGGAATGTAAACCCCCTTTTGAAGGCCGTTAGCTGACAACTTGAGTTGATTCCTCTAGCGGCTACTTCAGTTGTAGACACTCCCGATGGAGGATGCATCCTATCACCTGGCTGAATAATTTTCTGAATACTGTCACTTGTCATGGAAAAAACTTCTGGGTCTTAGATGCCAATCAGGAGTGGTTTGTGGTGTTCCACAGGACCAGAATGACGGATTTTAGTTGACTACTTATTGCCTTCTGAAACGTAGTTTACTTCTCAGTTCGAATTAATACTGAGGGACGAGCGTTGAGAAGTTCAGTCTTTCAAATGGGTTCGTTAGGCAAGCTGTCATCTAGAGTTTCGAATTTTACGTAGTTTCTGTTGCCAAAGCAAATATGCCCTAAGAAATTCAGGGATAAGAAAGGGTGAACGTAGACATGGATTGTATTTTTGTTAAGAGATAAAGGATGGTGATCATTTTTCATTGTAAATGTGTAAAAGCAAAGTAGATATCCGTTCTGATAGAGTTCCAGTCTCTAGCTTGTCAACCAGACATGAACTTTTCCGTGAATATCCACGGGATAGTGTAAATAGCCCCTACACGCGGCTTTGGGGGCTTGTGTTGAACTATTTGGTTTGAAAGGAATGAAATATTTTTGAGGAAGACTCATTTTCTAGAGAATGTTCAGTATGTTTTAAGGAATTTCAATGTTTTCTACTAAACAGATTTGTAAGTTGTGTTTAAACTTAACAGTCCGAAAAGTTTTTTATGACACTCTTGCTTTTCATATCTGGGTTTTGACGTGGTTAGTTGGCCATTATTTTGAATATACTTCTAACCTTCGACTAGAAAAAAGGTTGGGCTTGGGGTCTTCTATTGTTTTTGAAATAGAGACTATTTTGTCAATGATCATTCCTCTACATAATGCGGATTTTGTTAATTTATTGAGATATGAGGTTCAAAACACCTTCACGAAAATGATAATGATATACATGCTGGGATAAGTGCAACTTCATGAAATCTCGACCGGTTCATGTTCAATCTAGATTGAATAATTGAAACCAAGTTAAGGCGGTACTCTTCTATTTAGATTATGGAATCATCAAACATCAAGAAGGATATCCACAGTGGATCAGATACTCTTTTTTTATCCTCAAGCTTAGTTTAAATTTCCTAAAATGACGAAAGATTGCTGATTTCAATCATACAGAATAAATTGTAGCCGAATTCCTGTCAACAATTATACATTTCTGTTTTGATTGAACAGTTAGTAAACAGAAAAGGATATCTAAACTGAATAAAATGCTCTTTTCTGACCCTTCAATTCAGTTCGAAGTTCATAAATACTTTTAGGATTTCTATGTGAATTATGTGACGAATATAACTTGTAACCAACTTCAGACAGCAGTCAACTTCTGTGTATTGAAGAACTAGTAGCATTGCTATTAAATATATACAAGTCCTTTAGGCCATTGTTTTTTTATACCAATGGTTTAGATTAATTCATTTTTAAGAAACCTGTGTACGATTGATTTATCCGTGATATTTTTTGTCTTTTTTTTTCACGCCTCAAGTTTTTTTCTTTTGGTTTTTTGGGTAGCATCTTGATTGAATTTATCTTTTCCATGCAGATGGATAAGTATCAAGAACAGGGAGAGCTTCTAGAACCTTACCTGGAGAGCATTGTTTCGCCCTTAATGTTGATTGTCCGTTCTAAAACTATCCAAGTAGGGGTTGATTCTGACGAAATTCTTGAAATCATCAAGCCTCTATGCATTATTATCTATTCGTTGGTCACGGTTTGTGGGTACAAGAGTGTTATTAAATTTTTTCCACACCAAGTTTCTGATCTAGAGCTTGCCGTCTCTCTTCTGGAAAAATGTCATACTGCAGTTTCAGTGACATCACTGCGCCAGGAAAGTACTGGGGAGATGGAGACAAAATGTGTCATGCTTCTGTGGCTGTACATTCTTGTTTTGATTCCTTTTGACATCTCCTCTATTGACACAAGTATTGGCGACAGTAATTATCTTGGTGGACTTGAGCCTCCTCCTTTGGTGTTGAGACTACTAGGGTTTTCCAAGGACTACCTTTCCAGTGCTGGTCCCATGCGTAAAATCTCTTGCCTATTGCTTGCCAGGCTTATAACACGTCCTGACATGGCAAGCGCTTTTCACAGGTTCATTTCTTTTTTCGTACTCTTTCTATGGTAGTTCTCTGCCCCATGAAAGATTTATTCTTATCTTTATTTTATGACATCTAGGTAGATTCGTATTTCATGCAGAACTGTGAACGTGAATACGATATCCATGTAGGTATCGTTAAGTTGCTGATTTTATTTTAAAAACGAGTTCCTCCTATTTGTCGAAAAAATTGTCCAAATATGTGTGCTCTTTCTCGTTGAATGCTTTTGTGACATTGATTTGGAGATAGAAATTTCAATGTTGGTGTCCTTATTTTCATGATATCATTGGGATTGCCTTGGTTGTTGAAGGTTCACTCTTAAATGAAGAGTAAGTTTTCTTAGGCTCACTAATACTGATTAGGATAACACAACAACAAGCTTTTTCTCTCGAAAGTCAACTCGTTATGAATTTAAAATTTAGCTTGCTTCTTTGATTACCAACTAACTGAAGTGGCACTCATGAGATACAGTATCAGCTTCTTTCCTCATACCGTCCTTTTTACTGCAGCCATATTGAATCAGTATAATAATGGTGGTTAGTTTGCACTATAGTCTATGAAAGGGTGCATTATATGCTGTCCACTACAATAAGCAATGGTGGCAAGTGTAACAATCATGGGTGTTAGTGTTTATCTTCTCATCTTCTGATAGAGTTTTTGGAAGCGTTTTTGAAAGATAAAGTCATCTTCCTTTCTTCCCTTCTCCTGTATATTCTTGTAAATACAATTTGAGAGAAACACTCTTCGCTTATTCATGCAAGCTTGAAAGAAACAAAGTTTGAGAATTTTATCTAAAATATCTCTAATATTCTATGTATCTTATTTATTATTGTTACTAAACAGTTTAATTTTTGTTGGTTCAACCGATCTCATTATTTTCGTAGAAAACAACTCCAGATAATGTGATGTACAGTGGAAAGAGAAAACTTGTGACATAAAGCGCGAAGACAGCTGCAATAAAAGATGAGTAGAGAAAGAGTATGTAATTCTAAGGAAGAAGGTATGGAAGTAAACTTCTAAGGTTTAAAACCCAAAGTAAAACTCTTTTCAACAGCCTCCAACCGAGTTTAAATAGTCAGCTGTGAAATGGAAAGAATGCCAACTCCAGGATTTTCAATCTCAGCCCTATATTAATTTCTAAAAATCAGATGGTAGTTTCATATTTTTAAGTGATTGGATGACGAATGATGACGAAGTGTTGAGTCCCACTAAACATGCTCCTATATCATAGTGGATCTATCATGCAATGAAATTATTATTTACTATCATGACTATCTTCACTGTCCTATTTCTTGTGATAGATGTTCAAGTGTTAGGGAATTATCTTCGTTAGTTTTCAGCATCATAACGAACCCCTCATAGATGGCTTGTATGGAGCAAAATATACATAATCGTCAAATGTCGTAGGAATCTGGGATAGGTCCTTAATTTGACTGTCACAATTTCATATGCTTTAGTAGAAATTCTGTACCATAAGGTTGACCTTTTTTTTGCTTTTTACTTTCAGTTTCATTGAATGGGGAAATCAAGTTTTTGTGTCTGTAACAGATGAAGTTGTGGACCATTTTAGATTGCTTGGTGTTGTAGAAGCTTTAACTTCAATATTCAAGGTTTGAATCTTAACATTTCAGGTTATGTTTGTGTCCCTTTTTATTTTTTATATCGTTTATTTTTACATAGAATTTATCAAATATATTTATTTAAATGTTTATCTTAAAGAACTATTCTCTTTTATTTCCCATATGTTGTATATTAGATATCACTCAATTATCTGAATAAATTGTATTTATGCAAATATATTTTATGTGCTGAAAATGGCTTGTTTTTTTGGCTAACTAGGAATAAGAACTGACTGCAGTTGGCTTTAAAAATGGATACATAAACCTTCTGATATGCAACTTTTTTTATATTGCAGGCCAAGAATCATTTTTTTCATTCGTCTCTGCATTTATGAAGGACTCTATTTCAAAATATCTCCGGACGCTGTTTTCTTTGAAGGAAAGAAGGCATAAAATGTACATTTAGATCAGCTCTAAATGTTTTAATTAATGTACATAAGGAAATGTTTGTGTACCAAGAAGTATACTTTTTAACAACATTACACGAGATTTATTATCTTTTGTCCGGGGATTATTCTTTGTTGAAAGTCATCTTGAAATGAGAAACTTTCCCCTTGTGTAAGCTGCTTAATACTCTCTATGCCTGAGACGTTTACTCGGTTATCTAAGTTTTGTTTGGATTTTTTTGGATTTCCTAACTTGATTTTTTTATTCTGCACAGGTTGGTACCAGAAATATGTTGAATAATGTATCTACAGATATTTGGAGCAAATCTTCAGTATTGTTGAAGTCAACTACTGCATCTCGAAGTCCTCTGCTGCGGAAATTCCTGATGAAATTATTTCAGAATATTGGTCTTGTTTGTCTGCCACATCGATCACCTTCATGGCGCTATCTGGTTAGTCAAGTCCACGGTTGTTTACACATCATTTTGTTTAATAAATATTGATTCATCTCTTAGGAGTTAATTCTTGGCATATTTTCCACATGAAGTTAACTTAAGAGATTGCTTACTTCAGCTGTTATATTGCTTCTGTGTTGACTTTACATTGACCCATTTTTTAATGCAGGCAGTGAAAAATTCATTTGGAGAAACCATCTCATTGGCCACTAATGATAAAGGAGGTTTTTCCTGTTATGGTCAAACTATTGAAAATAATATCCCGGGTGAAGGACATCTTGAGGAAGATGATGGGAATATTCCAGAAGTAATAGAGGAAATCATTGAACTATTACTGTCCGGGTTGAGAGATTCGGTATGAGTTGAGGTTAATCACCGTATTGACTGTCGTTGCTTAATTATGTTAAGTTCGAAGACGTCATACATCATAACCTGTTCTTTTTTATGAAACCATGTTTACTACGGTCATATAGTGCTTCATTTTTGAAATATTTATTAATTTCTGATTTTTTTGCTGGATTCTTCATTTTCGGATTCTTTTTTCCTGAAGCAATGTGCACTACAGTCATCTAGTGCTTCATTTTTGGGTTCTCCGTAAGCTTGTGAAATAATTATATCCCTGTTCAATTGTTGATTTTATTTGTTTTGCGGAGAAATTCCTCTTATCTCTGTATAAATTCTGAAAGAAGTTGTCCAATTAAATTTGCCATATCCAGGCCGATCCGATTGGATTTGCCTGACTAGTGAACGTTTCCTTGTTGAATCATGATAGTATGGAGGTATTTTGGAATACGACTGATAAAATGAGGGATTCTTAATGGATGAGTGAAGTTGCCCTACGTGTGTTGAGAGCAGATTAAGGAAAACATCTTGCGTCTGGAAATTGACAAATGCCTGTGTGTCGCCATGGAGCATGGTTTTCAGCATTAACATTTTTTATGCATGATGAGTTTTAAGAAAATGGAATGTGGATAACCAATGTCATTTATGAAGTCTGGACAAAAGATAAATTATGTTTTTGAAATGATTAAACTAAAAAAATTCAAGGCTATTTTAGCGGTATGTGTATGGTTCCTGATGTAGAGGAAATACTAGGGGAATATTAAGGATAACAGCAATGAAACAAAAATATTAGAGAAAGAATGCAAATCTATAGAAGTAGGAATGCGGTAAACGATTTATTTGTAGCATTTGGAACCAACAAGAAGGTTCAAATGCTGCATAAGGCTGAAAGGCTATGAAAAAGCTAACTACAGGTCTCCTAAAGATTTCAAATGCCCCGCTGCCCAAACTACACATCCTCACACCCTTAAGAACACCTGGATTACCCTCAATTTTCGATAAAAAGCCATGTCCTGGCTGCCAAGAACACCTAGAGCACCATGCTATCTAGGAACCTAAGATAATGGAACGGAACAACATACTAGATAAGATCCAGGTCCCGCCCAGTATTGGGCCCGATTTGTTCCTGCATAAGTTCCCCTCTCCTAAGGTTTTGGGTTTACCAAACAGATGCTGAATGCCATAACTTGTGTGGTAATAATGATAAATTTGTTTTGGAGAACTCGGTTCTCAAGGAAAACAAATTTAATGATGAGGTAGTCCCCAAAGATGATGCTTCTCCATGGAACCGGAACATCTTTCAAATTATCCCTATGCCATGAAGGTATGATCTTCAATGAGCTTCAACTTGTTTTGTCCAGTTCTCTCTGATCGTACAACAGATTTTCAAGGGTTGGTTCTCTCCATAATAATCAGATCGTTGATACAGATCTCAGTTTTCAATTCCTTGCTGCTGCTCTGTTTAGGATAACTGCTACGTCTTTTTGTTCATCTTTTTTGATGATATCATAAAATTTGCATAAGTTACTTTCATCATGGGCAAGAAGTCAGAGAAATATTATTTTTGTGTTCCTATGAGATTCATGTTACATTATTAGCTTTGCAGAAATATTTAGTTTACTTTAACTTGATTTGTTAGTATCTGGTGATTCTCTGATTATTCATTCACCGAGGTTGCAACTTTAGTTGGGTCATGATTGCATACTGCAGGACACAGTTGTGAGGTGGTCCGCTGCAAAAGGTATTGGGCGCATAACAGCACGTTTAACAGCTTCCCTCTCGGAGGATGTGTTGTCTTCTGTACTAGAACTCTTTTCCCCGGGCGAGGTTCTTTTTATTTTTAATATTTCATTTACAATTTTATTTCGTTGGAATGTTTATATTTAGGTTCTGTTAAGAACTATCCACTAGGATTAAGCAGATATGCAGGATAAAAATTTGCTATATTCATTTATTGTTCTGTCTTTTCTGGCGACAGTGACTGACTATGCTTATCATCCTAATTTTTAGGGTGATGGATCATGGCATGGTGGGTGCTTGGCTTTAGCAGAACTTGCTCGTAGGGGCTTGCTTTTACCTGCTAGTTTTCCTCGAGTAGTTCCTGTTATTACTAAGGTATGAGTAAAGCTTACATTCCTTTCCTACATTTGTACTTGGTCTGCACGTTTCATATTGACTATGAAATAGTTTAATATTTCCTTGAAGGTTATATAGACCACTTTGGTTTTCGGTGTGAATATTTAGAAAAGTTGGCTTGAATCCATCGAGTTCAATTTACTGGCAAGAAGCAGAAACTCACGAAAAGTTTCAATAGTCAGTGAGATGCCTAATAAAGCCAAAAAGTTGTGGAAAAGGCGAAATTCTTTGCTGATTTGAGACAAACTTACCTTGAAATCAGTCACGTCAGTAGCAAGGGCCGAGTCTTCTTAGAGCCTCCTTGGGTTAAAGATGATATCTTGAATGTGGACATCTTACTCTGGAAATTTCTCTACCTCCAAAGTGCCGATAAGGGTTAATAAGAAATTAATATCCTGATTTAGCAGCCTCTAAAGAAATAAAAAATGGAAGTGGACCAAATAATCGAAGCTAGAATAAAAGCATGAATGTCAATGTTGGTTAGAAGCTTCACCCATGGGAGGTGGGGCGTGCTAGGAGTGAGGAGGTGAGCTGGTGTTTTAAGGGTTTGACAGAAGTAAGAGGCGTAGACATGTACCCATCGTTGGACAAATAAACTATTCTCATTGCTTTTGGTGGCAATACAGTCCTTTTATAACCCTTTCTGGCCTTCCTTTGAACAAGGTCGTATTTGCCTAGGATTAATCTATCTGAATTTTATGGGTCATTTCTGTCAATCCCTTCAGAATTGGCTGATGCCAAGGCCTATTTGGCCCATTGGTCTATAGATCCACCCGTTTTCTTTCATTCCTCTCCAACTCCAAGTCACGTTGGCTTGTAGTATCATTAAGGAAGTAGGTGAAGCCACTGTTCTTGACATCATGAGTTTCAAAGCGATAATCACTGGCATTGTGCTGATGAATTATAACTAAAATAAATAAATGTGTTTCAACAATACATGACTATTTGATGGTACCCAAAGGACCATGAAGTATTTTGATGGAGATCTTTTAACCACGATGCACCTTTTTTTTGTGTGGGCATTATACCATTTTACATTTCGAAAATGCTGAATTAATTTTTTTAAAAATTAGTTTGATCTGTTCTCATTTGGTATGTCCACCAAACGTAAAGACTCATATGTATTGTTGAGACACTTATAACCCGCCAATTTGACAAAATAGCATTTTTCTTCAGGCATTACACTATGATGTACGGAGAGGTCCACATAGCGTTGGATCACATGTCCGTGATGCTGCTGCATATGTTTGCTGGGCATTCGGTCGTGCTTATTCTTACACAGATATGAAGGCTGTTCTAAAACAACTTGCTCCGCACCTATTAACAATTGCTTGTTATGACCGTGAGGTGTTACTCAATTTTGCAAACACAGCCGGCTGTAGCTTTTGTTAGCTTTTCAATGCTCCATTTCCGCGGTGTTGCATTTCTCTTACTGAGTTCTTTTGAACATTGGTGGGTAGGTTAACTGTAGGAGAGCTGCTGCAGCTGCTTTCCAAGAAAATGTTGGACGACAGGGAGCATTTCCTCATGGCATTGACTTAGTGAATACTGCTGATTATTTTTCTTTGGCCTCACGATCAAACTCTTACCTTCATGTCGCTGTACTTATTGCCCAACACAAAGATTATCTCTACCCTTTTGCTGAAGAGCTGATACGCTACAAAGTACCCCACTGGGTATGCTGCTATTATCTGTCTGCATGTTTATATTGAAAGTAAACGTACATTTATATCCTAGTGGAGTGATTGTTCACTATTTTTGTACTTGTCAGTGCTGTCTTTAATTAGCCGCGTGGTTTTTGTGGTTTCTAACTCTACTATTTCAAACGACTTCAGCTAAATATAATAATTTTGTAAATCTTCTATGATCATTCCTGCCTTCATCGCCATGTATCCATCCTTTCATTTGGGTAGACAAAAACTATCAGCAGTATTCTTTTTTTTTTATGGGAAGGCATTTTTTTTATCTATTACTATTTCTATTTTCATGCACTTTCATTAAATGAAATAAAATGAAAAAATGGAGAACTCCTATCGCTATAATATTAAATTAATCTGTCCACAGGGAAAGTAATCTTTATTTATCTTTTCCGGTGCTGTTTTTGAGACGATAGGAGCTTATATATTTTGTTCTTGCTGGGGTTTTTTGTTGAGGCTTATGCAGGAATCTAGTTGAGTTGAAAGAAACTATATAGTATCTCACTAATTGCGTCAAACTCTATTAGCATTAAATCTATTTCTTTTATGATTAATCAATTGAGAAATCTGTCCAGTTTTCGTTTCCTTTTTTTCCCATCAGCTTAATGACTGAATTGATCATTTATTATACTGTGTAGTGTGAAGGATATATATTTAAATTAGTTGGATAATGGGATCATAGTACAATTTTATTTTCAAGACTTAAAATGATTTTTGAGAGTATATTGTGAAACTCAATTTAGAAATGGATATCGTATACCGACCAGACTGCAAGAGAAACAGTTTTTAAAGTACGATTTCTCTCTTATTTGTGGATCGTGTGAGCATGCTAATGCCTTATTATAGGTTGTTTATGGCAGAAACTGAAGAATTTTCTCGTGAACAGCTGTGATTTCATGATTAAAGCTCACTAGTGATGAGATATGCAAAATAGTCAATCCTAACGGCATTGTCTACTCTCTTCTGTTAGTGATGCATGCTTTTAGGTCCTGTTGTTTGTGTAAAATATGGAAACCTAACGTGAGCCCTGTTTCCTCCTCTAGGAAAAAAGTTTGAGGGAACTAGCGTCGCAGGCTCTTTCTTCCCTTGCAAAATATGATCATGAGTATTTTGCAGAATATATTCTCGAGAAATTATTTCCATGCACTCTCTCCCCAGATCTGTGCATGCGCCATGGTGCGACCTTGGCTGCAGGAGAACTTGTTTTGGCATTGCACCATTGTGGATTTGTCTTCGCTACTGGTTAGTTGTACCTCCTACTTAACTTCTCCACATATATGCTCGACTCAAAAATAGTGAAGTTGGATATCTATAGTGACGATATAGCATCAAATTCTTATAAAACTGAACATTTATCTTTTCATGTCAATGGTTATAGACAAGATTTCGTTGGGTGAGGATGGCCTAGAGGGCTACTAATAGTCATCTTAACATCAGGCTCAACACCTAAAAAGTCTAGCAAAGGCATGTGATCTTGGGTTTAACCTGGCTCCAGCATGACCAGGCAAAATCCTCTTCCACACTCCCCTCTGTTCCTTCCCAGCCCCTCCCATTCCCTCTAGCTTAACCCATCCCACTCAACAGTTGTTGACAATAGGTGGAGCATGTTTATCTTGATATTATTGGTTTGCTTTTTTACTACCGGAACGAAACTACCTCATGCACATGAGGTGTGTGCATCTTAAGAGTAATCATTGAATAAATTAACTTGTTAAACTTACACGTGTTCTAAGAGAAAAATAATTGTATCTATAACATTTACATCATTGACCCCTTATAACAGTGTTCAATCAAACTAATAAGCATGCTTTGAGTGAGGCAATCAAACCAGGAGCTGAACCTTATCTCAGTAATTGATGGTGAATTCTGTGGCTCAATGAGAATCAACTCTTCAATTTCTCGATCACCAATCAACTCATGGGGATAAAGTTCATCGGCCGAAATTATGATTGCCAGTGTATACAGACTAGTCTTAGTAATGTTGTCATTTTAGTATCTCCCTTTCCTATAAACCGTCACTGTATTAATTGTCTAAAGTTCCTATGAATGTTCTTTTATTATATGTGGTTGCTTCTCTTTTTAACGTACCGTGAAGTCGTTAGCTGAAAGATTGGGCGTTAGTTTAGTCATGTTTGAGTCTTTATCAAATTCTCCAATACATCGAACTAATATTGAACTAACAATAACGTCAGACTAACTGAAAATACTGTCACAACTAACATCATAAAAGTTGCTTATCCAACTTTTCTCACCTGTCATCATTGGAGCTGGAACGTTATCCTAACCAGTTATCTGATATTGTTTGTCCGAGAACCGACTTTATATACTTCATCTTATTTTTTCTTTGATATCTGAGATAGATTCTTGTAATTTAAAATCTGAGAAAATGACCATGTATCTGTTGTGAATGATTTCTACCTTTTTTTATTAGGATATACAGTCACAGAGCCTCCCAAAAGTGGCCTTGTGAAACTAAATAACAAAAATTACTCTAATTCTTATATCGTTGCGATTATAAATATCAATAACCGTACCTTTGTACACAGATAAACAGAAGACTATATCTGGTATAGTCCCTGCTATTGAGAAAGCTCGTCTATATCGTGGAAAGGGTGGAGAGATGATGCGTTCCTCTGTTTCGCGGTTTATTGAGTGTATCTCCCTAGCAAGCATATTCTTGCCTAACAAGCTTAAAGGGGTTTTACTTGAGACTCTGAATGAGAATCTGAGGCACCCTAATGCTCAGATACAGGTCTAGTTTTCACAAGGCATTTTGTTTAGCATATTTTTCTCCTGTGTGACATCTCTTTTTCTTGGTTACTGAAATAATGGTCTATGTTCAGAATTCTGCAGTCAGTGCGTTAAAGCACTTTGTTCCTGCTTACCTTCTTACAACGAGAGACAATATTACGCCTGATATTATGAGTAAGCATCTATCCTTATTGGGTGATTCTAATGTGGCTGCAAGAAGGGGAGCAGCACTGGCTCTTGGGGTCATGCCTGCTGAACTTCTGGTCACAAATTGGAGAGTGGTGATAGGAAAACTTTGTGGCGCTTGTAAAATTCAGGTACTTAGTTCTTATGAATATAAAAAATATTGAGATTTGGGTTCATAGATGTATCCCACATAACTCTGTGCGTGCCTTCATATTTGAATTTTATGTGCAGGATGATCCTGATGATCGTGATGTGGAATCACGTGTTAATTCAGTTCTTGGTCTTGTATCAGTGTGCGAAACATTAACCAGTGAAGGAAAATCTGTCTTTTTCAATGGTGATGAAGAATTACAGCTATATTTATTAATCAAGAATGAAGTATTGCAGACATTATTTATGGCTCTCGATGATTACACTGTTGATAACAGGGGTGATGTTGGCTCTTGGGTGCGTGAGGCTGCGATGGAAGGCCTTGAAAGATCCACTTACATCCTCTGCAAGAGAGATTCTTTGGGACGTACGAGACCATCAGGAGATAACTGTTTATCCGACATTCCTAATGTTGAATTATCTGGAACAGTTCAAACATCTCAGCTGTTTGATGCAGAGCTTGCTGTGCGTTTAGTTGGCGGAATCGCAAAGCAAGCTGTTGAGAAAATAGATAAGATAAGAGATGCTGCTGCCAGAAGACTTCAGAGGCTCCTACACAATAATAACTACTTTGTTCCTTTCATTCCTCACAGAGAGATACTCGAAGGGCTCATTCCTGGTGAAGCAAACTTTCAATGGGGTGTAAGTTAATGGCTTAAGAGTTGACTTTACGTTTAAAGTACCATCTTATTTACCTAAATGTTCCAACGTGGGCTGACTATTGCGGAGTATAAGATTTTGGCATGCTCCTGATGAAAGTCTGGCATATGGGAAAAAAAGGGAATACCGAAGAACAATTAGGACAGTTAAATAATCACATCGTGACTTAATGTAAACGACCCTGTTTGCAAATTCGGATTGGCTATTCGGTACTCGGAAACTGTCAGCTTGTTTTAACTTAGTTGACACTCCTCGAGTTATTCCTTTTTTCCATAATGTTCATGAAACCTCATTACATGATGTAGTATCTGTATTTTATAATCTTGTGTGCAGGCTTTCATTTCTATTCATCCACTGTATTAGTATGATTGCGGCATATATGGCCAAATTTTGATGGACTAATTCTCCATCAACGAATAGACTTGATATTTCTTCGCCAATCTTTTTGGCGTATTAGAGTTTAATTGTTGTGGAATTGTTAAACTAGCAGTTGCTTTCTGGAAATAAGTTGATTGTTTTTTAGTCTTTAGTGAAAGTCTCAGGGATCCTATGCAAACTCAATTCATATTTCTTTCAAAAGTTTGAGTTTTTCTGCTATATCTTTCAGAATAGGAATATCTACTCCCGACCAGTGGCAGAAATCCCTTGGTGACACTATTATTTGATGAGTTTTGTGAAATACTTCGATAACAGTGCTATGCAGAAATCTTACGTATAATTTTTATCAGTATGATCATGCACACATCTTGGAAAGACCTAGATTCTATATTGTATTATATTAGTGTTAGTTCTACTTCTAATCATACATTACAATTCAATTGTACATGACATTTAACACATATTTTGAGCAAAAACGATAATAAATGGATCCGTTGGTAAATTCTAATGACGTGCATATTGGGGGCATTTTCTCAACAAAAGACATTCTGAAGTCTCTTGTCCCATCATTATTGACACCAAATAACATGATCACTATATTTACTGTTCCATGAACTAATGTATCGCATTCCTTTCATTCAGGTGTCTGCATTGTCTTTTCCTCGTTTTGTTCAGCTGCTTCAGTTCACCTGTTATAGCAAAACAGTGCTTTCTGGGCTTGTCGTTTCCATTGGTGGATTGCAAGATTCCTTAAGGAAAATAGCGACTTCATCGTTGCTGGGATATGTTCAAGCATCTGACTCTAGTAGAGATACGACGAAAGATGACAAAGAGCATGGTCTTAGTGTTGACCTGCGGTGGATTCTCCAGCAATATCAAAAATGTGACAGAGTTATAATACCCACATTGAAGGTACTTGCGTTGAGCCTATTAAAAGCTTTTCAAGTGAGGAAATATGCACTTCTTTGGTAGATTTGTTCCAAGGAACCTGAGGGCAGATGATAGGAAGAGTAGAGAGCTCAACTTCTGGCGATTTAACTTAATAGGTAGACAAATTACATCTCATGGTTTTTGGCGTCTGACAAGAGACCGTTGTCCGAATTTGGCATATAAATTAAAGGTCGTTACTTAGAAACAACTGCATTATTTGATTTCTATGTTTCCACATTGTTCTCATTTGCCTTGTTCCTGCTTTTCTACGAAGTTTTAACTTTTTAGAATGGTGATATCTTGGCGGAGGGTGTCAGAGGTTTGACTCTTCTGGTGAACTGTTTTCAGATGGAAGTCCTTTGTTGAATACGAAAGAGTTTCCTTTGTCAATCTCACAAATGAAAGTTTCAGGTTTTTCTTTCCATAAAAACACCTCAACTGAGCATAACGACAATCCTATCTTGCTTTACTTTTAAGTCTTTGTTGCATTATTAAGAAAAATCTTGTTGGTTTCTTAGGTAGATGAAAGCATGTTAGTCTCTGACAAGTTGCTTCTGGTTTTTCTTTATTCCAATCTTTAGCACCATTGGTTCAAAGTTTGTTCAGTATGTTAAAAATGCGGCCTCATTCTATTTTTCCTAAAATTAAAAAAGTTTAATAGATGATATATCTTATTTTTTTCAGACTATTGAAATTCTTCTCAGCAAAAACGTCTTCTTAGGCATGGAGGTCAGTTCATCATTCTCCCTTCTATTTTTCAACTACTATTTTTCTGGATACTAATTCACTGGTTCAAGGATTGATGGAACGGGCAGCTTTTACGGAAGTGATTCAAAGATCTCCATGCTTTCCAATGATATTTTTGAGCTGACAACCTCTTAATTTCTCTTGACAAACAGGTCAACACGCAGCCGTTTTTCTTAGCCCTGATGGACTCACTCGTAATTGAACTGAAGGGAACCAAGGACTTTTCTAAGCTGCTTACTGGCCTTTCCATTCTTGGATACGTTGCTTCTCTTTCTGAGCCTATAAAATCTCAATCGTTTTCTCAGATTCTATCATTCCTTGCCCACCGATACCCAAAGGTAACCTCTTTACTAATCATCAGTCGAAACTTTGTCCCAGATATTAGCCTTCTCTGAAGTTTTTTTCTAAGAAAAACATGCTATACATTACCCTATCATTCTTGTGTTCAATCATGATTAAACCCCAAAATAATCTGGCACTCACATGTTGTGGCACCTTACAGATACGCAAATCAGCAGCCGATCAGCTGTACCTTGTCCTACTTCAAAACGGCAATTTAATGGCAGAGGATAAACTGGGAGAAGCGCTCGAAATTCTCACTGAAACCTGCTGGGAAGGGGAACTGGATGGAGCCAAGCATCGGCGGCTAGAGTTGTGCAAGTTGGCTGGCGTTGATATCTCAACCCATCCTAACATCAGCCGAGGATCAAGCAAGAGTTCTGCAAAGAATGCCTTCACCGATGAGAATTCGTCCTACTCCTCGCTCGTGGGTTCCTCTGGATTTTAAGAAAATATAGAAAGCTGCTTCACAAATTCTTCAGTGGGAGACATGGCATTCTTTTCACCTGTGGTCAAGGTCTGAGGCTTACTCTGATCGTTGGTTTCTTCACCCTCTGACCGCAAGTCCATGAGCCGTTCTTGACCCACATAAGCTGTCATCACTCAGGATAACGAGACCATTGAGATGTTGAAGGGAAAGGAATCTCCCGTGGCCGCCATGATCAAACCTCCAGCTTCTGATGACCGGGCCATCTCTGAGATCAGTTTCTGAAAGATGGTTGCTGAGAAAGTTATAGCAGTGGCTCCTAAAACTTTTGGTTGTTTAGGAGCATCTGCTTATCTGTCAAATAACTTCCCAAGATCTTTTGCCACCGTTTCTCAGGCATTCGGCACTGATAGGCTGCTGTTGGTGTTTTAAAGACCTATTTTTGGTCATTTCACTTTATTTTAATGATCAGACATGACTAGAAAAGAGAGTTATCATGTCAAATTTTCCATGTAAAAACTTTGGAAAAACAGAGGAACTTATATCAATTTTTGACTGCATAAACACTGGATTCTGATCTTTTTTAAATTAATGTTTGCCTTAGGAGCAAGATTATATGTTTCTTGCTGTTATAATTCTCTCACGCTGAATGCACTGATTTCTAATCTGATGAATTGGATGATTGCATTCTTTCCCATGTTGTTGGAGACCATGGGCATGTTTTTAAGCTGCTCCCAAGATCTTCATTCCTCCCCTGAAGAGTTATCCTGTACTCGGCACCTACCAGAATATTACCTTGTTGTCACCTTATTTAGAGTTAAATGGTCGCAAATTATCATATAGCACCAGATTTATGTCTACATAGCAAAGCGATTTGGTTGACCCAAGGTTGACTTTTAGAAGTCAACTGCATCGTTAAGGTCTCAAAAATGGCGGCAGTGTTGTCACGCCAGCCACCATCCCCATGGTTGGGATCATTTCATACTCGATTGAACCTCGGCCATGCTCATGTACATAATCCTGGGAAGAAAAAATTACGGGATTTATGACATTTTTATACCTTGCTTAGTACTCTCTATGTTTGGTACATGCCACCGAATGCACATCGAATGAGTCTACAGACCACCCCAGAAGGGCACCCCGGACAGTCGAATCCACGCTTCCCCTTGAATGAAGCTGCCGACGGTGAAGGGGCTGGCCTCACCGGTCTCCTTCAGCACATGAAACCCGCGCCAGTTGACCCTGCCGGCGGTGGCGCCGCCGTCACCCGTGTTCATGTACTCGCCGTAGTAGAGTGTGTCGAGAGCGAAGTCGCCGCTCCACTCCGCCCACCCCTTGGGGTTTACCAGCCCGTCGAGCTCCGTCTCCATGAAGACCACCCGCGAGTACTTCTGCCATGGCCTCCCCAGGAAGCTGGAGAAGGACTGCTTCGCTCCCTGGAAGTCCGGCGCCGGCAGCACGCGGGACCTGTGGATGGAGGTGCCGGTGGCCTCGTAGGGGGAGCCCCTTCCCTGCGCTGTGATCATGTTGGACTGGTGCCCCAGTGGCCTCCTCACGTAGATGTTGCAGTTCTGAAGGACGGCGGCAGCGTTGCCGAAGATGAAGTCGACGGTACCGTAGACGTCGCAGTCGCGGTAGAACTGCCGCTGGGAGTGCGCGAAGAGGGTGTCCTGGTAGCCCCGGAAGCTGCAACGGTAGAAGACAGCGAGGTCCGACGACGCGCGCAGTGCCACCGCCTGGTGCTTCCCAGGCCCGGCGGTATTTTCGAATGTCATGTCTCTCGCCCAGAACCCATCGCCGGAGACGCCTGCGCAGCAGAAGAGGTTCGCCCGCTCGCCATTACTGGATGTTTCTTCGTTCCCACTTTACCTGGCCGGGAAAAGGCCATCTTTTTCTTACCGAAGGTGGACGAACTGTAGGTGGTGTATCCATCGGGAACGCTCCGGCTGCCCGTGACCGTAGTCTTGTCGATCCCATCTCCGACGAGCATCATGTTCCTTAGGGTCCTGCCTACCTCCACGTTCTCTGAGTAGACACCCGCCTTCACGTAGATTACCGTTCTCTGGTTTTGTCTTCGTCTCTGATGAGAGAGAGCCGCCAGGGCGTCGTTGATCGTCTGATACCCACCTGACCCGTCCTTCGCTACGACAATATCGGCCTTCCAACTTGATGGATCCCACGCCGTCAAAAGTCCATCAAAGATCGTCGAGTTCCCACCATGCGCTTCGGTCACGTCGGGTGCTCCTCCTCGAGAAGAACAGTTGACCATTAGATCTCTACCATGGAAAAGTTAGGTTAGAACGCGGAATCTTCTTATTTCCTTTGAAACTCACCACTGCCGTCTTTCTCGTGGTAGGCCATCAAGGCGGTGGTGAGCAGGCTCGTCAAGTTCTCGGCCAGCTGCACCGGCGGCGGCGGCAGTCCCTGCTCGAGCAGCCCGTCCATGCAGGTCCGATGGGAGGTGACCGCGCCGCTGAGCCACGTGCGGGCTTCGGGGATGCTCCGCCCTCCCCCGGCCGCCAGTCGGCGTAGCCGGCTGCCGCAGTCCTCGTAGAGCCGCGCGCAGTCGCGCCACGCGGCGACGGCTTCACGTCCTACCCCGCTGTCGTCCGGGCTCGCGGCGGAGACGAAATAAGCCTTCGCGAGGGCGAGCCCGGCACGCGCCGCGCGGACCTGGTCAGCCGGTGGCGAGGCGGTGGCGCCCGCCGCGTGGAGGGACACAGACAAGAGCGCGAACTGCAGCATGGCGAGGGCCCGTCGTGGGACGTCCATCTCCGGGAACGTTCATCTCGTGTGGCTGCGGTAGATCCTCGGGCTCGGCTTTAAAACGCAGAGAAGAAGCGTGAGGTGGAAGGACGAGGGCGGAGGAGGTCTCCACCTGTTGGAGGCAGAGGGCCGAGTGGCAGCGCCACCAGCAAACGTGTGTTCTTCTTCTGCGCGGGGGCACCAACATGCCCTCCCCCACGCCAGTCGGTGAGGGAGTCGCGAGCTCGGGTGCCGTCTGGTCTCCCGCAGGTGGTTTTCTTCGTGATGATCTCGAAGACGACGGCCAGATGGCGGGAATTGTCTGAAAAAGGGGACAGATAGATAGATCGTCGGAGTCGCGACGGCATCGAAGATCTGACTGAAATCTTCATTAGATCGGATGAATCTTCTGAAGCACGGGATTCTCTGTTTTCTAGAACGAACGACAAAAACCATGCAAGATAAAAAATAGAAAATCTGGCTTTTCCGCTAGAGGAAGGGCTTGAACCTTCGACCTTGTGGTTAACAGCCACACGCTCTAACCAACTGAGCTACTCCAGCATATTTTCTGGATATATATTGAAAACATAAACTTATATTTACACCGATTCTTCATACGTGTCAACCTCCGCGCTCGGCACTCCTGCATGGCGTCCTGTCTCGGTGCGGCGGCGAGGTCCTGACCTCCCCCTCCGCCATTCTCCCTTTCCCATCCTCGCCATTTTTCTCGTTCTCTCTGCAAGCGGTCCTTCCTCCCCTTTGCGATGCATCGCTCCCCCTTTCTCCTCTTCCTCCTCCCGGTCCTGATCCTGCCGGCAGCCTCGGCCAGAGGGCTCCACGGCTGGGACCCGGAGATCCGCATGCCGGCCGAGGAGACGGCGATGGGCCAGTCCGAGGAGGACGTTACGGGAACCAGGTGGGCGGTCCTCGTCGCCGGGTCCTCCGGCTACGGCAACTACCGGCACCAGGTACGGCGATAGATGCGACCAGTCAATCTCCCATACCCACCTTCTGTTCGATTCTGTCTGTTTCATTCTCTCAAGCTAATTATCCGGCCGTGGTGGTGATGGTGGCGCCGCCGCCGTCGTGTGGCGGTGCAATGGCGCGGCAGGCGGACGTTTGCCACGCGTACCAGATCCTGAGGAGAGGTGGGCTGAAGGAAGAGAACATCGTGGTGTTCATGTACGACGACATCGCCCACAACCCTCTAAACCCTAGGCCCGGGATCATCATCAACCACCCTCAGGGGGAGGACGTCTACGCCGGCGTCCCCAAGGTATGTCCCTCCCAGTTATGCGCCAGGGAAATTAATCTTAGAGCCAGTGGGGATTTTACGAGCTCCACGGTGGCAGGATTACACGGGAGAACATGTCAACACTAGGAACCTGTACGCGGTCCTGCTCGGCAACATGAGCGCCGTGGAAGGGGGGAGCGGGAAAGTCATCGATAGCAAGCCCAATGACCGCATCTTCCTCTACTACTCCGACCATGGCGGACCAGGGGTTCTCGGTGAGAAGCCCCGCCGTCCTCTTCTCCAAGGAATCCCATTCTATTTCGTCGATTGTTCAATAATTCAGGTTTCTTGCTTGGATTTGCAGGGATGCCCAACATGCCTTTCCTCTACGCCGCCGAGTTGATAGAGGTGTTGAAGCGGAAGCACGCCATGGGCGGCTACGGGGAGATGGTGGGCTCCTCGTCTTATCCCGTCTTTCTTCGTTCTCGTCTGACGGGGAGGCGATGGTTCAGGTGGTGTATGTGGAGGCATGCGAGAGCGGGAGCATATTCGAAGGGCTGATGCCGGAGGACCTGAACATCTACGTGACGACGGCCTCCAACGCTGAGGAGAGCAGCTGGGGGACCTACTGCCCCGGGATGGACCCGCCGCCGCCGCCGGAGTTCATCACCTGCCTCGGCGACCTCTATAGCGTCTCGTGGATGGAAGACAGGTTCCTCCATAGCCCCTTCGTCGTCCTCCTCCTCCTCCTCCTCCTCCTCTCGCCACCTCCTCATCATCCCTTTGCTGCTCCTCGACAGCGAAGCTCACAACCTGAAGCTAGAGACCATCCAGAAGCAGTATGAAAGGGTATTTTGGCCTGAACACTCCTGCTCGGCTCCTGAACACTCTCTGGTTTCCTTCCCCTTCGTCCGATTCCTTTGACTACCGCGGCTGCAGGTGAAGACGAGGACGTCCAACTACAATACCTACAGCCCCGGTTCCCATGTCATGGAATACGGTAGCAAAGTTATGAAGGCCGAGAAGCTCTATCGCTTCCAGGGATTTGACCCCGCCACTGCGAACCTTACCAACAACATGCTCCGGGGCTACCGCCGCCTGGAGGCCGTCAACCAGAGGGACGCCGACCTCCTCTTCTTGTGGCACCGGGTGAGTACCCCCTGCAACTGCGCCGTCCGATCATCTCCCCGTTGCTGCTAATGGTTTCTTCCCCACCGATCACCAGTACAAGCAGCTCGGAGAGGGGTCGGAGCAGAAAGCGGAGGTCCTGAGAGAAATCACAGCAAAGATGACGCACAGGGTTCACCTCGACGGCACAGTCGAGCTCGTCGGGAAGCTCCTCTTCGGGTCAGATAGAGGCCCCTCGATCCTCACCGCGGTGAGAGCATCTGGTCAGGCCCTAGTCGACGACTGGGCGTGCCTGAAAAATAAGGTGGAGGACGATCTCTCTCGCCATGAGGAATCTAATCGAGAGCAGAAAACCCTAGATAAATAAAGTCTCATCTTCTCTCAGGTTCTCGTGTTCGAGTCCCACTGCGGGCCGCTTACTCAGTACGGGATGAAGTACATGCGAGCGTTTGCGAACATCTGCAACGAGGGAGTCTCGACTGCGGCCATGGAGGAGGCTTGCAGGGGCGCCTGTGGGGACTATTTCAAGGGATCTCTGGTCTTACCAGGCGGGAGATACAGCTCATGGTGACGAGCTCCCTTCCTTTGTTTCTGTATAAGCCATAATCAATAGGCAGCAGCTACGCTTCTATCGCTTTTCCGGCTGCATGGCTGGGTCCCGCCATAGTCTTGCCTCCTCGAAGCTTCCATTCTCACCCGATGATCCAATTGTTTGAATACGAAGAGAAGTTAGGCCGGCCCAGCTAAGAAAGATCCCTAATTACAGAGTTAGCTATGTCATTAGGCTTATATTAATTTAGTATTTCAATAATTTGTGTTTAACTTAGTAGCAAATGAAAATGGTCAAGAGGAAAGAATAAACGGGCGGAACGTAACCAGTATCTATTTTAGTCGTCATTATCTCTCTGCTGCACCATAGCTGGCCATCGATTCATGGCGTCGATTCTACACCCTTGATCATCATCTCCGATCCCTTCGTCATCGATTCAGGGAGTCGATTCTGCACCTTTGGTCATCGATTCAGTCCTAGTAATCATCTCTCTGCAGCACCCTGCGGCTACCGGCGTCGATTCAGGGGCAGCGCCCATCGGCGGAGCCCTTGGGGCCTACTAGTGAGGAGGCTGCTGTCGGCGGCGGCGGCGAGGCGAGTACAGACGTTCTCGAAGTCGGAGCTGGGACAAGGGATGGTGATCCCCCCTTGGTGGTGGAAGCCGAACTCCTCCTCCGCCCTCCGCAGCAGATCTACGAACAGCGGGTGGTTGAAAAAGATCACCGGCACCAGAACCCGGCGCGGCGGGTCGAAGTCCTTCCCAGCAACGTACACCGGCAGGTGGCCCTTCGGCGGAGCCTTCCTTTGCTGTTGTTGATGCTGATGCTCCGAATGGTGGAGAGGGGAACCTCGTTTGTTCTGATGTTGAGATGAGATGAGGCGGTGAAACCCGGGTACGCGGTGGTAGCTCCTCTCCGCTCCCCGCAATTGGAACGAAAGTGGCCCGAGGCGTCTGGCGAGGGAGCGATACCAAGAAGCAATCTTAGCTCCCATTAGGGTTTTCTTCCCTCCGATTTCTCGTTGGCACGAGGGGGAAGAAGGAGAGGATGATGGAGAGGCCACAGGCTTAAGGCGGAGGTAGGCCTTGAACCTGGGCTGGCGCCGTCGTACCCATCTGCAGACGCGGATCAACCTCCAGCCCATCCTGGGACCCTCCGATTTTCTTCACAGGGAAGATGGCCCGCAAAGACGGAGATACGCGTACAGGCGTAGGGAATCTATGGGGGAGAAATGAGTTAGGAGGAGAAAAGACGTATATCGGCGATGGACTTGGCTGGACGGAAGAGGCCACCTCGAACTCCGGCAGAGGCCTTAATTTTCCCGACAACGCCGCCCAGACTTCCCCTCGCTTATCATCCTATTCCTCTTCCGGGAGAGCCCGCACAGCGTCCGTTTCCTGTGGCCAAACCTCACTTCCTGTAATCTTCCGTCTGGCCGACCTCCTCTCTGCGGTGATCTTGATCCTTGCCGTAATCTGGGCTTCTGCTACTCCTCCAGATTGACAGTTCGCTGTGAGAAGAAGAAGATTCAAGCACGCTGCCGCAGTTCGGGGACTGAACAAACAGCGAAGAGAGGTACAGTGGAGGTGAATATTGAGTAAGAGGATGGAGCGGGCTGTATATAAAGCGAGAGACAGAGAGTTGTGGGGAGATGGGTCGAGGGAGAGTACTGTACGGACCAGACGATACGATGGAAGCTTCGTTCTCGGAACTCTCCTACCCCGTACCTTCTTGCTTGCACGGAGTCGTCCTAGTGACGTTTTGGCGGCTCCTCAGAGTGGAACGAGTGGACCAGTGGTGTCCAAAACTGGAATCTTCCAAGGCTCGGCGATCGCTGGCTTACCGGTCGTCGCAGTTTTCAGCCATTAGCCACGTGCGCCGAACTGGTCACCAACCGCGTATGCTGACCGAGTCATGGGAACAACTGGATGGCTGGTTAAAACCAGTCTGTTGACTGCTGCAACTATCATTCTCTCCGTCGTTGCAGCGACTTTTCGCCTGTTCAATGCCGGCATGGGCGCTCCGGGGTCAAGGAAACCGCTGGTGAGAGGATCTCACCCGCTGACGGCGGGCGATCCGTTGTAGGTTGTGAAGCAGATGCCGGGTCGTAGTCCGCCGTCGGCTCCAATGGAATCGTGGCTCTGAATGGTACATCAAGAATCTCTGTAGATCAATCGCGCGGCTATCCAAGACAAAACTCCGTACATTTATTAAAATTATTTCCCAAGAAAGAGTGATCTTGGAAAAACATCAAGGGAATCCCGACGCGCTCCCTCTCTCTCCTGCTCTCTAGAATCTGGAGTGAGAGTCAAACAGTATGTCATCTCAACGGCCCAGGTCAGCCCATGTCTGCGGGTGGCCCAAGAAGGATAACGGCCTCCAGGATGGCCCAGTGAGGCCCATGGACTGTCTACAGGGTATCACAGGCTTTTGGCCTTGAAGCCCATGGCGAGGCCCCCCCTCCCATTGCCCGACTTTCGAAGGTTAGAAGAATGTGCGGGGGGGAACAAGGACGAGTCGTAGTGTCTGCGGCCACGAGGGTCTCCGGTCACCGTGCTGACATCTGCAGGCCCAGGGAGCAGGAGGAGGAAGAAGAAGAAGAGAGCGAAGAAGGCAGGATTTCTGCCGGAGGCCCCTGTCCTCTCCGGGAAGGCTGAGACGCAGAAGAGGGGATGTTGGAGAGGCGCGCGCAGGAGGCGATTTCTTAGAGCCCCCGTGACAGTGGGGATAGTGGATGGAGCCCCACATTCTGGAACATAAATGTCCTCTGGAATCTCAGAACTCATGAAGAAAGTTGTGCTCTCTCAAACTTAGTCTTCCGGACAAGTGCTCTCTCTCTCCCTACCTCCCTTCCTCTGTTTCTCCCTCTCTCTCTTCCTCCCTCCCTCCCCCTCGCCCCGCGGGCCTCTCTCAGCTCTGGTCGTCTTTGTTTTATCTTTCTCCTGTCTTCTTGTCCTTCCTCGTTCCCACTTGAGTTCTCGCCATGTAGAACACCCATGCTCCGGAGGACAAAATAAGAAGACCGGAAATCTGGTGAGATCCGTCAACGGCACATCCGGGATTTGGATGGTGGCTCCCGGTTAAGTAGCGTGCCCGCACAGTGATGCTTGTGGTTGGTGCATGTTCGGAGACGCTCAGCTTCTGGAATGGTTACAGCTCACTTCCGCTACCCCAGGGGCACCACCGCCGCCGCCGCCTTCACGGTGCAGTATTAGCTATCCCACGCCAACCCCCACAGCCAAAGGAGGTGGGGCTGGCCATCGGGGTCTGGGAGGCCTCATTGATGGCGATGCCTCCGTGATGATTATGTTCCGGGCTCCATCCGAGCTGTGATCCCCCCCACCCCTACCTCCTCGGCCTGCATCCATTTCACGAGAAAGCCCGAACAATGTTCTTTGGTTCTTCAAGACTTTTCGTTCGGGTTCCTGCGGGAATGACTTCCTTCGGACTGAAAGTGGGGAAATGGGCCTGTTGAATTTGCACAATTCGCGCCGTCCATTCATCCCGAAGAAGGCGATTGAGAAACCCAAGACTAGAAATATCGAACTTACGGCGGAATATGAGTGATCCTGGGATGACTGTCGATCGCGTACGAGACCACATTATATCAATTGATAAACATGTATGTCGGGACAAATAATCCACATAGATTCCCGACTCTTGATCGAATAAGGTAGTAAGGATGCGTTCCTCTATCGCCGGCGGCACTACGAGCGGATAATGAGGCAGGGAAAGGAAAAGGTCGTTTGCGGCACCCACCGCCCAGCCGTTTTCAACTCCCTACCTCCGCTGGGGCCGCCGTCCACGCCGGGAGCGCACGCTCGGAGGAGTTTTCTACACGTGTCGACCTGCAGCTGCGTGTCCATTGAGCGTGGAGGATGCGAGTTTGATGTCTAGATTGATGGGTCCCCTCTGTGGAGCTCGATTACCAGGCGGAGGCGCTATTCAAGTAAGCGGACATAATGATCAAGCGAAGCCCATGCCTGCGATCCCTCCAGCACAACACTCGCCGCCGGTGGTAGCGGTTGCTCGGCTCAGGGTTAAGGAGTGGCGAATTCTCCTGGCTTCCGTCAGCCTATACACCATTCTTCTGGCATCTATCACGCTCATAAAGAAGAAAGGCCTTTTTGTGATGCAGATTTGTAGATCGATGGCATCGTCCTTTCTTTCTACCGTCCGGGAGCGATTGATAACATATACTGATTTTGCCTTCTTCTTCATGAGTCATAGTTCATGAGATAAATTGGATTCCCGTAAAGGATTTCCCGTTCTTCGGAGAGGTGGTGATGGAGCAGAGACGGAAGCCTTGGTTCATCTAGGGTCACGACCCAGAGGAACAAAGACGGAAAGAAGGATGGCGGGCCCTTGTCGAGGTTCCACAGAGGGAGTATATGAGAGAGAGAGAGAGAGAGAGAGAGAGAGAGAGAGAGGCTTCCGTGTTGACGTTGGCTCTTCGAGGATTGCGTCACTCGGTTGCTCTCGCTCGTCTCTCACTCTTCTCCTACGTATTCCCCTTCCCTGGGGGAGATCGACGGTGTTCTCAATCCTATTTACGTCACTCTCAACGGCGGGTGGTAGTTGCCGCCGCAATCCCCGGGTGTAGAAGAGGAGAGAGAATACCTTTGGAGGGAGGGAGGGACCATGTCGCTTCCGCCGTCTTCCGCGCCAAAGTTCTGGCTTTCCCTGCAATCCAACCAACCGCCGACCGTCAACTCTGACTGATGAAGACATAAACAAGAGAGAGAGAGAGAGAGAGAGAGGGTATTGCGCGGCGGCAATATAACAGCAACCCTGTCGCGGATCTTTACCTGTATCTCCTCCCGGCTCCCTCCTCTCTCACTCGTGCTTCCTCCTCGGGATCCTATCATCCTTTCCTAGACGCTGCAAAAGTGAGTTAGGGTTGTGGGAGAGTAGCTTCAATTCCCGAGGTCTAGCACTTTCCTTCGTCGTCCAACTCAGTTTTCCCGTCACCTTCTTCCTCGCCGGCTCGGGATGGACAAGAAGGATCTATCTTTCTGTTAGGAAGGGTGAAATTATTCGAGCAACTCTGTGAAGAAAGAGCTGCAGTATCGAAGCTTCTGCGAGGATTCTTCAATTGTGAGCCCTCTCTCTCTCTCTCTCTCTCTCTCTCTCTCTCTCTCTCTCTCTCTCTCTCCAACCTCCCTGCCTCCCTTCCTCGTCTTCTGATCAAACTTAGACACGAATGTTGTACATTCGATCAACTTTCGGTGGGTAAGCATTCCAGCTCTCGAAACTCGCCTCAAGAACTCGAGAGATCTCATTACTAGTCACCTTCTTTACCACCCTCTCCAACGGTAGATCTTCCAATTCTTTAGGAGATCCTGATTAAAGAATTCTTCAGGGGAGAAGATCTTCCTCCATAACAATACGCTTTGGACAACCTTCCGATATTCTACCGAGGAGCTTCGAGTGGATTGTTGGACCTCCTCGCTATTCACTCCCATCTCTCGGAAGATGACATGGGTCGGGAAAGTCAAATCTCTAAGGCATTCCGGGAACATTTAGTTCATCTCAAATCGTTACATTAGTGTTTATTATTCAACCACTTTAGCCTTTAACCATACAGATGGAAGATCATCATCAGCTCGGTTGTTGTACTGGCTCATATAGTACATTAAGCAACTGTTGAGGTAGGGCATACGGACCATATATCTGAGGTTTTGGGATAACCCACTGATGTTTCGGGCTAAGGATAAGATGGTTTTTCTCATTCCCTCGTAAACTTAAGTGGAAGATGATCGTATGAGCGGTTCTTCAGCCACATCAATTCTGTATAATATAGGGCTCGCCGTCCCTCGGTTTTGCAACATAGACTTTTCTCTTAACAGTGGACTCACCGTCCCTCGGTTCGCCGACTCAAGGGAAGTCAGGGAACAGCAGCTAGCTATGCAATAACTACAATACAGGCACGCGATGTGTATGTATGTCCCTTGGAATAAATGTTTTTTTAGCTATGTATTTAAACCGATATAGAATATCTCGTCGATAGTTATTCAAACGAGGAAGAGAATGGTAAAAGTCAAAAGGTTTGACTTTATTTTCTTAAGCCTCAAAACTGATATATAAGCTTTTACTTAAAGTGGTGTCTGCACCATAATCTCAGCACCCCTTGGCGAATAATCACCACTTTAGATTGAAATCTCAGCACGTTTTCAAGCGAATATTTTCTGATTGCATGTAAACTTGAAAAATATGTAAAGCACGGATTCTTGTTGGTCCACTCTGTTCCTTCTATCCTCCCAACTAGACACCAGCCGTTGAATGGAATCGGTGTGAGAGTTACTGCAAACAATAGTCATATTAGTTTCATTGTTGTTCTTGTTTCTAAGATGGTTTTGCAATGGCGACTATCTTCCTTGTTTATTGTCCCTCGAAACATTGTTTTGAAATAATTATACGAAACAGTATTTTTCTTATTTTCTTATTAGTAATTATTATAATTAATGAAAGTTTAACCCAAATTATTGTTAATTCAGACAGTTTCTTTGCATCTATTGACTAAATTATCAGCAGGATGAATCTTTTTGGGTTTTCATTCTATGGAAATTGTCATGAGCGAGAATATTTGTCGTCTATATGGATAACATTTCGTCCTGGAAACCACAGCCAATGAATATTCAAACATCTAGCATCTACTTGTGACTTTCAGGCTCGAGTTTCCTTACGAAACATGAACAACTATTCGCACGTACCACCCGGTTTCCGTTTCCACCCAACAGACGAAGAACTAGTTGATTATTATCTCAGAAAGAAGGTCGCTTCCAGGGAGATTGATTTGGATGTTATAAAAGAAGTCGACCTATATAGAATCGAGCCGTGGGATCTTCAAGGTAGCAACCCATAATCTATCATATTATTGAGGAAATTCGAACACACGAAGTTTATACTTACAAGGCGATGCGAGCTTGTGCCTGATATCTTGATCTTCCCCGCAGAGAAGTGTCGCATTGGAGCCGAAGAACAGAACGAATGGTATTTCTTTAGCCACAAAGATAAGAAATATCCGACGGGCACTCGCACTAATAGGGCAACAACAGCAGGGTTTTGGAAGGCGACTGGTAGGGACAAACCCGTACACTCGAGGAACAGTCTGATTGGGATGAGAAAGACGTTGGTTTTCTACCAGGGTCGAGCTCCAAACGGACAGAAGTCAGACTGGATCATGCATGAGTATCGCCTTGAAACAAATGAAAACGCCTCTCCCCTGGTAAGTGCCTTCATAAATCTTGGAATATTAAAAGACGCTTCCCCCCTACTTCTAACTCACTTGCCATGGCACTAGGTTTAACCCGCATTTTTCCGCCTTTCAAGTCCTTCTTGGCCCAAACTATTTCGGCCACAGGAGGCATCTCACGAACCTCTCGCTTTTCTGACGAAACCTAAACCGCAAAACCTCTCGATTCGGCAAACGCGGAAAACTAATGCACTATGGAGTTCAGAAACAAGGAACAGATAATCTTCACCAATTCTATGCATTTTTTTAATGTTGTGTATCGGAGAATCACTTCTACGTATAAGTTTACTGTTTTTGCTCCAGGGGCTTGTGTGAAGCCTCAGCAGATATCTACCATAATATGGCCTACTTGAAGGATAAGAGGTTATAAACGTATATAACGTTCCTAGGTCGTGGGTTACCTCGGACAAAGTCAATGAAAAAAGTACACCAAGAAAGAAATTCTGATGGATATTGTTTATCATATATTCAAAACTTCATCGATTATATATCATGACCCGTCGTGACCTTCATGTTTTCACGTTTACTCGGATTATACTGTCGATGATGATCTGAATTCTACTGCTGAAACCAGCCTCCCAAGTGAGCTAGTTCCAATTTCCCTTAGAAGGAAGGAGTTCACGACGGTCATCGCGTGGACGTAACAGTTCCTGATGTTGCAGGAGGAGGGCTGGGTGGTATGCAGGGTATTCAAGAAACGGGTGACGCCGGCGCAGAGAACCGAAGACCACGAACAGCCTTACGGGTACGATTCCCAACCCTCCTTCTTCCCCGAGTTTGATCCTTCGATGAGGATGAGCAGCCGGCCCTCCGACGTCCCCTTCCTCCACGACATACTGTACTCCTGCAAGCGAGAGTTAGAGATGCGCAACCGCACACCCAGTGAACACCACGTCCACCTCCCTCAACTGGAGAGCCCAAGGCTCACAGCCGGTATCTTTGCCACCGGAGGGAGTTCCCCCCAGAACTCTTCACCAGCTCATGAGGCCCAAATACAAGCTTCCGTGCAACAACAGATGATCTCAACGTACAACTACGGCAGTACCGCACAGCAAGCATCAGAGCAGATCACGGATTGGAGGGTCCTCGACAAGTTTGTCGCTTCGCAGCTTAGTCATGGGGATGCTTCGGAGGGAGACCATTATCCTGATGCGGACATCATAGTTCAAGCTCCTGAGAAGCAAGAGCCAGTGGTCGCAGATCATGGATCAACGTCGAGCTCCAATAGCCAGGCTGGTATGTGGAGCTGAAAGACGAGCAGTGCGGTGTTGTTCATATGTAATAACCTACTGCCCCGATTGGAGGGGCACTTGCGATCCGTGTTAGTGTCATTTAATTAGCGTATCCCCAGTCGTTACGCAGAAGAAGGAGAAGGGATATTACAAGTAATGTAGTCAATGGGTTTCTTAGCCGAGCGTTTGGGAAACCGACGACTCCGCCATTGGATTGAGAACAGTATAATATGCCGTGGTGGGGGCTTATTATCATTCAGCAACAAGTGAAAACAACTAGTTCTTGCTGTTTTTCAGTTGTGAAATGGTTTGCGAAAGAACGACTTTGTTGTGCTGCAACAAATCGTTCGAAGTATTTCATTCGTGACCACTACTGATCACCACAAGCTATTCGAATATCGTGGCATTTTTTATATTTAAGAAGGAAATTACATTGAAATTTGATCGACTGAGTTATGGAATAAAGGATAGCAAGCGATACCTTGATTCTGAAATCGCAGTGGTTAGGCACTTATAACTTCACAGGGTTGCCGAGGGAGCCCGACAGAAGGAAAGATTGTTGGCGGCTCCGCATCTTAGCCTTACAGTGGGTAAGTTCTGGGCATGCCAATGAAATAAATGTATGATGAATGGCGTCGTGGGCTTTCATCCTAATTGCTATCAAAAAAGCAAGACACTTTCCTTCCTGCTCGGGTCTCATGAGGAAGGTGAGAGATTTAGATGAATGAAAGATCTTATCAAACATTAGTCAACTGATTTAGAACTAAAACCCTGATACGCCTTGTTTACTTGGGTAGAAAAATGATGCCAACCTTTTCGCTTAACATGAGTGATTAGGCCACTGTCGGAACGTCGGAAATGGCGAGGGAGCTGAGAATAGCACTGTTCACGAGAAGGGGATACGTACATACCAAGCTTGTTTGGGTAGCCCTGAACAACGCGGTCGCCCAAGGAACCCAGCAGGGAAGAGTCGGGGTATTCGTTACGGAACTTGCATCCGGCAGCGAAATGAGAGCAGAAAGGTCGAGGAGGAAGAGAAGATGATCCGACGCAATAAGCGGCTCCCCATTCCGAGGCTCTCGCCCTATTTATATAACCCACTTGGCCTCATGCTGGGTGGGGGGCTGCCCGTGGACAGGGACCATCAGCTCCTCCGTTCGCTGCGAGGAGGAAGATTGTCGTAGAAGAGGAGGAAACGTGCACTCGTGCCGGGGATGCCGGGGCTCCCTTCTGTATTCCCTAAGCGTATTCGACAAGGTCCCCCACCCTCTTCTGCACCTCCCTCCATCATACCACCGCTCCCACATGCTGCCCTTATGATGCCCTCCAGGCACGTGTGGCCTTCCTTCTCGGTCTAAGTTGCTGCTCTTTGAAGCTGAACAGTGCAGTGATTTATGATCATGACTCATGAAGCTGTTGTCCACACTGGTTATGTACAGGGCCATGGGGAATTAGCTGGCGTCGCAGAGGCCAGTGCTCTGATCACAGAACCCATCTCTGTCGAGCAACTTCGGAGGCGGCGCGCTCAGCAGAGGGGACGACGGGCTGCCATAGGCGTTACGGCGGCTGTTCCCGCAGCCGAGGCTCTTCCTTGTGCTCACTCCAGTCACGGGATTAGTCCCACTGGCGTACTTGCACAATGCCTATGATCCAAGCAATCACGGTAATGAAAGAGCCACCGCCATGGGACGAAAAATAATGAACTATGGAAGTCTATTTGGATTCAGGACGGTATGTAACGGATTGATGAGAGAAGATTAGCGCAATATATAGATACCCGGGCAAAGACCAGGTGAAACCGTAGAAATCAGTTCTATCTGGCAATTAAATGGATTCAATTCCCAACACCAGGATGCTTCATCTCATTGTCTGAATTGATCTCCTATATGAGGATGAGGATGAGGAAAGATCTATGTAGTAAGCCATGAAAATTAAATCCCATGCAAATATAGATGAGATCCTATGAAAGAACCCTGAATTGCTTTAGGAATCGCGGAACCATATGATCTCTCACTAGGGAAGGGTTTATGGTGGGGTTCAAGGGCATCAGCAAATGCTAGTTCGTCTGATATCAGAGATGAAACTACCAAGGTTCATCTCAGGTCCCATCATTAATATAAAACTAGATTTGCAACACAATTACTCAAAACCTCGTCCGTCTATCATGTTGCATAAAACATTGAAGGCAATCCTGAGTCTTAAAGGATCCCCCTAAGTCAAAGAAAGGTGGTAGCTTCTTTCTTCTTGAGATCAAACGATAAAGAAAGCCATGAGAAACAATGCACAAATAAATTCATCGGAAAGTATGGAGCAGCTCTTTCAACAAAAATACCTGCTTTTGGAGAAGGTCTATGACTGCATCACTGAAGTCGGCACCCTCAATTGTTGCACCGCCAAGATCACTGCGAGTGAGTACTGATCTGACGAGTATAGCGTTTGTGAGATTGGCTTCATTGAGGACCTGCGCAAGAGAATTTTCTGAATGACAGAGGAATCAAGACAGACCCAAACCAATTAAAGCAGCGAAAGCATTTCAGTCCTCAAGAATAATATCTGAGTAGGAATCGAAGCAGCGTTTTTCGCATCACCCTTTAAGAAGAAAACAACTAATAAAATATGGTTTATGAAATCAGTCTTTCGAAACGACGTGAAACAATTGAGAAGCATCACTCAGTCGGGCTATTGGAGGACTTCATATCTCAGGTTGGGTGGGGCATAAAATATTCCTCTGTGTTATAAACAGCAAAGATATAAAAATGGCAAAAAGCAAGAGAGAGAGAGAGAGAGAGCACTTCGTAGGTTTATTTACATAAATCTAATCCTTCTTACATCAGAGTTTTTTTCTTAAGGACCCTGACTTGCTTATTCATATTCACGTTATTTAGTGACCGGATTTTTGTGCTATACATATCATCGTCTTTGGTTGATCGACCCTCAAGGAATTTGAGTAATGAACAGGCGTGATATCCAAATACCCCGAAATAAGGAAATCCAAGTAAGAATTAAATAGAAAAAATATATTAATGCCGAGACATGTTTTATGAATTGATCATGGAAACAAGAACCCCAGAACCATACAAACATCATGGTATCCTCTACACAATTGAAAGGAAATTCAAACCAGCTGATTCTACCTGCTCCACACCAAAGATAAGTAAATATTTCATAAAGATCATCTTGACATGTTGCATCAGAGACATTAAAAATTTATCAGATTATTAGATAACGTACTCCCGCCACTGCACATGTAGAAAAAGAGGGAGCGGGGAAGGTTGTCATTTGACTTCGGCGATGAGTGTCGAGTTTGGCTAGGTAAATCGAAGCGAGCCCCCTTTATTTCAATGTCTTGCTAATTATGTCATTTGCGATCACCGTTTTGGGATAGGCATGTATGTTAACTGTCATGTGAAGCAATCAAATATTACAACAGCGTCAAAATTTTACCATGCGGTCCATCAGAGTGTCACTCAAATCTGCACCTGCATCAGTTGGAGAAAAGACAATTAGATATGAGATCATCCACTAAGACCGGGGAATGAAATTTAAAGGTTATTATCTGTACTGATCATTCGTACTTCTATCTAGCGTTTATTCATGCATTAGAAATCCAAGCTGAAGCGTTTCGCTAAAAGCTGCTTGTTGTGGTTGGAGTTTTAAGGAATATCCACTTTTAAGGATTCTCAAGAAATAGGAATTATACCATACGTCCATAAAAGGATTATCCAGGACTGAGTTCATGACACTTAATTCATTCCGATAATATAGTTAATGTGTTCCATGGCAGGACCAAAGAATAATTTTAACATTAACAACATACAACAGTTAAACTTTCAACATCGTAGATTACCAAATTTTCCTTCCAAAGATCAGATATAACAAATGCAAAAGGTATGTGGACGGGCAGATGGCGGTGTCTCCCTAGCTCTCAGTTCATATCCATCTTCCCATTTCACATTCTAGGAAAAGAAATACGCTCCTCTCTGCAAGTCATCCACCTTCACTCTGAACATATTTTTACTGTCTAGCTTCTTAAAAAATCCACACATTTTTTAATATCCACAGACACTGCGAAAAGTTAAAAAAAAAAAAGGCTATTGCCTTAAAAGTTTCTAAATACTACATTAGTGAGCTGAGAATCTCTGAGCTGACAAAAAAATCCGAGTCAAATCAAGGGTTTCACTAAACCTAGCCATGTCTCTTATTTTCTGAATGAGTCCCATAGAATGTGTGTTGGTGGGTTTCCAGATCCTTCAGCAGCTGGACCCAGAAGTAAGAAGCCAAAGGACAAGCTAAGTGTCAACGAGAAAAATATGACTATTTTTTACAATTTTAACGGTAAAAAATGAAAAATAGTAATTGGATAGAAACTTGGGAAGAGGGAAGGAACAAGATCTCGATCAAAGTTCGACTCTCAATTGTTTGGGGGTTAGCTGAAGGACATGATTGTTTGGATTATCATTATCAATGTTACTCCTGAGCATCAAGAGGATCATCCAGAACCATTAAGGTAGTAAACACAGGAAAATCCTATTCCACGCTTCTTTAAGTGAATAACCAATTCACCACTGTAAAAACTATACGGAAGATCCACTGCAAATTGTTTCGCTACACTTCTCAGCCTACATCTGATATCTACACCGAGTACTAGACATCAACCAAGTTTCCTGTGATGGTGCAAGTTTCACTGAGCTCTGTAAGAACACAGTCTCACATACGCACACAGCTCCATGTTTTCCAACTGGCAGAATTTCTTGAAATGTGCAGGTAACTTGGGTAAAGAATGTGTTTATTCTATTTTCTTCTATGAACGTAAGAGTCTACCCATCAGAGTCTATCCAATTGAGATGAATTACATGATTAAGCCAAGACTAGAGGGCTCGGCATCCTGCTTCTCCGCCCGCATTCCCATGATCCTTGGTTGGACTATTAAACGAGGCCTCTAATGTTCTCTTCTCTGGGACGATGGTCGAACTCCATTGGAAGACTCGCGATTCAAAGAAAGAGTTTGATTGCTATGCTCTCCTGGAAATATGTTGATCTGGTGGCTATGAAGGGATGGGATTCCTTTTAAAAAACCAAACTTGCTAAAAGGTGAATTCCCAAGTACCACAGAAACTAAAGAGTCACGCATATCCTTCCACAAATGCTAAGATCAATGGTTCCACCCTTTATAATGATATTTTTTGAGACAGTCAATTTGCTGTTGTTTCCCTTCTTCAGATGAGTGTTTGCATTTGAATAGAATATAGAACCAGATTAATTGATCCCAAGCTTTTCAAAAGCAAGATGACCAAGCAGTGAGGTTTGACAAACCAAATGCAAGTCCATGCCAATGTCAACGAGGTAGTAACTGTTTGGCACTGGTCATATTGTCTTCCCACTTCAATCAAATACACGAAAAAAAATAACACTCCATTCACTGCCTTTCAAGTAAATAAAAATTAAAGAAGGGCGTGATAATAATCTGGAAACAAGACCTTAAATTCGTGTAAAGGGAACGCATAATTAAGAAGAACGATAATACTCAGGACCCTACATTTACACTTTGGAAAAGAAAAACCGAAGCCTTTGATGCTCTAACAAAAGATTATCTAATGCAGAGAGAGTTACCAGTGAAATTTGCCTTATATGCAACAGCCTTCTCAAGATAGGCACCATTAAATGTGGAACCACTGAAATCAGCCTCCCTCATGTCTGCTGATGTGAAGTTAGCTCGTCTGTTCAGATTTAGATTGAATAGTGAGAACCATGATTAACATCACAATAAACGACCAAACTAGTAGTGCGTTGGGCAGATAAGAATGAAAACCGCGCATGCTATTCTGCTTTAGTAGTGCGTTAACTAGTAGTTCACTACTGATTAAGTATTTGGTACTGACACCTGTCTTACTAACCAAAAGCCTTTGGAAAATAGCAGATGATTCTCATTGGTGTTCATGGGGAACTCGTGGTAACAGTAACATGAGAGATGACACAAAGAACAGATCGAAGGTTAAACTCTTAATCTTGAGAGACTGTGGGCGACAGCAGGAAAGACAAAGCTGATCTGAGCTTACCACGACAAAGAAGAACGCTTGGGCATGTTCAATAGGGAAGGCTTATGGAAGATTCGAAGGCCGACCCCATTTGCAGTTTTTGTTTTTAAAGCTTGTAGTATGATATATGCATTACTTAAGAGAGAGAGAGAGAGAGAGAGAGAGAGAGAGAGAGAGAGAGAGCATAAGAAGGCCCCCATTGTTCTCTTCTCCACAGACTAATCTTTCCATAAGAAGATCACGCAGAAAGCCAATTTGCAAGTATTCTGGAATATGAACATAAAATGGCACATGAATGGCCCAGGAAACGAGGAAAATCGATCGACTACATTAACTAAGATAGCAGCGAAATCCTGACGGCTCAGGAAATGCATGATCTCACGGGAATGACATAAGCTGTTCCACTGAGGGTCAACAAATGGAATAGAGACAACAAATTATGAATCAAATCGGAACACTGGAAGGCAACAAAGATCATCGTATTGTGCCATCTAGAAACTATATTCTACGACGTTTTATTAAAAAAAAATTACGGGTTCTTGGTCAACAATCTTATGCAAAAAAAAAAAAGCTCTATAGATTGAAGACAATCATTGTGGATTCTGAGTGATTCACCTTAACTATTAAAATATGGCACATCTGCGAAGATGATGGATCGAAAGAGTAAAATATATGTCCCCGAGTTCGAAGCAGAAGCATTAACGACTTTAATTTGCAGATTGTTTTAGTTGGGCAATTGCAACCCGACATTATTCGAAGTTCTCAGTGACTTAAAAGGAGCAAAGATAAACAAATAACCTGAAGTTTTCGTTGACATGAACCGCCTTCCTGACAGGAGACAAAGCAAATCGTCAGACTCCGGACTCCATTGCAGCAGAGCATGTGAAAGAACTGGGAATTGAAGGCAGACGGACTTGAGGTCGGCCGAACCGTACTGCGCCGCCGAGCCGATCCCAAACTCGCCGCGAATGTCCGCTTCGAACTTGTTGAGGTCGGCCACGGCGGGCATTGGACCCAACCCAGAGAAGCTGACAACCGCAGCGGCAAGAAGCGAAGTGCCCACTGCCCGCCAGCCGCCCTTCTGCTCACCTGGCGATAAAAGTAGAAGATAATGACCCTCTCAATCGCGCACTCACGATGTCTGATACGCTGCCCACACGAGGGTGCTAAGCTAACCGGAGGCCCGGGAGACCACGACGAGGGAAGGCGCCGCCGAGGTAAGCCGCTGGCGGCGCGGCGTAAGTGAGGGAACGCGCGCCCTGCAGGAACCTATCGACACCGAAGGTGAAGAGGTGAAACCCATCCTTCCGAGAGGGATGGAGGCGGTGGCAGAAGGGAGGGCGAGTGAAATAGAAGATGAAGTCGGAAGGAGTCATCGGAGGTAGAGGACAGAAAGAGTGGCGGAGATATGAGTGGATCGCCCGTTGACACGTCCTTTTGCCGCTCGCGCACCGCAGCCGTTGGAATAACTGGGCATGCGGATTACAAGTCAACGCGCGAAGACTGGCCCGGCCCATATTATTATTAAAATCCTGCAGTAAATATATATGTACTGTTTGCTAAAATCTTTATATACTGTTTGCAGCGGGTTGCACCTGTGAACGTTGACATTGTACAGTTCTTGACATAAATGTGAACATAGATATGCCGTTGTTTCTATGTCTTTACTCCCGGGGAGGTTGACTTCCAGAACGAGCGGCGGAGTTCAACCCAGAAAAAATCAATAATTCTCGGCTTGCAAGTTTTTATCGTGGATTGGATCGCGTAACATTCCTAGTACTGATGATAATTGAACGCAGATCCTTGAGAGGTGCCACGGCCATCATGTTCGTTCATAGTTTTTTGACAAAAATGGAATCGGATTTCTTGCGCCGTCCCCGCATTTATTCAACATAGGAAAGAAACATCATGGGTTATCCTGAATTCTACCTAGATTAGTAATTAGCCTACAAGCTAGGCTAGAGATGGAGACCTAGGGCCGGCCCGGCAGCTCGGAGTCAAACGGGGAGCTGATGCGCTGCACTACCGCGTAAATCATTCCCCTAAAGAGGCGAGAAGCCTAAGTAAGCTATAAGGCCCGACTGGGAGAGGGCGGAGCTACGGATCGCTTAGCGGCGCTGCTAGCGCTGCAGGCGGGGGGCCGGCTGCTGCGATACCGGGCGGATGCGGCAGGGCCGGCTTCGGCGCCGCGCTGGCAGCCGTGGCCCTACGGGGGTATCTGCCGGACCGGCGAATAAACAACGAGCCGACGTAGAGAGAGAGAGAGAGAGAGGGGGGGGGAGGGGGAGTAGCGGTCAGTTCTTATTTTTCCCAAGGCCGGTAATGCTCGCTATTTCTCTTTTTCATGGTCGAAGAGGGAGAAAACACGGTCGTTCACGTTTCGAAATTGGTCTATAAATCTTCTCCTGTTAGGTCCAGTTGTCTACCCCAGAAGTCCCCCGGCCATCGTACCGCACAGGTACGGCCCCCCTCTCTCTCTCTCTCTACACCGCCTCCCTCCGACACTCTCGGTGCCCGGTGAGAGAAACACTAAATGACCGGGAGACCTCGATGAAGCTACATGCCCCATACACTGTACGTAGAAACCATGCCAGCCGTCTCTCTCTCTCTCTCTCTCGCTAGCTCGCTATCCATGTACCTACCCATCTCAATGATCTAACGGGAGAGACGAGCGTTCGCCGGTAGCTTTTCAAAGGTTAATTTTCAAAGGAGAGCAAGCGTTGAACACAGCGCAGAGGATCACAAAATGGCAACTTTTTTGTCTGAACATAAACGCTATCGAATACATCATCATTGATCGTGAAGATTAGAAACAATTCCTATTTGTAGGCATCGAGGCGGAGAGGTTAGCGTCACTGGCTAATGATTCGGTTGACTTTTGTAAGCCGCCGCCCTTTCGATCTCAGTCAGTGGTAATTATATTTTGCAGCAGATTTAATACATTATTTATTGCGGCCTTGAACACGCCCGGGCCGATCCCTCCTCAGCCTCGTATAGGCCGCCGGCGAGGAAGGAGCGGCGGCCGTCGCGCCGGCAACCGTCTGAGCTGCCCACGTCGCGTTGCCGGGGAGGAGCCGCGGGAGTAGAAGGAAGAAGGGAGGGTCCTGCGCCGCAGTTGCAGGTAGGAAGGAGGATAAAGAGCAGAGACAGTGAGGGGTAGATGTGTTAGATGGCGTCAGTCCATTCGCCACCAAACATGGGCAGACCTCATTAACTCGGCTGCTCCGGCCGCCGCGCCCTCTCGGTCCGCGCCCACCGTCCCTTTCCCCCTCCCACGCCGACAAGGATGTTCTTTCTCTGCCCCTCATGTTAGTCCGAACGCCGGCCTGGGGGGGGGAAGAGGGGGGGGGGGGGGGCGCGCTGGGTGCCCCCAGTCTGCGGCGCCGTGCGTGGCAGGGTAGGGCAGAGACCTCTGAGCGGACGCTGCCCTACGACGAAGAAGACAAGGCCCAAATCCCTCGCGTGTCGAGCGAGCGGCTCCGTCCCTCTCAGCCCCGCCTGTTGGCGCATTCAATGTGTCGCTGCCATTCACCATCCCCCTTCTCTCCTCATAACCTGCACCGGCGAGCGCCGGGAGAGAGATGGATGCAGGAGGACCAGTGTGGATGGATAATAATATAGTAATGAGTGAGCGGGGAGAACAGAGGGGGGGCGGTGGGGTTTCCTCGGGCGTGGAATGATGAGGTGGCCGCCGGCCCCACCACTCGCCGGCGGAGGCGCCGCCGCCGCTCCGTGAAAATGCGGAATCTGCGGCCGCCTTGGGGGGCCGCGAATGTCGTACGGCCCCCGTTTCGATGAGTTATACCGCGCGCGCCTCATGCCGTACGTAGGGCGGCCGCGGAGGGGCAGAGCAGAGCAGAGCAGATCAGACCAGACCAGACCAGACCTCCATGGCTTGCTTGCTTGCTGGGGAGGGGGAGGTGGGGAAGGCTGAAGAAGGGCAGGAGACGAAATCGCGGCCATTATCCATCTATGGATTGGCCTGGAGAGAAGCCTAGAGGCAGAAGGATATGGGGAACGACGATGGTCGTAAAGAGGATGGGGGAGGGAGAGAGAAGAGAGGGAGTATCTCTGTCTTCTGCGACAGCTGCTGCAGAGGGGGAGCAGGAGGTGCAGAGCAGCTGCTGCCGCTCTTTTGCTACGGGGAGGAGGGGGTGACGGGGCGATGTTCAGTCAAATCATAAAAAAGTGGGGCCTTTTTTCGTCGCGCCTTGCTTTTGGAGGACGGGTTTATCTGAGAAAGAAGGAGAAAACAGGGAATTGGGCATCTTTTTCAAAAGCCTGAGGGCATCAGAAACGTAGATGTCACCCAGAGACGGTGGGTGGAGGAAGCCACTTGCCCCCCTTCTCCTCGCGGCTCCTTGACTGCGACAGTCCGCTAGACATTGCCCGCGGGGCAGACGACAGGATGGAGAGGGGCTCTCTCTCCCTCTCTCTCTGCAGCCGCACCACCCACACGGGCACGCGCCCAGGTCCGATCCCCCCCCACATTTTACTACCAAAACAACAGGTGAATGACAGAAAAGCTAAGCACCCATGCAAACGTCCCTTTCTATCTCCCCCCCACCTCTGCCGCTCCTGTTCTCTTCCTATCGATCTCTATCTCTCTCTCTCTCTCATCGGGAATGCCACCGCTGCTCTCCTCTCTCCCAACCCCTTCCCCAACGCAGTCACTGAACGAACAAAATTTTCTCAAATTTTCGTGGTTCTTAGACGCCAGACTCTCTCTCTCTCCCTCTTTCTCTCTCCCTCTCCCTCTCTCTCTCTTGATCTGTGGTGGTAGTCTGGTGGAATAGAGAAGGCTCATAGAGACCTGAAGATCGATAGGAGGCGTCTCAGAAATCAAAGCAACCTCCGGGAATAGAGATTTTTAAATCGCAGATCGAAGAACTTCGAATGACCGCCGCTTCCGCTTCCCGGACGATGATACTCACTCTTTCCACGCTGCATTGGCCGTCTCATGCCAGATTCAGATGAAGCGCAAGCGTCGATAGTTAGGGTTCTTGATTTCGATTTAGTCAGGCAACGTCTCCGCGGTGGTAGAACGAGAGGACCCACTTCAATGAATAACGCAGAATTGGTGTTTCCAGGTGAATAAATTAATCAGAGTTCCGTATGGATGACAGATCGATATGTAGATAGATTGCGGTGGTATTTTAGTATTTGTTACTGTTGGGTCGGCGAGATTCATCTGTTCATTCATGCACCAGCGTCCACAGAAGCCCCAAAAGGCGATTCACATTGCCCGTCTGGATTCCTTTCCGCTGTTATAACATCACCTCAGCAGCCATCGCCACTAGTGAGGAAGCCCCCAACCCCCTCTCTATCTCCATCTCTCTCTATCTCTCTCTGTCCCCCCGTCAACCTCCCTCTTTCGGCCCTTCCCCTTCCTATCATCAAATCAAAGAACTGATCCGAGGTTGTTTGCATTATAGTTTGAGCGGTCAATCAAATCAGATATCAAATCAGAAGCATAGAATATCGAATCTGTCAATCAACCCCAAAAGGAGAAAGGAATCGGAGCGGGAACAGGAGGAGAAGGACGGAGGAAAGCCATGTCCTCAGCCGCCTTCGCGTTCGACCACCTCTCCCCACTTGCCACTGAGAAGCTCTGCTACGTTCATTGCAGCTTCTGCGACACCGTCCTCGCGGTATCTTCCTCTCTCCCTCCCACCCCGCCTCCCGGATGATTCCCTTCTCTCTCTCTCTTCTGCTAAACTTCTTCCACTCTCCGGAGAGCAGGTGAGCGTCCCCTGCAGCAGCCTCTTCAAGACCGTCACAGTGAGATGCGGCCACTGCACTAACCTACTCTCCGTCAACATGCGGGCGCTGCTTCTGCCGGCGGCCAACCAGCTCCACCACGGCGACACCTTCTTGATTCCGGCCCACACAAATCTCCTGGTACGCAGAAGAATGTTCCTCGTCGTCTCTTCTTCATTTCATGCCTCCCCCATCTTTATGATTTTCTTCTGCGTTTTGGATGGTCCAGGAAGAGTTTTCATGCCCTCCTATCCCGTTGCTACCGGAGCAGCCCGCTCTACCGAACGAGACCATGGCGCCCGTCAAGGGGACGCAGGAGATCAATCAGACACCCGCCGTGAACAGACGTAAGCGTTTCTTCCCCACTGGATCATTCGCTCCTACTGTTCCTCATCTTTCTTTCTTCAATTCCTCCCTCGTCGTCTAGCTCTCCGCTTGCTCAATACCCTCTACATCTCTCTCTCGGTGATGATCCCGATCCTGGGCTTCCGAAACTTTTAGATTCTCGTCAGCCTTCCCCTAGATCCCTAGCGCACGCTGGCCCTTCCGGCCGGAAAACGCCATATCAAAAAATTCTACGCTGTTGCACCCCTCACTCTCTCCCTCTTGCTTACATTCGCGGAAATTTCAGAGGGAATCTCAACCGGGGAGAAGGCGAGTCTCCGAGTAGGTTGCACCCCAAATGCTAGTGTGCTGTCTTCTGGTCTGGCCAGTAACGAGAAGGCACCTTGAATGCGTCGAGGACAAGCCCATCCCTCCTTCCCCAACCATCTCCTGTTCATCCCCAGGCTTTTGCTGTAGCAATAGTGGCCCCCCCACCCATCACCGGTCTTCGCGCTGCCTCTCCCCGGCCGAATCCTCCGCTTCATCTCCCTCCCTTCCATAAGAACTTAATGGTATACGTTCTAGACAGATCCCTCCACTGCCCACATTAAATTATTCCGTAGACATCACGGTGGACTGCTTTCCTCTATCGAGCCCATTATCAGCTGGAGAGGAGAAATTTCGGGATTTTACTGGCTTTTTCTAGCTCTTGAGTTCATTTCAACCCAGTGATCGCTTGCCCTGAATTTTCTACAGCTCCAGAGAAGCGGCAGAGAGTTCCCTCAGCGTACAATCGCTTCATCAAGTGAGTGACAAGAAGAAAACTGGAGAGAAAAAAAGGATATCTTGTTCCTTCATTATCGTTACCTTCGTTTGCATGTTGGTTGTATTGATCTTGCTAAGCACCAAGGTTTAAGTCGCCGTACATCAAACCCAATTACTGATGAAAAATATCTGACGGATTCGTTTGACAGGGAAGAAATCCAACGCATCAAGGCTGGGAACCCTGACATCACACACAGAGAGGCTTTCAGCGCCGCGGCAAAGAATGTGAGCGATGATCCTCTCTCTCTCTCTCGATCGCTCGCTCGATTGAATACATATAAATTGGATAAAACACTTCTTCCTCCGAATCTTCCCTTTATTTTGATCTTCAGCGAGGAGGTCTCGTGAACTAATTTCTGCTTGCATGGATTCTCTCTCTCTCCCCAGTGGGCACACTTCCCGCACATCCACTTCGGCCTGATGCCAGACCAGGGCCCCAAGAGCATTGTCCGTCAGCAGGTACCTGAGAACCCTCGTTCTGGGTTCTGAAAATACAGCGAAGCAAGCTCTCGGATCTTCACTGTCATGGTCCCCGAGTTTGGTTTTGCTTCTGACGAGGGTTTTGTTGCTTGCTTCTCTCCTTTCCCCTCGTCTCATTCTAGGAAGGAGACGACCTGCTGCTCAAGGACGGGTTTTACGCCGCCGCAGCAGCTGCTGCCAACATGGGGGTCACCCCCTTCTGAGCTTCGTCATCCTCCACGAAGCTTACTACTCACAGAAACGAAGCCAACGGTTGCAACTGAATGATCATGCAGCTCGCCTTCTCCCTCCCGGCTTCCCTTTCTCTAGGGTTCTCTCTTTCGTTTCCTCTTCAGAGGAACTGCTACAAAACTTTCGCGTTTTCACCTAAGGTTTCCCCTTCATTGTTCCTCTTTCTGGTTCTTCGTCTGATTTCAGATATCCCCAATGCGCCTGGGGGACGAGGAACTGGTGTTTCCCCACCACCCTCCCCCACCCCCCCCCCCCCACGCCCATGTAACGGATAAATCTCTCTCATCTCGTCTAGGAAGATGATTAACGGCCGTATCTGTTTCCTATCCCTCTGTCCCTCCTCTATCTCTCTCTGACGTCTATTTCTTCTCTTGTTACCAATGGATCTAGACGGGTCCGATCTTTCAGCTTCCGGCTGTAGAGCGACGTTTACATCATCTTGGATCTTTAACGCACTCCATCCTGCTCTCGTAGGCTCTTCACAAGCTTGAGATCGCTGTGACCCACCGTAGTTCATGAAGAGGCAGCGGCGCAGGGCTGACAGTTCACCCGACTCAAGATCTTCTTTCTTGGACGAACAGTTTCCTCCTGTTCGATTTGCGCCAGTTGAATCACACCGGTAAACTGCTGGGTTCGTTTTGCCTCTCGCATGAACAGCGACAGATCTCTGTGACGGAGGAGAGACAAAACCGACCTAAGAGAAAACTGTCCTATCACCTCCATTTGCGCGAACGATTCCCTGAGACGATTCAAACGCCGAAATACGGCCGTTTAGAATCATACTTGGTCCGTCAATCCCAGACTCGAGGTGATATTCTCTCATTCCGGCCATGGAATAATCCCGGAAGACAGGAAGGAGGAGAAGATGGCTGGGAGTCATCCGCGAGCATCGTCTGAGCCTCACTCCATCGGAGACCGGATCGAGCAAAGCGGAAACTGGGAGCAGCGATATCACGCTAATTGCCACGTTCGAAAACATTGCATGAAGGCCCCGGTTGATCTCAGTGAAGAAGACCCTGTGCATTGAAATGGTTCGAGATTTCCCTCATTCAATGGAAGGGGTAGAGAGAGAGAAGAGCGGGGTAGTTTCTGGTGCGGGCGTGGCAGCAGGAGAGGGGGGGAGCTTTGAAGGAGACAGGGGGGGGAGCATTCAATGTGCCCACTCCTCTCTGACGCGCCATGAGGTTCTTGATTCAATGCACATCTGCTGTCGGCTTCCGACTCGAGTTCAGCTCCCTGGCCGTCTTACACTCGATCTGAAGCCTACCCAGATGGCTCCCCAAGTGGGGATGAAGCTCCCCAAGATCCCCCTGAGTCGTATACATCAGATAAATGATATGATAAGCGCAGCCTAATCCACGGTGCGTGTGATCATACGTTCCCGAGATGATGGAAGCAGCCTGCGTGTTGAAGGACGTTATTCATTATTTGTTTGGCTCCTCGCGCACGCCTTGGAAAGACTTGTCCCCGGGCAGCCACGTGGTAGGCCCCCGGGGAGCAGTGAATTCTCTTCCCTTACTTCCAAACTTTCAATCTCAGGGGTCCGGGGGGGGAGCGGGCGGGACCAGAGCTTCTGCCATGTCCAGCGCTGGCTCATGCCACTGCTCCCGATTCCAAGTTCCTGCCAGGGATGGGGACTCTCTCTCTCTCTCTCTCTCTCGCTCGGTAGATATATATATATATATATATATATATCCCCTCAGGTATTCTCTTCCCCAGCAACCAGTCTGGGGAGGTCGGATGCACAGCCGGCGGCAGCTGGCGTGCTCCCTCTAGCTTTGTTGCAACCACTAGCGCACGCAGCCATAGATCGTTGACTGATAACTAAAAAAATGGGCTTTGGAGATGTTTTCTCGTGGACTGAAGGTATGTTTTGTTCATCAAATTTGATTTTTTTTTTTTTCAGACTCTGCAAAACTCACAGCGAGAGAGAGAGAGAGAGAGAGAGAGAGAGAGAGAGAGAGAGAGAGAGAGAGGAAAGGCCTCTCTGATTTGAAACGGATGAACAGAAGTACACAGCTAAGAAATCATGAAAAAGGAATAAAAAGAAATGCTAGGGTTCTTATCGACAGGACTGACTGACTCTGCACACCTAAAACCTGCCAAGAAGCCACCACCCCACTGAGTCGAATCGAAAGAAGATGACTGGAACGCAATCACAAGAAGATGGCGGCGGCGGCGAAGAGCAGAAGTAAGTCAACGACCATCTTGCTTCCGAGGGGTCTCGAAGCGGATGACGCTTTGTGATGAATAGCCTGCGGCCTGCAGATTATAATAAGGTTGATGGTCAGATCTTGATATGCTTCCTTTATACATAAATATTTTGACGAGATGTACCTTTGCTTAGACTGAAGGCGTCCGCAGTAGAGGACGTTATCTGGAGGAGCCAGTTCGGTTTTGTTGGTCTGCTCAGGGTTGACGACGTTCACGTAGGTCTCCTGCCCGAGATACCAAGCATCGAGATTTTCTGCGCGGAGATTCCAAACGCCGACGTTGTCGAGGGATACCAAAATCGCAGTCCAGGCCCCCGGGTAGACCTACGAGATGGGGGAGATTGATCATGAAACTACGAATCTCCGATGAAGATCAGTTAATGGAGAAGAAATAAAATGAAAAAACATGGGCTTTCATGGGAATAGATTGACATAAGGTTTTTTTTTTTTCTTGGTGAGAAAACATGGGCATTCCCGTTAGAATGTCTGATCATAGGTTGACTCAGAGACACGTATGAATCATCCTTGTAAAGTCAAACCCAGGAACAATGACTGTATAGGCACGATCTATGCTAGACCCAGATTAATGAAACGATGTTGAGAGAAGTTTGATTGACCGTGTAACAAATAATCCGAATGTAGAAAGCAGAGTTCGGAAACTAGATTATTCTGGCAGTTCCCATCAATAAGACAGCGCAGGAACAGAGGACGAAAAAGGAGGAGGAAACCACCCAGAAGAACAGGAACTCATTCATGCATGTACCTGAGTTGTGCATCGCGCGACACCATCCCACTTGTTATAGGTGCCCCGACTGGACTCCGTCCACTCCCCATAATCCATCCTGCGAATGGCGATTCCTTGAACAGTCGGAAAATAACAGCACAAAATGCTGATGAAAAATGAATTCGGCAGCAAGAAAAGTAGATAACAATTACCCAACAACGAAAAATGCATATCCATCGAAGTGATAAGTCATGACTTTGGTGTCGTTGTTCTGAAATATTATCTCCATGAACCCCCTGTAGGTGCCATTGATCACGGATGATGCAATGCGAGGGGGTCCATCCAGTGGCTTCGTGGGGAAGTCGAGTGTGTAAACACCCGACTCATCAAATTGGTCAGCCAGTCTTATCGGTGTTGTAGGGGGAGCGTATGAGATTCCGTTCAATGTAGTCCGATGCTTTCCGTTGATAACCACTGGCGGCTTGTTCTTCAGAAGGTAAACTTGGGTCACAGTAATTTGTCCGTATTTAAAGGAACCCTGCGGGTTAGGACGGGCAGCGCCAGCACTCACATTCCACCTGACAAATCCACCAAGAACGGGGCATTAAAGTTCCTGTAACATTCCCAACTTAAACGATGAGAGTCAAGATATAAACTCATAAGGGACACCATACATACTGCGTTCAATTAGGTGATGATGGTTGGGTAAGATAGGAGACCACATAAAACACATCAGGAACTGTGTGATCCGATGATATTTGAAAGCACATCATTTAGAGCATAAAAAGATCCACATAAATTAAAATTTAAAGATGCCAAGGAAATTGGGTGACAGAATAAAAAAAATCTTAGAAGGATTAGCTGAGAAATGAGTGGTAAGTAAAGAGCCACATAAAGCACATGAGGTACTAAAGTCTGATGTTAATTTGACAGCACCTACTTAGAGCATGGTAAAGGAATTGAACCACATTATAAAACTTCGGTCGTAATTAACCGTACAAAAATTCCTCTTAGTAAACAGTTGAAAGATTGCTCCACTTACCTGATAGTCCTGGCCTGATTCATGGAGAATGTCTTGTCAAACAAATCATTAGGAGGATCCGGAAGGGCCCCGGATGCTTTGCCTTTTGAGTTGGAATAGTGCAGAACAGCAACACCCGTCACCCTTTGCCACAGTGACTCGTTCACAAATCTCGCACTGGCCACTACATAATAATCACTACTTGCATTCTGATCCATCGTGACCAAGAAAGAGTATGACTGGCCAACATGAATATCTAAGTTGGTGTAGTTTTGTTGCACGGTATATGATCCTTCCGTTTCCACAAGCAGCATGTTATGGTTCTGAATTCTGAAGTTCAAACTTGTAGAAATACCAACATTGTGTACACGAATGCGGTAAGTCTTGCCTGTTTTAATGATAGCACGTCCTCAGTTCTAAGCAATAGTAACAAAGAAATGCAACAAGATTTCGAAGAGAAATAAACAAAGGCCCTGTATTATGAATTGTAGGTAACAGAAATATACACACACACAATGCCCTGTATTATGATTTTTGACATCGATCACCCTAGTTAATGCATTTTAAAATCACTAAACTTCCGGTAATGACGTAGCTATCAATGAATTAGATTTTTTTTACTACTATGGTACAGTTTATATGCACACAGCAATAATTGGAGCAGGCAATTTCCTCAGAAGGAGGCAGCCCTCAAACCCATATCAGATTAGGTGAATTCATTGCAGTCTTCAGAAAAAACGAAAATCCTACGAAAAATCTAATTTAAAGTCATGAAAATTAAGAATTACCTGGGTGGACATTAAGGGTTTCATACGAAATACCATCTGGAACCAGTGTCGTGTTGTACCGGTAAGGCCCCTTTCCATTTATCAGAACACCGTCTGGCATACCAAGGCTCTTCCCATCGTCAAGATCCTTTCTCAAGTCCTATGCCACAGCACAGTTCAAAAACGATTAATTTCTCGTTGAGCACTCCACAGATCAACACCATCAGAAAGGAGAGAATGCAATGCTAACCTTGTGGTTTCTATTGTACCAGTCCCCAATGAAGATGGTGATGTCCCCATCTGGCTTTCCAAAGGGCACAGCAATGACCGCCCTATTATTCACTATAATCCCACCATATCCACCGGCTGCTCTTTGGAGGTTGATTGAAGGGAAGTAGAAGAAGCTCCCAATCTGATCCTTCACCTGGAACTGGTAAGTCCAGTTCCAGCCCGAAGGAATGGGGCAATTCGTTCCCAGAACACCATCCTGCCAAGAGTTCTTCCGATGCTGAATCCCATCCCTACGAAAGGGGAAATAACGATTAACCAAACTGGAAAGCGTGCACTGCCACGAGATTGCAGCAAAACAGTATGAAATCTAAATAGGCCCATACCAGGTTATGAGCAGGGGTTCATCGAGATCATTCTGCACGTTTACAATAAGATTGTAGTTGGTAGTGACGTTGACAATGGGCCCCGGAAATTGACCATTGATTGCTATCACCTGTACGCCGCCGAGACATTTTGTGAGGCAGCGACGACAAAGCAAAATGGTCGGGTGAAAGAAGAAATCAATGAACCTTCTCCCCCCATTCTATGGGGAAAACGTTGTATTTACGGCCAGAAGAAAAAGGGGACGGAACGGGAGACAAATCTTAACAGCCGCGTGGTCAACTAGACTTGGAAATAGATACGAAGAGATGGAAATCACAACCCGTTTCCTAGCTATTGAAAGAGATTAAAGAGAATGTGTGGGGTAATGAGCACTCCGTCGTTGTATATAAATAAATAAGCTCATTACAACAGTCGAGCCCACAGAAAACAGATCGAAAACGAAAGAAATGTTCAGCTATAATAAACAACGATGCTTCTTGTTGAGAAGGCCACGAGCACAAGACCGACGACGGAAGAAAGATAATGAAACAAAAAGCAGAGACGAAGTAATTAACAAAAACCTGGAGGATATCTACAAGTGACATGACTGAATGGACAATGACAGTATGAGTAATGCGGGTATTAGAACTGAAATGCGGATGGATCATAAAGAGACTTGCGAATGAGCAATGTCCGCACCTCTTGCTTGACGCCCAGCGGGGCGACGGAAATGTAGGAGACATCCCAATCGAAGTAGACGACCGGATCTCCGGCCAGGCAGCGCCCTAGAAGCAAGGACGCACACACCAACCCGATGGCAGCCACCAACACTCCCCGAGACGGCAGCATCGTCAAACCCATCGGCACAGACCAAGTGCTGGAGCCGACAGAGCCAAGAGCAGAAGCGCCGGATAGGAAATATGCCGCACCGAGAACCAGCCTCTCCCACTAAGGCACACAATGCCCCTCCTCCCACGCCTTCCAGCCGCTCTTTCCTCTCTCTCTTATACCTCCAGATCTCCACTCTGCCCCCCACTGTTTTCACACCATTATTGCAGCGATTATTCTGTCCGTCCGTCGACGAGCTACCAGTGGCCGCAATACACACAGAGACAGCGAGGAGGGAGAGAGAGAGAGAGAGAGAGAGAGAAAGAGATGGAGGAGGAGGGAGAATGGAGGGGAGGGGGAGACCGGCGGCGAGAGTGGAAGTAGAGCAGTCCCACCACCACTGGCGTCGCCACCCCAACTCTTCAAGAGGGGCCTTAAAAGAAGGAAGGAGGAGGGTAAACAACTAAAATAGAAGCCGTTAAAGGACTAATTATTCCATTTTTTTAATTTCCTTTTTTACCTTTAAAATGGGGAGACCGGAACGGGTCCCGCCCACCCGTAAAGCCGACGTGGCATCTACTCTGCACTGGCCCCGAGGACAAAAAGCCGCGAATACGGATAGAGAGAGAGGAGAGAGAGGCCTTGCCTGCGTTTGACTGAGATAGAAATAGAGAGGAGAGAGAGGTGGGGTGGTGCCAGCGGGGACTTATTTTTTTGGCGGCGTGCGCCACGCCAGCTGTCTACGTGGGAAGTCGCGCCGATTTCTGTCCCCATCCCGCAGGCGCCCGTTATCCGTTGGTGGAGATCCTTCCATACGCAACCCGGGGCTTCGAGCCGCGGGCGTAGAATTCGAATTCCGAGAGAGCCGTTGATGAAAGCCAGAGGGCCGTGAACGTGGGGATACCTACCTCTTCTCCCTTTTCTCTCTCTCTCTCTCTCTACCCCTCTCTCGCTCTCTCTCTCTCCACCGCTCTCTCCCTCGCTCTCTCTCTCCCCCCCTCTCTCTCTCTCTCTCCCCCCCCGCTCTGTCTCTCTCTCTCCCACTCTCCCCCCCGCTCTCTCTCTCTCGCACTCTCCCCCCCTTTTCTCCCTCTCTCTCTTCCTCTCTCTCCCCCCTTCTCTCTCTCTCTCTCTCTTCCTCTCCCCCCTTCTCTCTCTCTCTCTTCCTCTCCCCCCTCCCTCCCTTTCTCTCTCTCCCCGCTCTCTCTCTCTCTCTCTGCTTCTCTCTCCCACTCTCCCTCCCGATCTGTCTCTCTTCCTCTCTCTCCCCCCCTTCTCTCCCTCTCTCCCCCTCTCCCCCATCTCTCTCCCCCTCCGTTCCCCTTCCTCCTCCCTCTCCACTCACCAAGCCGCCGGCTTTTTTTAACAGCTACAAGGACACCAAAATCCACAGTCTAAGGGGGATGAGGACGATGAGGCTGGCAGCTATGCCCCCACCGCAACGGCCCGATCGGTATGAACGCCGACGGCGAACAGCACCGCCAGATTCTCCCCCACCATGGGAAATGCGGGGGCGGCGCGCGGGTTGACATCTGCCAAGGAGAGCACCTGCCATGGAGAGTATCCAACAAGAAGAAGGGTTGACTTGAGTCCAGTCTCTGACGTCGCCGTTGATTTCCCCGCCGCCAATCTGAATGCCAGCAAACTCTGCCAGGCCTCCTGAGATATACAGGTGGCCGGCGGAACACGATGACAGTACGTGCGCCGGAGAGAGCACCAGAGTGACGCCGGTGGGAATGCTGTCGGAAACCTTCGGACAAAGAGAATGGGAGAGAGATCGATGGCGGGGAAGAAAACCATTTTAGTTTACTCCTCTTTGACTGTGGCCCCACTATCGTACTAAAAAAGTCAAAGTTCAAGGATTTCTTGCCGAATAAGAGAGGGATCCAACCCGAAAAATAGAGGTCAATGCAACTAAAAATCAAGAAGATAATAGCAAAAAATATATTTTTTAATGAGAGTTCATCCCTTCGAGAGATGGGTGGGAGGGGTGTTTAATCTTTTATTTGGACGATATACAGCTAGCTCGGCGGCGTGATCTTGAAAAAAGAATGAGATGGGGGTCAACCCAGTCCCTCTGATGAGGAACCAACGACAAATCCATGGCAGAGCACCACCTCAGCGGCCGTCGGAGGGGGTGTAGGGGCGGATGAGGGCCGAGCTGAGCTGCCAGATTTTGACCGTTGCGGCGGTGACGGGGCCGGCGGTGGCGTTGTTGAAGAGGAAGACCCTGGCGGCGCCGTAGATGGCCTCCGTCGGGTACACGCGGGAGGTGATGCAGGTCCTCCCTCCTTGGGCGAACGTCTCCACTATCGAGTGATCTACCTGAAAGACGAGGAGAGAGGGAGGAAAAACCAGAGGGAGCGGGGTGAGGGAGGAGAATGACCTCGGGCCTGTAGAGCTTCTCAAGGGCCATCATCGTCGGCTTACCAGGATTCTGACAGCGAATTTCTCGCCGTCTAGGACGGGGACTGCGCTCCCGTAGACCCGCTTGACGAGATCGTCCGCTTTGGACGACCTGCAAGTTTTCAGAATCTTGAGCTTCCGCATTCAGATGGAGGGTTGAAGTCGGGGGTGTTAGGTCCAGAGAGAGAGAAGAGCACGAACCTGAGCTCGTCCTGGCAAATGAAGGTGCCCAGCTCGCCGTCGGTCTTCCTGGCGATGTAGAAGTATACAGCCGTCTGCTCCGAGAGGCCATCGACCGAGAGAACAAGGAGACCGAACGGGCCTAGCGCGCCCCTGGCGGCGGCGCCGCCGCTGGTGCTGCAGTTGTAGCCTACGTCGGCCTCCACCGTCCCCTCCAGCGCCTCCTTCCCCACCTCGAACTCCGCCACGATGTCCAGCTGAGTAAACAGAAGAAAGACGACCACATTCATTTCATGGCAAACCCATCTCTGGCCCGCCATGGAGAAAGAGCTGCTGGTTGTAAGTAGGTTACCTGCGTGGCTGAGCCGACGTCCAGAGGCACGACCGACCCGGCGGCGATCTCGACGCCGTCGAATTCGGAGTAGCCATTCCTCAGGCTCTCCACCTCCTCCACCGGCCACTGGAGCAGATTCGTCCCCGTTCTCTGATCCAGCAGCACCGTCCTGGGAATCGTCTGCACGGGGAAGATCACGTCACGGGGAAGGAACTCATAAAAGTCAACTAGCCGTCTTCTCCTCCGATCGTCAGAAAATGCCCACCTGGACGGAAGCCCAGCCTTTCTGGAGATCGGTGCTCTCGCTGTCCGTCTCGCCGATCCACCCCCACAGCAGCCGCCGCTGCTTCTTCTGATCGTAGAAGGTCTTAGATGCGTAGTACTTGCCGTAGTCAACGCGGAGGCCGATCCCCACGTCGGCCTCCGGATCGTCCGGAGTCCACCTGTTCGCCGCCAGGTCGTAGGTGCCGATGGCGTAGTAGTCGTGCTTATCGTCGTCGAGGCTGGCTTTGAGGACGTGCTTCACTCCGGGGCCGTTCGCCGACGTGTCCAGCCCGTTGACACCCTCCGCCGCCACCGGGTAGAAGTCCACGCACTCCCACATGCCGGTGCCGGGGACGGCGTGGAGGACACCATCTAGGAGGTCGTAGGAGATGAAGTCCCTGGTGGCGTAGACGAGGGCGATGCCGGTCTTCTGCGCGTCCTTAGACCCGATGGCGAGCCGCCATACACCGTCGCCGGCGCTGTACCACGCCGTCGTCGGGTCGCGGAAGTCGACCGTGGAGATGCCCGCCGGCGGGACGAGCACCGGGTTGCCGGCGTCGTACTTGACCCAGTCGAGGAGGAGGGGGTCGGAGGAGTTGGCCGGAAAGGCGAGGTTTTGTACCTGCACGGAGGCGTTGGTGGAGCCGGTGTAGAGCATGGCAATGCGGCCGTCGGGGAGGAAGGTGGCAGAGCCGGTCCAGACGCCGTTGGCGTCGTACCAGCGGTCGGGAACCATGGCGAGGGGGAGATAGAACCAGTGGATCAGGTCCCGGGAGACGGCGTGCCCCCAGGTGATGTTCCCCCACACCGCGGATTCCGGGTTGTACTGGTAGAACAGGTGGTACCATCCCTTGTAGAACAGGGGTCCTGCGCCACCAGAAACAGATCATCATCATCAATCTCCCGAGTTCTTGATGGCGGAGGGAGAAGGAGATCGCCGGCCGCCGGGGAGGAGAGGGGGGGTGGGGTCTTTCCCGTAGAAGGATCATTCAAAATTAGCATGGAATGAATGGCGGGGATTCTTGATTTCCGTACCGTCCGGATCTGAGGAGGAGAGCAGGGGCAAACCCCCGCCGCCGTCCATGGAGCGTCCATGTAAAGGGGAAACAAGAATCAGCGATGGAAGGAGGAAGAGAGAGGGAGAAGGAGAGACGGGTATGATGGGAGAGGGAGGAGAGAAGAACCATTCATCCAGTTCTTCTCCGGCTGGAAGTGGAAGGCGGTCCGCTGCCAGAGGAGCATGGCGTTGGTCCAGGTGTAGCGCGGCGCCGCCGCCCCCAGGAGCACACCCGACGCTTTCTCCGACACCCCCAGCGCCGGCCCCCGCGAGACTGCCGGCAGGCGAAGCTCCGGCGGCCGTTGGGGCCCCGATTCGCGCCATCCTCCGGCCGTCAAACCGAGCGCGGCGGCGAGCAAGAAAACTCCGGCGAAGGCGACGGAAAGAGCTCTCAGGACGAAGATCAGCGGCCGCGGGCGAGAGGGAGAGACAGCGAGGTGCTCTTCCCCGTCGGGGAGCGGCGCGTAGGACCAGGGAAGGTCGGGCTCGGCCACTACCCTTCTCTCATCCATGGCGCAGAGAGATCTGTGGCGGCTGGGGGAGGAGGGGGTTTGCCTACGCTGATAAGACAGCTGCTATTTTATAACTTGCACGTATTATGGACTGGGGCCGGCCATGGCGAAAATGGAAACAGGGTAATTGTAGAGAGGGAAAGAGACGGAGGGGAAGCCAGGGACAGGAGGTCCGAGGTGAAGCCATGGAGGAGAATGGAAGGGGGCGGTAGATTCGCCGGTAGCCGTCTGGCGGCGGCGGGACGGTGATTGGCGGCGGTGAGCACCCCCGTTGATTGATTGGTGGCCAGCCAGCCAGGTCTGTAGCCCGGGAGATCTCATCCCTCCCGCGAACAGTCGGAAAGGGAAGGGAAGAAATTCACAATCAACATGTGACACGTGCCGCCTCGTGGCCTCATGCTGGCGGTTTGGCGGCGACGTGACGAAGCAGACTCGGAGCGCCCTCGCGGGGGATTGGACGAACCCGTCCATGTAGAGAGAGAGAGAGAGAGAGAGAGAGAGAGATGGAGCCTCAGAAGATCTTGTGTAGCCGGAGATGTCGCTCTCCCCGCCGCCCTTCGATGGAACGCCGGAGACAGAGATGCCAGCGGCGCCCGCCCGACGCCGCCAGAGCAGCTCCGCTGCCCCGCCGGCGCAAATTGCCCTCCGCGGCCGCCGGCATTCCACGTTCTCTGGATCTTGTCCGAATCAAACAAAAAACAGGAGGCGTGGATCCGAATCACCGGTTTCAGCTCTCCCCACACCGCCCTCTTTCTCTCTCTCTCTCTCTCATCACAAGAAATGTGACTATAGATTTCTAATTTTTTATATTCCATAATTATGACGCCATGAATGATGCAAACACGAACAATTGTGATTTCTGAACAGATAATCATTTATTGGGGCCCACACATTCATGGCGTCAATAATTTTCCACCGATTAATGACCTAATTTCTAGATATTTCCATCAATTAAGATGAAAGATCCATCCATCCGTAGTTCAAGGAGTTTATGAGGAGCTAAAACCGACCAAATCTAAACAAGACTGTAACCGGAAGACGTTGACTTTTTTCAGTCTTCCGTAGACTTGGGCTTGACTGAAAATCATGCCGGCGAATTCCATGAACTATCAACCTCTAGGGAGTACAGAATCACAAAAGATTCCGGGATGGACCAAAAACTTTCAAACACCTGAAATGGTTGCGCGCAGCAAAAAAATTATCAAGCTTACGTGATGAGAGCTGAGCTACCCGAGAGTTGACTCAACGGTTTAAGAGTCAAACATCATATAAAGGGTTCCCGGACTTGGGTCGGCAGCTTCAGCTCGGGCTCGAATTCGCCCAGCGGTGAGAAGTAATAGTCAACCATGTCGTCGGAAACGTCCCCCAGAGTCGGAGGGTCCCACTGCGCATGGTCAGCACGTCAAAAACCGAAATTTGTCCCCTTAAAAAAGGTAATCATTTTTCTTTTTAAAAATGATATTTTTATTTACCTTTGGGGAATAATCTTTGTCAACCAACCGAGCTCGAACACCCTGTTAGAGAAGAGGCGTCAACGCAGCTCAGAGAGATTGAGAAAGACGAGGAGAAACCGACCGACCTCAGAGAAATCAGTAGAGACGCGCTTGGAGATCCCGTGGAGGGACATTCTGTACTCTCTGACCAGGCACCGATCAAGGGACTGATATCTACCCTCGCGGATCTGTTGACCAAGCAATAACATTTAGCATAATAGCACATAAGAACGAAGCATACGCAGAGCCACTTACAGATCTCAAGGAGACCTTTAAAGTCAACGGGGATGCCTCTTTTAGTCTTCTGAGAGCCGATTTACACCATTCACAGGAGTGCCCATGTGCTTCAGTTTCCTGACGAGAAAGGTTTGACTTATCAGGGAGGATAGTGTCTCTAATGATCTGAGTCAAGAAATCATAAAAAGATTACCAGGGCGTCGATGATTTCCTCTACAGTGTCACGTCCGAAGCATTTGTCAATCGTCTCAAACCTGAACAGAGCACAGAAGTCAACGTTGAGAGTTCTTCACACCATGATTTGATGTCATGCTTTAGAGTAATCGGTAAGTCTTCCATGTGGAATGGAGCAAAGGGATGATGATCAGCAGAGACTTTCTGGCCTAGACAATGGTTCAAAAGGATGATTTGCATGCATCGATGTGAAGGCAGAAGAACATGAAGTACCGCCGAACGATGCTCTTCTTCTCTGGAAAAGCGATGTCAGAGTACTGTTCAAGGGATGTTTCTATGACAGAAGGATCGTCAGTGACCAATTTGCCAAGACGTTCTTCAATCCATCCGAGCCTCTGCACAAGGTAGAACACTTGCAATGAGAGAGAGAGAGAGAGAGAGAGAGAGAGAGAGAGAGAGAGAGAGAGAGAGAGATATTGTGATAAAAATACTGATCAATTACAGGGGGAAGAAGCCCAGAGAACGAACTTCGTCGAGGGAATAATGCGTGGCTAGTCCGCAAGCAACCATTTCTACTCCATTGAGTTTTTCTCCGGTCAAAGCCAAGTATTCTCCTGAAAGCAGCCAAACATCATAACATATCTCCAACTTGGACATTGTGGATGAAAATGTATGAGCAACATAATGAAATTCCTTTCTTGAGTCAAAATAATAATAATGATAATATATCGGTGAGTATAGTGAGAAAATGACGGAGAGGAACATACTCGAACAGCTAAACATTAAGCTAAAAACAGATCAAGGGCAAGGTTTCCTTTCAATAATTAATAAAAACTTTAATCAAGTAGGAAACCAAAACTTTCCTCACAGCAGTTCATCATCTATGTTAATCTTAGAAATAATCTTGCCCTCCTTTCACCTGGCAAAGTTCCTTTGGTTTCCAGTTCGATTTCATTGCTGAAAACAACACCCTGAGAGAATTAAAAACGAGAAACTATGGCTTCATCCAAATTGGTCCGAGTTTGACCTCTCTCTTTTTCTTTCAGATCCTTCAGTTCCAAAGACTTTTTGTGATGATAAATCATACACTCATTACATGTTCCCAATCTGATTGGGGGGGATCTTAGGCTTCATCTTACCACAATACTCAAATTTCTAACGGACCTCACATCAGATGGCGCCGACACATCACTTAGGGGGTTGTGCGCCAATTTATATCCGTCAACGTCAATATTATCCATCATATTCTCTAATTTACAGGTTGAAATTTTCTTATTCAAACAATAGCAGAACTGACATGGTGTCTCAATACTAAACAGAAATTTCTTACGGCGTGGTGATGTAAGCCAGGGAGCTTACCCAGAAAGCCGGGGAGATGTGAAAGATAGAAAGAAGCTCCAGCATCAGGATGGAAGCCAATCAGAGTTTCTGGGGTCGCAAAAATCTGCAAGTCGCCCATGATATTAAGAGAGTTTTTACATAGATTTCCATAATATGTGCATAAGCAAGGGTTCCAGGGTTGGATATCACAGATGATAAAAAAGAAAACATATATTCAAAGGACTGGTATTCAAATAAAAATGTATCACAGAGAGAAAAGGCGAGTTAAAAGCCACTGTTTGATCTTTCTGCCCAAATGCACAAGATTGCGAGAGGCTTGCAGATGTAACTTGAGTTAGGGTCGCTTATCATGGTGTCAACACACAGGCACTTGCTTGAATGCATCTAGAAATATTATCAAATATTTTTACATGTAAAAATAAAATACCAATGGCAAAGGAAAATTCGCATCATTAAGCGGATACATTTAGGAAAAGACTCTCAAAAAGATAAGCGCGTACATGAGATTAGTTTTAATTAAAATTATATAAATGAGAATGATGTTATGTATGCGAGTTAAATGAAAGAAACTAGGACCCAGAATATAAAGCTCAAGGTTTTGAAAGTTCCTACCGTAATATTTCAAGTTATCCCAAACGGTATTTTTGGAAGAAAACGGTATTTTCTTAGGCGGCTCTCAATTTTTTCTCTCTGTTAATCAGAATATTTTAAAAGCTGAGAAAACAATGTCCCAGTGCATACAGTTTTGTCGGTTGCAATCCGGAATGTCCCTGGAATGGAAATGCCTCCACCACCACCCATTGTGATGCCATTCAAAATAGCAACCTAGTCAAAGGAACAAAGTTGACATCAAAGCCTAATCGAGAATGAAACATAATGGACAGACCACAATACATACATAGCATCACTCGTTTGTTTGAGATAGAAACTCAGACAACTGATCATCGTGCAGATGCCCCAAGAACAACGCAGCACTCAGAAGCTAAAATAAATAGCGAAGACTCTATCCTATGGAAAATAGTCCGCGGCAAAACACGGCCTCAAAAGACAACATTTATCCATAACTATAACTCCAAAGGTAATCGAATCCCAAAGCAGCAGAAAAATGGCAATTGCTACGTCACTTGAAAAGATTAAAAAATATTTTTCAAAGCCAAAAAACTAACTCACGTGTGGCTTCAGGTACGTCCCAAGAACATAGATGAATTCATAGAGAGTCCTGAAAAACTCTTTGCAGTCCTCCACCTTCCCTGTGTGCGTATGTAGCATTGGGAGAGAAAAACTATAAGAAAAGGAAGAATATTAACCAACAAGAAAGCTACACAAAGAAAGAAAAAGCATACTACTTGATACACCCCTGGCCTTCATCGTGCATCAACACAACACAACAAAAGTCCAGGAGGACCCACCATCAAGTCAGCCTGTAACAGTCTACTCAGGCCAAGCACGAGGCAGAAAACATCTGCCATTTCATTTAAGACACCAATCCCCATGCTGTAGTCAGTAGGATTTTGAGAGCCTGCCCTATCTTTTACCCTAGGAGATCTCATCCAGTCTGGATGATGACGGCGATATCTATTTTTGACTTCCGTTGTCAGACAATCTATGGATCTTGGCAATCATTTTGTTCCTTTTCCTCGGTGATCGTCGTGCTTAATTAAGGGGCATTGGAGGATGGTATGGGAAAAGTGGAATTCTGATGGGAGAGTGGTAAATCCAAGACCGAGGCCTCTTTCTTCCTTTCCTCTCCAGAGATCCTCAAGTCCAGCCCTCCTCTTCCCTAATCTGATTGGTGAACCCAGCTCAATCAGGCCACTACTTCCTTTATTCGGAAAATAAATATAGCGGATTCTCTAATTTATTGAATAAACCATCATAATAACTAACTATTTGTATCACTGAAGACATCTTGCATAATTTTCTACAAGCTTCTTCTAGTCCATGGTGAAATGAAGGGGAGTATTGAAATAAACAAGACAATAATTGTTCGTATGAAGTGATCGGTTTCCTTTTTCTCATGATCGAATATAAAAGAAACCCAGATGAAAGAAAAAGCGTCAGAGACGATAGCCCTAGTGAAATGTGAATTCAAACCAGAAGCTCACGAACCCAATGGAAAGATGTCAGATACATGAACGCCAGATAATAACAATGCATTTTAACACGAGTGCCAGATGCAGGAGCGTCCCAATCATCACACCTTCATTGAGCAAACGGTAGAGAGTTACTACATCTCCACCCGCACAGAATGCTCTGCCACTGCCCTTCAGAAGATCAAGAACGGTATTGAGCACAAGAACAAATGAGGAATAAATGCAAATACTCGTTTTCGGAAAAACAATATCTCCGAAGGAACCATACTCTACCTTCATAACAACAAACCCGACGTCAGGATTCTCTTCCCATGAATTGTAAAGCTTCATCAGCCGAGCCGCCTGAAAAATACACGCGCGAGAAGGATGCACAACTGCATCAGCTGAGAGTAAAAAGGGTGGTGATGCAAGGGGAAGGAGGGGGTGAGGCTCGTGTGAGACGAGAATTAGAGCCGGGAGCTACCATGGAGGTGGTGATGGCATTCAGCGAGGACGGCCTGTTGAGAATCGCATTGCGAGAGCTGGCTCTACCCTCCACGAGCACCTGAAAAGCGTCGCCGCAAGTCAACAAAAATATTGGGGCATTTTGAGTTGCCCCTGAAGCGAACCTGGTTCCGGACTTCCTCCTCCACGGCAGCATCGGAATGGGTGGTGGTGCTCCACGAGCGGGGCAGAAGGCGAAATGCCGGGCGCGATCGCCTCGCCGCGGCCAACGCTCTCAAGCTCTGCATCCCCCCTCCCCTTGCTGTCAACTCTGCCGCCTTCCGATCCCCCTCTCCTCCTGCAGCACGAGAAAGGGCGGCGGAAAGGGATCGCCGGCGGCGCAAACAGCGCACTCCGCTCACCACTTCGAAGTCCAAATCCTCGCCGAGGGGCTTCCCTCCGCCCCGTCCCCTCCGCTGCTCCTCCCCCTCCCCTTCCCTGGCGTATGTATATAGCTAACGACTACTAGGGCAGTGGCAGGCCATCAGTCTCAAACTCTCTACAGCATGTTCTTCTTCCCCCAGCATCGATCCGGGCCTGGGCCTGTTTGTGGCCCACATCATCCTGGTCAACCCATTACGGCCCGACGGAACCCAGCTCCTGTGAGAGGGGAGTAGCGACAGAGAGCGAGAGAGGGAAGGGGAGAGAGGACTCGATGCTTGTCATTTCCAAAAATAGAAGGCTCTAGAGTTCAAAATAACCGCCAAATACTCAATTTTTTGCTGGCTCTGAACGTGTGGAGGCAACTGCATCCTGAAGCGCCGTCAAGTCAACTACGTGTCGAGTCAACTGTAGGAGGGGAACCTCAAACATGACCACCTCCTGGTCAAAATATGAGCGGCGATCTTCAACGATAACGAAGCTTTGGAGGCGCCGGCGTCCTGCTTTCGGGAATAGCCAGCGGCCTCAAAATTCTCTCGCAAAGAATAATAAATGAATAATAAGACGACGGAGGGAGGAGAGCCAGGAGAACCCACAACACGGCTCAAGGTTTCCAGCGCGATAGATTCAGTCAGCGATTCTGACTTTGAGAGTGAGGGTAAAAGACACAGCAGGAACCGCGACCAGGGGAGGCATTACACGTCACAGGTTAGCAGCCGATTGCTTCCATTGCACCAGAGACTTGAGAAAATCCATGACCTGAAGAACACCCAAAAGTCAACGGAAGAAGAACACCCAAAAGTCAACGAGCGTAATCTGCCCCGGGATGTGGAGACAGGTTACCTCGGAGGTGTCCCTCAGCGAGAAGAATGCCTTGGTTTCCTTGGGAACGGAGGAGACCAGGATGCCGTAGCCTTGACTCCCCTCTCTTAGGACCTGTTGTTGAAATGCCAGCGGAAGTCAGACACGACTCTGCGATGGCGGCGGCGGCGGCGGTTCATAAGAGACAATGGCGGGAGGATCACGTACCTTGAATGCATCTTCATCTGTCTGGTCGTCGCCGACATATATGGGGAGGACGACCTCTGAGTTGCTCAGTCCGAGGGACTCCAGCAGGAACTTTACGGCTTTTCCTTTGTTCCAGTCGATAACAGGGCGAATCTCTAAAACCTGGACAGAAATGGAAACGAAGAAGAAGAAGAAGAAGATGAGGGATGCCGGGGGTTGACTAGAACAAGTGTACTCTGATCCACGGTTTCATTCACATTATTACCTTCCGCCCATGAGTCAATCGCAGACAAGGGTACTCCTTGAGGATGTCATGGACGAGCTGAGCGACGGCGGACCATGACTGGAGACAACGGGAAGTCAAAGGTCAACAGTTAAAGTCCAAAAATGGTAAAAAAGTAGGTCGCATGCTTCTGATGCTCGCACCCACCTTTTCATCCACATTACGGTAATGTACAGAAACACAGAACATGTTGTTCTCTACCTTCACGCCTTCGATTTCCTTGGTATTGTCAACGAGGGCCTTGAACACCTGTTAAAGCACACAATAAGCAAGCATCCGAGAAACGGGGAATCCATCTGTGACAAGTCGGCGAAGCACCGGCATTTACCTCATCGATCATGGGAATGAATTCGCTCGCAGGTTGAAACAGATTCACTTCCTTGCCCTGGAGATCGCAGATCATCAGTCAACCGTAAGCTGCAGAAAGTCGTAGCCATTTCGCATGCTTGTAGAGGATTATTCACCTGTTTGTCGGCGAATCTGACGCGATTTGAGGAGAAGTCAACGGGATCAGAGACTCTGTCAGGGCCCATTATGTCCATTCCATGGCTACCAGCATAGAAGAGCTCCGCTAGCCCGACAAATTCATAGACCTGAACAATTAAGCTATTTTATAGTGATCCAACGGGACGAAGCAAACAGAAGGTAGTAAACAGCAAGACTGGCGACCTTGTTGCGGCTCCTTCCGCTGATGATGGCTGTGGGAAAATGCTTCGCCACACTTTGAACCGTGGAACGCATCTGAAGATAAATTGAATATTTTCGTCGTAAATATTTCCAGATTTAGAATCAGTATTGACTTTCGGATATTCGTCGCAAAGATTACCTCTTCAGACATGAATGCACGGTCAGGGTCGTCCACGATGGGAGAAAGAGTTCCATCGTAGTCTAGAAACAAAGCTATGCGCTTGCCCTTGGCGTACTTTGTGATCTTCTCGAACGCTGCCAATGCAGATGGGTATCTCAGCTGCATAATGGATCCAGCGTCACATAATAGGCAATCTTTTAACGATATTTTAACTGGAAAACATGTTGAACTTGATCTACCTCACTGGTGAAGACTCACCGTCCATGAGCGATAAACAGCATCGGAGTCACTTGACGAACACTCAACACCTGCGTCCTTGTTTGGCTTCTTGTGGGGAGGTGAAGAAGATATCATGGCATCCAGCCAACCACTAGCACGCACGTCGTCAAGTTTCCCTGGAATAGTCTTCTTCCAAGGGATCTGTAAGTATGATCCCGAAGAACATGCTGATGAGCCTGACGTGAATGAAAGCAACTGGGAGCGCATGCCCAATCTTGACTTGTTTGCAGGCACAGGATCGGCAAGAACAGGAGAGTTATTGCCAGACTTCATATCCATTGAATGCACGTTGCCTTGTTGACTGATGTTCACCGAGTAAAATTGAGGTACCAGCGGCATATAACGCTCTGATTTTTATTGCTATAACTAATCGTGTCAGTGCTTGAGAAAAATTCACCCCTCTTTTATCGATGAAGAACCACTTTTTCAATGTCTTCTTGTCATTGCTGTTGTAAGTGCAGTCCATTAAGTGTATGCTTCCTGAAAAATGATCGAACTGCATCAAATACTGCCATCTGAACTTTCAAATAACAAAAATGTTTTCAGATAGAATGATCCCAGCTAGAAAGTTATTTTCTAGGTGGATTCAAACACACCTCATTTCCTGGATCACCGCGTCAATATCAAGCGGCCAAAGATCATTTCAACAGATGCGGAACGACTGTGCCACGTGATCTTCTATGATGCACCAATACTGTACACAGAGTTCCAGAAGTTTCTGGTTAATCACTACGAGATTCGTCCAGAAAATGTTATTTAATGAACATGTAAATTTGGCACGGTCGTTTGTATCTACAAACAGCTCAAACTGGCTTTCTCCCGCTAACATCAATTTTTCATGGGAGTAAGGGGTGATTCACTTCCAGTGGGTAGGTTATTAAACATATAGCTATTTCTTTTAACTGAAAAATTAAAAAAACTATTATAAATAAATATAAAATAATACGATAAAATTTCCGAAATGTTGATCGATCAATGCTCCTGTAGAATATCCTATGACAAGTAAACTGAGAATTTCTCTCAAAATGTTAAACAAACGAAACCATGTACATACACACGTCTCCAACAGAAAGTTACGTATGGGCATATACAAAGAGATAAGAGGAACAAGCATCGCAGATCTGACTTAGGTAAGTGCCATTTGTACAAAACTATATAACTGTAGCTTCGGGCAATGTAACGGCCTATGAAACATCAAAATAACTCATACTTTAGTATTATATCAGCCATCTCGGCCTCAGAGATATAGTGGACTAGATGATGAGATGTAAAGACTCAAAACCCACAGACGGAAAATAAAGAATGCTTCGATTCTTATACACATAGTAGCGAATAGTGGGAAAATACTACAAAAAATTCGAGTCCTTTACATGTTCATATCAACTTCGTACACCGGTTTACGTTTCCTCGTAATCAGGAGATATATTATCGCGGAGACCAAGAAAAAAAAAGGGACCTAGAACATGAACGGTTACAGAGGAACTTTCCCCATCACAACCGAGAAGATATCATGCAAGTTTATAGATAAAAACGAAGGAAATTAGAAAGCGTTCGACAGCTATTCTTCATTCCTGTGTCGGGGATAAGTTTTCTAGCGAACGATTTCTCAACGCAGTTCTGCGATTTAAAATAATCCGCTGAAGTAACCAGTATCCTCTGTTAAGCTATGCGAAAGAAGTTCTTTAGAGAAGGGATAACCTCTCATTCGTTCCCAGCCTACGAAATATGGCAAGTTCCGCATAAACGACTAGTAAAAAGACGCAATAGCAAAATTATCTATTCATAATTAGTGCCAAACACACCATGTTGTCTGAGAACCGATTGAAGAAGGTATAGCCAAAATGGGTCAAGATAACTACAGAAAATACATCCATCAAGTTCCAAGCGCCTTTGACAGAAGCGGCTGTTCATTTCGCCTCATCTCAAACGACTCAAAACATCTGCCTTGTCGTTGGAGAATTTTTTTGTATACCCTTATAACGCATCTACGGAGGTAATGATTTCGACGAGATGTAAAGCAGCAACACAATTTTCAGCATTGGAACTATGTACGCGCATCAAATACAGATCCAACGGAAAAAGATGAGCCTAAAATTCGAAAAATGGGAAACATCAAAACAAAACAGCGATCAGAAAAAAAAAAATAGCTAGGAACCGAAAACAAACTTTAGCTCGCTCAACAATCAAGTGCTCCTTGAAAGAATAAACCTTAATTTTTCACTTGTGAACATGAAGCTATTCCTCCACCACGGTCAGATCCCTGTAAAGCAAAAAGCAATGACGAACGGACGACATGGACAGCACAATAGAGAACAGATCTGAAACGCCATATAACAAAGAAGGAAAGGACCAAGTGGAAAAACGAAATTCTGCCGTCATAGTTACAGGGCTCAAATCTAGCTAGTCACTGAGAATTATCCTAGGCGTTCACCGCGAAAAAAAAATTCAATAATTAAAGGGACAAGAAGAACAAATACTTCCACCGTACCTCGTCCCAGAAAAAACAAAAGACCGATCCCGAATCACTCCTCAGCCACACGCAGCCGAAGGAGCAACACAAAAATCTCTGTCATGCGGTCGAACGAGACGTACAGACCCTCACAGGAGAAAATGAGGCTACATGGGGCTTTAAATTAGCAACGCAGAACCCTAACAATCAATGGTCAACAGAGGGCCAAGCAAGGAGACAGAGAGAGGCCAGAGTTTGGCAGATGCACACAGAGACAGAGAGAGAGAAAGAGAGAGACAAAGACAGAGAGAGAGGAATAACCTTGGAGAACGGGAGGTACCGGAAGAAAGAGCGGCTTCGAGCAGACGACGATAACCAGAACGAAGGACTAGAATGGGTGGGAGGAAGATGAGGAGGAAGAGCGGCGGGGAGCAAAGAGCGACGTATTTATATAACCAACTCCCTCGCCGGGGAAGTGCGCGGTGGGAACGGCAGCCTCAAAAATTACCACCAACGCCATTCCAAAGAAAAATAATCTGCGGGCGAGGTGGGCCCGGATGCTGGGACTTCCAGAAATGTCGACACGTGTCCACCCATCCACTTGGCTCGGAATGGGCCCACGCGCTGCCTGTGGACGGCCTGATCCGCCACGTAAATGGGCCCAGATGTCCCCAAGCTGGAGACAGTCAACAAGACTTCTATGGTCGAGAGTACGCAGAATCTCGGAACGCGTGCGAGAGCACGTGTGTCCCGCTCAGCGCCCTGATTTCCTCCAACATTGCACAATTTTGTAGGAAAAGCGTGACTCTGTCTCGTGTCTACAAGATATCAGCACGTGACAAGCATTTAATACTCCTAAGACTTTTATTAGCAGTCCCAGACCGCAGCGGGGATATATTTTTAATAATACCACATGTGGGGGTATTTCCATACGATAAGGGTGGTGCCAGACAGCCGAACCCCCCACGTCAGATCCACGAGGCTCTCTCCGTCCCCTTCTGCGACACTTTGCGAAGGCGTCTCTTTCCTGTAGAACGGTCAACCAGTCGTAGGACTGGACACAGAGAAGAGAGAGAGAGAGAGAGAAAGAGAGAGAGAGGGAAAGAGGGAGTGAACGTTATGTTGACTCGGAGCTGACAAGGAGGGGGATGAGCTTGTGCGCGTCGCCGACTTGCAGATCGGGCCAACATATCGTTTCGCCGTTGTGCCGCCGCCCCCGCCGCCGTGTCGTTGGTTGCACAGAGTCAACGGCAGAGGGACTCCGACAAGTGGGACGACCGCCCTCACTCTTAGTCCCACAGCTGCTTTCCATAATCGGGTACGTTCAACGGGCGCGTTGATTCCGCCGAACCCAAATCGTGAGGGAATTGTAAAGTTGAACGGTCATTATTGTGACCGATTAAGATGCTTTTTTTTATCGACCCGGCCCGCCGTATTTTTTTAAACCGACAACGTCGACCTTGTCTTGGCCCTCCACGTGGGGACCGCCATCGTGGTCCGCTCTTGACGACCGCAAACGCCTCCTGAGCCGCCCACGTGGGAGAGAGAGCGAGAGGATGCCTGTGTTGAGACAGGCTGGGCTTTGACCGGCGGGGAGAGAGAGAGAGAGAGAGAGACTGGGTGGGGATTCGGATAGTTATTGGGCCAATAGATCGGAAATGGAGTTAAGCTATCGGCCCGCTAGAAGATCAAGCCCGCGGTCATCTTCTTACATATGCCACGTCGCCTGCCATAGCCTGGTCTTGTCGGCCCTTCAATTCCGCTAGAACACGAACGCCACCATCGCCGCTCCCGCCGCCACGTCCGCCCCCCATTCTCCGCAATGAACCGCTTTTAGGCCTCGCAGAGAAGAAGAAGAAGCAGGGCGACGGAGGGAGGAAGAAGGGGGGGTGCCCCAATCCCACATGGGTTCCCGCATAATTCTTCTGTCTGCGCTCCTTCTCGCCATAGGCGGCGCCGCCGCCGCCGGCAGTAGATCTTGGAAAATCGCCACCGTGGTTGACCAGGCGGACAAGTGCGCCGGCCGCCGGATCCACATTCGCCGACTGCCGGCCAGATTCAACGAGGAACTCCTCCGCAACTGCTCCGCCTATTCCCCCGCCTACGACGATTTCTGCCCTTACCTCGCCAACAATGGCCTCGGCCAGAAGACCTTTAACCACTCCCGCTCCTGGTACCGCAGTGACCCGGCGGTGCTGGAGCCCCTCTTCCATAGCCGCCTGCTCGAGTACCCATGCCTGACCGACGACCCCTCCGCTGCCGACGCCGTCTTCCTCCCTTACTACACCGCCATCGACGCCCTCCGCTACCTCTACGGCCCCTTGTGCAACTCCTCCTTCGAGCACGGCGTCGAACTCTTCGATTTCCTCCTCCGGGACGATCCCGGCATATGGGCTCGCCGGGGAGGGCACGACCACTTCCTGGTCATGGCGGGGCCGGCGTGGGACTTCTCCCAGAGCCCCGCAGCCGATCCCCCGATCTGGGGCACCTCCTTCCTGGAGCTGCCAGAGTTCTACAACCTGACGGCGCTGGTCTTCGAGTCCAGGTCCTGGCCATGGCAGGAGCAGGCGATCCCTTATCCGACGTCCTTCCACCCGGCGAGCCTCCCCCGCCTGGAGATCTGGCTTGGCCGGGCCAGGCGGTCGCGGCGGCCGACGCTGATGATGTTCTCCGGCGGCGGCGGCGGCGGCGGCGGCGGCGGCGGCGGGACAAACTCGCCGCCCAACATCCGGCGGAGCATCCGCGCAGAATGCGAGAACCGCACGGCGCTCTGCGAGTTCGTCGACTGCTCCAATGGCGTCTGCGAGCACGACCCCATTAGATTTATGCGGCCGATGCTGCGGTCGGTCTTCTGCCTGCACCCGCCGGGGAACACGCCGACGAGGAGGGCTACCTTCGACGCCATGATCGCCGGCTGTATTCCGGTGTTCTTCCAGGAGGATTCGGCGAGGTCGCAGTACGGGTGGCACCTGCCGGCGGCGGAGTACGAGCGATTCTCCGTCCACATCCCCAAGGAGGAGGTGGTGGCGAGGGGGCTGAGCATCGCCGACGTGCTGCTTGCCATTCCGAGGGCGGAGGTGAGGAGGATGAGGGAGCGCGTGCTAGAGCTGGCCCCGCGAGTGATCTACCGCCGGCACCAGAGCTCGGAGGAGCTCCGATCGAGGAAGGACGCCTTCGACCTGGCAGTCGAAGGCACGCTGCGGAAGATCAAACGGCGGCTGCGATCTCTGCAAGAAGGTGAGGTGGAGCTCTCTGCGGCTCTGTGAGCTCCCCCCTTCTCCCAATGAAGCGGCCCCTCCCCCTCCCTAGCTCAAAGTTTCTATTTTCTGTAGACCCACATCAACCTTTTTCTATATTCGATCGCTAATCTCTACATATGGAGTAATAATGTCTGTGATGGCGCAATCCACCCCCGGCTGTGGCGTAGGAGAGAGCGTTCTCCGGAAAGGGCCGGAGAGAGGACCACTAATTCACGATCCTCGTTCCCTCAACCGTAGCTAAGATACGTCGCTGTCGCTGCCCCACCCTTCCCCTCCGCTGCCTGCCCCCCCTGCAGGCAGCACATTCAAACCCTCCCTCTCTCTCCCTCTCTCTATCTCTCTCTCTCTCTCTAGCTAGCTAGAAGGTGTACTTGGGTAACGATCTTTCCTTCTTTCGCTACTGTTCGTCTGCAAAAGCGACCAAGAGCCAAAGCAATTCCAGCCAGTAAGGCCTCAACAAAATCGGGAGGATCGCCGCTCCTCCCTGTCAAGCACTGCCGACCTGCGGGCATGTGAGAGAAAGAAGAGCGAGAAAACAGTGCAAATGAGGAATTTTGAGAAAGAAGAGCAGGGCGATGGGGCTCGGCGGCTCAGTACAGCGGCGATCTGTTCGGCACGCCCTTCCGACGACTCGGCGGCTCCGCGCAGAGGGAGACCGGCGCCGGGCGCGGCGGCGGAGCGCTGCCACCCACGCTGCTCCGCTTCTTCCTAACGAACTCCGTGCCGGCAGTGCAGGCCACCGCCCGGCAACCGGGCCATCCGCCGCTGGCACTGGAGGCGGACGAGAGAATCGGGGAGTCAAGGACCGAGTCGGGGGTGAGCTGGCCGTCCATGTCGAGCTCGCAGGAATTGGGCAGCGGGAGAAAGTCGCACTGGTAGAGGTGCTTCGAGAGGGCGCCCTCCGTCTTCATCAGGTGCTTCACCTGCGGCGGAAACCCCCACCACCGTCAGGAACAACAAATAGACCACGATGGCCCGCGGCGGCGAAGGACCAGAACCCACGGGCCTACCTTGCAGGAGAGGCAGCAGAAGAGGTAGGGCTCCTGCAGAGAGCGGTCGCAGCTGATGCAGATGTTGGCCGAGGCGCGGAAGGGCCGCGTCTGTGGCCGCTCGCTGATGAAGACGACCTTGGCGCTGTTTGTCGTGTATGACTGCCACATATTTCAGATCACCAGTAATGGTGAATTCATCTCAGCGAGGAAGAACAAGACCAGAAGATTGCGGATGAGCCAGAGCTCCAATCCAAGATGGGGAGATCACCTGGACAAATTCGCAGTCGATGAGCTTCCCCAGGTCGTCTACTCGAACCACGTCCTGGTACACATATCTTCTAATCTGGCGAGAATTGGAAGAGCGGATTCAAAAACTCGAGCGGGAAGCGCCTAATTTTCTCCAGGGAGGGAGAATGGACAGATTTGCTGGCTATGAATTGTCACCTGGAGGAGACGATGAGGTGGGTGGGAAGGGAGACAGTGGGGGCAGAAACTAGTGCAGCAGTCCAGGCAGAAGACATTGCGCTCGTTCTTCCTCGCCCCAGCGTGGACGAGGCAGGGGTTGAAGAACTTCTCCCCCATGAGCGTCTCCAGCCACTGCGGAATCCCATCGTTGTTGCCGGCTGCACTGCTCCGAAAGCCCACCTGCCAGGAGAGAGAAACCCCGCGGATTGAACACCCTGGACGGGGAAAATCCTGCTAGACAGCGCGAGGAAGGGGAAGGACTAACCATTTTCTCGTCCTCCGAGTTCACCCGGCGGGGAAGCTGGAAGGAGAAGATGAGAACGATGGCTAACTTCTCAGACGAAGTGGCGAGCTCCGCAGATAGAAAGGTGCCTCCTAGGAGTGTCTGCGAGCTGCTGCTGCAGCTCCCACCGTCATCTTCCGGGATGTCGCCTCCCGCTTGTTGCCACTGCTGATGTAGGATAGGAGCTTCTTCTGTCCGCTACTGGGTGTAGAGAGAGCGAGAGAGAGAGAGAGAGAAAAGAAGCGATGTTTCTAGCGGCAAAAAAGAAGGAAAGAAGGCAGAAATTAGAATGGCGCAGAGAGGCGGGGGGAAGAAAGCGAAAAGTCGAAAGCGGACGAGAATAGAGGCGGGGGAGGCGGGCTCGGAAGGCCCGGTCCGGAGAAGGGGGACGGAGGGGGAAGATTAGGTCAGCGTACCGTAGCTACAGTCGCTCCAAAGGAAGGCTCCAAGCGGGTGACGACGACGCCATTTGAGGACGGAGAGGAGGCCAAGCGGGCGAGGAAGAACTCCATCATACCTTGCCGCCGTACCCCCCCCCCCCCCCTTCCCCCCTGTTGAATTGTCAATAATCGTCATCATACTCGTACCCTGCAAAGTTCAATTTTTTTGAACTACTGATCCATTTTCTCCCCGTTTCAACGCAGAATTTCCCTGCTGGCGAGGTTCATCAGATGCGGCGAGAACACCTAAAAAAATTCAATCTTTACTAGACAAAATAGGGAATCCCAAGGGCCGTCGGAACGGAGTCACATCAGATGATCTTCCTGCCGCTGGCCCTTCAGAAATGTTAATGTCGAGCAGCGATTACGAGCATTAACTGCGACAAAGATGGCGCCGACCCCGCGCCCCCCCCCTTCCTCCGCCGTCTCCTCATCCGCCGTTTGACAATCTCCCGGCACGGGCTTTCGAGCGTCGGTCGGCGTGGAGGCGCGCACCGCCGCTTCGGCATAGCCGGCTACTACGTGACAATAACCCCGCGACAGCGACGCCTCTCCCGCCCCGTCCAGTGAGTAAATGAACAGAGCGATGGAGAGCATCCTCCATTATTCGCTCGCAAAAGCAGGAACGGAAGAAGACATGAAAACAAACCCCTATTCTTCTCCGGCGACGGTGATGCGATGCCAGCCCATAGCCGGCGGCCGCTACCCACGTCAGGTCTCTCAGCGGGGAGAGTTATTGGCCGTACCGGCAATTCCCCTGTAGGCTTCTGCCTCGCCGTCGTCGCCCGCCCAGCCGGTGCACAGTTTCCCCGCGCCGCCGCTCTCGTCGGCGGCGTCGTCGTCATTTCCCAGAACAATCTTTATGATATATTTATTATCTTAATTCCCTCATAGATTAGCTACGCCTATGCTGATAAATAAATGACCCCGACGCATCTCTGACGAGACGAGCAGGTGGTGGCGGTCAAGCTGGGCAGGCGCATCGAACCGAGACGACGGAGCCGCGTCGTCGGGAAGGACAGACTCTGGCCGTCGTCAGCCGCCGTACACGGCGAACGGGCATCTGAGCGCTCCGCCGGTCCGTATCAAACGCCGGTAGAACTGCCCTGCATGCATAGCGTCGTCTTCTTCTCGTACATCGCCAGTCTGTCTGTCGTCCGCCGCCGGCGGCCACCGTCGAGGGCGGCGCCGCTGCCGAAACGTCGGCGGGTTAACTTTCCTGGGATGCCGCCACCTTAGATGCGACTTGCTTGAGACACCGGGAAACGGATTCAAACAATGAAGACAAGGAAGCACGATATCGATAAATCAGTGGCCTAATGTCAACTGCCCGTCAAAGTCCACGCGTGCCATGGCAACCAAGTGATCGTCGTCCCATTCGTCGCGATATGTCTCTGGGTTGACTCTTTTATTCTTCCAAACGGCCTCGTACATCTGCTTCCTCCATTCTTCAACGGGAGGAAGACCACACTGCGCCGCCAGCCAGTCGTCGTACTGAAACTGCAATTTTATTTTTTTCAAAAAGGTCAAGCACCTATGATGCTCTCATTACATCACAGAAACAGTCAACGCGGTTGGTACCTGGCAATCGCTCAGATTGTGGGTGTAACGCTTGGGCCAACCGGCAGCTTCGATTTCTTCGTAAGAAGCTTTTATATCCTCCATCATTTCATCCTCGTCGGGAAGGTTGACCCGACCAGAGAGGGCAGCTGCTACCCACTTGCTCTGGAGCTCGCACAGGGGGAAGGGGACGACCTAAGATCCACAAACCGCCCTTCTTAGTCTCCCATGAAAAGACAAAAATGATCACAGAGGGAGGAGAGCTATGAGGGGGAGGAGACCTTCCAAGGTAGCCCGACGAAGGAAAGCCATGGCGCGAGCGATGGGAGGAAGACGTGCTTATACAGAGGGCCGACGCGGTTGTCCTCAACGGTCACAAGCTCCTCTGTCTCGAGGAAAGGAAAATGGTACTTGTAACTGGAAACGATGGAAACAAATTAATCCCTTTCAGGGGATGATCAAAGAATTTTTAGGCTTTGTTTCTCAAATTGGTCCAAATTTCTCCACAGAAGCGAGGAAGAACCAGTAGATCAGGTTTCGCTTGATGCCACAGTTCCTCGTTGTTGGTGGGAGAAGAACTGGTCAAGAACACGGCTATGGTGCTACCAGAGGCCTTACCCGGTGCAGTGCAGGATGACATCCGCCCGCACGGAGCTTCCATCCTGGAAGATCACGGTGCCGTCCTCCTCAGCCCGAGCTATCTGCATGGTCCACGCAGAAACTGGAGAAGATATCGCGCCCAACGTCCCGAGAATCCATCAGAAAAGCCTACTTGCGCTCACCACAGAGGAGTGATTACCATGGAGTGAACCCAGAAGTTGTCATATCCGGGCTGTCTCACGGGGGCTCCCCCGACCTGCGTTCTCGAAGCCACGTGGACCTCCTTAGCGAACTCCAAGACGTCCCTCGAGATGTCAACGGCGCTGGCCGAGCTCCCGATCACGACGACGACCTGCCATTGCAGACGGAAGCCAAGATGAAGGCGACAGAGCCTCAGTTGCTCATCGTGCAGGACAGCAAGAAACTGAACGATTGTGACAGAATCACAACCTACCTGATCAAGAAAAGGTTCAGGAACACGATAACTATGACTGTGCATTTGCTTCCCGGGCCAGGAGTCAATCCCTGTAAAAGATTAACGAAAACAGGAGCCAGATCATGAGTTCCAAGGGAAGAATAGCAGCCAGAGAGGTTGAAGGAGGCATGAAACAGTGATCCTGATAAAACTCGAGTGGGCTATTTGCTCGCTTTCTTCTCAGTTTGCGTGGAACTGGCAAACTGCTCTAGCTAGAAGGTCCAGGGCAACACAGACATGGCGGGGCATCTTTCCTCCTAATCATCACCAGGTTCTCATTACTGAAATCAGAACTCTGCGTGATTGAGAAATCATCAGTATCACAGTTCTGATCACAGCAATCCATTACAAACAATTCAGTGCTTTCGGGTGGGTACTTAGGAGAAAGGGGATGAGATTTTCTATGATTAATCATGCTCTCTTTCTTGTATTAACCTCATCAACCACGCTATTTTTTTTGTTTTTTTTTTTAAACTAGCTCCTGGCAAGATAATTCAGGATCAATCGGTCCTAGCATCTGAATTGAATGTTCGGAAACTATACTGCCGATCAATGGCAACAAAATTCCTTCCCTGTGTGATCGGAAGGGGAGAGGAAGGCTGGTTATGTTTGATCGGAAAGAATCATGGAAATCATGGAAATACCTGGAATCACTGCAATCCGTGGCTCGGTGTAGTGCCCGTTGCAGACGACAACCCCATCGTATACCTCTTCTGAGTACCCAGCACCTATGCCGAGAGCCGCCTGGCGAAACCTCACAGTCCACCTCCCGAAATGGTTCCTCTCCACCCGCAGCACCTCCGTCTCCAATCGGATCATCCCGCAGAGATCAAAGTCCCTGGCGAAGTCCTCTAGGTAGCGAAGGACCTCCCGGTGGCCGGGGAAACGACGGGGGTCCCTCCCCTCCCCGCTCCTGGCCACAAAGGGGTAGTCCAGGAATCCCATGACCTCCCTCGGGAGATTCGTGCGCAGGGATTCATAGAGACTGCTATGGACGATCTCCCGGGAGGAATCCAATCCCAGAGGATCCGATTCCGTCTTCCGATCATACACCCAGGTTCCCCCGATCTGGCCGAGGCGCTCGAAGACCACCACGCGATGGCCCTCCCTCCTCAGCTCACGCGCGGCGACCAGACCAGCCGCTCCTGCGCCGATCACCGCCACGCTCCGGGGGAATCCGGGGGGGGAGGCGGAGGAGAGACAACCTTGAGGAAGCATGGCGGAGACGCTGCAGTGGCCGACGAGGGAAGACATCCCTCATCACAGGAAGGAGATCACTGTGCCTCGTAGATCCTCACAATTCCAGGGGGGCATTGACGATCACCAATTCCTCCTTCCCTGCGAACCCTCGTTCACAGTTCTAGATGGGGGGATATCGGATTGGGGGAACTGGTGGAGAGCCGTGGGGGGAAGAAGAGGCAGGGGGTGCGGTGGGGCCGAGCCCTGTCCCCTACAGTGGGCCATCCAGAATGTAGGCCGAAGTTTGCTTCGTGGGCTAGAAGACGAAGAAGTTTGTCCTTACAGAGGAAGGAAGAAAGGGTGACCCATCTCTCTCTTTCTCTCTCTCTGTATCATTTCTCTGTTTCTCGGGGGGAGAAGACCCACCGGCGAACCATTGACAGCGGGGAAGTGACAACCAACGCAAGTACTCCAGAAATCTCAGCGACAGCGATGTGCTTCTTTATTCCTCATATCTCTATCCCCCTCCCCTCTCTCTCTCGCTCTCTGTCATTCTGGGTATTAACAGCCTGATCTTTAAGCCCATCCTCCGTCCCTCCTCGTCGTCGCGTGGGGATGACGACCCAGATGTTCTCCCTCTCTCTAAACCTATACACATCTTTCTCTCTCTATCTTCAGCTCTGGCTCTGTGTGTGGTTGTCGTCTCCGTCATCGGGGCGTCATCGTGGAAGAGAGCATAAAGCTGCAACATAAAGACAGAGGAGGAACATGGCATGTGGGGGGGGGGGGGGGGGGGGGGTTGCTGAGGCGGGTAAGAAGCAACTCGAGACAAAATCTGGAATTAGGCAGAGATGACTTCTTCCGAGTTCCGAGTCCCGGCTCCACTCGCCGAGTCATCCGCCCTCCCCTTCCATGTGCCCGCTGTGACCCGGTCGATCAAACAACCCACACTGATTCCGATTCGCTTAAACCCCAACCGAATCCGCCCGACTCGTCCTCCCCCTAAAAAAATAAAAGAAAAAAAACGGCGCCTCTGCGCGCTTCCACTGAGCAGCTTTCTATTCTCGTCAGAGCCGTGCTCCCTTTGGACGCTTCCACGATTACTTTTTCCTTCGCTCTCTTTAGATTTGGAAGAGTTTGGTGCTCCGCCGGGGTAGACAGCTCCACCGGTGAGGCCCGGCGCCGGGGGGGCGGGCGGGGCCAGTGTGCTGGTCTGAGTCGGATCTCACTCGCCGACGCAGGTGGAGAAGATCCCACACGGCAGCCGTGAAAGGGACGCCGGGGGGGCTTTGGACCGGTGGTTGGGACCGTTGTGGCCAGAAACTGCCGCGGCGGCGGGCTGCCTCCCCGCTTCTTCCGGATAAGACTCGCTTCACCTAAACCTTATCTCTGACCCCATATGAGCCCAGGGGATGGCGTTTAATTACACTAAAATAATAATAATAATAATAATAATAACGTAACGCATTAATTGTTAAAGGTCCCGTTTTTAGTGGGTGGATACGAGAGGAAGCGGACAGTGACCAATAAAGAAATAGCTAAAACAATGGACGTAAAGCTGAGCTTGTGACGTGAGCCTTCATGGGCCAATGGGGGTGGAAATATCTACCACGTGGCAACGTGGGGGTGGCCCGTCACCCTGGGCGGAGCAGTGCAACCGAGCTCGACCGCCGCCGTAACGGCCATTTCACGCCGTCACCGGCGGCGGCTGCGCACCGCCGTTCACAAGGTCTCGCCGGTGGCTCTGGGTTGACGGAAGGTGGGGGAAGAAATCCCCCTCGTGATATGCTCCAGCTGAAGTCCCCACACCTCCCGCTTGGGAATGCGAGGACGGAGATCCTCTTAGTTCTCGAGGCGATTCCCTCTTTAACTCCTTGCCGCCCTCGTGTAGAGAACCCTCGGCTGGCCATCTCCCCGTCGCCACCACCACCAGCTCTCTCCCCTCCCTTCCCATGCCGACACAACTATAAATACTCGCTCTGCCTCCCTGCGCAGCCCCTGTCCAGCGTCTCGTCGTCCATCTACTCCACTCTGCCGTTCCCCTTACTGTCCGCGTCTGATCAGGTCTTCTTGCTCCTGTCAGTCCCCCGGCCATTCAGTTAGGAGAAGGCGAGTAGCGAAGAGTAGAGAGAAGAGAGTAGGGAAGGCAGGGCCTGATGGCAATGTCCGCTTGCAAGGAAGACCCCCGCGTCCGCGGCATAGCCGCCGCCATTCGGGTGGTGCCCGACTTCCCCAAGCCAGGTGGGTCCTCCTAGAGCGTTCTCCCTCGTTTCGTTTTGTGCGCATTTCTCAAAGTCCGTCTTCTCCGTCGTTCTTTCCGACGGAGCTCTCGATTTACAGCCCGTCCTCCGCTCTCTGCGCCCAATTTTGCCGCCCGCTGATTCCGTCGTCTCGCCGTGCTGCTGCTCTGATACCCCCCTCCCCACCTTCTGTTATTTTCTGTTTGATCGTACGCTCTCGAGCTCGGTATCTGTGGTGCCTTTTTTCTGCACACGCTTAAGTCATCATTTCCATAAGCCCCCCCCCCCCCTTTCCGCCTTTTCTGCTAATCCTCTCCGCGGTTTTCTTTCTCCTCCGATGGCCGCACGCTCTTCCTTCCGGATTTCTTCATGCCACTGCGGATATCAGGGATAATGTTCCAGGACATCACCACGCTGCTCCTCGATCCTGACGCCTTCAAGAACACTGTCGACATGTTCGTTGAGCGTTACACTGACATGGACATCTCGGTGGTCGCAGGTGCGTTCAGAACTTGATCTTTCACCGCGAACAGCACTTTCTCTGATTTCAGCTCCACTTTAATTCTATCTCTCACCTTCTGTGCCCTGAATAATTACATCGGAGGTTTCTTCACCATCTCTTCGCACTCCTCCTGAGTTCGATCCCTCCATAGCCTCTACCTGCGCGAATTCTGTGTCACAATCACAGATGGACGTCTCCACTACCTCTGATTTCTGCCCGTCTCCTCGACCAAGTTCTTTTTCTCCTCCATGCAGCCATCGCATCCATGTAGATAGGCGTTCAAGTCTGATCAGACCTCACTCTTTTGTCGAGGATTCCCGACAAGGTCGTCGAGTCGAAAATCTCCGATTATGGCGTTACTGTTCCTGGGTTGTGGTTCTACATCCCTTATCCATACTCCTGTTATTACTCATGATCTTCCTCTCTCATGGGAACTCGCTCGCCATCGCATGTGCTTGACAAACTACACCGCGTAGAAATTATCTGCCCAACCTCTGCCATCGCCCAGCTGCTCCCCTTCATCTCATTTCCCGTTGTGATCTGTATGTCTGAAGAAGCTTTCTTTGCCGATTTAGTTTGCCAAGCGTCGTATCCATGGTAGGTCATATCACATATATTAAATGTCACCAGAACAATCTGGTGCCCCCCTTCGTCAGGTCTTCAGCTCGGTGATTTTGTTTGTTTGATAAACCAAAATGCCAATGCAGGTATTGGATTAAATCTTCAAGACATTGTTTCCTGATCTACCGAGAAGATTAATTTTTATGGATCTGTTGATCTATTTAATGTGTTAAGTCAACGCTTGTCACATCGATTGTCGATTATTTTTAGAATCCTGTTCATCTCTGCCGCTAATTGCCTGTGGAAATTACGATGATTTTGTGAAGTTACCATTTTACGCTGATCTTCGTTTGTTAGGGATTGAGGCCAGGGGATTCATCTTTGGGCCACCGATTGCACTGTCGATCGGAGCCAAGTTTGTGCCCCTGAGAAAACCCAAGAAGCTCCCAGGTGGAACCCTCCGACGAAGAATGCTCACCGGTGCGTACTAATCGGCCGACTGTTCGCGCTTCGTGATCCGTTTCTGCACGCATGCAGGTGAAGTGATCTCTGAGAATTACGATCTGGAGTATGGGTCCGACTGCCTACAGATGCACGTCGGAGCTGTTCAGCCCGGTGAACGGGTTCTCATCGTGGACGATCTCGTCGCCACCGGTGGAACCCTTCGCGCCGCCATCAGCTTGCTGGGTACGTCTTCATCTGTTACACGACGTTTGATGGCATTTTGTCCTCGGTCTTCGTTTGATAGCCTGTTCGCGTTTCTTGTTCGTCCTCAGAGCGAGTGGGAGCCGAGGTGGTCGAGTGCGCTTGCGTGATAGAGCTTCCTGAGCTCAAGGTTCGCTTTTCTCCCCCACAACAGCGGCCTTCGCATCGATGAATTTCTTTTGATGGGGGCGTCTTGGCTTGTTGCAGGGCCGGGAGAGGTTGGACGGCAAGCCATTATACATTTTGGTGGAATCGCACTGATGGATCTCTCTCTCTCTCTCTCTCTCTCTCTCTCTCTCTCTCTCTCTCTCTCTCTCTCTTCTTTTTCGTTTTGCTATTGGGTTCTCCGATCTGTAATGCCAACACACAGTGCCGCGAGCTTCTACGGGAGGAATGCAGGGTAGACAGGTGGCTGTTTGATGGCTGCCGTCTTCCTCGAGACCCTGCCCTCTTCTTGCTATCAGTCAATTTGGAAACTCGTCTCTTTTTTTTAACCCCATTTAAAGAGAGAGAGAGAGCTTTAGTGGGGCCATTTCCTCGACCAGTGAGAGAACAGTAGCTGGCCCGGCCCATCTGTAGTGTAGTTTGGTCGGAAAGCAAGCCCAGGGGAACAGTTGCTAGCGGGAGCAGGTAGTTCTCCTAGCGAACAGGTTCTTGGGGAGGAAATCTTTTCCGTGAAAGTCAAACCCGGGAGAGCAGGGGTTACTGAGATCTTTCGGGTGGAAGTCTTTTCCGTGATTGTCAAATCCGGGACAGCAGGGGTTATTGAGATCTTTGGGGTGGAAATCTTTTACGTGGAAGTCAAACCCTGGAGTTTTACAGGGGTTACCGAGATCTCTCGGGTGGAAATCTTTTCCGTGAAGGACGAGCCCGGGAGAACAGGGGTTACTGAGATCTTTGAGGTACTGTTCAGACTCGGTGGCGGGCACGAAATCGACCCCAAGATTCAGTTTTGTTCTTCTGCTTAGGCAGAAGACAAAACATCATGACGTGAACAGGGATATCCGCCCAAATCCTCCCACCCCACTCGCCCACGGCGGAAGATTTGTATGTATGCGCATTCAAGTCGACTTGTCGCCGAGCATTGAAGTTGCCGCCGTCCTCACCAGTGGTCATCATCCTCCCCCTCTCCGCCGAAGCAGCAAGCAGACTTTCCGTTATCTTCCCAACCCCCAGCCCCCCTTCTCCAGGTAGCCCCCTCTTCCCGTTTCACCGGAGACGAACCCCGGAGCAGCTCATCCCCTGCTCAGAGCTTGAAGGACGCCTGGAAAATCATTAAATGCAGCACTGCAAGCGTCTGCCGCCTGCACCGGCCACATGCGCCCTCGTGCGGTGGCGCTGGAGATGAACTTTTACCGCCGCGCCGAGCTGAAGGCCCCTCTCCGTGGAGTTCCCAAGGGTGGCTTCCCTTCACGTTTGAGCTCTTCCTCGCCGGAGCTCCTCAGCCGTGGGATCTCGCCGCCGCAGCAAACGAAAATCTTGGAATCATCCCCCACCCCACCCGTTGATCTGCGGCCGATCCCTATGTAGCCCTTCATTGGTTCCGTTATCGATTCATATCATGGAAGTATGATTTTCTATGATTCATATGATTCATGTCAAGAAATTATCGATTCATTGCATTTCACGAAAATAAAAGCAACTTATTAATCTTTTTTTATAATTATAATTTTGCATGAGTTATTCGGTCGAATCAAATTTATGGCCAAATTATTTCGTCGAATAAATGCATTTTTTCTTAGGAACGATCCAACGGGTGCGATCATTTGGAAAACAGGAAAACTCTTGGTAAGGAAGTATTATAAAGTATTAGCCCGCCCATTGACTTACGAATCACGTCAGTCGTTGACGGTTGACTAGGAGAGTGGGCCCGGGGAAAGTAACCCACACGTGTGAAAACCAGGGATCACTCGCGTGAAAACGACCGACGTGATATGCAGCAGATTTGGTACCGTTACAGGACTCGACGAGGTCGGTCGGATCAATTACAGTGGATTTCCTTTCGTCGACTGGTTGAAATTAGTGATTACGTAATGAAAAGTACTTGGAGATTAATGAAGTCAACGAGTACAGGAGCAGATGAGGGGACGACGACTCGATCGTCGTAAAGCTTGGGAGACATTCTTCTACGGGGATGGTTCAATGCGAGGTTTGGTGGGTATTTGTGGGGGGGTGGGGTGGTGGTTTAGTAGCTGAAGAGAGATCCCCTCTGAGGAGAAGAGCAGACGAGGCGGGAGGGCTTGAAATTACAGCGAGGAAGAAAACGACGCGCTCGTACGTCCCACCGAGGCCGATGATGACGACACTGAAGGGCGCCTGCGAGACGTGGGAGGGCTCACTGTCGCATTTCCCCGGGACGAAGCAGATGGACCAGCGTGGGGGCGAGCAGCGGGCTTCTGCCACTGCCCGCATGAGGTTGAGGACGGCTTTAAACCCTGCGGAGACAAACGAGAATGGAAAACGACGCAGCAGGGTTACCGTCGATGAGAGGAGACATACGAAGGAGACAAGCCCTCCGTGGCTCCTGTCAGAAGTCTCCTTCCTCTTCCGGACCTCCCCGCAATCACTACTGTCTACAAGCGATCGAATCTGGGCAGAGGAAGCACGGGAGATACCTTCCGAAGAATTAACACCAAAATTTCCTTTTTCCAGGATTGGGGATCGAATTACAGGATCAGACTTTGTAGATGATGAGGAAGCAGGGCAGGACGGCTCGCGGGTCGAAGACGAGGAGCTCCCCTTTGCCCACGGAGATCGATTCGAACTCGCCAGCATCCGACGAGCTCCGGACGCGGCCGGCGATGACCCGGCACACGAGCATCGCCTTCCGCCTCCCCGGCACCACCGCCGACGACGAGCCGAAGCCGCTCTCGTGGGCTCCGCCGCTGCCGGCGAAGGTCCGTATGCTCCCGCCTGATGCGGTGGGGGAGGAGATGATCCCCGCGTCGTAGATGGGGTCCCCCGCGGAAGTCGTCGGAGGGCCCTCCGGCGCGCAGTGGAAGCGCATCATCTCGTTGCCATTGGCTGCGCAGCGCGCGTCCTCAGGGCCAGCACGGGATCGGACGTCTTCACGGTACTCCTCGAAGCGGGAGACTGTTCGCGGGGGGCTGCGGACCTTGAAGAGCATCTCGATGACCCCCGGGAAGGGCGTCCCCTTTCTGGACCAGCTGGAGTTGAATATTATCTCCACCACCCTCCGGGACGAGTGGCCGACGGGGAGCTCCGTCAGCGTTGGGAAAGGGGAGGACGAAGGAGGAGGCTCACGGGCCGCCGCAGCCAAAGACGGGCAGCTCCTGGGCTTGGAGGCCTTCAGCGGGCGCTCGTGGCGGGCCTGCTCGCGGTGATGTCTCCTCTGCTTGGGGCGCTTCTCCTTGAGAGGCGGCGACGGCGGCGGAGTCGCCAACAGCGCCCTGCTGGACATCGAAGGCGTCTTCTTGGAGAGGGGGTGTTTGGGGAAGAGGGCGACGACGTCCCGCAGAGCCTGGGACGTGTTATTGCCGCAACCGAGGGGAAGCAGAGGGGGGGGGGCCTTGCCGGCGCGGTGATGCAGCCGCGGCGGCGGCGGCTTGGGGTGGTAGACGTCCTCCACGGCGTTAGATCTGCATTGCAGGGACTTCACCCACCCGTTAGCCATAGAAGGCCGGCGGGCGCTCGCGGGTCTCGTCTCAGCACAGCGTCGCCGGGACGGCCGTGGGAGAGTGGAGGAGGAGGGCGCCGAGAGAAGGAAAGGGGTGGGCGGATGGCCTGTTCCAAGCCGGGGAAGTGGAGACGGAGGCAGGGGAACCAGAGGAAAGGACGGGATAAATCCAAATCAGTGTTGTGGGGAGAGGAAAACGCAAGCTGGCGGTGAGGCCATTTTATTCTCTCTTTCCTTTCCAAACTTGGATGGGATGCTGGCCTGTCGGATTCTCAGCGAAGGTGGTCGGTGGGGAGTGGCGGTGCGTGCTAAGAGAGTGAGGATTATTATTTTATATTCTTGGGCATTTACTGTAGCCATTTAATCCTCGCATCTACTACTTATGAATGAAGTATTGAATATTCCAAAAAGTTTTTCTCTAATTTACTGTAGCTATTTAATCGTCACATCTACTGCATTCAGTATTTGAATATTTCCAAAAACTCAACTTTTTTATTTACTCGGTACTTGATTATCCGTCAGTAGGCATTGGGTGGGCCTCTCCGTCATTATGTAAGGTCGTCATCAGTCCAATGAAGGAGATTCAACCCACCCCCAGTTAGGTATCGCAAGTCTCACTTGAGAAGGGGACAAGTGCTGGATATCAGCTGTAGGAGTGACCCCTGTACTTCGACTCTCGCAACATGGTACAATGAGCATCGAATATTCGTTATTATTTACCAAGATATGAAAATATATGAGGAACAACATAGTTCCATATTTGACCCATCATTACTTTGAGATCCTAAAGAGCAATAAAGCTCCTCTTGTAAGAGTCCAAATTTAGAAAATAAAATAAAATAATGCTGAGACCATCTACATGTAAGAACATGGCTTCAAAGTCACCCTTTGACTTTTTAATGGGTGCATCTCATTAATGTGGCCTGCATGACAATATTCAAATTGGCATGATTTCATTGCAATAAAATAATAGATGCATGTAAACTAGGTAAAAGACATCATGATTATGTAGGGTGTTTTCTTTACTCATTGATACTTTTTTCTGTATTAGATGGTTCAACAATCTCACTAAAAATGATCTCTTCTATGCTAATTTTGTCACGATTTTTAAGTATATGGCTCATCACAATGTCTAAGTTAGCTAGCGTATGTTACCACTCATTGAATGGCAACCATATGATGAAGATAGTGAACTTTAGTGAATTATTTCTTTGAACGCTCTCGATCTCTAAGGCCACAGCTATTCTTAACATGATACCCAACTATCTCATGGAAAGTTGGTTAACTGAAGTCCACAATTTACATGATACATCGCATGATGAACATCATGTCCCAATTTGAACAAAAGTGAATTGCAGCCTTTCATGAGGTCTCTTGTCATTTCAACTGTCCATTGCAAAGTTAGATTCGACACCCATATGCTCATGATGCACCATATACTTTACTTTAATCTTGCTTTCTTTTAGTATAATGATTCAATTTTCATAAAGTTTCTCTACATCTTGCACACCAACGGCCTCACTGAAATATAACAATAGCACAAGTGAACTTACTTGAAAAAATGCGAATGGTAAACATGCAACCTCTACCTCTAAAATTTGTGTAGGTTCTCTATCGGAAGAAACGATCCAAATTTTATCAAGTTGCATCTCGTTGCATGTACCAAACGCCTTACTCCAATGCTATAAAAGTGATGACGAACTTAAAAAGTGTAGCCTTTAGAAACTCTCAACCCATATCTACCCATGTTCATACTTTGATTATGCTCTTTTTATGGAAATACTTCGTCGATTTGCTTGTCATTGCATGCGGCCACTGACATCTCATCATCCACCGATTGGGGTCGTTTAAATTTTAGGATTGATAATTGTGGTCAATGATGGAACCCTCGACGGCTCTCTTGCAGGCGTGCGCATGTGGGTCGGCGAGTGCGCGCATGCCCCTTAGCGTGGCCGGATGTTGGGGAAAGGAGACTTGCACTGGCTGAAGATTGAGCTCAAGTTGGGAGCTTCTCCCTCTTCCTCTTATCTCTAGCGGGGGAAGTTGGGTGGGCCCGCCAGCGGAGCGGAGCACACAGAACGCCGGGAGGATCTACGAAGGTTGCAGACCGGAGGACGGGACCTAATGAAGCCTGGACAACCGGCGCCGACCGCGGGACTGCACGGAACAGGCGGAGGCGGCAGGAAGCAGGCGGCAGAGGGCGCGGCTGGATCGGCGTCTGGATTTGAACGGAGTGGCGAATTCAAACTCCCTCTCCTACAACGAGGCGGCGATGGTGGGGGAAGGGGGACAGAAAGGTGGCGACGGCTTGGCCTCCGGGTCACCACGCCACCGGCCTCTGCCACTCTCACGCCTGTCTGCCTCCGCTCGCAAGCTATCGTTTTCTCCGAGAAGGTAAGACTTTATTAAATCCAGAAGCGCGTGGAGGCCGGAGTGTGGCCGGGACTGTGAAGGTCCGGCGACCGCCCCACCTCGGGTTGTCGCTCTTTTTGACTGGCCGGCCTCATAATTACGGCCACCGCGCCGTTCATACCCGAAGATTATAAAACTCCACCGATCATCGAACAATAGAGGAACGGAGGACGTGCGCAGCCCTTCGTCCCTCTGCCAAGATGGTTGCTTCGAACCGCCACCGAGGACTCGGAATCTGGCTACTGCGTTCGCGTCTGACCAGGGAGCTATGATCACATGAAAGTTGGGCTATTGAGAGGACTTCGCCGCTGCTAATTGTTCGCTCGCTGAGCCCATCGGTAGAGGGGTGGGGGGAGGGAGAGAATCTAGCAGCCATTCGACTCTTAGATCAAAATTGTCAGTTAAAAATCGGATCGATGCCTTCCAAAACTCATCGGGGATCAGCCGAATTTTCATACCTTCTGTAGTCTGGATCGGCGGGTGAGAAGGCTCACAGTCCTCACAACTAAAGTGTGAGCCTCAGCCCATTGAGCTTTATCACTGACTCCATTTTCCCCCATCTTTCTTCATGCCGTTAGACACTCTCTCTCTCTCTCTCTCCTCCCGTTCTCCCACGATCTACCTTCGTCGGAGCGCCGGAAGTGCATGCGGCCCCTGTCCATCTCACGTTAAGTCTTCGTTGATTTTTTCCCCTCGCGAACATGTGGGGTTGATCAATCAACCTAGGAATAATGCGCGGTGAGAACAACTGGATTTTGGGTTTAATATTTTCCTCCCCTCTTCATACCTTGTCTTCTCTCTTCTCTTGTGACTCGATAGAGGGCGCTGGGTTCCATCACTGGTCTCAAATTGATTATAAGGGTATGCGAAGACGACTTTTTATTCCATAAATGTTCATGTTTTGTGGCATTTTCGGGGGGGACAAAATAGACAAATCGTACCCTTAAAAAAAAGTGATTTTAGAGGTCATGAAACAAGAGTTGTGCCACAGAAAAAGAGTTAGGGCTTTGAAAAGAGATTTATCGAGGGGAAAAAAGCCTTAGCCTTCAGTTACTGTGAGGAAGAAGACATCACGGTATCTTCTCCGCTTTGTAATCATGTTTAAGTGCTTAATCACATGTATCTTTGTGCACTTTCCTCTTTTGTTTGTGTCTCTCCCTTGTCTCTAATTTGGGGTTTCTTTTCTTGTCAGTTTCAGCTCTTATCTTGCAGGTGGATGTGGGCCGTGATAGTTCTTAAAGTGACAATTGGGATAAAAGAATAATGTCTAACTAGTAAACTCAGAAAAAAAAAATGTTGAACTCATTAGTAAAATATGAGATTAAGAAGTTCTCATGTAGAGTAAACTTCTCAAAAGACTGTGGAAGGATACAAGATCTTCTAATTCAACGAAGAACTGCAAAGTCAGTTATGAGAAAATTACAAAGTTACTTAATATTTATGATGAAACGTGAGAAGATATGAATGAGAGGGCAGCAAGTTTATTTGTTTAAATCATGATGATGAGGTCAGATTAATATTCCAATATATGTTGTTTAAACATGAAACAACTCATAAAGAAACAACTCGATGGGTTGCAGATAAAAGGAGTTGATCTGTAAGAACACATACCTATCAACAATGGGCTAATCAGTCAACTATTCCATTTGGGTGTGAAAACCTAAGGCAGAGAAAAAAAATTATTCTCTTCTCTTAGCATGACTCGCCTCTTTTGATCGCATGGTTATTACAATCAAGTATGGAAATGATTCTTTAAAACTAGAATAAGCCATTGAAACCTTGGTATCATTTGCTAGTGAAAAGAGTTCAATAATTGGATATTGGTGTGGTACAAGTTTGGTTTGTAATATTGAATATGAGTTTTGTGGAAGACAAAGTAGAATGAAGAGAGATGAAGAAAGGGAACATCTTAATTGAAATTAAAAAACATCTTAAAACTGAAGATGTGATTTAATGCCTCTATTACTATAGATAAGGTCACATTTTCATCAATTGTGAAGAGATGACATAGACTAGTTTAGATGGTGATAAATTTGAAGAGATTTTAGTAATAAATGTAATTTTTATTTTTTTTATGTTTGCATTATTCACTTTCCTCAGTTGATTAAAATAGTCGTTACCTCATCGACTTTCAATGTTCTTATTACCATGATAACTAGTGGTTTAACACCTATATTCCTTGCAACATTAGGACCATACCAAAGACAATGATGTTCCATATAATGTAATTGGTGTTGGAACAATCAAGGTAACAATGGTAAATGATATTGGGAAAACATTATAGATGTTAAATGTGTCTAGGATTTGAAGATGAATTTGATATCTCTTTGAACTCATAAAGAAATTAGGGATGATATTTAGATTGAGATAGTAGTATGAAAATATAAAATGAATTGAGAATAGCTTGGTCATAATTTGCATGAGGTAGAAGGGAGTGTCATTAGAGTTGAAACTCTAAAGGTGAACCTATCACAAATAGAGATAAATTTAGTTAGATTTTTGTGAAAATTATAATCTTGACAAATAATGAAAGGTGAGTTTCAACATTTTCATTTATCTACTAGAAGGTATATTACCTTATGTCCACACATATGTTTGACAAAATACATAATAACTGTAAAAGAATAGTTTTACATTTGAACGTTCCTTGTAAAAAGTGAATTCATCACTTGGTACAAGAAATGACTAAGTTATCACTTGTTCTAATTTAATATTGAAATAAGTCCTTAAATTTTTTTTTGATTTTTTTTGTTTTGTTTTTTTTTTGAACTTATATAAGAATTGAATTGACTCATTTGGATAGATTGTAGTCAGGAGTGTGGCACTATTAAAAAAAATAAAAATAAGGCCAGCTACTGTATTATCATATTTGGACATTGCATTGCCTATTTTTAACTATTAAAGTTTTAAAAATAGAAGGAATTAGATTCTTATATAAGGATTAAATCCCATCCATTGTACTAGCTATGATAAAACACTACAAGAACTCAATTTCATATCAGCTCATGTATTTAAGCAGCTCTTCTATAAAAAAACTTACATTTAATTTTTACATTTTTTTAAAATTTAGTTTTACTACAGTTATTTATTCATGCCAAGAGAAGTTATACCATGAATATATAACATTATTATTATTTATTTGAGTACTATTAGTATTCTAACATACATAAAGTTGTTAATGTAAAGAAGGTTGGTTGAGAGTTAATTTGGTTGGCCTTTGTAATAAACTAATGTACTAACAAGAGTTAGTGGAACCTAAGGATGTAACTCTTAGATTGCAAAGTCAGAGATATAGGTTGATTGTATAATTCTTCTTTCCATACAATGATAGTAAAGTATAATTTAGGAGGAGATAAAAAATTCAATTCACCTTCTTGAATCTTTTATACTTTCCTTTAAAACAAAAAAGTATATATATATTTTATGATGCTACATGAATTTTATTTAATTTTAAATAATAGAAAGTAGAAATGAAGAGAATGAAGGGAAAAATGGTTAAACACCCAATATCAAATAAGGTGCCATAATTTAAAAACAAGGGATCTGATAATTTTTGTACATAGCAAAGAAATGACAGAGAACTTCACAATAAGAGAAAATTTGGTGCAAAAAAAAAATGGATGAGACGGTAAATAGAGTTAAATTAGAGAAGGTAAACCTATAAGATTGAAACATTAAAATTTTGTGTTATCTTGCTGGATGAAAATTAAATAAATTGTGTGCTAAGAATGGTGGCTAGAAAGGTCACAAAATAATGACTCATTTAGAGAGAGAGAGAGAGAGAGAGAGAGAGAGAGAGAGAGAGAGAGAGAGAGAGAGAGAGAGAGAGAGAGAGAGAGAGAGAGAGAGAGAGAGACCCTAGTTGTTGGTTGTTGTGATGAAGAAGAAAATATGGCTATCATCATTTACTTATAATCCTATGCAAATTTTAATAAATACTTATATTCTACCACATCTCTTGGAACATCTAAGTGTATATCTTTGTCCCTTGGTTTTTTTGGCTGAAATCTCCTTGTTGTTTCCATAGTCCTATCTTGCAAGTGGCTATGGACCTTGAGGGCCTTTTGTAGTAATAGTGGAATTCATTTTTCTTGATTAGATGTGTTGCAATCTTGATATGAATTGATGATCTTTGATATAACGAGATTAATTGAAGAGGTGTTGAAGGCATCGTCAATTATAAACATGCTCTTGATGGAGCATCAAAAATATCTTCAATGTGAACTCATTTATTAGCTTCATAGAACTACAATGAATGTCAGTAGATGTTTACTTGTTTAAGCCTGTTGATCTCCTGTGCATTTATTTCAGTTTAGTTCACTTGTAGTCTGCATCTTACGATATACAATTAGACAATATTTTAATTAGATAAATAAAATTACTAAAAATCACACATATTTGGCTTTGAGGTCCTCACGAATTAGTTGAAGTATTTGTAAACTTATATGCTCTTTCATTGTACATTTAGCGTATAAAAATAGTGATGTTGTTACGTTAAATTTTTATTAAATTATAGTTGAATATAGTTACATATAATGCGACATGAAGAAATTAAAATTACCCTTTCTTTTAATGAGGAGGGAGCCATGGGCCCTTTCTCTCTCTTCCCTATGAGCCATGATAATCAGAGCTGGCAGCTTGAAAGGGAAAATGGGATGATAAGTCGAACCATAAATCCCCGGCTTTTTTTTTTGCGAATTCTTTGAGCTTATCATGCTTTTCTTATCTGCAATTCCCAAAGAATAGTTCAACGATTCGTCTCAACTCACCTCCAGCTCCTGAAGTGATTTTCTGATCATCTGTCTTATTCGTAATTCTGGTGTTTAATTTTCTCGACAAGAATCCTTTCTCGACAATGGCTTTTGGGTCTCAGATTGGTAATCCGTCACTGACCACCCTTTTCGAACAATTCTTGGGCAAGTATTGTGACATCGTCTTCTCCTGAAAGCTTAAGATGGAACGATGATCCCCAATATTTCAGACTGTTCATACGACCGGCTCTAGAAAAGGTCTTCGGTGGAAGAAAAACCTCGGAGGTTTGGTACAAGGGTTCAAAGATTGGAATTTTGGGCGACATGTGTCCCCAATATCAGAGAGATTCGTCAACACCCGATGGTGTACCCTGTGGCTTATGGGTGGAGATGACGATCTTACCAGAGGGTCAACCAAAGGAGTGGCTGTGCGGCACGGACTAATGGGAGAGCCTTCCTAGTCGTTTGTCCTGATCCCGTCTTGAAAGCCGTGATTTTCCTTTTATAGAACAAAGTATCCGAGCTTTAGGTCAGCGCTAGGGCAGTCGAGTCAGTTCGGGAGGGGAAATCCGACCCCCCCACGTATCTAAACGTGGCGGAAGCTGGTCTCGTGCTTCACGCTCGCTTCAAATCCAGGCTGGTTTGGGTGCAAATAGGAAGGGGGGGGGGGGTAGGCGACGGGGAGACAGCGGAGGAGAAAAATAACAGCCACCTAATCTCTCTCTCTCTCTCTCTCTCTCTCTCTCTCGACCCGCGTTACTCGATTGGACGTCCAAGCCGGCAAAATTGGCAATTTTTCTTCGAAGGGGGAGGAACGAACCTGCGATCGATAGGAATGTTTAGCGGAGATCTTCTCAGCGTCCGGCCTTTGGAGCTTAAATTCCACTGTACGTAGGCCGAAGATTTTATCTCGTTCATGCGCTCTCTTTGCTCGATTTGAACTGATGGGTCGCCCCCGCCCTAGATCTGATCTAGTGTGGAGAATCCTCGAACGAGGAGGGACCCTTGGTCCGCTTTCCCCCTTAATCGGGTCTTGGCTACGAGCTTGTTCTCGTGCTTATTCTGCGGTTTCTGCTTCTGGATCGCACTTCTTTGCCGCTTCCTTCCGCGGATTTTCTGTTCAACTTTTCTTCCTCAAATCGATACGATGCTCATCGTGACTCCATTGATGTCTCTGCACGTACCGTAAAAGTCGAAGTAAATAAGCAGAGCTCGTGCTCCATGCAATTGACCAACAGGACGGAACAGTATGTCGCCTTCAAGGTATCCCCTCTATTTGCTCCGCCGCTGCGGTGAAGGCCATGATATTTTCGACACGATTCCTTCTCCTAGCTGTTGATGGAATTCATAGATCCTCGAATGATAATTTTTTTCTTCTCAGATTAAGACAACTAACCCGAAGCGGTACTGTGTTCGTCCCAACACCGGGATCGTGTTGCCGGGGATGACATGCGACGTCACCGGTAATCCACATTTGGTCCCTATTTCTCGCCCTCTGCGTCGATTCCTCGTCCGATATCCTTCAGAACTTCTTCATTCCTCTTGGGCACTTCGTATCCTCGGGTTTCAGTGACGATGCAAGCTCAGAAGGAGGCACCACCTGATCTCCAATGCAAGGATAAGTTCCTCGTCCAGAGCGTCGTCGTAGAAAATGGAGCGACGTTGAAGGACCCAGCCCCTGAGATGGTCATGAACCTTGACTTCTCTGCTTATGATCGTCTCCCTTTCCTCTAAACCTCGACCTCGCATTGGCCGTGTCTGATCCGAGATGATGTGGGTTTTCAGTTCAACAAGGTTCCTGGAAAGCTCATCGAGGAGGTGAAGATGAGGGTGGTCTACCTTCCTGCCAACCCTCCGTCTCCAGTCCCTGAGGGATCAGAAGAAGGGTCGCCTCCTCGGTCCTCCTCATTGGATAATGTGGCCCAGAGTTCCTTCACGTTTGAGGCTGTAAGTGGTGTTAATTATTTGCGGCTCTCCCGCTCCCGTTTGTGAATACGATTCTTATCCGTCAACCCTGTTTCAAATTCTTTACCATTAATTCACGTGGGGAGAAATTCCCAGGTTTCAAGAGCATTCGAGGAGCCATTCAAGGATAGAGCTTTGCAGGTAAGAACATGGCTTAGAGTTGCATTTTATTTGCCCGCGTAGCAGCTTTCATGAATCATGTTTAGCAGCCTGATAACGAGGCATTCTCTCGTTTCGCGCCATTGAATATCTACTCTTGAATGCCCCAAATCGTGCTAAGAAATTCAGATTGCCTTCTCATCGAAATGGGTCACATTAAAAAAAAATAGATTTTATTAGATTCACATGAAAAAAGGATTCAGAGCGTGGAATTGCTGCAGGGCTTGTGACCATTCTGTTGATTCTTTTCGGATCTCAGAGTTATTGGCTCGATTCCTTGGCTAACCAGTTTTTTATTTAGACGGTGATGTCTGCAAGATCTGCATGCGAGAATGCTGGAAATATCTGGTGGCGCTTTAATGCTGTTCATCTTCTTATGGATGAACCCCTGGAGCACATGCTATCTAATTTTTATCCCTGGAGTAGGATGGCTCATCCCCCACATCTACCAAAAAAGCCATGAAAAACCCGATCGAAACGAAGAAAGCCATAGTTCCTTTCCATGCAGGAGCTTTACCATGGTTCTCGTCTGAAATATAAATCTGAAACCCCCCTATGTTTCTAGTTCAAAAGCTATATTTTAACAGTGGAGGCCACATTCATGTTGTTAAAAAAAGGGTTAGTCTGGTGGTTCTTGTGAGGAATGAATTCATTAGCTTGGTGTGTATATTTCCCTGGTCGGAGAAACCATTTGATCTGTATTTGCGCCTGGATTTCAGAGACTCGTAAATAACTACTCTAGAAATATTTTGTGGTGCAATGCTCCGTGTACCTGTGATCTCGCTACACTGCTGAGGATCTAGTGATTCATCTGATTTTAATAATTATGAACATTCTTAGGTGTCCTCCCCAATTACCAAGTTGACAGAGGAGAAAGGTTTTGCAATTCAGCAGAATCAAAAGCTTCGTCAAGAGCTGGTATGGGTGTTGATTTTCCTTCGTGCTTGATGCAATGATTTAACATGTTATTTCGCATTTTCTATTGACTAATTCTTGTTATTTGAATCGAAATCCTTTTAAAACTTTTCGAACAGTTTTTTGCTCTTTGGTACTGAATGCATTACGTTTCGTTCCAGAGCATTATTGGTCGTATTATGCGTATTATTTTATTTTAAGAAGATGGTTAGATAGGATACTGGATGAGAATAAGGTTATTAAATGAAATAATGTCATATATTCGTGTAGAAAAAATAAATAGTATACTCTGTTTAGTTTTTCATTGCTCGCACTTGTCATATATTTCTTTTTCTTGTTCCTTTACGTATGCTGACTGCTTAATACGACTTATAATATGCATCCAACAGTACTTGAATGTGCCTTTCTTGATAATAATTTATTTTTTATCTCAAATTAATGGGGCCACAATCTTCAGTATATCATCTTGCGACTAAGAACTTTGATTCTGTAAAAATAAATAAGATTCTCCTGTTCTAAATTCCTATAATTTCTTATTCCTTTGATTCTTGATTATAGTCCATGCATGGCCTGCACACCTGCCAGTCACTACAGATGAACATTGTCATTAAATTCCACACCAGCTCTGCAAGATCTTCCAGTAGCAAGCCAGTGACTGGTTTGGAAAAACACGATTAAATTGGCCTGTAAATTAACTTCTTTTTCGTGCACAGTTCGTTCTTTCTTTGATGCAACAGGCCGGAATTAGGTTTTTTTTCTCTCTCTAAGTTGAAAAAGTGTGTATAATCTGGTGGGTTAGCGTCGTGTTTCACCAATTTGATCATGTTCTTGACGTGGGATCTTCTCTGGGTTTCCTGATCTGACAGGAGATGCTGAGAAAAGATCTCAGCAGGAGCAAGCAGGGTGGCTTCTCCATCATGGTGGTGCTGCTGGTGGGTATCCTGGGCATCCTGGCCGGGTATGCTATCAAGAAAAGCTGAGAACTTTGAGATGTCTTGCGAAGGAAAATAAGGAGTCTTGCCTGATTATCGTATAGGATTAGCCCCACCCCCTCCCTATTTTCCCCCCCTCCTGCTTGGTCATGTGAATCCACTGATCTCTCTCTCAAGAGGGCGTGGACTGGTAGATCCTAAGATTTGAAGAAGAAACGAAAAGTTGTGCATACTCGTGTCTGCATTGCTTAAACTCCTTTGTTTTCGGTATGTGTTCGACAAATGGAATGGAATAAGAGTAGTCTTTGTACCGAGAAGGAGAAACTGAAAGAAAGGAGAAGACGACTGAAGATATCACTGCTATCTATTGGTCTTGCATTCTTATGGACGATCCTTTGTCCTGTGTTTTGTCGCCGTCAGCTGCTCACGTGGGTACCAGGAGAATACTCCGTTCAGCATCTGAGAAGTTGCTGACCACGAGCAGGACCACCGCCGCCGCCCCCGCCGCCGCCGTAGCGAGAAGCGTCACGACTCCTGCTGTGAATCCCATCTTGCCGCGTGATGTGGGGGGGCTTTCTCTGTGCGGCAATGCATTCTCCACCCCCTGTGAGATGATAGGCTCTATGGGCTGTGGGTTTTCCGACACCGGAGGCTCCGGCGTGCCCTCATCGTCTTTTTCCTCGTTGAAGCAGGAAGACGTGCAGGAGCAAGCGGACGCGGAGTCGAGGGTCTGGGGGCCATCGGGAGATAACCCTAACTCGGCCCAATTGCGGTAGCCGTCCTGGATAGAGGCTAGCCGTTCGGCAATGTGGTAGAGGTGGGCCGGCTTTGACCCCTGGTGGGATTCCATCTCCGCACTGAGGAGGTTCTTCAGAAACTCGAACCTCCGGCCGATTTCATCGTCGGACGGCGGCGCGTAACCGGGCGGCGCCGCCCACTCCTCCTCCTCCTCTGTGGGTGGTCTACGCGGGAAGACGAATGCCTCGCGGAGTCGAGATTCAAGTTCGTGAAGTTTTCTTGTCAGGATCGCGTCGGAGGGGAGCGCCATCCTCGTCCGTCGCTTCCCGGTCCTCCGCTCTCCCTTCTTCATCACCCGGAGAAGTAGGTTACACAGAACGGTTATATAGACTGGTTCGCAGAGTCTTCCCTTCCCCTTCTCCCTCATAACCGCCCGGCGAGACGGCGGTTGCAGTTAAATAAGAAGGGCTTCCTCCTTTACTTTACCCAGATCATTCAAACAAAAGCACAAGTCCCGGCGAGTGGAGAACTTAGCGGCCCGTCTCCATGTCATATTCTGATAGGCGGGGTACATGTTTCGTTTTACATGGAAAATTCGTGTCGCGAAGAAGAAAATAGTTCGTCTTCTGGCCGGGGATCAGCCGTGGTGGCTCGTTTCGGCGTCCCTGAGCTCGACTCCGAGGTTGCCGTCGTCTGCTGGCGACTCTCCTCGTTCCCTGTAGACGTACCACCGAGCGGAGACTAAATAGACGATGAGGTTGAGCACGCTGAGCACCGCCAGTAGCCAATAGAAGTCGTAGAGCCTCCCATGGTTGAGATCGTCAGCCAGCCACGAGCGGTGCCCGCCGTGCCCCGTTACGCGGTCGACGATAGTCACTAGTGCGGAGCTGAGGAAGAAGCCGAGCGACAGCGTACTGAGGAACAGCCCCGTGCTCATGGTCTTCATCCCGCTGGGGCACTCCCTGAGGAAGAAGTCCAGCTGGCCAATGTATGCGAAGGCCTCCCCCGACCCGACGAGAAGGAACTGCGGTATCAGCCAGAACACGCTCATGGGCACCGGTCCGTGGGGGTCGACCACGGTGGTGGCCACCCGCTGACGCTTGATCTCGGTTAGCGCAGCTGCGACCATGGCCATGGCGGAGAGGACCAGCCCCACGCCGATGCGCTGGAGCGGCGTCAGGCCCTGCGAGTTGCCGGTGAAGTGGCGGAAGACGGGGACGACCAGGCGGTCGTAGAAGGGCACTGTGAGGAGGATGGAGAGGACGAAGAAGACCGTCAGTGAGCCCGGTGGGATCTCGAAGGAGCCCGCAACCCTGCGGTCCATGGTGGTGGCTTGGGACACGGAGAAGGTGGTCATCTGGGCGTAGACAGTCCAGAACATGATGGTGGTGGCCCAGATGGGTAGCATCCGCACCACCATCTTCACCTCCTCCACGTCCGTCAGCGTGTTCAGCCGCCACCTGCTCGGGGGCGACGCTTCCCCTCTCTTAATGGCGGCACGGTCCAGGAAACTGCAGAGATCAAGGCAGAAGTAATTGACTAGATTCCGAAACATCTATCGAACACGTGAGCGAGGAGATTATCTCAGTCCTGGAAAGATAGATTTCTCACCGGAACTGTTTGGTATGGGGCAAGGGCTGCTTTGTCTCGCCCTGTCTCCCATCCAACTTGGCCTGCTCGCCGACATCGTAGAGCAGCGCCGCCTCCGACGGCAGTGGAAGCCGCCGGTTTCTCCACGCCACCACGACGACGGAGAAGATCTGGGTCAGAGGGCTTCCGACCAGCTTCTTGAAGCGATATCGGCGAGTACCGGAGAGGAACACGAGCAGCCCGATCAGGATGGAGGTGGCGCATATGCCGTAGCCCCACCGCCTACCCAGGTTGTCCTGGACGTAGACGAGGACCGTCACCGCGACCAGGGAGCCGAGGCTGATGAGGAAGAAGAAATAGTTGAAGAATTTCATCATCCTGTTCTTCTCCCACGGGTTCGACTCGTCGAACTGGTCTGATCCGAAGCCGGAGACGCTGGACTTGAGACCACCCGTGCCGAGGGCCGTCATGTAGAGGGCGAGATACAGCACCGCAAGCTGTATACCACTGGCTGGTATGCAGGAGTCGGAGGAAGGGACGCAACTTGGCGGACGGAGGCCGGGAACGGCCGTCGAGATTGTCAGGATGGTTACTCCCTTCAGTGATAAATTTTCTGATGAATACATCAATCGACGATAGAAATTTCGCTGAGACGACTAAAACAACTAGACGGAGAGAGAGAGAGAGAGAGAGAGAGAGAGAGAGAGAGAGAGGTTCTTACTGTCGCTTGGACGGCGGCGAAGATGGCGATGGTGAGATACCTGGTAGAGAGTACTCGTGTGAGGCAGAGGAAGATGACTACAAACATCGTTTGTAGAGATTCACAAATGAGCAACGCAGCCATTTCGCTTCACCTGCCGAGGAAGGTATCGGCGATGAAGCCGCCGAGGAGGCAGAGAATGAACGAGGTGCCAAGAAAGTTGGTGACTGTGTTTGCGGCCACGGCATTGCCGAGGTGCATCGTGCCCGTCATGTAGGTCACCAGGTTCACCGCGATTCCCAGCGATGTTAACCGCTCGTTCAGCTCCACCACTGCAGTTGTTCATCTTTAGCGAGGAGGGAGATAAAGGGCGGGGGGGGGAGGGGGGCGGAGAGTGAGATAGGGAGAGAAGGAGAGAGAGAGAGAGAGAACCTAGGATGGTGGAGGCGCTAGTCCAGCCCCCGGTCTGTGAGCGGATGGCGGGGCGCCCCTTGTAGTCCCAAGCATCGGTTAGGATCCTGCCGCCATCTGTCACCGGCAGAGAGGCCATGAGGAACTGCCGACGGTATCAATATGAGAGAGCTTGGAAGAGAGGAATCAGAAGATGTTTACTGCTCCGGTTCTTGATACCTCTTCGGCGTCTCCGCCCGCATATATAGAGCGCGAGAAGGGGCGATTGCTCTCTGACGCATGTCCTGTCACACAGTTCCCTGCCAGGTGCATGCACTGTAGAAAAACAATCACCAGTCACGGGCTGCCATTAGAGTGGGGCCAGAGGGCAACGCGGCCGTCGAGAAGCGCGTTGGCCTCAGCCGCTTAACCCCCCCCCCCCCCCCCCCCCCCCTCCGGCTGTTACTCACTAGTCCAGTCAAATAGTCCACAGAATAGACGTATCCGTGAACGGGCGCCACGAAGAGTGCCTGGAATCCATTTTCTTTGTCACATAATTGTCTCAAGATTACCCACCTTGGAGTAGGCCTCTCTCTCGTCTCCATCCTTCGCTCTCTCGCTCTCGCTCTCCCTGGTTCGGGCCAGCACAAGGATTAGCAAACTTTCCCGCTGAGGCCGACGGGAAAGAAGGAGAGAGACAGCTCACCACGAATAACTGCCATATTCTCTAGATTAGGGTAGCTTTCACTGAGAATCGACCACGGTTCGTCTGGATCCATCTCGCCCCAACCAAATGAAAACGATTAAAATCGGTGTCATTTCTTCTTTCGTCACTCCTCCGTTTAAAGAAACGAGAATCTTATTTGTCCTGTTGCACAGAAGACAAGTCATGAGCTTGAAATGCTCTCTCCCTCTCTCTCTCTCTCTGTGGTGCGTATAATTGCTCAAGGGAGAATGACGGGGGCCGCCTGTTTCTTCAATGCTGGTGGCACCGCCGGGCTCGCGTCACCGTCGCTGGTAGAAACCTCGAGCGGATCGGGGACCCAGGCTCTCACGTGAACTTACCCTCGTCCACGCAGTGCTCTTGCTTGCAGCGTTCGGGAACCATGATGTGGACGTTCGCGCCTCATCAGATAAATTATGAGAGAGAGAGAGAGAGAGAGAGAGAGAGAGAGAGAGAGAGAGAGAGAGAGAGAGAGAGAGAGAGAGAGAGAGAGAGAGAGAGAGAGAGAGAGAAAGAAAGAGGTAGTGTCCCTTCTAGCCATTGCAACCACGTGGGTAATACGGAGCCCTGGCCGTCTGCCAAATAGAACGGCCTCCATGAAAATTATGTTGACTTATTAGAGGTTTCCGGCACCCGCCAAGCCTCTGCCTCCTCATTTCGCGCTGACACGAAAAGATTAGAACAGAAGAAGACGATGAACGCCGGCGACCAACTGCACCTTTTTTGTTGTTATTTCCAGGTTGGTGCCTGGCCGCTTCCTGACGAGAATCTCCGAGAGCCAGTGAAGAGCAAGGAAAAGAGATGATGGCAGAAGGCCGGGAAGACTGCCTGACAAGACGAGGGTGGTGCTTCGATAAGTTGACCGACCCCACCGCCCGAATATAGTGACTCGATACCTTTTCACTTGACTGCCTCCATATATGCGAGAGTTATTGGACCATCCAACCGAAAATCACCCAGCAGTGTGGAGGGGGCCCATTTTGATAGTCTTAGATTTTCCTTTATTTTAGTCAATGAGGAACTATTCTATCATCCGTTTACACAAAGCACCTCTAGACTCAGAGCAATCCTGGACTTTGGGACCACATATACTCGAGTTATTGTGAAATCAGGGGAGGGATGTATTTATTTATAGTAATTTGGTGTAGCTTTTGTATCGTCAGGAGAGAGAGAGAGAGAGAGAGAGAGAGAGAGAGAGAGAGAGAGAGAGAGAGAGAGAGAGAGAGAGATGGATGATAACGGTCAGTAGACGCAGGGCAGGCATCTGTCTATCCGTGACAGCTGCAGCTATCACGCATGCGGCGTGGAGGGGCCAGTTATTCGCCGTTTGATACCACTCTCCATCCTACTTTGCCCTGTGAGCCCGTCTCAAACATTGGAGTTCGCCGGCGAGGGTCCGCCGGAGAAATCATTGACTCGGTGGGGACATCTCTGTGGGCGTTGACACGGAGCAATCTTGGACTTTGGGACAGACACACTGGAATTATTTGAGATCAGGGAAGGAGGGCGATATTTAAAATTCATGCATTTTAATTATATTAATTTGGTGAAGCTTTTGTATCGTCATTATCCAAGCCATGATGTGGCAACAGATAAGAGAGAGAGAGAAGAGGACGATAACAGTCAGCAGATGCAGGGCAGGCATCTGTCTATCTGGTGATGGCTGCAGCTATCACCCATGCGGCGTGGCGGGGCCAATTATTCGCCGTTTGATACCACTCCGTCCTACTTTGTCGTGTGAGCGCGCCTCAAACAATTGGAGTCGCCGGCGAGGGTCCGCCGGAAAAATCATTGACTTGGTAGGGAGTTTCTGTGGGCGTTGACAAGGAGCAATCATGACGTTGGGCCCAGACACACTGGAGTTATTGTGAAATAGAGAAGTACGGCGATATTTAAATTCATGCATTATATTTATATTAATTTGTTGAAGCTTTTGTATCGTCATTATCCAAGCCATGACGTGGTAACACATAAGAGCGCGCGCGCGCGCGCGCGCGAGAGAGAGAGAGAGAGAGAGAGAGAGAGAGAGAGAGAGAGAGAGAGAGAGAGAGTCAACAAGTGGACCACGACGGCCAGTAGACGCAGGGCGGGGATTTGTCTATCCGAGGCGAGTCGCAGCTATCACGCTTGCGACATGGCGGGGCCAATTATTCGCCATACCGCTCGATCCTACTTTGCCCAGTGAGCCCGCCTCAGACATTGAGTTCGCCGGCTAGGGCCCGCCGGAGAAATCATTGACTCGGTGGGAATTTTCTGCGGGCGGCTCGAGCGCCGCCCACTCAACTTCCGGCTTCAGTATTAACATACATTTTCTGCGGGCGAGAGCTGTATGCACCACTGGTAAGACGGCTCTAACTCTTCTCGATGATACAACGGGAAGGTTTGGGCGGCGGTGGGCGGGGAAAAAGACCATTCCGGTTCTTCTTCGTTCATTACCTGACAACCTCCAAAAGACGCGGATAAAGATGCTGCAGCCCACCACTACGGAAAATGATAGGCCGTGATGCTGCCTGCTGAGAGATTCTACAGACCCGGAGAGCCAACGAGGGACTCTATAGAGACACCTGCCGTCCTCAATCATGCCCTGGCGAGTCGGACCTAAGTCTCAACTAATTCCAGTTCACAGGTTCAGCGCGGTGGTTCTCCCTGTTCATCTCAGCATGATCCTCAGATCTTTGACACAATACGATAAGATCTCGAGTTAATGAGAGAGGACCGGCGAGTCGATGTGTCCTGATCTGCTATGTCGGTTCGAGATCCCCGGGAATCTCTCACTAGGAGTGCTTTTTAGCTTCCCACGCAGGACGTTGACTCCAGATAGAATGTGGGATCGGAAGCCGATATGGACGTGTGGGGTCGTAAGATGTGAGTGATTGAGTGATGTTCCAGGATAAAGCATGGTAAAATGGATCAGCTGGTCAGATTGGAACGCAGCCAGTTGGAATTCGGTTCAAATCTGAACTGGGTCTCGACGCATGAATTGATTAAGGAATTCACCGTTGTTCTTTGCTTACAATTTATTCAGTGGGTGATGCGGATGCTTAGGGATTCTTTCGCATTTATTATCACATCATGTTTCAAACCATCAAAGTAATAGACAGGAGGAACTCGGATGTTATTCACCATGACATGACAGTTTCATGCGAATTATACCAGTAAATTTATGAAGCCATTAACTAACGATTAAAATAATTATGCTGTTTACTCAATTCTAGGCGTAAAATGAATTAAAATCTCTCTCTATCTCTCTCTCTTTCTCTCGCTGTCTCATATGCACATTTCATGCATGATTCGTTATTCTGATTTTCTGTGAAATGATAGTCTCTTCGTTTTAAGCATCGTTGACTGTTAAGCTCTTACAAAGTGGTTAATGATGTTGAAATTTGAACTTAACAGGCCACCAACATGATGGTCAACAATTATCTGTGCTAACGGTTAGACACTTAAATTCTCAACTATAAAGCACAGATAACATGTATATAATTAAAATTATAGCACAGGATTAAGTGCTTAGCTCTCGGGAGACCTTGTAAGGTGGGAAGCTCCTTATCGATTGCATCATCACTGTTTGGAAACCTCTAAAAGGACCTCTCTTGGCCTGAAAAGAGGTTTCTATAAACTGTGATCAATAGTTCAGGCGAACTGTTGGTGATTAATTGGCTCCGATATTCAAATCACCGCTCAAATCAGTGATGGAATCTTATTAATTTTTTCAAATAATATCAAACAGAATGATGAGTTGACGTTTTAGTGCCACCCTTCTCGTGATTTAGAGGACACCTGGTAAAGGTCAGCGCGGGGAAACAACCAGATAATCAACTCAACCACAATGGTCAAGAATCTTAAGGAGAAATGCCAACCCATTTGAGAGATATTGACCTCGAATATAGTGTTTCTTTACGCAGCCAACTAAAGCCTCTCAAGCGCTTGACTCCTCTAGGGAGACGAGTCTACCAATTGCAGGAGGCTAAAACTGTGTGAAACCAAGAAATCATGTACCATCATTCTAAACTATTAATCACATCTTAAGTAGGTCTAACCTCATGTTAACCAATCAATCATATACCATACTCCCATCCATTTCTTCCTCCCTCTCTCTCCTCTATTAAAAGAGGAGAGAAAATGAAATGAGAGAGAACGTGAGAGAAAAATGAAAGGAGAGAGAGAGTGCGAGGCTGGAGTGATTCCTCTATTTCCTTTGGTGAGTGAGCCTCAATCATAATTGAGACGTTTATTTTGACCACTCCACCTTGGAGAAGAAGACTTGTTCAACATAGATCATCTAAAAGGTTATGTTTCGGTTTGTTCTTTCACTTCAATAAATCTTTTTATTCTCCAATGATGTCTGAGGATCTCTCCAAACCACGTAAATCCCAATACATCATTTCTTTTTATTTTTCCATTTTTACTCTATCTTATCGTGTACATATATACATTCGTTCGTGATTCTTCGGACATAACCATACGAGGTGGGTACCACGTTTTGCGATTGATTTGTCGTCCATTGTAGGTATTCCTACCCTTCTATTATCACAACGCCCCAAGCCTCCTGCCGTCGGGAGAACTTATCTGACCATCCAAAAGATAGAGTGATGGTAACACACGGACCTTGAGCTAGGAATTCAAACAATAAAGGGTACCATGGCATCCATTCTGACCCCGCCGTTTATCATTTCAACCTCCAGCTTCAACCCATTTACGTCCACAAACAATCAAACAGAAAGGGGTATTCGTTCAATTTTATATATACACAGATCGAGCCCTCTGAGATGCAGATTCTATTTTCTCACGCCAGAAGTCATCGTCCCAGGAATCCCGATAGGCATCATCATGGGAAAGTATCCCCTCCACCGCCGAAAGGTACATCTGATCCCTCCAGTCGTCTAGCGGGGCCAAGCCGATCTCAGCAGCAAGCCAGTCCTTGTATTCCGGCTGCCCAGAACCCAGTCGAAGAGCCCGTCAATCACCCAGTTCAAGTTCTATAATAACATGTGGTGGCTGTTTGAAACACACCTGATAAGGATATAGTGCATGAGCGTGGCGCTTGGGAACCCCTGATTTCCCCATGAATGAGTACGTTTCTTCCACTGAAGCCACCATCTCCTCTTTTCCCGGCAATTTGGCCCCGCCAGATAGGACGCTTGCTACCCACTTGGATTGCAGCTCTATAAGCAAGAATGGAATCGCCTGATTTGATGTGAAAGAAGAAATGTTACTCGAGGATGTAGAACAATCAAGAAGTATGGCCAAACCCCCACACTGAATAGAGGAACTAGATCTTGGAGTCTAAGAATACGAGGATCATTGGCAGTTGGGTTTTGAACAGATCCAAAAAAAAAAAAGAAGAAAAGAAAAAACTAACCTTATTGGTTATGCCAACAAAAGAAAGCCAAGGAGCCCAAAGAGGATGGAAAACGTGCTTATATAGAGGCCCAACACAGTTGTCGTTGACACTAATGAGCTTGCCAGCCTCCAGAAAAGGGAACTGATACTCATACCTACAGGAAGCATATGTTTCATGAAGAGAGATTAAAAGTAAGCATCGGAAGTGCGTCATGATGCCAGAAACAAGGTAGGTCCGTTGCATTTTCAAAGTCAGCTGATGATCAGAACTATTATTTACAATAATATTTGCATAAAATTAAACGAATTCAACAGCATTACCCTGTGCAGTACAAGATGACATCCGCAGTGAGTGGAGTCCCATCCCGGAAAATCACAGAGCCATCTTCAGAGATGCACTTTATCTGCATTATATATCTAAGATAACTTTATCTGAATTATCATGATTGCGAAATTTTTTTCAGTTGAAAGACAGTTTACCGTGGGATGCAGCCAAATATTACTACGACTGTCGAGTTTAATGACATTATCTTCTGATCTTGATGATATGTGAACCTCTTTGGCCACTGTCGAAATTTCTAACGAGATATCGATACCACTCGTACCTTTTCCGATTATGACAACAATCTGAAATAAACATATAGAGACTTTGTGATCCAAAATATCAAGCATTGCAAGCACACATTTAAAGTAAAAGGAAAAAAATCGACGATGAAATGATGGTTCATTTTCCAAGAGCTCCTAGCTTACATTGACCCTGTCCACAATTTCCACTTATAGTATAAATTTTGAGAAAAAGTGTGCATTGTAATGTCTTCCATTCCATCGCAATGCAAATGATCACATTCGACTTATGAAATTCAATTGCCAATTCCGACAGACAATATCTGTTTTGGCCTAGCTTTGGAAAAAAAACAATACTTCTACATTACCAGCTTTGGGTCTAATCAAGCATAGAAATAGCTGGAAATATTTAATCTTTATCTAAAAACTATTGAACCTTTCCGTTTAAAAATCTCGTCGAGCCACTATATTAGAAAAGAATGATTGAAACTTAAAAATTAGTACCAAATGGATATTACATGCTGAGAATAAAATAAAATAGTTACTTGTTAAGAGAGCAAGATGACTGTTCACATGACATTTGGGAAGAATTGCCAGTAAGTCAGATAGATTACAATATACACGTGAATTCCAAATACCAGAAGCACCTCCATTCTTCATAAGAACTAGACAAAAATGGAGAGACCTCAACATCATGCTCACAAAGATTGCTTGACGACCACCACGAAAAGCTACTATGTAAACCAAACAACCTCGTCCTCCTGAACAGCCAATTGGCGTGTAATATGGGACATGGTGATGACCATAGCAGAGATTGAATACCTGATCCTTGAAAGTTTCTGCAATACGGTAATTGTGGCTGTGGATTTGTTTCCCGCGCCATCTCTCGATGCCTGCCGCAGCAGTATTGTTAGTTGAGTCCCTTTCAGTGAAAAAAAATAGCACCAAATCTCGTGTCTTCCTCGGGCTCCTCATCGTCACAAACCTCTGAGTTTTATGCTTTCTATTACAAAACTGGAGGGGATAATCGCCCAGATCAAGAGATCTGCTCGATCATGGGTGAACCACCCTGGCATTTTCTAGGCATTAAATTGTGGGAAAGACTAATCTGCAAGGCTGTTCGGACGACATCATACCTGGGACATCCGGCAACCTCGGTTGGGTAGTGTGCCCGGTGCACACCACCACCGCCCCGAACGTCTCCGTCGCCACCGACCCCGACGCTAAGTCCCGCCACTCAACCACCCAATCCCCCTCCGGCCCCGGCTGCGCCACCCGGAGCACCTGCGCCCCCAATCGCACTGAGTCGCCCAACCCGGAGTCCCGCGCGAAATGTTCGATGAAGGCCAGGACCTCCTCGTGCGATGGGAAGGTCCTTGGGTCGCCGTAGCTCCTTTCGGGCCCTGGGAAGGGGTAATCGAGGAAGCCCATGATCTGACGGGGGAGGTTCGTACGAAGCGATCGGTAGAGACTCCCGTGAACGATGTTCCTCGAAGGATCTTGGCCAATGGGGTCGGATTCAGTTCGAGAGTCGTACACCCAAGTACCCCCCAAGCGGTCGCCCCTTTCGAAGATTACCACCGAGTGGCCATGGAGTAGGAGCTCCCGAGCTGCTGTAAGCCCGGCCACCCCTGCTCCGATCACCGCCACCCTTTGCCATCGCGCCATTTCTAGTCGTCTACGAAGGATCTGAATCTTGGTCGTAACGGGCCTTTAATCTAGGCCAGCCTCTCCCCTCTCAACGCTCCGGCAGCTACCCAATAACCGCCTTCGTGTTTCCAATTCTTTCTCCCCGAGGGTTTTCTTCGAATACCAGATCAGAGAGAGCATTGCCTTCGTCGCCGCCGGAACAAATTCCTACTCGGATAGGTCAGCTGAGCTGCTTTGACCAAAGAAAAATAAAAACATTAGTTGGAAAAAATTCATATATTTTATTTCCTCGCAGAACCTTTAGGACCCGAGCTCAGCCAAACGCTGTCCGGCAAAGCATCAGGCCCATCCGAACTTTGTTTCCCCACTTCCTGCCCACTTTGAACGATTGTCGAGAGAAAATTCCTGCTCAAAGTAAATATCGTGACATAATAAAATTACATTTGTCTTGAAAGGTTTAAATCGCGTGACACTCGTCAATCTTTATCTCGTCACTGTAAACATATGAATGCCGACAGATTGTACGAAATATTCAATTTTATACTTATACAAGAATAAGTTTTCTGGAGAAACGGCGATGTTATGCGGGTGGAACTTCACCAGGACTCTGGCGCCGTCGTGTTCGATCCGAACGCAGCGGCCACGCCGTAAATAGCTGGACAGCATGTGGCCGACAATGTGATGTCTGCAGAAAGATCCAGGCGACGAATCTCTGAGAGCCCTGACCTGGGTTGGCCACAGAAACCTCGGGTGGTCGCCTGCGGAGAGCATGGTCATGAATGCTGCGCACCGGCGAATACGAGGACAAGATCCTGATTCCACCGTAATCGTCTCACCATTAGACCGGGAGAACGGAGGCGAACAGGCGGCATTGATGTCTTAGAAGAAATGTCTGTTTTTATTTGGGGGTAATCGTATTTGAGATTAAATGGGGGGCCAAGCAAATCGACGAACTTCTTGGGGCAGCCTTAAGAAGGTCCTTGGATTCTATTTCGTCTCGGTGACCAGTTCTCCCCTTTTCCCGCGAATCTTTAGGATCAAACATCCATGGAAGGTGGTGGGCGGTGGGAGGGCAATCTTAAGGCAATGTGCTCTGAAGATGAGGTAGTGTGACTGTTTATTCCTAGGCGTGATATACTTCCATGCACAGACAATCCTGTCACATGGGTTCTCTCTGCACGTGCATCCAAGCAGGAAGCGTCGACTTCCCGACATCTCCGGCAACAGACTCTGGTCCGCGCAGTGACCTCTTCCAGTGTAGGATGCTCCAATCCGTAGAATGCCGGACTCCCTGGCTTGCGTGGAATCAAGTGTTTGAACCTTCTCTGTCATATCGCAGTCGTCTCTCAGAGCTTATGAGCTACCAACCCTTTGTAAAATCCCCGGTGAGTCGGCTAGTATGTTATTGGCTTTCAGACGTCCCCATCCAAGCACATTAGTCTCTGCAGCTATGCCTCCATTTCCTGAAGATGATGCTATTTCAACAGCATGGAGCCGATCTCCATTTTGGCTACAGGCTGCCATTTGGGTTCTCCGGAGGCCATACAAATTTCCCACCCATGGCTGTAGATCTCTTCGCTGACGGTTCTTATAGCAAGGATTGGGGTTTTCTTTTAATGTGGAATCCTTGCATGGTCTTCGGAGAGCTTGATTTCACAAACTAACTACGGTCAAAGGAGCAAAACACAGGCCTAGTCAAGTGAAAAATGTTAGATTATCATACGTTTAGACTGTGCAATAGTAACATTTATGAAATAATCTGATTTTATTTATTTCCTTTAATGAAATACTGTTCTCATTTATAAGTAAATGGGTTTTTAGGATTCCCATGGACGGTAGAAACGATGTCTGCAGTCTAAGAACATAATCATTGCAAAATTTGTCTACTCTAGAATCAATCAACCGAAGTTTATCTTTTTTTCCATATGATTTTATTTAATTTTTATATGAAGAATAAACTAACCATAAGTATTGATTGATAAAATAAATGCACTAACTGCATAACTATGAAGTATACAATAACAAGAACTATTGATTGATATACCGTGCTCGAGAATAAAATCTACTGTTGATGTTCAGAAATAAGGACGTCTGCATTCTTTTGTCTTCACCACACCTATTAAAGATTTTGCGTTGCTTTAAACCGTTTATTTGCAAAATGGGAGGATGATCCTGAATTATGGAGTGTATGTTCATGTATCAAAGTATTGTACAAAATATTTATTGAAGACGTGTTTGGCCCTCCTAAAGGCTGGCTCAAGTCCAACAATATCACGTCCCCGTTATCTATTTATGACAAGTCAAAGTGATGCAAAACCTCGGCCGTGAGGACGGCCACTACATTCTGAGAGGGAAGGGCTTGAGTGGTACAAGAGAGGGAGATAGTTCATTGGAAGAGACCAGGGAGGAAGTTGTGCCTTGGAAGAGGAGAGGAATTGGAAGGAGGGGAGCGCTAGAGCGAGAGAGGGACTAAGATGTTGCGACTCGTGTTTACGGCATTCCATCTCGTTGCATTCACGCGAAGTCCATCGTTCTTCCAGGCCTAGAACTTGATGGCCGGTTGACTCGTCAAGTGGCAATACAGAATGAGCTAATATGGACTGTTATCGGCAATTTTAGGGTTTCTTTGGCCCATTCCCTATATGGCCTTCATATAAACGTTCACCCTTTTCAATGAACTTGACGAAACATTATTTATTTGTGTCCTTTATAAAGTTGCACATGACTGCAGGAATATAACATACGGCCTTGGGTACCTCATTTGAATGTGAATGGTTTCAGGATAATTGACAGGAAGACGTTATCATTGTATGCGACTACAACCCAAGCTGTCAAACAATGCAAAGAACAAAACACATGCAGAGGGCCACGTTACCCACCCAGCAGAAGAGATCCCTGGCAATGGACAATACCCAATGGAGTCGACAAGTCTCCCTCCTCTACCCAGCTAATAATGGTCCCCCATTTCAACTTCCTTTGCAGCTCTTCTAGTCTCTGAGAACAGCATCTCTAAACACTGCGTGTAGCCTCGCCGATGACTTCGTTCCTAATCCGCAAGGCCAGAAATTCCTAAGGCACACGGGCTTTTGATACCTCCGACCTGCACACGGATCAGGAGAGAAGAAGAGATGGAAAACTGAGTCTGCAACTTGTTCTTCTGATTTAGATGATGAATGAAAATTATAATTTCTCCCATTGTTCCGGTCATAGAATAGATGAAATAAATCCAAAAATGGATTTTTGTTCAAGAATGAAATCTTATTGGAACTGTCCATATCCAATGAACGGCGGTATAAAAAGAGATAAATCATCTCTCAGGGAAAGCCGGTAGAATCAGAGGGTGGTGTAGGCAAAAAGAGATCGAAGTTTTCAGCCAGGGAGCCGTAAGCTGAATAGACATGTTGATACGACGTTCAAGCAGGGACAGCTCCCCAGCTTTCATGGGGACACGGCAGATGGAGGGAGAGGTCGACTGGTGGTCGGTAGAATCCGATATTTGTGATAAGTGATGGGGCCGGGCCTGGCAAGAAAAACGATCACAATCCTCCAAAATGCTCGGCATGGCCATCAATCACATGCTCCTTCTAGTTTCGCCAATCTTGTCCACATGGCTCAACCTCCCCACCACCCCAGAAACAACTGGTTCTCTGCAGCTGGGCCCTCGACCCTTTCCTTTAAGCCCCTCTCTATAAATTGAGGGCAACGCTCCCACCACTGCCCACTACAGGCGTTTCCACCGTTCTAGTGCTAGTAGCGGAAGCATTCTCCAGCCATGGCATCGAAGGCCAACGCCTCAGCAGCTCTGCTACTCGCCCTTAACCTCATCTTTTTCACCATGGTTAGTGGCTGTGGCACCACCTGTGTGCCGACTCCCAAGCCGGCGAATCCAACGCCGACGCCTACCATTCCTTCGATCGGCAGGTGCCCGACTGACACACTCAAGCTCGGCGTGTGCGTCAACTTACTCAACGGCCTAGTCAACCTAGAGCTCGGCAAGCCTCCCAAGAAGCCCTGCTGCACCCTCATTCAGGGGTTGGCCGACCTCGAGGCGGCCGTCTGCCTCTGCACCGTCCTCAAGGCTAATGTGCTTGGACTCATCAGCCTCAACCTGCCCATCAACCTCTCCCTACTCCTCAACTACTGCGGGAAGAGTGTACCCACTGGCTTCATCTGCCCTTGAAGTCTCTGTATTCTCTGTGTCGATTTCTATCTTTCGCCGTTGCTGTAGAATGCATGTTCTTGCTTATGTTGGGTCTTTTGTGCCGGTTGTAATTGGACGATTGGTGGTTTTATCATTTCTGTAAGCACGGTGAAAACTGAAACTTTCACTTCTTAAGTGGTAGCTTCACTATGTAATCGCCTCCATTGATATTGGTTGTGCCTGTCTTCTTCCTTGGAGAATTAAGGTTCGCTTTCTTGCACAACCTGTTTGCAATCGTTGTAAGAAATAAAAAAGCTTAAATTATATTGATTTCAACAGAAATCAGTCCATCCGTGGTCTCATTGCATTGTTCCGGCTTGTCGTTCAAATCACATATATTTATGAAGCAATTTTACGATTGCACCTTTGATGGTTTAACTTGGACTTCCTGAATGAATCAATCCTGATGACCAAACCCATCACCTTTGAGCTGGAGCTTACGAGCTCCAAAATCTCTTCCGGTCGGGGTTGGAGTTGAAAGACTGTCGGAAGATTAGACCTAAAACAGTTGAATGACAAGGGTAACGTCTGCGGAGGAATCAACGCGTTGCCAGCGCCAGTACGAAGCCGCGAGGTAAGCCACCGGTCGCCCACGTAAGACTCACCACCTGCGGAGCAGGTCTTGTCACAATACAGCCGACGTCGATTTCAAGCCCATGCTTAGCTGTTTCAGACATTGTGGGCGCACCGCGTAGAGCAGGATGTAACGTCTTGTCCATTCATCAGAAGACGTCAAATAATTGAAAGCAAGTTGGCTGTGCTTACGTTTCGGTAAATGGGAAGGTAAAAATAGCATCTGGACGAATTAAAAGAACAGTTGTGGTACATCCCAAGAATATGAATCTTTTAGTGTCCCATCGACACCGATGGCGGCGAGTATATTAAAGGCCTTCAAGGGTTCCTAATCGTACCCTTGCAAAGCTTCCCCTTCATCGTTTACGGGATTTTGCAAGAGCTTCGCTATTAGCACTAGGATTTCAACTGCAACGATATAGGTCCGTTTCTAGCGGAAATTCCTGCTGCCACGATCTTTTCGTTTTCCCACTCGAATGCTTTGAGAGTTTTGATACCCCCAATCCTGGCGCAAGCAGCAAGGCATGGCTTCTCGGTCCCACTTTTCTTGTCGTCCACTGGGTGCCCCGTCTGACAACAGTTTCTCGTCGAACAAACCCTAACATCGCAATTTCCCTGCATCATTCGCTCGGCCCGCTTTCGGCGCCGTTCCCAAGTATCTTGATGTTTCAAGTAACACGCTTACTACCCCTTAGACCTCTCAAGTTTAGGGAAGAGATAAATTATCATATTGCGACTATGAACTTTCAAATTTATTTCCCTAATTCTGTGGGTGGTTTTATGTTAGATGTTCATGGTCGCGATATGATAATTTATCTCTTGCCTAAACTTGAGAGGTCTAAGAGGTAGTAAGCGTGTTACTTGAAACATCAAGATACTTGGGAACGGCGCCGAAACCGGGCTTCAACTTAATGCCGGGAGAATGATGCAGGGAATTGCTCACCCTGGTGTACAGGTGTGAATGCGTTAGACCTTTTACTTCCTCAATAGTCACAGAACACATTATTCATTGCTGAATGATTGAACCCAACACGTTGCTACTTCAGCTCGGTTTCTCGCCAAGCTCATAGTCAATCAGACAGGTCTGCAACAGTCATGGCGATTTCCTGCAGATCTGTAAGGAAAGGGATCTCTTCTCGCTTAACAAGATCCCATTCCAATTTTGATCCCCAACCCCCGTCTTAACAAGCGATGAGGCCACTGGAAGGTTCTGATAGCTCATATACATAATACTGGGTCATCGTTTTATTATGACTATCATCTACTGTCTGGACTACCCATCTAAACCCCCTGGACTCTTAACGGACACAAAGAAGGAAAGCTCTGTTACCTCCTTGACGTGGACTTCGGAATTTCTCGGTAATATTGGCTCAATAAATACACCCTTTCTTGTGGGCCTAACATTATTTGTCAAACAGCCTGGTGATCTGAATGGTGGCCGTGGACTTGGCGGAAAACCCTTCCTAACACGGCAAGGGGGCATCCACAGGGAGAGCACGGGCGGCCTTCTTCAACCAGAAGTTCGATCAACCCGTGAGCTTCCGTTGGCGCATATGCCTAATAAAACAAATACATCACAGTGCGCTTGGTTTGAGCAAAACTGGCGTTGCTGGACCATTTTAGCGGCCCTACGGGGCTTCGTGGACTACATAGCCCCTGCTGGTCACTTGACGACAATCTCCATCTCATATCCTTGTACAAGCGCGTTTTATCCAGAACAGAAATTGGCGTATCGAATCTTATAGATTTGAGGTGGCTGCAGCCGTGTCATTGTCGTCGATATGTAAACGAGTGGATAGTTGAACGGTTTGACCTCGAGGGATTGAAGAAGAATGGTGTTGAAAGCTCTTATATATACGTATATAACTTAACCTCTGAGAGGAGGATCCACTAGACGGAACTAACATCTAAATAAATGAATCTAAAATCCTGGTATTCCACATTCCTAGTTGTATATATATATATAGGAGCATTAAGGATAGTCTTATGATGGTTATCATAAACGTAAATATAATTATAAGGTATATGACGTAGGACGGGGGGGCAACCTAGACTCAGCCAGCCACTAGAGGACTAAAGCTCGACCCAGGCAGCTTTGGCCCCAGAGGGCCACCGGAGATCCCGACGCCAACGCATCCGCCCCGAAGCTGAAGATTTCGTTTATTATTAGCATGTTCTTCCGAAATTAAGCAGTCCATTATTTTACTTTGTTTTCCTTTGTAAGGTCTTTAAAAGGCCCGTCTCGTCGTCATTAGACAGACAATTAGTGATTGACATTCATTTACCTTTGCGGAAGCTCCGCCGTCTGCTGCTGGTCGTGAGACCCCGTCGTCGTGGCCGCCAGCCCATCTTCCGTCCCCACCAACCTTCGTCTTCTCCCGCCGTCGCCACCGCTCAGCCGTCCACCCCCCTCCACTGTCACCGTCTTATTCCGCCGCCCCCGTTACGCCTTCCACCAGTCTTCAACGACGCCGTCTCGTCCCCAGCCGCCTCCCTCTACCACCGCTACTCCACCGCTCTCCCGTCACCTACGTCTCTGCCTTCACCCCTGCCGGCGTCCCGCCTTCCGGCCACCTCTGCTATCACCTCCTCTTTCCCCCTCCGTCGTTCCACGTGTTCCCCTCCACCGACGCCCCGGGTTATAAAGTTTACCGCCCGGTTCGGTGCCTGACGGAACGGCTAGGGCATAAAAGCCGACGAGCCACTTTTGAGCCGCCTTACCTCTGACCCCAACACCGGGTTACTTCCGCCACCGCCCATCGGGTTCCTTCTGGGTCGGATCCGTATCCGCCGTCCGCTCAGACGTTTCCGAGCTGTAGCCCAACCAAGAGCCAGCATGCCGTTTTGTTCAGCTACCTAGTCAACGGTCAATGGTCTCGACCAGTCAATGGACAACTTTTCCCCCCCGTCAATAGTCAACGCCCTCATATCAATTGTCAACGATTGACCCTCTATGACCCGGGCCTCTTTGGTGACTCCTTTCGTCGACTAGTTCTCTCATTTCTTATGCTTGGTATATTCCCTGTTCTTTTAATATATTCTTTTTGTCATCGTCCGTCCCTGTGAGTGAACTTACAGAATAACCATCATTTTCATACATTATGTTATTTTTTCCCCATGATAAGCCAGATCTATATTATTAATTACATACACTCTACATTTGATTGTTTGCCTAAACTGCCACCCTAATCTCACTTTCTTGACTTGAATGATTTTGAGTCAGATTCAAGTTTCTCTTTCTTCTATTTCTAACATTATTTGTGAATTATGAATCATTTATTTGATTATATGTCATTCTAATTTTAAATTAATTAAATTTAAATTGGACGTCCTTAGATTGCATGAATGCCATTCATATTGTCTCTTTACAAAGCCTAGAAGATAGCTTGATGGTGATAGCATATTATGAATAGTCAAAATGAATGTGATTATAACAACCCTGTTGCTTCAATTTTATCAATTAACTTTTTTTTGTATAATCAAATGACTTTGACAATAACCAAATATTTATAGCTGAAAAAAGAGAATAGGTGAGAGATGTAAAGCTGCTTGGGAGATTATGAAGCTTTTTTGATTTAAAAAGAGTTAGATAAAGTAAAATAATCATATTTCTAATGAGGAAAATATTTTTCTTGTTTAGTGAGGACCAAGTTGACAAGTAATTTTGTCTAGAAGAGTTCTCCAGCACTTGTGGGAGATAATTTTAATGAGCCACCTTACCATCTTAGACAATGAAGAACCTCATCTTAATCAATGTCATGTGTAACTATTAACAAAGACTTTTCAGGTCCATGGAGCTCGTCAAAATATAGGAACACATATACCTGGGTGGAGGCTACTTATCACAAGTAGCAAGAATGTTAGGAGCAATTCATAGTAATGAGGATCTTTAGTTGGATGTAATACACAAGCACATGACTACCTTCACATTTAAGAGGCCCTAGAGCATGGTCCACCAAACACATCGAGGTAAGAACCCAATTTCAATGAGTTGATTGAGCACTTTGTCTAAGATTATAAATGTTGTTCAAGTAGGCCCGTGATGTGTTTTGCTTTTCTTCCTTCAGTTTTGTTTTGTAAACCTTTAAGCTTGAACTCATTTTCATAGCTTTATTTGGGATGGCAACATAAATGTTAATAAGAGTAGGCTCAGCCTTTGAAGTAAACATGTGAAAGAGAGGCTACCTGTTTATACCTTACTCTCAAATACACAACAAGCAAGAAACTTGAAGGAGAAGCATCGTCATAGATTTCAGTGCCCATAGCAATAGTTGGATTCTCTCTCTCGCCTTGTAGAGCAGCAATTGGCACGGTTTTATCCTTGTTGTTTTGATTTCTTATCTATCAAATAAGTCATCATCCATTGGAATAATTGAACTGTTTATTTTGATGATGCTTAACTATTT